CCCCTCCCCGTATCTTGCACTCTCCAACTAACCCCCTCCCCTAGGCCATCGCCAGCTTCGCCGTCCTCAAGCGCGCCTCCTCCTCCTTCGGCCCGCACGAGAACAACATCGCCCAGACCATGGCCACCGCCTCCGGCGGCATGTCCAACGTCTTCATCTCGGGCATCCCCGCGCTCTACCAGCTGGGCCTTCTCTCCACGCCCGCCCGCGACCTCGTCCGCCTCGTCGTCCTCGCCGCCATCGGCGGTTACTTTGGCCTCCTCTCCATCGTTCCTCGTACGTGACGCATCACCGCCTGCTCCGTCCATCTCCCTCTCTCACAGTCTTGCCAGTCCGTAGATTCTTCATCGAAAAGGCCGCGCGCGACCTAAACCTGGTCTTCCCATCGTCCTTTGCCACCGCTGCCACCATCCGCAGCATGCACTCGGCCGCCGGCGGCGAGAGGCTGGCCCGCGACAAGATGAGGTGGACCGTCGTGGCCTTTGTGTCCGCCATGGTGCTGCGGGTGGCCTCCATCTTTCTGCCCAACGTCCTTTGGGTGAGTTTATCACTGCGCACGAAGCCTCCCCGGGGTATTCCATCTGACGCCTACCTGCCAGAACTGGCACATCTTTACCTGGATCGCGAAAGCGCGGCTCTCCAAGCGCATCACCGAGTTCGTCGTCGCCGCCGAGAGCTGGGGCTGGGTGCTGGAGTGGTCACCGGCCATGATCGGATCCGGGTTTCTCGTCGACTTTGGCGTCGCCTGCTCCTTCTTTGCCGGTGCCGTCGTTGCCTGGTACGTGTGCCATCTATTACACAAGCTCATGAATGAAGCTACATGGTATCTAACGGGACATGAGCACAGGGGTGCATTGGGACCGTACCTCGTGTCGGTCCAGCTGGCATTCGGGGAGCCATCCGGCAACAGCACCGCCGTCGACACGCTGCCGGGGCTCGTCTCCTACACGGCCATGTCGAATGCCTTTTCGACCGCAGAGTACCCCAGCCCTCGCTACTGGCTGCTGTGGCCTGGAGTGGCCTGCACTCTCGCCGTCGCGTTTCTAGGTATTCTCCCCAACTGACACGGCAACGGAGGCAATCATTCACGACAACGAGAACCCATCACTGACGTACACTGTAGAGCTCCTCTGCCAATCGGGTAAGATCTGGAAGCTCCTCTCAACTGCCGTGATGGGCCTCTTGCGCAAGCCTAGAAAGGACGACTTTGCGTACACGGTCGTCGACCAGGATCCCGACGAAACCAAGGAGAAGCCAGCGTCCAGACCCGACATTGAGCTGTGGATGTGGCTTCCCAGTCTTGTCGTTGTTGTCGTTGCCGCTCTCGTCATTTTGTATTTCTCATTCAACATGCCGCTCCTCGAGGCCGTCCTGGCCCTGTTCCTAGCGCTGTCCATGTCCCTCATTGCCATCCAGGCCACAGGAGCCACCGGTACGCTTTTCCTCCGTCTCTTTCAACTGTATGGTCATTTCTTCTACTTCTCCTCTCGCTAATAGCACCCAGACACAACTCCCATCAACGCCATCTCCAAGGTCTCGCAGATTGCCCTCGGCACCATCACGCGGACCTCGGGCGCGTCCGTCGAGGCCGCCCAGCGACTCAACCTCGTCGGCGCCAGCCTCACCAACATCGGTGCCTGTCAAGGATGCGGTAGGAGCTCACCAACCCGATCTCTCGTTCTTTCGCTGACCTTGATTTTCTTTTTTTTTTCCCCTTCTCGTCAGACCTCATGGGTGACTTTCGCGTCGGCTTCCTGCTCGGCACCCCCGCGCACCTGCAGTACGCCGCCCAGCTCATCGGCACGCTCGTCGCCTCGCTCGTCGCGCCCGCCACCTTTCTCCTCTTCGCCACCGCCTACCCGTGCATCATCTCCAACTCCGACTCCGGCACCTGCGAGTTCCCCGCGCCGACCGTTGCCGCCTGGCGCGCCGTGGCGGTCGTCGCGAGCACCCCGGACCCCTCCATCCCTGCCTCCAGCATCCGCTTCTCCATCCTCCTCGCCGCCATCTCCGGCGTGCTGGTGGTGGCCAAGCACGTGGTGTGCAGCGGCAGAGGGGCGTGGACGAGGCCGTACTGGCCCAACATGATGATCTTTGGGCTGGCGTTTACGCTACCGAACCCACAGACGGCGACGACGATGATGGTGGGCGCGCTGGTGGCGGCGGCGTGGAGGATGAAGAGCCTCAGGGGCTTCGAGATGTATGCGTTCGGGGTGGCTGCTGGGTTTGTCGCCGGGGAGGGCATCGGCGGGACGATCAACTGCGTCTTGTCGATCTTGGGCATTGCGTAGTTGCAGCACATGTCACCGGCACAAATGATGTAGTTATTCTGTAGATACCTATATCTTCTATTCTCTTCGTTCGTAGTACAGAAGTGCAAAAACATGCCGAGGTCTAGGGTAAGCCGCTCCTTACCCGGGACGTCACCGATGACTATCAATCAACATGGACCTCAAGGCCCAATCGCTGGTGACTGCAGCTCACAGCTGCATTTCGTCTCGTCTTTGCAGATCGGTATTGGCACGTCCGAGTTGGCCCAGCCCTCGAGCGTGCAGTTGAAATTGTAGGGCGGGTTGCGGCAGATGTTTGCGAGGTCATTGTCGTCGCAGACAAAGATGTAGCGCGGGGCTGATTGGGGGGCGACAGTGACGTCTTGCCATTGTTCCACGCTTTCGGCTATGACGGGGGGACGTGAAGAGAGTGCAAGCATGATGGCTAGTGTAATGAGATGAGAATGGTGGTCAGGCAAGGTGAGATGAGGATGAGCATACCTGTGATGAGACGCATGCTCACGTTTCCGGTGCGTGAGAAAATTTAGCAAATTGTGATTTAATAGTGCCGTATGGCGGGGCGCTTGTTTTGGTGATTCTAGCTGGTCTTGGTTGAATGAAGGTCTGAATCCATCGTGCCTCTAGGCTTGGGAAAAGTATGCATGTACATGGCAGCCGAGATCCGACGGTGTTTCTACACGACTGCCCAAACTCAACGCCAACATCCACTTTTGTAAATACCATGGCATAAATAATGTGATTTTAAAGAAGATTTTATTGCTAGGTATTCTTCCCCCCGTCCCTCCACTTCCCAGTTCTGGGCGGGGTGTTGGTCACTGCTAGCCACTCCGTCAGTGGTGACATTGAAAGCAACACCAAAACCTTGACAAAATTCACGCTTAGAAATCTACCAAGCGGCGCGTCTCAACCCAACTTCCAAAGCAACCGTGCATCACGCGTTTTCCGTTTTCTCAGTTGACTCATTCCGTTTCATTCACGCTTTCCAACATATATATATATATATATATATATATACACATATACACATTTCTACCTCGACGCATCTTTCATCCTTGTTAACCCCGACCATCACCATCACCATCACCATCACCATCACCATCACCATCACCATGCCTACCCGCATCACCATGTACACGCCCTCCAATCCCCACGGCACCACCACCATCCTCACCACCACCACCACCTCCTCCTCCTCCTCCTCCTCCTCCTCCTCCTCTCCCCTCGGCCTCACCGCCGCCGAGGCCGCTCAACTCACCCCCTTCCAGGCCCGCGTCTTCCGCCTCCTCGCGCAGGTCCCCGCCGGCCGCGTCACCACCTACGGCGCGCTCGCCGCCGCGCTGCGCACCTCCCCGCGCGCCGTCGGCAACGCCCTCCGCAACAACCCCTTCGCCCCGCGCGTCCCCTGCCACCGCTGCGTCGCCGCCACCGGCTACGTCAACGGCTACGACGGCGAGGTCGTCCAGCGCGCGAGCTTCCGGGGGGAGGCCGGCGGCGCGGGCGTGGAGGGCAGGGCGTCCCAGAGCAGGGCCGGTAGGGGCAAGACGGCGACGGGAGGGGTGAAGGCGACGCCGCCGTCGGGGATGAATGTGCAGAAGAAGCTGGACCTGCTCAGGACGGAGGGGGTGGAGTTTGATGATAAGGGCATGCTGCGCAACAGGTACAGGGTTCTGTTTGAAGGGCCGTGGGATATCGTCTCTTCCTGAGGACGGCAAGTAGCAAGGAAGGCTTGCGATTTTATTTCCTGTATACCATATCACGAATCAACGACCTGTATTACGAAACTCGAAGAGAGGGGGGGGAGAGATAAGCTCCAAGGAATTTGTATTGCAAAACTTGAATAAAATGTATATCTTGTGTGTTCCCGACACCGACGACCTTTGGTTAGGCCACGGCGCAGTACCGTAGAAAAGAAAGTGACAACGAATGAATGTGTGCTAAACGAGAAGAAACCGCAACCAAAAAAAAAGTCATATACCCTCTCTAGGTAGCCGCCCAAAGTCTTCAACGACAGAAGAATAAAAAAATCATCACAAAAGATATCCAGGCCTGCGTGCATGGCACCTGTATCTACCCACCAACGCCAAATCAAGCCTCCCGCCGCCCAACTTTTACTTGTCCAAACCTCTCTGAAACACCATCCGACAACTAACAACCCACACTCTCTCATCCAGCTTAGCCCGTCTTGGTCCGACTTTGGGCCCAAGTCAACCGCTTGCCCCGTAGGCTCTTCTCGTCGTCGCCTGACTCGTCGTCCTCCGTCTTGCCTGAGCTCTCCCTATGGCTCTTGCGTCCAAACAGGTTAAGCTTAAAGCCGCCGCCGCCACTTTTACGGCGCCCCTCGCCAGATTGCGACGAGCTCTCTGCGTGACTGCTGCTCATGTTGCTCGCGCTGGTGGCCGGCCGGCTGTCGCCCGGCGGTATGTTCCTAAGTAACCGACGGTGTGAGGAGCCTGCCACACCACCACTGGAAGACGGACGAAGATGTTCGATTCCGAGCCCGAAACCCCCCGCTTCTGTACTCTTCCCATCCACCGGCGTCGGCGGCGTCATGGTCAGAAACGCGGGTATGCTTCCCCCACCCGCCTGCCCGGAACCGCCGTTCGTGTTGCTGATGCCGCTGATGCTACTGCTGCGGCTTTCCGAGCGCGGGAACGGCATCACGTTACTATGCGCGCTACCCCGCGACTGCGGCGGCGATCGTGAATAGTCTACCGGCGACGCGCCGTATAGGCTGGAGGAGTCGTCGCTGTCGTTGATGCTGCCAGCGTAAGTCGAGGCCGCTCCGCTCGTGTTGATGGGGGCAATCAGAACCGAGCTGTTCGCCATTTCGCGAAGCTTGCTTCTCTGCTCAGCATTGGGCCTGTGCTTGGAGAACTTGTTGCCGATGATGGCCCCCGTATGCGAGATGAGAGCCTTCATGACCGCCTTCTTCAGCGCGAGCGCCAGATCCAGGTTCGACCACGTCTTGTTCTGCCACTCTATGGTCGGAAGTCGGAATACAAAATCATGAACGTCTTCAAAGTTGCGTTGGTCTTTGCCTTTGTAGCTCAGGCAGAGCACAACCGATGGCATCTTGATGTGTGCAAAAGTCATGTAGTTGCTAGCGCGATCCATCATCTTGGTCAGGTCGTCAGATTGCTTCTCATCAGTCTTCTTGCTCTTGTTGAAACGCGATGACTTTTTGCTTTCCGACTCGCGGCTGTCCTTGGTGGAGAAGCCCGTTGCAGTTCGACCGAGCGCACCAGGACGTCCGGATCTTAGTGAATCATGCGATGACTTCTTAGCAAGTGTCCTGCCGGTACCGCTGGACCGAAATAGCCGGAACCCGCTCTGGCTCTCGGTAGAGTGAACACTCATCGCCTTGTTAGGGCTTGGGTCTTTCTCTGGTCCGAGAGAAGACAACGTAGGACGAAGTCGCAGTTCCAAGGACCCAGGGCGCGTTGAAAAGCTGGATTCCTTATCCGCAGTCAATCCACCAGGTGTTCCTAGCCTGCTGGTTGAGCTTGCCAGCGACTCCGTATCGTCGTCGTCGGCCTCGGTCTTGATAATAGCTGGGGTGTCATGTTTGCCTCCAGAGGATTTTTCACCGTCCATACCGGGGAAAATGTACTCAAACAGGCGTTGCCCAGCCTCGCGCTCCAGTTGAACCTTCATTGGATGCAGATTCACTTCGAAACTATCCATCACCGGGATACCCGCAATGGCCTCCAGCATGTGCCAGTACACACGAATCATGTCCGTGTTGTCACGATCCTTGAGTTTGACCTTCTCGCCATCGACATACGGCGCGATAATCTCCGGATACGTTGCGTCCTTGAGTAGGTTCAATCCAAGAATCTTTTTGACACGAATGAGGTTCATGTGAGAGCCGTCCGAGTTGTCAGTGCGGTCGTACTCGACGTCCTTGAGCTGCATCTCCACGAGCGGCTCACTGGTATTCTGGATGAGGTGCCACACAATTTCACGAGCTGCAATGCTCCACTTAACCAACGGCGTTGATTCCGCATTCACATCGTATTTGCGCTGCGACGTGGTGATTGCCTTCATCAGGAAGAACAACTCGTCCTCACAAGAAGCCAAATCACGCTCCAGGTATAAGCGCTCTTCCCAGCCTCGTTTGTCCAAGTACTTGGAGTACACTTGGAAGTGCATCTTAATCTCTTCAAGCTGCTTGATCCTCTCCTGCAATTTCATCACCATTGCAGGTGCCCCGCTGAGATCGCTAAAGTCGGATGCCAGCATGATCTTCTCCAAACGCTCACTTCTTGTCTTCTCAAGCGGTTCGCTGTACATGAGCAAGTCGAGGACAATAACGTACATCGCATAGTACTGTGAAGAATTGCACAGGGCCCGGACTTGAGGGAACTCAACCCAAAGATTGTCTGTCCTGGACTCCGTAACTTGCTCATCTGAGTCACCAGCCTCTTCCGTATTGACCTCGGAATTGTACTTCAAACGAAGCGTGTTGTATTTGTCAAATCGAAGCATTGCGGATGTCTTCTGGACAACACGCTTGAAACCAAAGGGATCCGCCTGGAAGTCGAACATGATCTCCATGGGTACCCATGGCGGCCAAGCCGAGCCCCCAGGTGTGCCATATCTGCTTCCAGCATACATAGACACTAGATGAGTTTGGAACCACTTTTGATGGGTGACAAAGAATTGAGTGCTGTCCATATTGACGAGGAATCGGCGTTGAACCAGACCGCTGACAGTGTCGGAGATGCGATCTTTATCCATGATTTCGACGACTTTGAGTTCCATGCCCTTGGCAGTGATGAGAACCACATGCTTCTTGTTCTTCTCACTCTGCAGCTGAATCTGAGGCGCGATAAGCCGCACATGGTAGCTGTTCTGTGGGCTAAAGTCCTTGGAAATGCCACACTCGAGGTCTTCAATGGTGCCGCTAATGGATCCATCTTCGTTCGGGAGAAAATGGGAAGTAGTAGAAAATCTTCGCCCATCTTCCAAGATGCTTCGAATGCGGTCCTCCAAGTCTTGGGGGGCTTTCTTTCCGACGTTGGGTGTGTCTGTAGCCGAGCTGGCAGCCGGCGTAGCCTGCGACTTGTTGGGTTGAGTCGTCTTCGTCTTGTTCTGCTCATCCACCATATCCAAAATGAACCTGATCGCACGCCGCGAAAGGTAGTACACAAAACCTCGTCTCTGACTGCTTTGGTGAATGTAGCGCAGCACAATATTTCGGAGCAAGTTGTTCCACTTGAGCTGCATATTATGAATGACAAACCGATTGTTGAATTCACTCTCGAAATGTGAAGTAGGAGGGATGTCCATGACTTCTTCGCTGCTAGATCCATCTGGCGACGGGTCACGAGCTGCTGAGGAAGAAAACATGCGACTTCTGCTGTTGCAAGACTTGGCCCTAACTTGCTCAAACATGTTCTCTAAAAATGCCTTCTTATCTTTGAGAACGCTAGAGTGTCGTTTCAGAGCCTCAAGATCGTCTACAAGGGTGCTGTCCTTGGTAGTAGCCTGCACGAGCTTCAACTCGGCCTCGCCAACATTGCGTGAATGAGACGACATCTGGATTTCCAACTGGTCAAGCCGCTCCTGGATCAGCTCCATTTGAACCTTTTTGTTGTCATCTTCTTGGCTCAGCAAACAGAAGTGAGTTGGTTCGTTTCCAAATGGGCTTGTTCGGGTTGGGTCGCCTGAGATGACTCCCCCGATATCCGTCTGGCGGAAGTATGTAAATCTAGGGGCATATGCCAGCGGAAGAATTTTCGTGTCAGGGTGAGCCTCTGTTGGCAAGATCCAGTCTAGCTCAACAAAATCATCCATGTCGATCCAACTCAGGTCATCGTCAGGGATGGTGAAGTGCGACAAATCAGGCTTGTCATCCTGGTCTGTAATCAGGGATGAGATGGAGCCCTTCTGAATCGCTTCAGTCGCTGTGCCCTTCAAGCTTGCTGATACTGCGCGGATATCCGCAGCTGCGAGATCAAGGTGGCCAGCGTGAATTTTGATCCCCGACGTCCTGCTAGGAGAGTTCTTTGTCTTCGCCAGAGTGTTGAATTCTTCTCGGCGCTGATGTAAATCAAGCATGAAACTGTCAAAGCGGACCTTCAAGCCTGTAGCGGAAACAGCCTCATTCTGTGCGTAGTCCTCTGCGTCTTTGTGCTTGTAGATATGGCTCAAGAACAGCGGCGCAAGCAAGATGCTATACTTGACTGTGGCCAAATGCCTGCCAAACTTTTTGCTGCTCTTTTCTCGGCCAGGGAAGAGATTACCTTGCCGAATGGGAAGAGACATGGGTTGACTGAAGAGACCCCACCAAGTGAAGAAGTGAGTGAAGAAACGTGGCGATAGATGGATGGTGTTATAGCTTCGCGACGGCACGGGGTTCGAGGACATCCATTCGCGGTCGACAGGGGCGCGCACAGCAATTGAGAGGTGGATGTGACGACTCCTGAAGCCGCGGAAAGCGTCATAAGGAAGATTCCCTTCGCTGTGCGCAAAATGAGGGTTCTTCAGAACCACATTGTAGTGCGGGATGAAATCGAAGCTGCGGTGTCCATTTTCAATCTCCTTCTCAAAGACGAGGCCAGCTAGCCACTGAACCTTGCCGGAAAGCTTCATAATCACTTTCTTGAACGCGGTTGCTTGCCGTAAATTGTCCTCGGCTAAATGACTGCCATCCTCTATTCGTCTTCTGGCGGATTCACGTACTTGGTGACTGTAGTCAGGCACAGCCAGCACGTACTCTCCACTGTCTACTGTCATAAACTGCTTCGGGTTGTCGTCTGCATTGATATTCCAGCGAACTTCATTGCGCCAGCACATCAAGAACCCAGCGCCATTTCCGGTAACTTGGTAAGGGTCACGAGTTCCCTTGAGTGCCAAGTGAACATCACCGTCACCTTTCCAAGCTACATGGATTCGAGAATGGAAATTGAGTCTCAGTTTGTCCCAGAAACCAACTTTCTCAGATGGGTCAATTGGGGGTTTGGTAAACGATTCAATAGCCATCATCATGTCTTGAATAGCAGGCTGATAGCAAGGACTCCAGGTAATTCGGGTAGGCAAGGCCGTGTTGATATCCATCGAAACATCCGTGAAGGACTTTACAGGACCCATTGTTCGTCGAACTTCGATCGCAAAGCCACCCTCATTAGAAGCAGTAGGATCAGTGGTCTTTGGTGGCACAACATTGACGCGGACTCGCCTTGTTGACTCAACACCACGGAATTCTTCTGCCAGAACAAAGTTTGTCTTGAGGGAAACAGAAGGTTGTCTCGAGGATTGGCCAGACTTGAGACACGGAATGTGCAACACTGGAAGTGGATAGTCTCGCAAGGTCACTCTGGCCTCGTTCATGTTGATTGCAATGTGCATAGGTACCAAAAGACCATATTTCATGTCACGAGGCATCCCCTTGCCAACTTTGAAAAGGAACTCCGGGAGATCTTTCATAGCAAACGTTGGCTTATCAACCACAACTTGTAAGTCCGAAATCATTGTCGACATGAGAGCAGGCCTTGGGGGCACTTCCAATATATTCTCGGTTTCTTGAATGTCGTCAGGGAGGTGGTTAGGCCCCCAGAAGGTATCTCGAAGCTCACGAATGCTATCTTGAGACATGCGACATGCTTGATCAATCCTTTTCTTCCATGATTGGGCATTGAACATGTCCAGGTGAGCTCGAGCATCAGATTCGCTGACCTTTGCATCACCACTGACGGTTCGGTTTCCGCCTTCTGGGTCGTACGTGGGTATACCGCCCCGACGTGGCGAACGTGTTCTGCGGTCAGGGCGATAAGGATCTGCACTTCGATTTCGGAACCAAGATGTTGAGGAACTGGTATCGACCCGGCCACGCGCGAATGTAGATCGAGATCGGAGTTTGCTACCACCTCTTCGTGCTTCTTCCTCCTGCACTTTCTTGATCTTCAGGTTAAATGCTTCCTCACGAGCTAGGCGCTGCACCTGCTCCTGGCGGCCAGCGCGGTAGATCATGCCCAACTTCCATTCAAAAGCTCCATCTTCGATTTCGAAGAGAAAGTTGCGCGAGCGCACAGCAATCTTTGGAACACGTTTGGGCGCCTCTGGCTTTTTCTCGAGAATATATTCATTCGTCCCAGTCTTGAAGCGATGGTGAAGTTGCTGGACGGATTTGACAACATTGACGATATTGTCACTGATGCGAGCGACAATGACTTCGTGCGGCACCGCAATTCGAATTGCTTCCGTGGAGACGTCAATAAGCCGCTCTTCAACAACAGGTCCATTCGCAGTCTTGTGTCGAGTTTCTCGCAAATCAAGGCGACCTGATTTGATGCCAACCATGCGAGCCCAAACATTCCGCATTCTTGGAGGTTGAACATAGAGGCGGACCAGGGTTGAGGTCATATACGGGGTTGACCACCTGTGTCGTCCAGCCTCGAGGCCATACACGCGCAGCATGACGAGAGGATCATGCGGCATCTCCGCCTTCAGCTGCACCAGAGCAGCCTTAACGTCCAGAATAACCAACTCTGGTGTTGTGGTTGACGGGTCTCCGCCCGAGCGGCTCGGCAGGGCCAAGCGGTTCGCTCTGAAGTGTGATGGCTCATGAGCTCGCGGCGCTTCTCGTCCAGACCTCATGAAGGCCTTTCTCAGAGTCAGTCCAGCAACACCAACCGAGTAATGACGGAACAGCGAGTATTGCATCATTATTGTCCGAACCGATACCTGCACGTTAAACATAGGCCCATGGCTATCGCTCGCAGCGGAAAGCAGCACCTCCAGACGAGGGATGTTCACAAAGGGCTCGACTTCCAGCCGGTCATTGCTTTCCATAATCTGCGCCTCCAGTCCTTTAACGTTGAACGATAACCTTCTTCCGTCGCCATGCGTTTGACCCTTACGTCTAATGCGTGGCGACGAGGATGGTGTGATGTCGGAATCAGACTGTGTAATGGATCGACTGTGGGTTCTTCTCCTAGGCAAACGACGATGCAATCCATCCAAGCGGTGGGCGCGGTACTCTGCAGCGATGGTATCAAGGTGCAACGATACGCCACGAGTGTCATCTGAGATGTCTTCGTCGATGCCCGCAACTTCAAAATTAAAGTCTTTCGCTTCAAGATGGCACCGAAGGAGCCAGTCTGGCGCTCGACGTAGTACATTCCTGTACTTGACACTCTTGGGGGTGGTTCGCTTTTCAGGCTCAACGTCCATGCGAAGTTGACGAATGATTTGGTGGATCCCGTCGGTGATTTCTGGCCGAACCATGCTTATTGCAAGTGACTGAATGACGCCATTGATTTCGACGGATACGTCTGGGTTAGCTGCAAGGTGCACTTTGAGTTCCGTTGCTTCAGTGGTAATGAGGTTGAATCTTGCTCCAGAATGGGTATGGTAGTATAGTTGATGTGATTGAATTCGCATAGCACCGTCCAAAGAATAATGCATATCCTCGAGCGGAGAGTGAGACGACTCAACGTCAAGAGAAATGGATGATATGGAAGATATAATGAGGTCAAAGTCGTCCGGGTCATCGGTTTTCTCGAGTGTCTTGAGTTTAATGCGGATAACAGGTTCATGCATTGAGAACTTCATGTTGGCCTTAGGCAAAAATCGTGACATGAGATTGCTGCGCGAATCTCGACTCGCTCTCGGAGGCTTGGGCTTGGATTGCAATAACGCAATCAGAAGTGGAAGGTGTGCTGGATCAAGGTCAACTGAAGGCGAGGTGACGACAGAGTTGGCGAACAAAATGTTGGCATTCTTCTCTTCCACGCTCCCGTGGTTGTCGTCTGAGAGCTGTACTGTTTTGGAGGGCAGAGTTGTGCGAATTGTCGTCGTGGCCATGGGGATGTACAGAAGGCGTTCTGGTCTTCCGTTGCCATCGTCAATGCCTACAGACAATGAAAGGGCTGCAGCAAGTCCTTCGTGGGCAACGTCCTTGGAAGGGAAGTACATTCTGTGCGAAGGCGACTTTGGATCTAATCTGTGGAGATCAACACCAAATTCCTTCATAGAAGCGCTAAGCAACACAGGTTGAGCGTGTGGTTGCACCGAATGCGCTCTCCTGTTGATGCTAATGAAGCTGACGGCGAATTGTATTTCCTTGATTCCGTGAAGGATAGAGTTGAAGAAGTCGTGTGACCCGGGTGCGGCCTTCGGGGTCTCTTCCCCCAATTCATCCTTTTCTTCGATATCTGATCGTTGCCGCGGAGCCCGGATAGAGACGTCGAAGGAGTCTTTCGGTTCGTAAAAGGAGGTGGCACGCCTGCGACATCGATTGTAATGCGAGATACATAGCTCCAAATCGTCGTATGGAATGTGAACACGGCCAAGTTTAAGTGCCACAGTCGCGTCACGCAGGCCCTCTCTAGAGTGATGGAGAAAGCCATGCACATTAAGCAGCGCATTATCCAAGATTTCCAAAGACTCGTTGCCATCAGCTGTGAAGAGAACACTTCGTACGGTCACAATCCACTCAGCCTGATGCCCATGTTTGTAGTAGTTCGACTTTTGATGGAAAAATCTAGCCCGGTCGACCTTCTTGTTTCGTGTGTCGACTGCCAGGGTGATGCTGCCGACTTGAACATTGCCTACATCGACAACGTGGATAGTAGAGTTGGTCGCAACAACATCAATCATCCGTAGCCATTTGACCATGCGATGAATCCTTTTGATCCTCTCTTTGATTTTCGAGAGCTGTCTCCAAGGATCGCGTCGGGGGGGGGTATCGGCATCTTGTCGCATCGAGGGGCGCTCGGTGGGGGGAGGAGGCTTGTTGGACTCGGATTCGCTGCTGGTTACAGACTCCTCGGGACTCTCGGTGGACTTGTTTCCCTCCAGCTCCTGCACGTTTAAAGTGACAACAAGCTCGTTCAAGACGATACTTAGCCACGTAGGCTGCGCAAAGGTTGGTCGATGGATATGCAGGCCCAGGCCGCGAATCTCGACGGTACAGCCATCCTTAGGGGTGTAGGCGAGTCTTCGCAGAGAGAGGTAACCTATTCGCTGGATGGAAATGCCGGTGAGGATTCGAATAACGGCGAAGAGGACAAATGACGATAGGTACAAGAGGACGACAACGCCGAGTAGGAAGGTCGGGTTTAGGAGGGCCATGGCCGCCACGCCGTCACAGGGCGGCGACGCAGATGGACTCCGTCTGTGAGCTGTGTGAGTTGTTTCTCTATTGATCAGCGGGGTTTCCAGGGCAGGAAGACGCACAGCTGGGCGTGAGAGCGTTCGCGATCCTCCCCAACGCTCTAACAAGCTTGAGTCGTGGCGCGAGCCATGGCGGAGGTGGAGGCGGATATTCGACGGCGTTTGGGATACAAGAGACGAGTGACCACTACAGGGATGTCGCTGGCTGCTCGAGAAGTGAATGTTCCTAAGCTACCGCGGGTGGTTTGTTGGACGGGCAGACGTAGGGAGGGACAGCGAAGAAATTCGTCGAAGGAGCGCTGATCCCAGGCGTTGGGGTAGCTCGGTGCAGCAGATAATAGCGTTGGTCTCCTCTTTTATCAGCAAGATGGGGATAACCCCGAGTGGCCCGGCGCCGCTTGACTCGATGTGGGTAGCGACTGTATGACCATGCGCCAAGTTGACAATAACCCAATGGCGGCGATTGTTGGCGCGCGGCCCAAGAGCTATGAGGAATGGTGACGGCTGCGGTATGGTATTGGAAGGGTGAGACAAGGCAGACGATGTGGTGGGCTGGGGTAGACGCAGAGCGAAGTTACTGGGCCTGCAGATGAAGCTCCAGTGGCTGCATGACAGTTTTCTGGGCCCTACAACTAACACGTACTAAAGGTAACCTAGGGCGTTAAAAATCATGGAGGCAGCGGCAGGCAAACTGGGGCCGCTATAACGATGACGTGTGGCGTGTGCTGTGAAATTGGGTTTAATTACCTGGGTACAATGTGGCGCAGGGAAAATACCAGCCAGAATCCGTAGCACAGTTCCTGTATTTATTTTGGTGGTATTTATTTTGGTGTTGTCAACACAATCCCTTTATTTCGCGATAGCTTACCCTCCTAAATGCGGTAAGTGCCTCGTGCCATCTTTTATCAACGTGGCCACCCCGCTGCTGCAAACTGGCTGCCCTGCCATGCTATTCGCAGCTGCAGCTTGCCCGCATGAGGCGCAGCCTGGTGACGTCTATGATGGCCGCAATTGGATGGATAACGGCACCCACAGCGCCAATCAAGCCGACACATTTCAACCAAATGGCCAAGAAGAGGGCCAGGGAAAATAGGAACGCAGATAAAATAGCGTATCGGCCACCGGTGGCCATATAAACTTGTGTGGAGTTGCTAACTAAAAGCGCTTATATCCCACGATAAATCATCTATTGTACACTGCCCATGTCCAAAGCTGTCGACTCCCAGAATTACTTTGGTGAAGTCGAGCTCTCCGCTTCCCGCGCCTTGTGCTCCAGTGCCCTTAGTTCTGCAATCCGGTCGTCAATCAAGGAAATGTCGACGTCGAGCTTGAGTTTCTTTTCCCTCATCATGTCCATGTACTCCTCGTCTGTGAGCTTCCTTAGCGGATTCAGGCGCGACCAGAATCCGGGGCCGTTCTCTACTTTTGGCTTCAGCTGGTTGGCTTCATGGCGATGTACCAGCATTTGCCCTCCAGCACCCAATAACCCCCACATGATCATGGCTGGTATAATCTTTGTAGGACCACCTATCGCGTGTTAGAAAGGCGATGATTTAGCTACCGCCGAGGGGACTGGGGGGCTACTCACGCAAAAGCCCTGACACGGCGCCGGTAGCTGACCCGGCGATTGTGCTGATTATGACTCTATCGGAAGATTTCATCACTTCCTGGTTGCCCCATGCACGCATAGCGAGACTCCTAGAAACTGTGCTGCCGTCAGTGGACGAGTGGTGCCAGTGTCGGGTAGGGTTGCCACTTACACCAGAACGTGGTGCCGAGGGTAAACCATTGAATCCCAGTGACGGAGCCACTGATGAATGGGTTTGTATCTCTAGCAATAGCTCCGCCAACGCCAGCCAATACTCCGGCAGTTCCTACCACAGCCATGTGAGTCAGTAGCACTCCCATATCAAATCTGCGGCGAGGACCACTCACCAGCCCAGAATCCAACTTTAAACGGCGGAAAGACCAGCTCGGCAAGTTCTGGTGAGAAGAATGTTTGTCTTTTACGCTGTGCCAGTCCTTGTGAATCTGGAGGCGATGGTTGTGAAGCCATAGTAGCATAAAAAGGGTGCGCGGGTGCGACGCCAAAAATTGAGCGTGATCAGAGTCGCTGATGCCTGGTCAACAAAGCCAAGCAAAGGAGAGGCAAAAGAAAACACGCTGAATTGAAACGGAATAATATACAAAGCCAGTAGAAACAAAATTACAGCCGGCTTGAGGCAAACGATGAGTCCGATGAGTATGTGGAGGGACGCGCCTTGAAAATCAGGGTCGAATCGTTTGCCTCGACCAAACAAAATTGCCAAGTGTGGCTTGGATTCTTTGTGGCTCAGCAACACCGGTTCAATGGCTCCAGCTCCTGGCCGGCCATCTAATGGGTCACCAAAATGCGAAGGGCGCTAATCCTCATTTGAACTAGCTTCTCCCACTCATCCACGCCTGCTCGCGAAAATTGAAGCAACCCTCTGTGGCCCGTGGCTGTGGCCCTTGGTGGCCTCGTTTTTTCCCACGTTCGAGCAAATTTCGACTCGTCAACCCCAGACACGGTAACGCTATCGGGGTCCCATAACTATCGCCGTCAGCCCGAATCTCGACAATCCTCGACATCCTTCTTTGTCGACTTTGTCCTCTTTCGACTCTTTTCTCAATTTCCCGCAGGAGCTGCTCCGGTCGGCTCTCGCCCCTCTAACCTTCGTCCTACGCGCACCGGTCACCTAATCCGCTGCGCGTGGTTATTTTACGCCGCAATCATGGGTCCGTCCATATCAACCCGATCCTCTGGTCCCGTGTCTTTGCTGACATGACTTTCTTGTAGCTCCCAAAAAGAAGCAACAGCAGACTATGTCCCTGGGGGACTTTCTGACTGATTCCGGTTCGTCGCGACACAAAGCGCAAACCGCACGGCATGCTGACGCTGCAACAGGTTTTGGTGGTGGTTCCTGGGCTGATGAGGTCGAGGAGACATATGGTGAGTGACCTTTTCGCATTGAGAACCTAGTTGCCGCGATGCTAACATATCTCTAGTTACTGGTGCGCGTGTTGGCTTGTCCGTAGCCGTGGTCGAAACTAACAGATATCAGGCACTCAGCCCCTCCCCTCGAGCGACCGACCCCGCCCTGGTGGCGCTACTTCGTCCTGGCAGGACCGAGGTGAGTGCATATCTCATCGTCTGCCTTTCAAATTAGCCTCTCTCTAACCGATACAAGGCTATTCTATTCGTGAGAGTGTTCCCCAGTCGATTCCTGAGCGTCCTCCGTTCACTGCTCATCTTGGAAACCTCTCTTACGATGCGACGGTTGAATCCGTCACCGATTTCTTCGCTGGCAGCGAAATTGTTAGCGTCCGAATCATCGAGGACCGCGAATTGCAGCGTCCCAAAGGGTTCGGTTATGTCGAGTTCACCGATGTCGAGGGTCTCAAGAAGGCCCTTCAGCTTGATGGAGAGTCCTTCCAGGGACGTATGATCAAGATCAAGGTTGCTGATCCTCGTAAGTATACCCGCAAGTGTGACTAATGCCCTCCTATTCCTGCTAACGCATATACAGCCCGTGGTGGTGACAGCCGCATGGACTCTTCCCGCGACCTTAGCGACTGGACTCGCAAGGGTCCCCTGCCTGATCTTCCCAACCGTGGTGGCAATCGTCAGCCCTCCGAGTTCGGTAGTGAGCGCAGAATGCGCGATCCTGCTCTCGAGTCGAATCGCGGGCCTGCTCGCGAGATGAACTGGGAGCGTCGCGGCCCTCTCGCACCGCTCCCGCCCCAAGAATTCGGTGGTCGCGATGGCAGCCGTCCTCCTCGCCCTGCCCCCGAGGGCATGGGTGAGCGCAGCGAATCGTTCCGTGGCCCCCGCCCGGATCGACCAGAGAGACCCGAGCGAAGCCCCACCGCCGCCGAGAAGGACTTTCAATGGCGAGACCGCATGCGCCCGGATGCCGGAAAGTCGTCGCCTTCTCAGGAGGCAGGCGAGGATTCTGCGGCTCCCGCTCCTGCTACTGCTCCGGCTCCCGCGCCCGCTCCTGCTAGCCGCCCCCGTCTGAATCTTCAGAAGCGTACCGTCACTGAATCTACCGATGCCGGCACGCCCGCCCCCGACTCCAAGGCTAGCCCCTTTGGCGCTGCCCGTCCCATTGACACCGCCTCTCGCGAGCGTGAACTTGAAGTGAAGCGCCAGCAGGCGATCCAAGAGAAGCGCGAGGCTGATGAAAAGGCAAAGGAGGGGCGCCGCCTGGCCAAACAGGCTGCCAAGGAGGCCGAGGCTGAGGCCGAGGCCAAGGCAGCCGCTGCCGAAGAGGAGGCACCCGCCGCTACCGAGACCAAGGAAGCTGAGGAGAAAGAAGATGACGCGGAGAAGCAGCTGCCCGTGCGTACTCGCGAGCCACGTGAGCCACGCGAGAACAAAGAGGGTGCCCCCAATCTTAAGTCGAGAGCTGCCGAAGCTGGAAACTGGAGATCGGCCTCTGGTGAGCAGCGCGGCCCTCGTGGCGGCGGCCGCGGCGGTCGTGGCGGTGCTTCCCGAGGCGGCCGCAATGATACCCGTGGACCCCGTGCCAACGGCGGTAGCGCTCAGCAAAGCTCTGCTCCCTCCGAGGCCGGTGATGCCACTACTGTTGACGAGGATGGCTGGACCACTGTGCCCAACAAAAAGGGACGTCAGGGACGTCCTTGAAGCGGGAGGCAATACGAGACAAGAAAAGAGATTGTACATTTAGCCCCCCACCCATATTTTCTGCTTTTTGATTTCACGACTATAGATGATGGCCTTTCCCAGGCAGGGAGACGCTCGCTGCTATTTCAGACAGAAAAGTTTTATTCGGTTGCATCTCACAGCAAAAAAAAAGACAAAAAGCTTTTTAATACTTTGAAGGCGCGCCACTTTTTTCTGGTTGATGATGTTACGAAGCCAAGAGTCGGAAACGCAGCGCATTTCATGGCATGACAACGATTTGTGTCTTTGAGGAGAGACGACAAGGAATGACTTGTTGATGATGTTGACGAAGACTCGTGACTGGTGAAAAGAAGGACTGGGGGCTAGGCGGAGGATGATATAATAAGTCGACTGGGAGCTGGGGAGGGGGCACATTGGGCAAACGATCTTTCAGTGCCTAGAGAAACGTGTCATTGTTCTGTTTCTTTCCTTTTTCTGCCATCATGAATTGTCGCCCGGTTGAACGGTTCAAGTCTGTTACTTTGTTTTCCTTTTCTTAGCCGCTGCAAAAAGCAAATGAACATTGCCACGATGAGTCCTACTATAAATGTTATGTCAGGGCGGTTGGATGAGGGGGGGAAACCTGCTTGGTTGGTATTAGTTGCACAACGCTCTGAATTTCTGCTTGTGTTCATCTCTGCAACACGACTCAACAGGCATGGCACCATGAAGCTCTAGAGCGTGAGAATCGAGTAAGTGAATTGATAATTTAAAGTATGTCGTGTTCATGCCCTCCATGAATTATCCTAATAATAAGCTGTGATCGCAAGCGTTGCATGACTCATGCGATCGATTTGACCCAAGATCGGGCCCCCGGTCACGGCCTTGGCGACCACATTGCCATTTTCCCCCTCTCACTCTCCCCAACTTCAGCCGCGCCGTTTCAAAGATCCCTAGTGCGCTCCTCCGCTTCCGCGATCCACCGCTGCAGCTGCGGCGCGTCCCTGGGCCGGAGCTTCATCTTGAAGGGCCGCGGGTCGAGCGTCAGCGACGTGGGCGTGCTGTTGCAGTCGAGGCAGTGCATGACCGGGCGGTCGGCCGGGTCGTCGGCCTGCGAGAGGTGGAACGCGGTGACGACGCGGACGTAAGCGGTAAAGAGCTCGCGGTTAGCCAGGTGCGACCCGGCGCACATGCGCGACCCGGCGCCGTACGCGTAGTGCGGCGTGCCGACCTCGTGGTGCTCGTCGAGGAAGCGCTCGACGATGAACTGCTCCGGCAGCTTGAAGCGGTGCTCGTCGTAGTCGGCTGCGTAGGCGTTCTGGATGATTTTTGTTAGTTGATCGCTTCCATCATTCGACTGGCAAGAGCTTCACGTACCATGAAGAATGTGGTGCCGGCGGGGATGACGGTGTTCTCGTAGGGGATGTCTTTGATGTTTGTGCGGGGGAGGCAGATGGGGATGACGGTGAAGAATCGCAGGGTTTCTTTGACGAGGGCGGAGACGTAAGGGATCTTCTCCTCGACAAGGCACCGCTCCCAGGCGTCGCCGTTGGGATACGCTTCCTGAATGGCGGCCAGGGCTTTTGCCTGGACGGCCTGACCCTCTGGCGTGGAAAGGTATGCCAGACCCATGATGAGGGTGCCAGGCACAGTATCAAGACCGGCAGAGACCATAGTAAGGCAGATGGACTTGAGTTCAGCTATCCATGTCAGTAGGGGCCAGCTATATAGGTTGTTCAAGTCGGCGCGGGTCAGTAACATACCCATGTTGAGCTTGGCGTCGGGATCCTTGAGAATATTGCCCGTGATACACGGTTTATCCGTTCCGTCGGCGATGCGCTTTTGAAGGTCCGTCAGCATGTCCGTCAGGTACCTGTCGCGGCGGGCGCGGAACTCCTGCGCGTCCGTGTTCTGCTTGTTCCACACGCGCATCAGCGGGACGTAGTCCTGCCAGTTGTTGCTGGTGGAGCGGAAGTTGGAGATCTCGCGCTCGACGTGGGTGATCTCGTGCAGCAGGGCGTTGTCGACGGAGCCCTCGATGCGGAAGCCGTAGTTGAGGGTGAGGGAGGTGTTGAGGGCGAAGCGGGCCATGTACGAGATGGGGTCGACGTCGCGGCTACCGCCGTCGCAGTCGGCCAGGAGCTCGCGGATGCTCACCATCGACTCGAGGTCGATGATGGGCATGTAGGACTGCACGGCCGGGCGGTTGAGCGCGGTGGCGGCCGCCTTGCGCCGCCGCTTGCACGACTCGTCCCACGGCGAGGTGCCGATGGTGAAGCCCTGCGAGGAGGAGACGACGGAGTGGAAGGTGTGGAAGGTTGGCCGCGAGATGAGCGACGACTGGTGCGTGATCCAAAAGTGCTTGACCGCGTCGTAGGAGTTGACAAAGACGACGCGCTGGTGATGAAGGGTTAGTGAGGGGGGGTGATATCGCGAGTGTTGAACAACATACCCTGTTCCCGAGGCGAGTCTGGAAGACGGGACCGTACTTGGCCGCCCATTTCTGGGCCACGCGAGCATGATCAGTGCCAAGCTGTATCAGGTTGCCAAAGATGGGCACGCCGGGGATCTCGGGTAGACCCTTGATCTTGGGCGTGTCGGTCGCGTTGAGGAGTTTGTAGAGGAAATAGATGGCCGCGACGACTGCGATGCCAATGACTTCGTGGGAGGCCATGGCTACGTGAAGTAGCGGTGCAAGCTCTGCCGGTCAGAGAGCTAGCCTGATTTTTTCTTTTGATTAAAACCCAAGATGGTTGACGAAGATGAGCAAGAAGATCCGATGCCAGTAAGCTGTCATACAGATGAGAAGCGAGTACTCATGATGCCAGGAATGCAAACTAGGCTCGACGTACATGGCTACCAGCGGCTTCTATTTATGCCAAATCGCCGGCCTCTGCTTGGCCAGCTCATCAACTTGGCTACCCCGACATTCCCCAGCGCCAAACCCTCTTCCGCCCCCTCCACACACACAAAGCCACCCATGGCTTTCAGACGTCAACGGGTACGGGGTACGGAGTACGAGGGCAAAAGGAGGGGGTTTCTCCCTCCAGTAAGAAGTCGCAGATTGGCCGAGTCTTAGGGTCAGAGACGCAAGCCTGGCATGTCATACACAACTGACGTTGCATGGGAGGGAGAGCTAGCCAGACACTAAATTCGTCTGGACGGGTTGGTGGTGGTTTGTTGACTTTTTGATTCCGGTCGGAATATAGATGACATCCACTTTTGCCGCCTCTTTTTACTCCTTTTCCGTCAGCCGATCGCGCAGTTCGCTTTGCCATACATCAGACTACATACAGGAGACGACTGGATACAGGCAGGGAGGCCGGGCCGAGCGAGCCACGGTCACCGGAACGGATTGCACTCATACTTTTGCCGAGATTTGAACTCATGCATCTCGGTTGACGATCTCGGTTGATGTTGAAAGCAGTTAGCTACAGTAGTGCCACAGGTCTATTGTGTAAAATACTACGTAAAATACTACAGTAGCATGGGGTTGTAGGTATGCGGCTGACAGACCCCAGCAAGTCGGCATTGGTAGCTGAGAGCAATGATGAAGATGATACTAACAGGCGAGCTGAATAGTGATTGACAACCAGAAGTTTAACGACATGGTTCACATTCTCATTTACTTCTAATCTAACGTCGCTTATCAAATGACAAGATGACTTGTTTGTTATTTCATCACCCTTGCTGTGGTGTCGCTGCATGTCGCAAATCCAACTCTCAATAATAGTGAGAATACCCACAACACCGGGAGTTTTCTTTCTTTCTGCATGTCGCGCCACCATCTTGTCCTTGTAGGTGCATTTTCCCGAGAGAAAAAAACAAGATTTTCATCATCCAGACGAGTAGATGGAAAGGCATGTGGTGAACAGCATCATGTCAAACTCCCGGCCATAGTCCACATTGACCTGCATGCTTCCGCACTTGCCCAGCTGCGTGGTGCTGGTGAAGACGGCCAGGATGGACTCGGCTGTCGCGGCCTTTCCGTCTTGCCGGCCGGGTCGTCCCTCGGCTGGCAATTCCTCCGTCAGCTTCCAGTTGCGCGTGCTCAGCGGCGGACGTGCCATGCCGTCGACGGTGACGCTGCGCGTCCTCGTCCAGACCAGATGCAGGCGTCGCTGCTGGCCGCGATGCTCGTCGTTGTCCACGTCCATGGCCCAGGTGTGTTTCTTGCCTGACGAGTGTGCTATGCGGAGCTCTTCCCAGATCATGTCTTCTGTCAATTTGGGATCGCCCAGTCCGATGGCATAGTGCCGCGCAAAGGCTGGCAGGTGAGACACGGCGGCGACTGGACAGCTTGCGTCTGGCCCATCGTGGATGACGAGGAAGGGACGCTTGTTCAGCGCGGGGCGCAGCTTAACGAATATGCACTCTTCTGCAGTGCTTGTGTCACGGCTGGGGCCAATAATCGTGTATTGATTCTTGAGAGCGGGCTTGTGTATGGCGAATGTGCGAGCCATGTTGGGATGTGGGCGTCGGTGACTGTGACTAAAATGTCGAGATGTGTTGCAGTATCAATCAACGTAGATGGTTCAGTTTGACAGCTCGACGATACAGGGACAATTTTATATTCAAAAATGCGGCAAATTCTAAGCAATATGCTAATGACTACTTCGTCCTTATAATTTCTGCCTGGTAGCAGCTTCACCTTGACTTGGGTCTTCTCAGCCTCACTAACCACAGCTGACGGCGCCACAAAACTCGCATTCTGGTCTCATGAAATATCGCCCGCAATACGGTGAGTACGAGAAGTTGTGGCGCATGCAGTGGCTTTCAGTTTCAAGTGCAAGGCTGATCTGCTTTTTGCAACCATTGTAAACTATTTCTTTGATATCCGCTGGCTGACTTTTGACGACGATTATATCTACTTTAACACGGAAACAAACATTCAATTAGCAAATCGTTGTTTTTCTCTTTCGAAAATTCGTCCGCCCAAATCCTGCTGTGTAACAAGAGTACAAATGTAACGATCATCTGCGCGTACTAGGTATGACCACGATGAGTTGTTTGTCCTGAGTTCGCCTGAAATAGCCGGTGCTGCCAGCATCATCGGAACACACGATGAATAATTGTGGTGATGAAAAGATTTAAATTCACGCCCAGCCACTTTAACCCCAAGCACAAAACGTGTCGAGATACCCGACCATCAATCACATCACCAAAAATCACCTTCATAACTGCCACTCATCTCTCAGCTACCCTAGAGCGACCCTGACTTGCCTAGGCCATGTGCCTGACCAGTCAGTAACCACTGCCGGCCTGGAGCCTGCTCGCCCTTCGCTCACGCTGAACCCCTCCAGACAAGCTACACCATAACAACGCCCAAGAACCCAGCCCAAGAGGAGCCCAAATTGAACAAGGGCGGCAATCACATTAGCTCGCCCCAGAAGTCTGGGTAGCGTCAACCCATCCATCAGCTAGTTCGCTGATGAATGTGTTGTGCTTTACCTTGCCCATCTCAATCTTCCTGCCATCGCATTGGCCAAGGCACCTTCAGTTCGAAACGTTGTTGCGCGACTGCCACCCCCCCGCCGCCTTCATTCCATCTCGCCTCGCCTCATCGCCTAGAGAGGAGAGCGCCCGCCGCGCATGACCAAGAAGCTAATGACGGGGTCACGCCCCTGATTGGAAAAACGCAATGGGTGAGTTTCAAGACTGCGCACGTCCAGCCTCATCCGGATGGTTCCTCGCCAATCGCCTCCCTTGGCCCAATCTTCAAAACAGCCACACGTGCTTCGGGTGAAAACCATCCGTTCATGCACCGCACCGCAAAGCGTCATGCTGAGACTATCAATCATCTCGCCCCATCGATCGGCTTGCTCTCAGATAGATGGCTTGAAAACGCCGCCGCTCTGGCCCTGCTCGTTGTCGCTAGTAGCTAACACCACTCGCCTGTCATAGCTCCGTCGCAGCCGCTCCCCCTCGATCCCGCCCAAGAGCCGCACTCACAATCCAAGTATTCCGCCGCCACCTCGCGATCCGTCTCGCGCCTCGACGAAGATGACCGCTCCTGGGAGCACACCATCCGTCTAGTCTCCCCCGAACCCGTACTGTCACCGCCAACCCTCGGCCACTCGCGCGACTCCTCCACCGAAAAGCTCCCGCGCCTCCAGCCCACCCTCACATCCCCTCGATCCGCCACCGGCGCTTCCGCCCGACATAACATTGATGCCTCGCGCGTCGCCGCCTACGGACATCACCGCCAGACCTCGATCGTACACGGCATACAGCACTCCAGAAATGGGAGCATCGCCAGCTCCGCCTCCAGCCCCTTGAGTCCCCAGATGATTGCCGCCGCTGGCGTCGGACTCGACATGGACTCGGTCGGCGCCAGAATGGATTCTGTCGCGACGGCAACCCCGTCGACCGCAGCAGGCAGTACATCGTCCGCCGCCATGGAAAAGTCAGTCTCGGCGACAGATGCGTCCGCGTTCAGTGCAACACAGCGCAAGGTCGACCAAATACACCCCAAATCACGGCGCGACCATGCACCCCATCACTCTCATTCTTCTCGACATCGTGACGACCAGAAAACTGTGGGAGAATATGCCCTCCATGTTCTCTTCACGTCCTTCATTGCCCAAGCCGAGGAAAAACTAAACGAATGCATCACCGTGCCCTTCGACCCCGAACCAAGCGTCGACCAAATATGCGGCCCCGGCGTCGACCCCGCCTTTGACCAGCTCATCGTCGCCCTAGGTCATATTGCCAGCCCCAAACCGAAAGCCTTGATCGACTCCATGATGCTGTGGCGCAAAAGCAAGAGCGATGCCGCCAACGACGCCCGCAGCCAGCTTCAGCAGCTGCGCAATCACACACCTGGTACGCCGTTGCTGCGAAGAAACACGGAGCCGGCCGGCATCAGCCCTGCGGACAATGCTTTCCCGACGGGCGTGTCTTTGGGCGCGAAACAAGAATATGTTGCGCAGCAGGAACGGCGCTCTACAGTCTCCATCTACATCCTGTGCCGCGTGCTTGTCGAGGTCATCTGCCAGAGCAGTCTGGCGTCAATCACTCCGGAAATGGAAGACAAGCTGGAGAGCATCATATTTGGCCAGCTTAAGATTGCCGACACGGAACAGCTGGCCATTTCTCCTCTCAAGATGGCCAACTGGAATCTCTTCGCCCAACTGCTTGGCTACATGAGCGAAATCAACTTTGTGGGAATCACTCGTCGATTTGTCGAGGACCTGGGTGCCTGTCTTCAGGAGCGGACAGTAAGGAGCCCTACGTCCATCTCTGGTCGCGAAGTAGAGGGCAAAATCGAACTTGTGCTGAACGGAATGAAGCACCTACGCATCAAGGTGTCCCCGGAAGAGTCGTGGGAGCAGTCCTGCGATTTTCTCATCAAACTGGGTCGCCTTTTCAGCAAATCCCATGGCCAAAGAGTTAAGTCCGCCTTTTGCCATGTGCTCGATATGCTGCTCCGTCCCGTCGCGGCCAAGGCTCTCAATAGTCATCTCATGCAAGCCAAATGGGCTGACGTGCTCTCTGCCATCGGACCGCGCCTCGCACAAATGCACCTAAAACCGAGGCACTGGGCTGTATCTTTTCCTCTCACTGCGACCCTTCTTTGCGTTTCGCCACCAGAAAATTTCACATCGCAGTGGCTGTTGCAAATAATGCCCCTGCAGACAAAAATCAAGGATAGATTTACAAAGCCGCTTTGCCTGCAGGTCATTTCTCGGCTTGTCTGGACCTATCTTTACCGCACAAACGACAGCCAGATGAGTGCCGCGAGGAAGCTGGATGATGTTATACGTCTCGTAATGCCTTCCTCAAAACGCAGTCTGATTGCTGCTGATGCTGCCGTCACCGAGCCTCTGATCCAGCTAATTCGCATCATTGGATTCAAATACCCAGAGTTCTGCTTCAAAAACATCATATTTCCCCTCATAAACGCCGAAAATTTCTTGCAGAATAAGGACCTTAAGGTGGAACAGCTTGACCCTGACAGAATCGTTATTGGAATCCGCGCTTTCCTCAGCATCATGTCAGACCTCGAAAAGGGCGAACAGGGCCGGCCCCCTTTCCCGCAAACCTTCGAAGCTGTATCGAATCTTGACAGGTTCTCCACGTCCCCCATAATGTCCACCAAGCCGAGATCACCTACAAGCCCTGCAGCTCCGCCGAAGAAAGACACTGTCTCGCGACCCGTGCTCACCTCTGTTCTAACAGACGGGGTTCGCGAATACTACTTCAAATTCTGTCAAGTTTTGGGGAAAATCGCTGTTGTCTGCGACAACACCTTCGGTGGACAAGCCACCTTGGATGAGAAGTTCAATAGTCCCGGACCCAAGACGCCAATCTCCGAATCCTTTACATTTTCCCGCAAGGATGACGTTCAAACCGCGCAAGATCAACGGCAAGCATTCTACGAACTTCTACATGTTGCTGTGCAGGCATTGCCGAGATGTCTCGGCCCGGGTGTGCAGCTTAACACTCTGATCAACGTGCTCTGCACTGGTACTGCTCACGTTCAGTTTCAGATCGCAGACTCTTCTGCAGACTCTCTCAAGGCCATCGCCAAGCATTCCCTGGCGCAGCAAGTCACCATGGGGTTTGCACGATTCATTTTCAACTTTGATGACCGGTATTCGACCATGTCGGATGGTGGAATGCTTGGACCAGGACACATTGAAAACACGCTACGCATCTATGTCGAGCTGATGCAAATCTGGATTGAAGAGATTCGCCAAAAGATGAGAGACGCAGCTTCGGGGCAGGGTGATGGGAAAGGAGCTGACCAGAGAGCACTCCAGCTGGACTTGTCTCAAGTCTGGGGTGAGGTTGACCAAGCCGAGGCCCATGGCCTCTTTTTTCTTTGCTCCCAATCTCGTCGCGTGCGCCACTTTGCCATTACTGTGCTGAAGCTCATTACTGAGTTCGACAAGGCACTGGGTAAAGATACTTCTGGCGAGAAGGATACTCTCAGGCTTATTGATATCCTCGAGAACGACTCCATCCAAGTGATGAACTTCAACGAAGAAGGTCTCTCTCTTGCAGAGAAAAGTCGTCTACAGCGCGGGCTGCAAAACACCAACAGCAAAGGGGCCGTTGTTGAGCTCTGCACCAGCGATATCTCATACGACGCAACGCTGTGGTTCAAGATTGTACCGAATTTGATCCGCATTTTCTTTGAGAGATGCCCATTTGCCGTCACAATTTGCCGTGACTTGATCTGCAATCGCATTATCCAAATGTACAAAGCTATCGTCTTACTATCCGAGCCCTCTCGGAGCCTGTTATATGGTGGAGAGTCCGGAAACCAGCGTTTGGGAAATAGATCTGCGGCTGCACATCCAGAGGTTATGGTTGAGCAATGGAAGCTCTACTTGATTTTTGCCTGTACAACGATGGCCGACCCCGGGGCGCTGCCGGCACCAGCGAACCCCAAGGACAGACAGCACAGCCGGAGAGGCTCCCGGCATACCTCAACCGATAAAATTGTGACGGCTCGAACTTTGTTCAAGTACTTGATACCGCTACTCTCAGTGTCCTCGGCATCAGTTCGCGAGGCCGTTGTAGTGGCTATGGGTTCAATCAACATCCATATTTACAGATGTTTGTTGGAGGAGCTGCAGGGCCAAGTTGCTCGATGCAATGACGAGGCTAGAGCCAGAATCCACCAGCGGACAAACAGCAGCCCTCGGCGAAACAGGAAGATGGATTTGCTGCGAACAGAAATCACGCACGTCTTTAAACTGACATCCCACTTTTTGCGGGACGAGCGCGTGTACCATAACGAATTCTTTCTGACAACCTTGACGACTTATGCCAAGGATTTGAAGCTGTTTCTCATGGATGGTGAAGTGCAGATGGACTGGGAGTTCCAGAAGCTGCGACAGCACTACTGCGGGCTGATGGAAAGCCTATTTGATGGTATAAACCGCTCAAAAGACCCCTCGCGATGGATGACGTTTGAGTCACGAAAGTCTGCCTTCTCCTTGATGGAAGACTGGTGTGGCTTTTCGCCGAATCAGAACCAGATTCGTGCCCGGGAAGATTCCATGAGACAGTCAATCATTGACCAGCAGACCTTGGGAGAGCGAGGAACTGTGACAGCGGCTATGGAGATTGAGAAGCGAAACCTACGTAACGCAGCGCTAAGTGCTATGGCAGCGCTTTGTGCAGGCCCGGTTACTTTCACAACCGAAAGCGGCGTGACACTGCAGTTTGATGTGCGCCGAATGCTGGCATGGGTTGAAGGCATCTTTAATTCTGGCAGTGACCGTATGAATGTCACTGGCCGACTGGCCCTCAAGAACCTTGTCATCCATAACCGAGACTACCCCTATCTCCTAGGTCGCTGCATTGCACGCTGCTATCTTGCAGATGCACCCAAAGTCCTCGAAAGCTACTTCATGGTGACCGTGGATGTGCTGCAAGAGTGCCCCGAGTACCCTTGCCCGTTTTGGAAAATGCTCAGCCTCTGTCTCTTTACCCTCGGAAACGAGCAGAGCGAGATTCGATCAAAGTCTGCTGCTGCGCTGCGTTCACTCGAGATTAGACAGCAGCGCAACTCCAAGATTCGCGACTTCGACATTAGCATTGCGGACAAGACGCAGGCAGTGTACAAGCTGGCGCAGTTTGAGATTTCAAAGCGACTGGCGATGTCATACACTGAGCTGGCCTTCCACATTGTGTCCGAGTTGACTTACTATTTCAAGGACCTCCAGCCGGCGGCGCAGCGAAACGTCGTTGCCGTGATTCTGCCTTGGATCCAAGCGATCGAGTTGAAGCTTGACCCCAACGGCGGGCCTACAGCCCAGTCATACGTCCTACTGGCTAACCTCCTTGAAATCACAATCAAGTCAAGCGGTGCCCTCCACCATGAGGTACAAGCGCTGTGGCAGGCCCTGGCAACTGGCCCGCACCCCGGAAACGTGCGGCTTGTTCTAGACTTTATCATGCAGCTGTGTCTGGAACGACGAGAGCAAAATTTCGTGGAGTATGCGAAGCAAATTGTCGTCTTCCTGTCCACCACAAGCGGTACGCCTGGTATCAAGGTTGTCGAGTTTTTGCTGCTGCAAATCACGCCCAAGGCTATGGTACCCAACGAGAAGCGAAACTCGATACCTCCACCGCCAGATGTCAGTGCCTTTCCGTACTGTGCCGACCTTAATGAAGCTCTGCCAGTTGGGACGAAGCAAGCGGGATTTTCGCTGGGACAACTGTCTCTCATTCTGCTCGTCGATCTGATGGTTGCACCAGTAAACCTGTCACCTGAGAGCATCCCTTCTCTCTTGCATGTGGTGGCCGTCTTGTGGGATCATTACACGCCATTAGTGCAAGAACAAGCTCGGGAAATGCTAGTTCACTTGATACACGAGCTAGTACTCTCGCGAATGGACGAAACCCTCCACGACTCAAGAAAGCAGGCCATCGAGGAACTAATTGATCTGGTCCGCGGCCATGACCGCGCTGTGGTCTGGAGCTACGAAGACAGCAACGGCAAGGTTGATGAGCAAGACAACAAGGTGCCGCCTAGTATGGAATATCTCACGGCGGAAGTGCTGCAGACCTTTGAGCCTGCGTATCCCGGCATCAAAGAGCAATGGGGTAGGCTCTCCCTTACATGGGCTACGTCTTGTCCTGTTAGACATCTGGCCTGTCGGTCGTTCCAAATCTTCCGCTGCGTCCTGACCTCGTTGGATCAATACATGCTCGGCGACATGTTGGCACGACTGTCGAATACCATTGCTGACGAGGATCCAGAGATCCAGTCGTTTTCCATGGAGATCCTGACAACTCTAAAGACTCTGATTGTCAAGCTCGAGTCGGACAAGCTGCTCACTTTCCCGCAGCTCTTCTGGACGACGTGCGCTTGTCTTGACTCCATTAACGAGCGGGAGTTTGGGGAAGCAGTTGATATGCTGAGTGAGCTCGTAAGGAAAACTGACCTGCGGTCTGCCAATGTTCGACGCCTTATTGCCGACGGGCAGCCATCTCGCTGGGACGGTGCATTTGATGGTCTACAGCCACTGCTTCACAAGGGCCTTCGCTCGGCGGTGTGTTGGCAGCCAACGCTGGACATTATGGAGCAGCTCGTGATGCTCCCGAATGACCCTCTCATTGGCGATGACCAGCGTCTCTTTTTCACCCTGCTGGCCAACTTCCCACGATTCCTCGACGACCTGGAACAACGAACCGTACCGTCAGATGATGTTCTTCGGTCAGCACGCGTCTTGTTTGCAGAGGCAGACCGGCAAGGCCTTGAAGGGATTGCGCAGGTCATGGACGACTACGTGAATGGCGAATACCACGGTGGCGGCGATCTCCTGATGCCCCTTTTTCAAGCGCTGAAGGAGTACTATCTCCCACGGCTTGACTTTAAGATGATCACCTTCTTGCTTGGACTGCTGACAAACTCTATTACCTGGGTCAAGGTCCATGCAATGCGCATCCTCTGCGTTGCGATTCCGGCAGTAGACATGCGGAACCCTGAGCTCGCAGGACACGGCTCTGATTTGATTTCGCCTCTCCTCCGCCTGCTCCAAACCGATCTGTGCATGAATGCGCTCGAGGTTCTTGACAATATCATGACCGTCTCTGGTAGTCACATGGACAAGCACCACTTGCGCATGAGCATGACGCGTGCCACCTCCAAGGTGATCCGCAAAGAATATGAGCGCACGCAGAGTCTGTTTGGTATCCCGGAAGCATCGGGATGGGCGATTCCAGTGCCGGCCAAGAAGACAGAAGCCACTCGCGCCAATATTCATGCTGCGTTCTACATGTGCCAAAGCGCGGAGGGTTCGTCCACTGAAGCCACGCCCACAGCTGAGGTTGAATTCCACAACGACGACTTTGCGTATGGATACTTTGAGGCGCCAGAGCGCACAGCGACCATGCTCTCTGACGACGGCCGAGCTGACACTCTGGTCGGTGATCTCGTGACCAAGCTGGATAGCCTGGATGACTTTTTCGACGAGCCTTCAAGCCCTCACACGGATGATGATGGCCGCTCATCAAGAACGGTGACAGAATACCACCCGGACGCGTTTGATTCGGAGACGCAGTTGTATGATGAGCAGATCCTGCCGATCCTCCATCAAGCATCAAACAACACGTCGTTCCAGAATGGCTTCGCCGACAGGCCGCCTGCCATGTCTCGAGAAGCGAGCGCCAATGCGATGAACCCTGGCGCTTTTAACATCATGACTTCGCCGCGGCCGGGGTTGCACTCGCGCTCCATCACGTCCCCGTCTGCGCCAGCCTCATACCACCCACATCTGGCAGGCGAAATTACGTCTGACGAGGAATACCTTTCGGGCGGCGTCTCGGACGCTGACGACGAGCGGCCCAACGCAGCGCCCAACATTGGCAGCGTCTTCTTCCTCGAGAACATGGTGAACCGGCCGCCACCGAAGTCGGAGGTCATTACTACTGCGACGGCGACACCGACTGGGGCACTGAACTCGCCGAACCTGCGGAGACTGACGAGCCGGTCTCGTGACGAGCATCGCGGGCGAGAAAAGACGCCGCCACAACCCGCGCCGAAAATGCCCACGACGAACCCCAGCATGTTTGCGGGCGGGCAGCAAGATTTATTGTAGATGCAAATCTTTACATAAAATACGTGACTGATTTATGCAGAGTTTGGAAATACATGTTGGATACATAGCATTTGACGTTGGAAGGATTGAAGACGTGGATTTATATTTTTGCTACATTGGCGTACAAAAATGGCGTTCGGGAGGATTAGGTACACAATACTAGTTTACGAGATTTTTCAAGAGTTGATAATAAATGAAGAATCATGTCATGAAATCTGGAGTAAGCCTAGCTGTCTGTGATAGATGTGTATCATAAAAAAAGAAAAAAAAAATCCTATATCCGAGGGAAAACGCCGTTCAAACCCTGAGTAAAGCGGAAGAAATTTGACCCGCGTCAACGCTTTCGTGGTAATTAAATGTGTATAAATCGGTCATGGTGCAAAGAAACTGCGCGTAAGAAAGGCGCGTTCCTCTTTCCTTTTTTTCTCTTCTCTAGTATCGGTGGCGCGTCGAGTAGTCCTTGGGGCTGACCACCAGGCCTCTCCCCTTCTTCGCGCCGCGGTACACCGTCTCCACGATGTCGATGAGCTCCTGCTTATCCTCGAGGACCCAGTTGAGCTTGTTGTTGTTTCCGGTGCCAAAGTCGACCATCATGTGCTTGTTGCGGAAGAAGAACATGATTGTGCAGGGGTCATAAAGTTCTGCGCGTCGTTAGTTGAAGGGAGGATAGGGACGGGAACAGGGGTAGTTGGCTGGCTGGCACGTACCGTACATTTGGTTAAAGTCAGGGACTTGGTCAATGTCGCAGACGTAGACGACGGCGAAGCTCTTGACCTTTTCGGCAATCTTGTAGAGGACCTCGTCCTGGCGCATGCAGTCCGGGTCCCAGTCGCGGCCGAAGCGGATGACGACGAGGCGCTCGTCCTCGCTGAGGATGGCCTGGTCGACGTGCCAGCCGGAGTTGAGGTGGGGGATGACGACGGAGCCCATGGTCTTGTGTGTGTGGGATATATGAGGGAGGACGTGGGAAGAGAAGAAGCAGCGCAGAGAGGAATGAAAGATGCGATCGGCTGGGGAAAGGAAAAAAAGATTTGGCGGGGTTTGTCACTTGGTCCCTGGTGCCTTGAGCGGCTGGACCCCGCTATGACGCCCGAGCTCGGTTTGATGAATATCGTGCGTCTTCTCCTGGGAAAAGCAAGCAAGCAAACGCAGGCGAAAAGAAAAACACAACACAACAACACACGATCGACGAGGCTGCCGGCTTGTCGCAGAGGATTAACGCGGCGCATTAGCTGCAGAGTGTGCCTCAGTCCAACTACGCCATGTACTGTCTACGAAACCCATCCGCACGGCGACAGCTCCTCCGGCTCGCGACGCGACGCACCCGACCGCAAACCACCTCTCTCGTACCAGCAGCGCGATGCAAATCCGACACGCCGCCGCCGCTGCCGACCGACGAAGAAGCACTCATATACCCCACGCCATCGTCGTCGCGACACACCGACCTCGCCTCGTTCCAAGCGTACGCGCGGCGCACCGGCCTCGACGAGGCGTCTACGGTCTACGTGGGCACGCGGTACGAGTACCTCGTCGCCGGCCACCTCGTGCGGTACGGCTTCCGGCTGCGGCGCGTCGGCGGCGCGCGCGACCGGGGCACCGACCTGGTCGGGACCTGGACCCTCCCGATGCCTGGTGCTGTCATTTCTTCTTCGCCGCTAAAGGTCCTGGTGCAGTGCAAGGCCGGGCAGCGCGTCGGCCCGCAGCACGTGCGCGAGCTCGAGGGCGCGCTGGCGGGGGCGCCGCCGGGATGGGCGAGCGGCCGGCGACAAAGGGCGTGCGGGAGGCGCTGGGGCACAGCCGCTGGCCGATGGCGTACGTGTATTGCGAGGGCGGCGAGGGAGGAGTGGTGAGGCAGATGCTGTGGAATAGGAGGGCGGAGGAGCAGTGCGGCCTGGATGGCGTGGAGGTCGGGACGAGGTTCCGTGAGGGTGGTGAGGAGGAGGAGCTGGTGCTGCTACGCAAAGGTAGGCTGCTGAAGTTTGGCGGGAGCGGTGGGGAGGGGGAGGGGCCTGTCAAGAACGAGGGGACATGACATCGGGTATGTAACAAGTCCGTAGGCCGAGATGTGTATTCTAAGGAATTGCTTTTGCTTCAGGGCTCGGCCAACCTGAGGCAAGTCTGGTCAAGCAGGACCAGACGGTGGTGGGAGGGGGATCTACCTCCCGCTTTGTAACAGCCGCGCGCAGACTAGGATGGAATCAAAGTCAGCATGTGCGTGTTTCTAAATCCGGTTGGCCAGGCTCTTGATGTCTGGTCTCGTTGAGGTAACGTTGGATTATTGATCTTGGAGCTGTCCTTACAAATCAACAAGCTGCCCCAGTTTCCATCAACAAGCTGCCCCAGTTTCAATCCCGCGCGGTTCTCCTCTTTGCGGTGGGATGTGGGAGGGAGATGCAGGACTTTGTGACATGGTAATATTCGAAAAAAAAAATTCATAATAATAATAACAAAAAGAATACTCAGAAGATTCGGCAATTGGGCTGTAACGCGGTAATTTTGCTGCATTGCGTTGCCAGTGTCCAGCAATGCCCAGCTACAACATCCTACCCGCGAGCACAAATCGATAGATACAATTGCAGTGATGTCCACTTCTAATTACTTCTTAGCCATAAATCAGACTAGATAATTCCCTAGTCGGATCCCACTTACTAGAAGGAAGCTAAAAATTCTGGGCGCACTGACATTGATCTTCTGCATCTTCCGTGCCTCCTCCTGGTTATTCCCTCGTTGACTAAGACCATATCCCACCAACATCGCGTGCTTTCGTAATGCTTGTGCAGCACAACCCACTCACAACACAAGCCAGACCCCGCCCCACGATGTCAGAACTTCTCGGCTGAATTGGTTCGAACGGAAGAGGGTGTCCGATTCTGTAAGATGACGGCTCTCAATTGCCTAGTCAACAGTTTCCCCAAGTCCTACTCAGCGTCTTGGGGAAGACTTGGAGCTAGCGTCGCGCGTTGCATCATTGACCGAGCTGCGGTTGTTGAGTGGCCACACATGTCCAACGATGAATGGACCAGGACCCCCTCATCCGAGGGGGGAGCTCTGATGTAGTTTCAGAGCTCATAGGACGTCAAGGTTGCTTTCCATCGCTCACAGCGCCGGGACAAAGTATAAAGCTGCCTTGGCACCCCCCCCCTTCCCTCAGTGACTAGCTTGTACTCCAATCGCTTCCTCCTCTTACATCCTTCGTCAATTCACAACATCTCCAACATGTCTCTCAAGCCAATTACCATCTACAACCACGGCAAGTCCCATTTCTTGCTTCCGACCCTACCCACTGCCGTCGCAACTAACAAGTCGGAACAGCTCGGGGCCCTAACCCCAAGAAGCTTAACATCATCCTCGAGGAGCTCAATGTCCCCTACAAGCTGGTAAATAGAGCCGCGACCTGGCGCGAAGAAGTCCAAGTCATGATTGACAATAATCTAGATCGACATTGAGAACCCTAAGGATGAAGAGTTCCGCAAGATCAACCCCAATGGCCGTCTCCCCGCCATTGTCGACCCTAACAACAACAACCTCACCTTGTGGGAGTCGGGTGCTATTGCTGAGTATCTCGTCGAGACCTACGACAAGGAAAACAAGCTCAACGCCACTGATGCCGCTGACAAGTGGCACCTGAAGCAATTCCTTCACTTCCAGATGTCTGGTCAGGTAAATACATGACCGCACTGAACCCTGCTTAAATGTCCGGCCTCAGCCTCTAACAAGTTGAAAAATAGGGCCCTTACTATGGCCAGGGCGTCTGGTTCCATAAGTTCCACGGCGAGGACGTGCCCTCAGCCAAGAAGCGCTACCTCGAGCAGATTGATCGCGTCTGGAGCGTCCTGGACGACCTCGTCAAGGGCAAGGAATACCTCCTCGGCAGCAAGCTGTAAGCTTACACCTGCGCGCGGACGCGATATGCGTACCAACAACAATGATGACAAATGACTGACCACTTTTCTCGCAGGACCTACGTCGACCTCTGCTTCGTCCCTTGGGAGTTTGTCGCGCACAGCTTCCTCGGCGAGGACTTCAAGGCCGCCGGCATCGACGCCGAGAAGAAGTACCCCAACTACTGGGCCTGGTACCAACGCCTGCTGGCCCGTCCCTCCGTCAAGAAGACCTATGGCCTATAATCGCACACAGTCTGATGGCGTGATGCACTGACGTTGGGCATGGTGCAGTATATAGTATAATGAAAAAGATGACGATATCCAAAAAGACGAGGGAGTCCGTCCATGTGCTCATCGATGCCGTATATACACTTTCTGCATGTTATAGAAGGAAAACCACCCGCTGGGCTGCTAATCATCCCACACGGCCGCCTTTGCCTTCTCCGACGCCTCCGCCTTTTGCCGCTGCTCGGCGCGCTCCTGGTCCCTGCGCCGTCTCTCCTGCTCCCGCACCGACTTCTGGTACGCGCGCTGCTCGTCCGTCTGCTTGGGCGCCTTGAGGCCGAGCCCCGCGGCAATGAGCCGGCGCGCCACCGCGTCCGTCTTCTCTGGTCGTTGGCGGTCGTCATCGGCGGCGGCGGCCGGCGAGCCGCCGCCGCTGCCCCAACCGTCTGGCGGTGACGCGAACGAGGGAGTGGCGGGCGTGGGAGGCGGCGCGGCGGGAGATGAGGCGGTGGTGGCCTGCGGCGTCGCCGACTCGTCCGGCTCGGAGACGTCTTCGTCCTCCCAGGAGTCGACCACTTCTTTTGCTTTGCTTTTACTGGCTGGCTTGTCCTTTTTGAGACTCATGCTGGAGAGCTTGGAGCTCACCTCATCGTTGTTGGTCGCCATCGCAAAAAGCAGCTGTGATGCAGCAAGGGCCGGAGGGAGCTGAGGAGGTACACAAGTAAAACTCGCCTATATAAGCCTCGATTCAATGAACCCAGAGCTCCAAGTCGATGAGACTTTCGCCATGAGAGGAGGGAGTTGGCTGTTGTGATGCAGAAGCTATGCTGCCAGGATGAGCTGTGTAGGGTGGCGTGGCAGCAAGACCAGTACTCGGGTCATTACAGCGATTACTTACAGTGGCTACAGCGCCTCCAGGTGTACTGTGGCTGGCATTGGGCCGATCTTTAGCCGATGGAATCTTCTTCGACAATTTTACGCTAATCATTTTCGTACTGGGTTAGCAAAGCTCGGCAACTTGGCCCGCCCAATTGCATTATTAAGTCCATCTTTATTAGGCACATGCGCTCCAACGTCGGAGCACGCCACCTTATCTCATTCATCAACAACGGTCTGGTCTTACCTTGGATCAATTCTCATCACAGTCGGCCCTCTGCTCGTCCGGAGCTCAGAAGTCACCCTGCAACCGCCCATTGACAAGCCCATCGGCTGCTTCGTGCCGATTCCCCTGGCCCCGACGCCCGCTTCCCCCATTCTCGAGACCCTCGTGCGTGCTGCTCCGAGTCAGCTCTCGGAGCTCCTCAGCCCGCACCGCACAGCGCCGCCGCCATGATCCCGCGATCCCGCGTCTCCGGGCGCGTTCTTCTCGAGCGCTCGGTAGCTCGCGCCGCGCCGTCGTCGACACGCACGCGAGCCTTCGGCTTCCCTGCCGTGGCGCACTACACACAGCAGCACGCCACCGGCGCTCGGAGATGGCAGCCCGCGCCGACCCAACGCCGCATACCCGCGCTGTCCTTCTCGACGACGGCCGCCCAGGGCAAGGAAAAGGACAAGCCGAGCAAGTTTTTCGACTCGTCGGCCGAGCCCGAGTCCACCGAGCCGCTCTCCGAGGAGGAGGTCAAGGCCAACCTCGAGAATAAGAAGCAGGAGGCTGCGGCCGCGGAAAAAGCCGCAAACGAGTCCAAGGACGCGAGCGCGGACGCGAGCGTCTCTGCCAAGAGTGACAACAGCACTTCTCAAACACAGGATAACAAGGCTGGCGGTAGCGCGGCCGGTGCCGCAGGCGCTGGCTCTGGTGACGGCTCCGGTGACGGAGGCAAGCGAGGGCGCAAGTCTTCTGAAAAAGCTCTACAGAAACCCGTTGTCCCCGACGTCTATCCGCAAGTACTAGCTATTCCGATTGCTCGCCGACCGCTATTCCCCGGATTCTACAAGGCTATCACGATTAAAGACCCCGATGTCGCCACCGCCATTACCGAGTCGATTAAGCGCGGCCAGCCGTACGTCGGTGCCTTCCTCTTCAAAGACGAGAACGAGGATGAAGACGTCATTCGGAATGTCGAAGATGTATACGATGTCGGCGTATTTGCTCAGATCACGAGCGCTTTCCCCATCCACGGTCAAGAAGGTGCCCTGACTGCGATCCTATACCCCCACCGCCGAATCAAGCTCTCCAGCCTTGTCCCGCCGACGCCCCAACAACAACAACAGGAAGTCAAGAAGGCAGAGGGAAAGAAGGAGCCCGAAGTCCCCGAACCCATTCCCGCCAAGTCCGCCGACGAAGCCCCCGTCTTAGATAAGAAGGGAGACGTGGTCGCTAGCTTCGAAGAGACGGCCGTCGATAAGAAGCCCGACCAAGTTGCTGAAAAATACGAACCCACCTCCTTCCTCAAAAAATACCCCGTCAGCCTGGTCAATGTCGAGAATCTCGCGGACGAACCCTACGACCCGAAGAGCCCCGTTATTCGAGCTGTCACCAATGAGATTGTCAACGTCTTCAAGGAGGTTGCCACGATGAACAACCTGTTTAGGGATCAGATTTCCACCTTCTCCATGAGCCAGTCCACCGGCAACGTGACCTCGGAGCCCGCCAAGCTAGCCGACTTTGCTGCCGCCGTGTCTTCTGGAGAGCAGACCGAACTGCAAGAAGTATTGGGCTGCATGAATGTCGAGGAGCGTATGCAAAAGGCGCTCATCGTGCTCAAGAAAGAGCTCATGAACGCTCAGCTGCAATCCAAGATCACCAAAGACGTTGAGAGCAAGATTAGCAAGCGCCAGCGTGAATATTGGCTCATGGAACAGATGAAGGGCATCAGGCGTGAGCTTGGCCTCGAGTCTGACGGCAAGGACAAGCTTGTTGAAAAGTTCAAGGAGAAGGCGGGCAAGCTGGCCATGCCTGATGCCGTGCGCAAGGTCTTTGATGAGGAGGTTAACAAACTCGCTCACCTCGAGACTGCCGCGTCGGAATTCAACGTTACAAGAAACTATTTGGACTGGCTGACACAGATCCCCTGGGGTCAGCGCAGTGCCGAGAACTTTGGTATACCCAACGCAGTCAAGGTTCTTGATGAGGATCATTACGGCCTTCAGGATGTCAAGGACCGTATCCTGGAATTCATCGCTGTCGGAAAGCTGCGTGGCTCCGTGGAAGGCAAGATCCTTTGCTTTGTCGGCCCTCCTGGTGTGGGTAAGACAAGTATTGGCAAGTCTATTGCTCGCGCCCTGAACCGCGAATACTACAGATTCAGTGTTGGTGGTCTTACAGACGTTGCTGAAATCAAGGGTCATCGCAGAACATATGTCGGTGCCCTGCCTGGCCGCATTATCCAGGCCCTAAAGAAGTGCCAGACTGAGAACCCCCTCATTCTCATTGACGAAATCGACAAAATTGGTCGTGGTTACCAAGGGGATCCTTCATCTGCTCTCCTGGAACTGCTCGATCCCGAGCAAAACAGTTCTTTCTTGGATCACTACATGGACGTACCAGTTGACCTATCCAAGGTCCTCTTCGTCTGCACTGCTAACATGACTGACACTATCCCCCGACCTCTCCTCGACCGCATGGAGCTAATCACCCTTTCTGGCTACGTTGCGGATGAAAAGAAGGCCATTGCCAACAAATACCTTGCACCTGCCGCCAAGGAAGCTGCTGGTCTCAAGGATGCGAAGGTTACCCTTACCGATGAAGCCATCGAGGAGCTGATCAAGGCCTACTGCCGCGAATCTGGAGTTCGAAACCTGAAGAAGCAGATCGAAAAGGTTTACCGGAAGTCTGCCCTAAAGATCGTACAAGACCTTGGCGAGGACGCCATCCCAGAAGAGAAAGCACTTACTGAAGAGGGCAAGGAGGCCGCTGAAGCTTCAACGAAAAAGGCTCAAGAAGCACCTCAGTCCGAAGGCAAGGAGCAGCCTAGCACGGAGGCGAGTGAGAAGGAAACAACCGAAACACCACGCGAGGCTCTCAAAGTGCCCGACTCGGTTGAAGTATCCATCGGCAAAGACAACTTGACCGACTACATTGGACCCCCCGTGTTCACGTCCGACCGACTTTACGAAGTCAGCCCTGCTGGTGTTGCCATGGGCCTGGCGTGGACGCAGATGGGCGGCGCTGCCATGTACATTGAGTCCATCCTGCAAGCGCCACTCCGCCAGAGCACCCGTCCCGGCATGGAGATCACCGGCAACCTCAAGTCGGTCATGAAGGAGTCGACCGCGATCGCCTACTCGTTCGCCAAGTCGTTCATGGCGAGCACGTTCCCCGACAACGACTTCTTCGACAAGGCCAAGATGCACCTGCACGTGCCGGACGGCGCGGTGCCCAAGGACGGGCCCTCGGCGGGCATCACGATGGCGACGTCGCTGCTATCGCTCGCGCTCGAGACGCCGGTGAACCCGACGGTCGCCATGACGGGCGAGCTGACCCTGACGGGCAAGGTGCTGCGCATTGGCGGGCTGCGGGAGAAGACGGTGGCGGCGCGCCGCGCTGGCTGCACGACCATCATCTTCCCCAAAGACTGCATGTCGGACTGGCTGGAGCTGCCGGCGACCATCAAGGAGGGCATCGAGGGCCACCCGGTCGAGTGGTACTCGCAGGTGTTTGACCTCGTCTTCCCGGCCCTGGATCGCACGGCGGCGAACAAGAGCAGGGTCGTCAAGGACGGCAAGAAGGAGAGCGAGGGCGGCGACGAGTAGACGGAAGAAAGGCGCCCTGTTGGGTAGATGGTGATGACGTCGGCGAAAGCAAAAATAGATCAGGAGACGAAAAGCCTGCGCACACCTGCTGCCTGATATTGTACGATTATTACGAGGAGGACATAAACAAAGACGGCTGTTATTTTCTTTTTTTTACCCCGGTCACACCTGACATGTGATGAACGCCCAGGGAACACGGAAACAACCTTGACTCCACGTTTCGAGGGACGCGCAGAGTAGAAGGGGTCCGTTGCACAATGCCGCCGCTGTTGCGGGTTGTCTTGTCATACTGAGGGGAGCAACGGGCGGCGCCTGTGCTTCTATTGTGGTGGCTCAGCATACCCAAAGGAGAAGAAGGAGGGCTCACATGACAAGCGAGAAGTTTCCTAGGAAAGGACCGGCGAAACGCAGCAAGAGTAGGACAGCAAAACAACTACAAAAAGACCGAGACTTTAGATGCATATATACAATCGGCATTCATCACACCCTCCCCCCTCCGCCCCAAGAGTACCCCTGCCATGTGTTGATGATAATTGTTATCAATACCTGGCCATCATTTCTTTCCGCGTTTGTTTCTATTTTTCATGAATGGGGGGATGCGGTGTCATCTGTGTATTTGTATTCTATGATGTGGAGGAGGAAGATGCCACACGGGAAATCCGCCCAATATAATAAAAAAAAAGGAGTAGCGCTGGTGGATTTTGCTGTATTTAGAACTTATTATTTCCAAGAAAATAACGGCACGTATTTAGAACCTCTTCCTTCTGCCCTCTTCTTGCCCTGGTTATTACTAGGCACTCGGCCACGACTTGCGCCCACATCTGATGATACGGAGACATTTCAAGCCCACGGCTACAGCGGCATAGCTGCGCGAATGCGCTGCGTCTCACGGCTCGGGGTCTTGGCTGCCTGCTACCTGGTACACTGAAGACGAATTGCGTCATCATCCTGTGATGCGCGCTGAACAAGAACCAGATCCATTGCTGGCTTCTGCTGCGCGACATGGAAGTTGCAGAGTGGGAGGGCGAGGGCATATACATGCACGCGCTGCACATTTCTCGCCTGTGAGCTTTTTTCCTTCCTTGTGTTACCGCCGCGTCGACATGGGGCTCGCGGTACGCCAACCTGGGTTTGAGCCCGGCGGCGGACAAATAAGAGGACACAAAGGAGAGGATGCTGGCAGCGGGAGGTGCCTAGCTTGGGAAGGAACTGTATCCGCTTTCTGCAGCTTGGGATCGCCCTGGTTGAGCGGTGACAAGTTATTGGTTCCCTGACCGCCTCACTCGCGCTCTTGACTGGGGAAGATCGCAGTACTCGACGCTCTTTTCGTCTTAGCCTCTGATACCGAGTAAGAAGAAAGCCTAGAACGTGAGCCCGGTTGATGTCAAGGCTGGATTGGCATCGTCTGGCGGGGAGGTGACTGTCGTCCCAAGACAAGAATGACAAAGCGACGCTGTGAGGTTGGCAAGCGCCTAGCGCCACTTTATGCACCTCTACCCGATATTGGGGAATGCGTCGGGCGCTGGAGAACCCAAAGCAAGGGAAGCCTTACGGGGGCCACGCAAAAAGCAAGTGCGTCAGCTCTTCTTGAGTGGAAGCACTGGGGCAGGGAATAGATGTGTTATGTGTGTGGGAGTCTGACGTGGTTGAATACAAGACCAACCACGTCGGCCATGGATCAGTCTCAACATCCACTGGGCGCGCATACAAAGCGTCATTGGGCACGCACGCAAAGGAGCGAGGCGAGAATGATGTGCAAGTTGCCAGGTAACTGCATGCTTTGTGATTCTTTGGACTGTATACTGTATCCGTGGCTATCCGGAGAATGACGCACGACAACAGCTGCATGAACAGTCGGTTTTTCCCGGAGACGGGCGCTGCATGTATGAGAGGAGAATATGTCTTGATGCTGCAGGGCTCACGGATGTGGCTTCTGGATACAGATTAGATCATTCAGTCTGCACAGGCGGGCTGCAAGTCTGACTTTACAGCGAATCCGGCTGGCCAGGGTGAAAGACGTGCCATGAGCCTGTTGGCCTTTCTCGGTGTAAAAGATGGGGGAGCGCAGCCGCTAGCGAAAAAAGAGGTTGCTGGCCAGATACCGGACTCCGATGCGGAGTCGGGGGCCAAGTCGGATTGGAATGAGTAGACGAGTGTCTAGCAGTATAGAATGATTCGAAGCACGGCTCTCAAGTGGCCAATTAACAGAGTTGGAGCTGATGGCGGCCGGTACACGATTTTTGGATATTCACAGCTGAGCTTGGTCCATATCAATTCCGAGACCGGCCCATGAATCGAAAGCCTATTCATACGGGGTCAAGATTGTGGTGCAATGGCCGTGTAACGTCCATTACAAAGTGGTCGCACGATGCAGAGTTTGGTCGCGGCATTTTTTGGCAGTTCTCGGTTCGTCGCGTTGCAGCCAGAAAGTTAGGGAAGACAGGCAGGCCCAGATGATGAGGGCGTTTCAGCCTGGGAGACGAAAACCAAGAAAAGCATCCGTAGGGGGCAACGGGCAGTTACTGGTAGATAGTCAGGATCGGTGATGCGTGTGTAGCACATCCATCAGGTCCTTGCCCGTCAAGAGTCGTAGGATGGGAAGTGGTGTGGACTTGGAAGGTCGGAGCGAAGTCGATAGCGGCGTGGTTTACTAATTAATATCGATGTCTTTGCTTGGAAGTTGGGCGTGCTATGGTTTATTCGTTCGGTCCCTGAGAGCGGGGAGGCGGCATCGGGCAGGGGACGGACGGGACGGACGCTGGAGCTAGTTGGATAGTTAGCTTGCGATGCAAAGGCTAAATTGGTTGGTGGTGGAGGATAGCCGAACGGATGAAAGAGAAGAACGGAAGAACAAGGCGAGCTCCTATGCAGTATGTAGGATGCAGCAAGAGACAATGGAGATGGTCATGGCAAGTCCCAGGCTGCAAGAGAAGGGACGGCCACTTGGTCTCTTTGCTTGTGTCTGTGCAGTGCAAACGGGTGAGGTAACCATCCAGCCTGTGAAGAGGAAGCGACAAATAACTCGACCAGAACGGCCGCCCAAACATAACACGGTGGGAGGATCGAAATACGGAAAGAGGCTGGGTATATAAATAATGAGATGCTCGAATATAGCAAATGACATGATGTCCTTTCCTTTAAGGCAATACTTGATGTATCTATCTAGGTATCTTAGTAAAAGTACTAATTGCTCGCAGGAACTCCTCCCCTCCTGCTGCCCGTTTGCTTGGCTGCCCGTTTGTCCCCTCCATCATCACTCACGACCCCACCCTTGCCCGTCGGCCTGCCGGTCCGTGCCTGCGGCCGTCCAACCAGCCAACCAGCCACCTCAAGTGCCCCTCTTCCCGCCACTTTCTGCCAACCGCCCAACTGCATCACCCCAGCCAGCCAGTAACTTTTCTTCGTCCCCCCTTGTCAGTACCTTTTTCCTGTGATTTCTTTTTGTTTAATTAATTTAATTAATTCTCATTTTTTATCGTTCTTTTTTTTTACCACCGTTTTTCTCCCCCCCCAGACCTACGGTACCTCCCTTTGGTCTAGATTCTCCTTGTTGCAACCACACAACTCAAGACCCCCTCCAGGTACTCTGACCTTGCTGCTTGCTTCACCTCAAACCACCCTCCTCTTGTCATTTCGTCTGTCTGTCTGCCATAGCTTGCTTTCCCCGTGCTACTCATCTTACCCCTCTTTACTCTTTATCACCATACATATCTCTAGCAAATTTTACCTCGCTTTTTATTCCCTTCATCCTCAAATCACTCTCCGCCTCCCTCGAATACCCGCTCCAGTCTCTCTTGTCAGCCTGGACTTCGGACCCTTGCCAGGGGAATATACGGTCAGCGGTTCTGCCTGCTGCTTCGCCCTCCCACACCCAAGCGCCCAAGCCAGACCCAGGCCGCCACACTTTTTTCTTCCTCGAGATATTCTTGCTCTACGCCGATATTCTAGTTATTCGCCTCGCCCGCTCCAAGTAACCTGGTCCCCGTCTACATGGAAGCTCTGCGCCGCCCCGTCGAGTCATTGCTTAATTTCTCGCACTGCTGACTCTTCTGCCGCCTCTTGGACTCGAAGCCCCTGGTCGCACACTCACGGAGATATAGCTCACCATTGTTCACATGCTCAAAACAGCCCATTAATCACGCTGTTGTTGCCTTGCTTGTGAACCAATAACAGCGTTGTTACCTCCCGGTTTCGCTGTCACTTTGCGACTGTTGCGTCGCCCGCTCGCCCGCTTGTTCATTGACACAAGCCACCAGGCGGCGCACTCACAGCCATGGCGGCCCAACCTGACAATGACTCCAAGTCCCCCCCCGTATATGACCCGGACCAGGCCATGCTACAACTTCTTCAGACCGCGTGTCCCGATCTTTCGTCTCGGCCCTCGCAAGCCTCCCAGTTTTCGCAACCTTCGCAACCCGTGCAGCCATCGCAGCCATCGCAGCCATCGCAGTCACCGCAGCCTTTGCATGCCAGCCCAAACCACGCGCCGCCCAACACCCACACCAACAATACATGGAATCACCGGAGCCCTGCGGCCTTTGATCCACCCGCAACTCGAGACAGTACGCAAGACGATTTTCAAAACAATCATCGCAGACCACAAAGAGAGGTGGTGCCCGGCTTGCCAAGAACCCAGACCCTGAAGCGCCAAATTTCGGAGCGCAGAGAGCATCTTATACCCGTAGAGATGCTCCCAGAGGAGCGTCGTGCTCTCTCGTCCGAACTAAAGACCCCCTTGAGTCTTCTTACCTCTCGCGATGCCGCCAACTCCTTTGCCACCCCAAGCGCCGTTGACTCTACATATGACAATATCAGCGACCTCGCCTTTTCCCAGAGCTCGTCGCCCCGACTCCTCGAGGAACTCGAGGAAGACGAAGACGAGCCCCAGGATTTCGACGATGATGATGAAGAGCCTCGAAGAAAAGCGCCACTATGTCTGCCTGCCCCGACGCTCGTGCCTGGAGTTACGCTGATCCCAGGCACTAACCTGCCCGATACGACTAACATGTCTCGTGAGGAAATTAACGCTCTCATCCAGAATGAATTGGAAAACGTCTGGATTCTGAATTTGAGCATGCACTTTCGAGACGGCTCCGGGAGAGACAAGTTCTTCCTTACCTACCGAGAGCGAGAGACGGTATGGCGCAGAGTCACCATCTCCTTGGATTATCGCGGTGCTCCGCACGATTCGCTAGAGGGAGAGCTTGGCAACATTAAGCTCCAAAGAGACAAAAACGCCAAGATCTACGAGGCCCTTCGCGAAAGCCTTCCCGATATTCACTTTTACGACACCACCACGAACTTGGCGCTCAAGACCAGCGAGGATCGCTTGCATGTGCATGTAGTTGAGGATGCCAACGTACGTATTCATTTTATTCACTGGCTCAGAGGACCGATTGCTGACCCTTGTAGGAAAAAATTGATTACCCCCGGGTTGAATTACTGAAGCATCTAAACTGCCCCATGTTCAAAGAAGGTGATCTTGTCTTTGATTCTCACATGTCCGGCTTTGTCTTCAAGGTCCGTGTCGGAGGCGAAGTCCTGGTCAAGAAGGAAGTACCAGGAGCCGAAGTAGTTGAGGAGTTCCTTTACGAAATTCACGCGCTCCACAGCTTGCAGGATTCCAATCATGTAATTGGCTTGAGGGGTCTCGTCACCGACGAAGATGAGGATATTGTCAAGGCTCTGCTTATCGACTGGTGCCCCAATGGCAATCTCATGGACAGGATTTACGACGACTGCAAGACGACATATCTCGGCATCCCTTGGCGGAAGCGTGAGCGCTGGGCTCGTCAGATTATTCACGGAGTCGCCGATCTTCACGAATCCGGCTTTGTTCAAGGTGATCTCACCCTGAACAATGTTGTTCTTGACGACGACGAGAATGCTAGGATTATCGATGTCAATCGCCGAGGTTGCCCCGTTGGCTGGGAACCACCGGAGGCGAAGCCTCTTCTCGATACAAATCAGCGTCTCTCTCTCTATATTGGCGTCAAGTCGGACCTTTTTCAACTTGGCATGGTCCTATGGGCACTGGCAATGGAGGAAGACGAGCCCGAAATTCAGGGCAGGCCGCTGCTACTCGGACCCGAAGTCAACGTTCCCGATTGGTATAGGCAAATCACCGAGATCTGCCTGAGTCATGACCCACGTTCTCGAATTATGGCATCCCAGCTACTGACCATGATCCCGGATCAGGCCTTTGCACCCGCTTACAGCCGCATAGCCTCTCGACCTGCCATAGAGGACCGCCAGTCTCCCCATGAACTGCCTGGAGAGAGCGCTTCTACTGCTGCCCCCAACAGCGAGACTAAGAGTGAGCAGCTCTTCTTCCCGCAGCGCGGGCGCTCTCCCCCCAGTCCAATGCCTAGTGACTCGTCACGCCAGCAAAAACCCCGCCGGGCTGCCAATATGCCGGTGGCGGCTTCTTATGACGACATGACTGCCAAAGCCAAACGCTATCTGGAGGCCAGTCGTAACAGGAACTCGATGCCAACACCCGAATCCGAGAATCTCTCGCATCAGAAGCAACAAAAACAGAGGCAAGAGGGCAAGCATCAAACTTTGGAGCAGCACGAACATAGACAGCATTATCAGCAGCGCCACCAGCAGCAGCAGCAACAACAGAAACCGAACCAGGTTCAGCCCCAACAATATCAACTGCAGCAGCAGCAGCATCACGATGAACCGGAGACACCTCAGCCGCAGCAGCAGCAGCATAACCATGAGCCGGAGAAACCTCCTCAGCCGCAGCAGCAGCAGCATTACCGTGAACCAGAGAAACCTCAGCCGCAGCAGCAGCAGCATTGCCATGAGCCGGAGAAACCTCAGACCCAGCAGCAGCAGCAGCAGCAGCATCATCATCAACACGTTCAACCAAAGCAGCCTACAGATGATCTGGGAGATCATCTGCCCCAGCTGCCGTATCAGAAGCAGTCAGAACCGGCGCCACTTGAACGGCAGAAGCATCAATCTCCACAGCAGCAATCGCAAAATCGTCAAACGCAGCCCCAACCCCGACTGGAGAAGCAATACCTGGAGCAGCAGCAACCGGAGCAGCAGCAACCGGAGCAGCAGCAACCGGAGCAGCATCAGCTTCACTCGCACGTAGCTCACTATCAGAAGAATGATCACCGGCAGTCACAACCAGGAAGGCAACAGCTGGAACAGTATCAGGCTCAGCAGCAACCGCAGGACCTTCAGCACCCTTACCACGAGCAATATTACCCGTATCAGCATCAACAGCCACCGAACCTTGCCGTGGCTAGATCGCATGACACAGAGAACAGTTTCCTCGACGATGCTAGCAAGGCCTCCGCGACGCCACCTGGCTCGTTTGTGGCTATGCCACCTCCGAAACAAGACACAACTCGGAAGCAACTCACACCTCCAAAGCAGCCAACGCCTCCAGAAAAGCCTCCCACGTACTTGGACGTCGACAGCGGCATCTCTATGTGGTCACCCAGCGAAGAAACTGTCGCTTTTTCTAGTAGTACCTCCCCACCCCAGGAGCTTGTCAAAAAGATCAATGAAGAATTGTTCCAAGACCTGGAACGCAACGGAGCAGCTAGATCGGCTCTGCAGGCAATTTTTGGACGAGACGACAAGGAGTGCGGCCCAATTTCCCATCCTACTACGCAGTGGCACGACGGCTCCGCGTTACCGCATTTCCCCAAGCAACAACCCGACATCGCTTTCGACGTTCCTCATTCCAAGGCCGAGTTGGAGCATACCTCCATTTCTCAACGATCTATGGCGCAAACGGAAAAAGATGGTCACCAATTTCCACCACCCTCAAACCAGCGTGTGGACGATGTCTTCAGACCCCAAAACACCCCCCCGGCGTACTATACCTCAATTCCACACCAGTTTACTGCGGAATTTGAAGAACGCGACTTTGCGGGCTCGAACTGGGCTATGCAGTTGGATAGAACCTCCTCGAACCCCCCAGCTAATGCGAAGATTGAGACTGGTCCTACCTTTCGCCAATTCACCACAGAGTGGGCGGACGACGCCGTGAATATTCCTCAAACCATTCCGCAGCGGGCCGAGCAAATTTCGCATCTTCCCGAAACCATCACGCACCTGGGGAGCAATGTATCCGCCCTACGTCAAGCCGCTTCACACTGGGGCGAGCATACCTCGGTTAACTCTCAAATCACACCAAAACGAGCGGATGAGACTACACAAGCGGAGAAGAATTTAAGCATCACTTCGCAGTTCATGCCTCAGCACATTGATGAGACGACCTACATCCCTCACACAACTTTGCAGCGCGGCGATGATACGTCCATCCCGTCTCAAAGCACCTACAACAGCGAAAAGGAGGCACCCTTCACTCCGCAAGCTACTTCCCAGCATGAAAAAACCACACCTGTCTTTCTGCAACCCGCCATGCAGCTGGACAAGGGCCCTGTCATTCCCCAGATGACTGAACAGCTGGACGATAATGTGAGCGTTGCTTCCTGTATTTCGCGCACGTCAAGCCCCGACGGTGATCTTGAAGGCGGCGCTCAGCTAAGCAGAAGCGACACTGCATTTAGTGCCGTCGAGACGCACTTTCGCCGACCCGAATACCCAACAAACTCGAAAGCACCGCTGGAGACCATCTTGGATAGCACCCCAGCTACAGCTTTCGGCGAGCACCTGACGCACAACAACCCCAACGGGACCCTGCTGGGCTTTGGGCACGGACAGGGCGTCGCCGGACCCCTCCACACCACCGACCTGAACCCCGATATCCATTTTGACAGTACAATTTGGCCCGACGCCACTCGCCGCTTCATGACTGGCGCAAAATCTTGAATACTTCTTCCTTTTGTCCTTTACACTTTCTCTCATATCGACCGGCGTTCCCATATCGACGGCGTTCCCATATCGACGGCGTTCCCATATCGACGGCGTTCCTCGACGGCGTTCCCATATCGACGGCGTTCCCATATCGACGGCGTTCCTTCTTCCAGCATATCTTCTTTTTGAAACCGATTGGAAAGCGACAAGCAAAGTGTACAACTAGTCTTGCAAACCGGCGCATTGTACAGGTAGATTGATACGACCGCTTTTCGGCAGGCGACTGCCAAGCTAATGACTGACTTTTCTTGGGCTTGGAAAACATTTATCACGAAATGACTTGCATGATTTGGAGCACTTTACTTGCTGGGTTCACGTTCTTTTTCTTTCTTCCTGCTTCTCTTCCCTCTTCGCACAGCTTTTGATACTTCGTTGGGATGTTAGCGTAGCCTCTTTTTAGCCAATATCTCTTTTAGTAATTGATCAAATACACTTCTCATTTCACATGAAACAATGATCGTGCATTCAGCGTCGCGTGTCAGAGTAAGAATGCTTATTGTTAGTTCATAAATGCATAAAATTGTGTATTGTACGTTCCAATCCAAGAGGAAAGGATGCCTAGAGATAACTATGTCTTGCGCTTGATCAGACCCAGACCCGGTCCCGTGTCGCGAGGCAGAAGCCCAATGTCGCGCTTAAATCGCTCCAGCCAGTCAGGCAGATCAGCCGCCGTCTGATTCCACGGATCGCCTCTGCAAAAGGAAGATTTGGTTAGCACTCATTTTGACTGCGGAATCGGAAACAAACGAGACTTACTCTCCGTATTCAAGCCACCGAGCTTGCTGCTGAATCTCCTCGTCGCTGGGAATGTGCTTGTTCGGGTTGCAGTCCGACATGGACGACGCCACGAAGCGAGCCAGGCCTCGCGCGAGTCGGCGGTAGCCGTTGGCGTCGTTGAGGTCGTAAAATCCTCTGATGAGACTTGCCGCGGCCGCCCTGTGGCGTTCCTTGGTCGGTTCTTGCTGCTGTGCCGGGTCAAGCACCATTGGTGACTCAAAACCTGGAGCTTTGGTATCAAGAGCGTTCGGGTCGGCGCTGGGCGGGCTGATCTCTCTCGCTTCTTCGCTTTGGCCCACGGCCTCAAAAAGTCGCTTTCTAAAATCTTCGAGCCAATCCGTAGAGTTATACGTGAGTCTCAGCAGCCAGTTCAAGACATTGTCCTTGTTTGTGTGCGAGCTGGACGATTGATGCGTCCTTCGCAAGATGCGATCCGCTTCTACCTGCAGTTCCCAATTGGCCACCTCTTTGCCGCCCAGTGGCAGCGAGAGGGTAAACTGCCGCAATTCGCTCTCGAAGGCGCAGTCTTGGAAGATGTTGTCCTTGCCATTGATTCGCAGCGTAGACATGCCATTTTCCTCCTGGCGGCGGACGGATTGAAACATGGCGTCACGAGCAATTTTGGGGCAAGACATGACGAGATCACGGAGCCAGGATTTGGCGGTAGTAGTGTCGGTAGATAGAATATCGGCGCTGCGGATGATGCGACATGCTTCCAGTTGAATCTCGGTGTCTGTTGGGGGACGTCCAGTATCGTCTGTGTGATTCGCTATCCAGTACTCTAGTTCCATGTTGAGCAGTTCGTAAGGGCTGTTTGGGGTCCAGGGTGAAACACTGCTCGCTACATAGGGTAGCGGTGATATTTTTTCCAGATGAATTAAATCTGACACCCGTTAGTATTTGACCATGCAAGAGTCTGTATAAACACTTACATGGTGGTATAGAGTTTTCTACCGTTCGAAGAACAGCTTCGTCAAAGCCCCAATCGCCTGTCCAGTGCTCCATTGTGGCACCATTCTTAAAGTGAATTGCAAGGTGGTCGACCCGTGCACTCCAGCTGTGTAAAGTGATATTGCAGAAGCCGCATCGCGATCGAATCTCGGGCGATGCCGCCTTCCACGTCTCGAGCGTCTCCTTCGGAACCTTGGCGTGGTGACCTAGCCGCACGTGCTGCGTGAGATGGTCCTTGCGGTAGAACGTGCGCTCCGTCAGTGTTCGGCTGCTGCAGAGAGAAAAGTTGTGAGATTCGAAGTGCGCGGCGTCAGGGTTTGGCTGCGAGCAAAATACACAGGTAAGGGACCCGGTTACGGGGTGGACCGCGAGGGGCCCGGTCGGGGCGCAAACCCAGCGGTCGATGGACAGATGCCACGTCTTTTCGTGTCGCTGCCAGTCGTACTTGGTCTGGAAGTCTTCGGCGCAGAAGGTGCACTGGAAGGAGCCGCGAGCGGCCGCGGGATACGTCGTGTGGGTGGGCAGGCCGGCACGCTTCCGACGACGTCTGCGACGCGCCGAGTGGCTGTCAGGGAAGGGGGACAGGGAGACGCCACCTTGAGAGGACCGGGCAGATCGTACGGAGCCCTCGCTGGACTGCGCGTCGTATCGTCCAAAGGAGGAGCCGTTGCTGAAGCCCACGCTGGAGCTGTCGTCGGAGTGCCGTGAGGCGGGGGTCAGACAGGACCGGTCACTGGGGGAGGCGGGAATGCGAGCGGCCTTGACAGCTCCCAAGATGGCAGCAACGTCTGCGGGCTCATTGTCGGGTGGAGAATTCTCCCAGCGCTGCATTGGGTTCATGCCTTCAAGGATGCCGGGCGTTGCGCGCCGGGCGGGAATGTCCATCGCAGGCAGGGCTTCGGTGGAGGAAGCGGGTGCGCGCAAGGGCGCGGCCATCTTGGCGCGCCTTCGGGCGTTGGCGAACCAATTGATAATCTGCGTCTGGCTGAGGCCGGTCATGGTGCTGAGCATCTCCTTGTCCTCGCGCGTGGGGTACGGGTAGTGGCTGTTGGAGGCCATCCACTGGCGCAGGAGCCTGACGGCGCTCTGGGGGAAGCCCGGCCTGGCGCCGGCCGTGTCGGACGGCGTGGTGACAGGCGGGCTGGGGAAGTACGGTGTGGAGGAGGCAGTGTGAGACATTGGTGTGGACTCCAGGACATGGTCAAGGTCATCGTTGTCGGCGCCGACGGGGCAGGAGTCGACGGACGGCGGTTCTTCGGCGGGCGTGTGCTGTCCGCCGAGCTGCTGTCCGAGAAGCGCAAACTCGTTGAGGACGTCCCAGTCCTGGAAAATATCGTACTGGGGCGCGTCGGTGTCGAGGCCGGGGAGGTCCTGGTCGAGGCCGGGGAGGGCGAGGTCGAAGTGTGTCATGGTGGCGACAGGAGCATGCAGTGGGAGAGCGAAACGGCGGGTTGACAAGGTCTGACGATACCGAGTATCCACACACACTATGAGCGTGCAGAGATGTATACTTCAAATCGCATGCAATATCCAGACTCGAGTTGTAAAAATTGAAAGTTGCAGACGAGGTTCCCCGGATTCGTTTTCCGGTTCCACCAGCTGGCTACCTACATGTTAGCGGTGGGTCTCGGCTGGGTTTAGGGCGTGCCGGCCGTTGAACGGAGCCGTGTCCAGTCGGAGGGACGTCTGGCTCTAGTTTCATGATGAAGTTGATGAAATGTGATGCCGTCGTTGCTATCTGTCCATACTTAATCAGAGCCAGCGGTTGTTTGGGCCAAAAAATGTAGGGTGAGATGGGACATGCTGATCTGGAGTCGCTCCTTCGTTTTGCCAGCTGGCCCTGCATCGGCGAAACTCTGCCTCCGTCCGGGCTCGGCTGCTGTTAGTGGGGTAGCCTTTGTTGGGCTGCGAAGAAGCAGTGGCCCTGTTTGCGCAAGACGACGGGTAAATACACTACCAACGGAGTCCTTGCTGTCTTTTAGGGTCGGTCGTCATTTCAGAATCAATACGGTCCGGGCCTACACGGAGAATCCTGCGCAAACGCGGCCTCGTCGCCCGCCCAGCATGTCGTCTCCCACCACCGTCGCCCCTCCGAAGCCGGAGCTGTCCGCGCTGTTTGCCGACATCGAGGCGCGGTTCGCGACGACGTGTCTCGGCGACGATCGGTGGTACATCCTCGCCATATCCTGCATCACCACCGGTCCGGACCCCGAGCTCGCCGCCGACCTCTACCGGTACCTGATCGCCAAGCCCGCCTTCCAGAGCAGCGCGTCGCGCCAGCAGCTGGTGCGGCGTCTGCGCGAGGCGCTCTTCAAGTCCATCTGCCTGGTGGGCGTGTGCAAGCCCATCGAGTCGGTGCTCGCCATCGCGGCGACGGAACGGCCGGAAGATCGCGACCTGTCCCCGGCGACGCGCGAGGGCTGGCAGGCGGACGCGGACAACGAGCGGCGGGCGCGCGAGTGGTTCGCCAAGGTGTACACGCGCAACGCGGCGGACACGATCGGCCTGTTCGACGCGCACAAGGACTTTTCGTGGACGTCGGTGCACATCACGTATGGCCTGTTCCTGTCGGATCGGCAGGTGCTGGACGACGTGGAGACGCAGCTGGTGGTGCTGCCGTGCATCATGAGCCAGAACCTGAGGCTGGAGACGGGCTGGCACATTCGGGGCACTCGCCGCATCGGCGTCTCCAAGGAGGACACGCAGGTGGTCTGGGACGCGGTGCAGGCGCTTGCGGCATATTTCGACGTCAAGCTGAACAAGGTGCCGACAGTGGAGGAGATTGAGCCGGAAGTGTAGAAATGAAGCTAGAGTTGCATTGCACCACCGTTAACTAACGACGGATAATGGTAATCCGGACACGCTTGATCACATTGGGAAGGGACAGAGAGAGAAGATATTACAAGGATATTTCTAACCCCCCGTCAATCCATGTCGCTTCGCTTTTTCCCACCTTTCCATCGGTGTTGGAAGCAGTCTAGCCAGGAATACCCCGGCTGCCGATTCCAAGACGTGGCGCGCTGCATAGTTACTGGGCGCCTTCTTTTTCTACTCTTTATTATTAGCCATTAATTTCCCAGCCCATCATCGGCTGCATGAAAATATGCAGCCATCGTCGACTCGCCCCGCCGGCCGCACGTGTACACCTTCTGCTCCAGGAAAGGCCCGCGGCATCTTGGCGTGCGGACAGGGGCTATCGTGATGTTGAGTTGGGCGAAGCGAGAGAAAATTTTGAAACAGGCCTTTTGTAGTGTTGCAAGATTTGTACATTGTAGAGGTCATCTACTTGATCATTCTAATATGTAAAACGTTCAGTCATGAGAGACCGTGGGTGCTAATGATGCTCGAAAAAAGGAAGAGAGCATGTGTGAGAGAAAAGTCTTAGTCGCTCCGTCCATAATAAAACAGTAATGCTTATAGCGTTGTAGTAAGCGCCAATTTTGAGCCAACGCCGGTGCGTGGGCAAGACGATGAGATGCCCAGTCGCAATTCAATGGTAGTCGAATAATCAATGGAAATAATCCCCTCTGGCTAGGGGATCATGGCCGGTGATGTGTTGTCGGGGGTTCACCCGACGTCTAACGGGAAGCGTCAGAGACGGAAGAGGCGGAGGAGGTGACGGAGTCGGTAGAGCCGGTACGGGCGGCCTTGATGCGCTCGCTGTAAGACATTAATTAGTAAGGGAAACTTCGCGGTAGCCCTGAAAGCTCATGGCAAGACCAGCTCATGGCAAGACCAGGGGAGAGCCCGTGTTGGACATACTAGTGAGAGCGATCCTGAAGAGTGCATGCCCAGGTGCTGGTGCCGGCCTTGATATGGAACTTGATGCCCCTGTTCTCGCCAAAGTGGTTGACGGGAGCGCCGGCCGCGGGAGCAGCGGCGGTGGTGGCGGCAGAGGTAGGCTGGGACGATGCTTCAGGCATGTTGGCGGTGGTTGTAAGTGGTGATGGTGTAGTTGTATGTCGGTTGGGTAGGTACAACAAGGTGTAAGCGTGACAGACTCCTCCAAGACGATGATGGGGTAGATATGTATGGAAAAGGTGGAAAATGGAAACTGGAATCAGAACTGTAGAGCGAAGCAAGCACCGAGACGGGCAGCTTGGGGGACTTTATATCGTTGCCACCCACGCCCGCGATATCAGCGACGTCTCCATTTTACGGAGCGCACTGTATGGGGAGGCACAATGCGCATTCCCTTGCGGCACCGAAGGGCGAGGCGAAGAGAGGAGGGTCGCCAAATGGCGTCTGGTGTATTACTCGCTGGTACACATGGCCAACCAGCTTCAACAGGGCAAATGGGCCGGCCGGACGAAACGGCAAAGGCGGCAGACCCGTCCACCCCCCACCCATCCATTCAGCCATCCACAGATAGGATGGTACCAACCAGTATGACGGACCCGGATACTTATTGGTGACAACTCCACGGAGGGTCGGAGAGCTTTGAGACGGGTTTCAGCCGGCGCCAGACACTAAGTTAACTAGTTACTAAATAAGGCGAGACAGCTTTGAAGTGTCGAAACGGTTGTTGATGCTACTGAGCGTCGCATTGTGCTTTCAATGATTGAGCTTGTCAACAACTCTATTAGCTACATGACTGATCAGCTTTGGCATTGCTGTGCATCGTCCTGTACCCTCCGCCCTCCCCTTTTGATGATCATCAGACAGTTGAGACAGCCGTGTCACGACAAGGCGCCAACAAAAAAGGTGGTGTCTCCACGTTGGAAAGAAGGTGAGCCATTTTCTGGCCGTTTTTACTAAAAGGCCACCATCAACACCCACCATGGTAATAATGCGGCATGGGGGGGACAGGAAGTTGGAGCAGCCACTTTGGCGCTGAACAAGCATAGCTCAGTGGAGAAGGGGGGGGGGGCAGGCATTCTCGTTGTTGAAGAGTACATACTGATATCCGTGTAGCCGGAGCTAAAGAAACTCGCGAGACGCGGATAAAGAAAGGTACAAAGTTACAACTGACTGGTCGCCGTTGGGGTTTGGAATGGTGACTGACTAAGTTTGGTCGTAACATATTAGTAGTACGCTGTAACCAATAACTACAAGACTGACGTGCTGCTGAACCCCTATTCTATTTCTGAATGGCTCCCACTTTTTGCCTGCCTGTGGGTGGCGTCTGTGTCAGTTGCCAGCCAAATCTCCGCTGGGACAAGCGAGGACCGCGGAGAATTGTCCAGTCCAGCCCCAATCACCGAGATGGCCGCAAGCCCAGTCCTTCAGCACAATATCCGTTTGGCGATCCCCGACCTTTTTGTCGAATAACGCGCCCTCCTGTCTACCTGCAAGCCCCCGGACTGTTGGCCTTTGCTCATTTCCCAGTCACTATAGAACAGCGGCGAATATATCCGCACCACTTGGCATGGAGAAAGGTCAAGGCTTGATTCAAAACATTTGTCTCGACATTCGCTGCAGATCAAACAAATCTATTGCATTTGGACGACGAAGCACACTTGGTCGTGCCAAGAACGCGACGTCGACACTGGCAGAGACTCTGGCTGCATGCATCATCGTTCGTCTTGGCTGCGTCTGTCTGCGCACACGTGTCTGGGGGGTCAAGACAAGCAAAAAGAAATAGGCCAAGAAGGAGAAACAAAATGGCATCATTGCGACCTACCAAGCACAAGCACATACGCAGCATCAGCCCTCCCCCCCGCCCTTTCGGTGATCGCCACTTGTCTCCTTGGCGTCTGTCGAGCACCAGCCTCCCTCCTGTAGAACCACGAGGAAAAGGGGGGGTTTGCTTTGTTGATCAAATGTACTCGCAGCGGTGCCAAGTTTTGGCGACTTGATTGATGTATTAGCATGGGCTATTTGCATGATTCAAGGTCCTCCGTCCCCCGAAGCCGACCCTAACCCTTCTAGAAGAAAAGAATTGCCACCCCCGCCACTAACCAGCGCCGCCGGCGGCATGTGGCGTTCCTTCATTCTTTCATTTTTGGCAGGAATTGCCGTTTTGTTTCATTCCCCTTTGATCTTTCCTCTCTTTGGCCTGTGTCATCTCGTCGTCGCCCTATTGGCTCGACCTGTTCCGCGGGCTTGGGACGCCGACGCAGGAACTTGGAACTTTTGACAACTGTATCTACGATATGGTGACCTTTCGGATATATTGCTTCCATCCTGTGTAAACCAACTCACTAACTGACTGACTGACTGCCATGTAGAGCCCAAAATGTGAGGCTGGTGGGCGCTAGGAAATTGTCGGCAGCAGCTCCCCTCACCCAGCCCAGCCAAGGCCTTCCAGAACGGCCCTTTATTGCCAAGATGGCTCGTCCGCCCAGGGACGCGCATCACAGCTGTGCTTTTGTGCGCATGCAGCAGCCTTAATCATTTTTCCTCAACAACTCAGCAACGCAGCTTAGCCGTCCTACCCCAGAAGCACTGGCCTTGGCGGGCGCTGACCTCGTCACCAGTCAAATCCAAGCAAACAGCGCACATGTTCAGTTGATCAAGGGAAGGCGCTGGATAAATAAATGGCGATCAGCAGACAAGCTTTTTTTCGTGGCTTGCAGGCGACGAAGCTTGTCATCCGCTAGTTCTAGAAGGACTTGGCAGGTCTTCCATCCCGTCCTCGCAGTGGCTGGTCACCCGTCGCTTGCGCCTCGGGAGAGATGCGATGAAAGGGCATGAATGCGAGGATAATTTACACGCCAGGATCATGCTTTCCAAGCCGGTCAATCGGCGGAAGGGGCAAGTTCTTTGCGGGCCAGGTCGCTGATATGCGCGTGGAGAGGAGAAGATGACCAAACGAACAGCTTCAACAAAACCTCGGATTCATCTCCTGATTTATATCCAAGAGATACGAAGCTCACTCGCTCTCTGCGCAGTTCTAGCGGTGAATTTGCGAGAAGAAGCAAGTGCGAGAACTGCATATCTTGATCCCCCCGGCCCTCTCTCTACTCCGTCCCGTCTCTCTCCCTCAGTAGCTCCGCCACCCCCCGGAACCCCGTCCGTTCCGCCCTCCCGAGCGCCGTCTGCCCCGTCGTCCGCGCATTCACCTCCACGCCCGCCTCCAGCAGCACCCTCACCTTCTCCGCCGCCTCCGGCCCCTCCTCCCCGCACCACATCGGCGCCGGATCCCCCGTCGCAAAGTGCAGCGCCGTCTCCCCGTCCCTGCCCCGCGCCGCCACATTCGTGCGAGGTCTGCCCCTCCGCCCCTCCGCCGCCCGCCGCCAGCACCGCCTTGACAAGCCGCCCGGAGATGTCGGCGGCGCGGTGTAGCAGCGTGTGTTGCCCCCCGTAGTCGTAGGGTGTGGCCCTTCGTCGTCGGCGGGGATGAGGAAGCCGCCGTCGCGGGCGCTCACCGCGGCGCCGTGATCGAGGAGGAGCTCGACGACCTCGCAACGGCCCTCGCAGATGGGCCGTCTGCAGGGGCGTGCGGCCGGCGTGGTTGGCGGCGTCGACCTCCGCGCCCGCTCACGAGGAGCACCTCCGCCACGCCCAGCGACTCGTACGCGACTGCCGCCTCGCGCAGCGGCGTGCGACCCCTGTTATCCCGTGCGCGCAAAGCCCGCGCAGGCGTCCGGCAGCAGTCTCGCGATCTTCGGCTGCCCAGAACCGCGCGGCCGCGTACGGCGGCGCGCGGCCCTTGCCGCTGCGCGCCTCGAACGTCCGCGCCGGGCCGTGATCAGCAACCTAGCGATGTGCAGGTGGCCGTTGGCCGCTGCCGTGTGCAGCGGCGCGATGAGTGCCTGGACGGTCGCCTTGCTGCCGGACTCGAGACGGCGAGCTGCAGCGACGTCTGGTTGCCGTACGCCCCGCCCTCGTCGGCGGCGCCCTGCTGGATGAACCGCTGCATCTGTCCGGCGTCCCCCGTAGTAGGCCGCTTGGTGCAGGCTGCGGGCTTCCAGGTGCGGCTGATCTGACTTCTTGACGCCCCAGCAGGCGCGCTGGAGCTCTGCCTCGTCATCGTCGGGAAGGTCGGTCATGCCTAGGAATCCGAGCATGGGGGTGGTGTCGTCTGACCAGATATCTCTACCGCTCTTGCAGAAGCTAGAGCGGCCGATGCCAAGATGGGCAAAGTAGAACATGGTTTTGAGGAGCATTGATCTGGGTTGGTTGTGGTGGAGGGCAGTCAACGGCTCTCGCAAGCAATAGAGATCTATATATACATAGTGATGTCCGTCAGAGTATTGGCCCATAGTTGACCGCACGCACTGGCTAGGTGAATCCAACACCAGGCAAAAGTTCATTTGCCGAGCAAGCCTCTTCGGGACTCGTGCGTTGTTGCCTTGAGCCCCATACTCGCCCCTGTTTTGTTGTGCTTCCTTTTCATTTATCGTTAGGCTACCGTTCCACTGGGCAGGCCGTTCCAACTATCCACGATCGAATTTAGGACACCTCGCCTATGTAGCTATCGTCCAATCGCATAAACAGCGCAATGACAGAGGATATGAGCTGCTTGCCGGTGCTGCGGCGCCACTTGTGAAAACCGGCCGCACGTTGACGAGCATATTTGCACCAAGCTGAAGATGCTCGTGGCCGAGGTCGTCTCATACGAATCTCGGCAATCAAGGCCGATAACAATAGGCCCTTCGGCCCTGTCATTCGGATAAGTCTCGTTACGTATCCTGCTCCATGGATAATGGATGGATCCGGTGTAGACCCCCCATTGGTTGTTATGGTTGGTTGTAGGTTGTCGTGGGAATTCACCCGCACAATCTTAGTTTCTCGCTAGTAGAAGGTAATATTACAACACGGACAACACAGATGAGAAGGATAAGGAGGACAAATTCTACTACTAAGGAATCAATTACTTTAACAAAAATTTCTAAAGAGTAGTACTATTCGTATAATACCCTTTTACTATCCGCACAATCAAGTGACAAAAGGTGCTTTAATTACTAGGGAATAATATATAGAAGTTTAGGTACTATTAGGAATGCACCCTGTATTAAACTTTTCTACATGCCTCTTACTTAAAAATACATCTGTTTGAATCACTAACTAGAAAGAGTTCTTCTAGGCTAATGGTATTATGAGTTATTGAGAGAATTAAAGAGCGCTGGCGGCGGCGGGATTTGAAGAGGAGGCTATCGCTAAGGCCTCGTGGCTGCCCACCGCCGATACCTCGAGGCGGCTTGTGCTGATGAGGATTAGGAGCGTCTCAAAAGATACTTGATTTTTTGTGTGTGGGTTATAGTAAAACCTAAGCAAAATAGTAGTCACGTCTGCTGCTTGGATAGTAAAAGGTATGTGCGCGAGCAGTACCGGTTATAAGATTCCCATCTGAGTTTCATGTGAGTCGGTCGCCCTTGGGTCTACGCCAGCTTCACGCGATAGCATGGCGATCTAACCATCGCTGCTGCAATAATTCGTTGACCTGCTTCCGCGTCTGTACGCAACTTCGTCGTCGTCCCCCTCTGATATCGGCGAAAAGAACTGAAGGACGTCACTGTGACGATGTGAGGCGGTTTCATGTAGGGCCGGTTCCCCGTCTAAGCTGCTCGAGTTGGAATCTGTGCCGCGCTTCAACGCCGCCTGCAAACCCCAAGCGTCGCGGCGACGAGCCGTCGATCGAACCTGAGAGGCGGCGGCCCACGCGGTGTTCCAGTGGCCATCGTCCCGGCTAGAAAGATATTCATGGCTGGAAAGATATTCGGAAAGATATTCGACAACATCTTCCCGCCCGTTCCTAGCAGCTTCCTCCAACACCTCTTGAGTCATGCGAAAGTCTTGCGGTCGATGAAGCCTGATCAATTCCAGCACCCATACCACATCGAGCCCGGAATATCCGACCAGTTGCTCAAGGATTCCCGCCGAGATGGTAGCGATGCCGCTTTCGTACTTGGTTTACACATACTCAAACATATCGGTACGTGCCATCCAGTTATTCATCATGGCGGCAAGTACCTCTTCTGTCACCATACCGGGCGCGATGTAGCCGCCTTCAGCGAGTAGCGTCAGTCCTGCCACGGTACTGCTTCGCTTGACGCAGAGAAGCAGAACGAGCGCTGCATGCTTCCTGAGCTCTTCACTTTTCCACCTCGAGAACCATTTTAGCCACGTAATGGTCTCCACGCGTGATGCCACAATTTGCAGGAGCTCTGGGGTTACAGTAAACTCGTCCCGTCGATAAGCCAACAGCCACCACAGGGTATTCTTGTGCCAAGCACTTTTCTGTTTGGTGACCATCGCCGCAGCCATGACAAGACAAGGACGAAAACGTAGGGAGGACTGGGGGGAAATGAATCGCTCAACAATAGAAGTGCCACACATTAAAATACCGAGCTATGCAGCATCGCTATTAGTAGGTTCGGTATAGACAGAGACGGCGTAAAGCAATAAAAGTTGCTGGATGCGAATTCGCCAACATCATCGCGCCCACTAATGTAACTTAGCTTGACGGTGCTGGATAAGATGTTTATTTGCGGCCACAGTTAGTCGTGCAGCCTTTTCAAAAATTCTGGGAGGAATTTCGTCCTCGGGTATTATAATTGTCCTCTCTTGCTATCCATCATTCTCATGACTTCGTCTTCCCCGTCACCTGCACCTTCACTCCTCCGTCTCATCTCAGCCTCGACATCCTGTCTGCGAGGCATGCCCTGGCCCAATATCGACGGCAGCTCCTCCTTCCGAGTCTTCATCCAGCCCTCGAGGCTGCGCATGCCAACCACGAGAAAGCCCAGCTCCTCACGGTCCACGTCAAAGATCTCCCACCAGGCGCACTCTGGCATCGACGCACCCAGGTCGCGCGCAGCGTTGTATATCGCCGCCGTGGCGAGAGCGTGCGGCTGGTGCGTGAGGTATAGTAGTTGGGGGCTCAGTAGGGCCGTGTTAAGATACTGCGAAGCGCGCAGCGAGATTTCGCGCCGGGAATGGGAGAGAAAGTCGAGGGTCTGGAGGTACGTGACCATGAGGCCATGGGGGAGCGCGACGTGCACGTTGAACGAGAGCGAGAACAATATTCGGGCCTCCAGCTCAAGCATGCCCTTTTGGAATCTGTAGTATTGGTCCTCGGTTTGGTAGTAAGAGGCTGGATCGTTGGTGGCCGTCGCGGGGCCGGGGTTTCTGAGAAAGGCCGAGCTTGGCGATAGTAGGTAGGCATATACGGTCGAGACGTCACGAGGCGAGCGAGGAAACGATCCCATCTTGGCGACGAGATATAATGAAGCCGCGGATACGTCCTGGACTTTTGCATTAGCATGGCCGCTCCCGAGAACGGCGATCGCGGCAACTTACGCTAAACTCGTCTGCCATTGGCGAGTCTACCAGCCAGAATCGCGCCAGTACGACGTTGGCCTGCGCCGTCACGGATTGCGGGAGCTCCAGCAGCAGGCCGGCCGCTTGCGTGAGGCATTGCGTCGCGAAGAAGACGGCTTCCTGCAGATCTGGAGGAAGCTCTGAGGAGGTCGAGCGGCGGTAGAGCTGCTCCACCGTAGCAAGGGGATTCGTCAGGGACGCCATTTCTAGGGGATGCGACCCGAGGAAAAGGAATGCTCGGGTGCCCGTCGGTGCTCTAAGAAAGCAACGAAGGAAAGTCGGCAGCGCCGTTGTCGGCGTGGGAAGGTGTCGATGCCATCGCAAAAAGCTATTGTGGGGCTGGCGAGACGCCAACAGCTTGGAAGCGGCGAGTGCCCAGCAAGACGAAAAAGATAATAAGGGAGGCAAGATCCGATCCAATTGATAAATAATAATAAAAGGTAGTGAAATAGCGTTTAGCAAAAGTAGAGGAGAGTAGGGAGTAGGGGCGGGGAAAAAAGGTTTTTGGCAAAAAAATAACTTGCGGCCAGTGTGACTCGAACACACGACCTTCAGATAGGTATCTAAATCCGTAGGATTGAAGTTGGACTTCAGTCTGACGATCTCCCAGCTAATCTATGGCCGCTAGTTGTTGGAAGCGGCTGACTTATTTTGTCTTAATTAGAGGGGCCATACGTGCCGCTAGGGCTCATCGCATTAACACTGAGATACTGTTGATTTGCAAAGTTTGATTGTCACACAACATTGCATCTTCCCAACAAAAAGTAGCATTAGCCATTCGTTGCATGTTACGCCCCCACACCATGCGGCAACTGTGGCAATAGATCTGTATAGTTACTGATACACAAATATCGGCCTACAACTCACAAGGTACAATCAGTCGCCCAAGGTAATCAATGCTCGGCATAAGTAAGCGAATAAAACTAGATGCCGTATGGATGAAACTCACACCGGTTGCAAAAGAAATGCTAAATAATAAAAATGACAGTCACACAATCAGGCAACGTAATATCCGTAATATCCAAACATGCCGTGTTGCCACCGCATCGGTCTCTATAAGACGCCTACTGCTGCCCAAGGAAAGATCCAAACTCTTCCACAAACAACACTCATCTTCAGACTACATTCATCTTCATACTATATTCTTCATCAGAATACACTCATCATGTGCCAGTTTCAGGAACAGTACGGCGCGTGCGGCTGCTTCGCCCAGCTCACCATCGTCTTCCCCCTCGACCCTTCCCTCTGCCCCAGGGCCGTGGAGCGGGCGAGGGCCACCAACACGGAGGTCCGTTACTGTGACCCCCCAGCCACCATGCCAAAGATAACTTCCTTTACCATCTGCAAAGACAGCGAGCTGTGCAGGATCAAGGCGTTCACCGACCGGAAGTGGCAGTGCTGCTCCTGCCGCGGCTTCGTCGAGCGGCTCGACAAGCCTCACTGCAAGCGGTGCTTCCATACGCCCTGCGCAACCTGCCTTCTCTTCAGGAGCGAGGTGTAATAGCCCGGAGGGGAGCGGCTATGGGTGGAGGGAGGCGCCCTTCAGCTCTGCGTCTTGAGTCCCGCTGCAATTTTGATGAGCCGGCGTCACAACTACGAGCGCAACCACAACAGTGTTTCATGTTGAGGATGGTGTTTGCCTGCTTGCATGTGAGATCTCCTCTTTTCCACTCTATTCAAAAGCGTGTTGCCTCATCAACGGCTCTTCGTCGGCCAGGGCACCCGCGGTTCATTAGCTAACAGCCCGTTCAGAGTAGGCTCTCCATAGCAGTCAATAAGTCAATAGGATATTGGCCTGGAAACCTGGTACCCGGGTCTCTCGTGAACCCGAATTTTCTTGCAATTCATTACTAGGCGCTCTGTGATGCCTATTCAATATGCTGTCTGCAGTGTGTATCCCCACGGTGAATTGGACTGTACCAGAGAGCCGTCCCGAAGGAACACAGTTGGTTCAACGTATACAGGAGTGCCGAACCAATATACATGTTTCAGTCAAATGAAAAACAAGATTAATCTCCTATTTCGGGAATGCTCGCGATCGAATTTGTACAGGCTTTTGTATTATTCTTGAATTTTGCTGATTCCGATCGTCCAAGCGTCTCTATCACCACTCTCAATGCAAATGGAGGTCAAAATGCGTCTCTCGTCTAACTAGCTAATGAGAAGGCGGTATTTCTAGAGCAGTACTAATGAGAACAATACAAATTTTTCCTATTTGGTCCAGATACAAACTACATTTCGAACGTGTAAGGCAGTGGTTGGGGAGGCAAACTTGACAAACCACCACGTTTCCGGTACAAATTGGATGTGACTCTGGCATTGCACCCGCTCGCCCTAAAGATGGGACTCTAGACAATGACCATCGGATTGAGGCGCTCTACATCTGGCTTGATTTCTCATTCATATAAATATTTTGTTGGCATTCAGCGTCGGAGGACATAGCAACGGGTGCCATTAGGTGGTACCTTGACGCATGTGTTGCCTACGCGAGTGAAACAACCGTTGCGATGGCTAGGGAAAATGACGAAAAGAAATGCGATATTTTTGTCTTCTTCTTTGTGTAATGGGACGGGAGACTCGAAATGATCTACATTCTAGTGGAAAAATTGCGCGGGCGTGGGCTCCAAGTGCAGTGACGGACTACAAGAGTTGGGCACAGAGCGCGGTCCAACACTGTTCTGGTCCATGCAGAGAGATTCTAGTCTCCCAGGAAGTAACCTATTCGTCAGTTACTTTAGCAAACGCTACGATAAGCCATTCTCATGCACCTGTAATTGACTAGTAGCTGGTAGGCGTCTCGACCCCGGAATGGGTACTTACACTGTGGCCAATAGTAGGAGCGTGAAACGCCGGGAAAGAGTGCCCCGGAGAGATACTCGACCAAGGAAATATCCACGAGGCTTACATTAACAAGACGGAAAAGCCATTACCTGCATCTACAATTCCCATCCTTAGATCGGTGACAAACGCGAGGCTGCAGATATTAGCTTCACAGCTGAATCCGTCAAGTACATGCGTTCTGGGATTCTTGCTTCCTCAAGTACAAAAACACGCACGTGCTAGACAACAAAAATACCAGCAAGTAATCCGAGCCGAAAATACCCTCGTCCACGGATCCATCCCAGAAGTCCTGGTGGTTAGATGGGGGACATGGACGTATGCGCCTTTAGCCGCTCCAAAGAATACGAGTTGGCAGCAGGGCCGATAGTATCACGGTGCGCCATCACTAGGAAAGTCTCGGCCATCTTCTCCTTTTGTGCATCATCGCTTAAACTTTACTTTATTTCATACCCGAAGATTTCGCAAAGCAACATATATCCGGGCCAGTTTCCGGGCGCACGCCGCATTTTGCATTTCAGCTCATGCGGCTGCGCTCCCGATGACCCGACTCAAGGCTTGGCACCAATCAGGCTCGTCGCTTCCAATCCTTTCGTCTCCGTCCGAAGACGGTTGAAGGTCGTCCATGATCAGGACAAGAGCATGTTTCTGCACTCTTACACATCTTGCCGTATAGGAATGTCCAATTCGTGTCTGAGGAAGTCACTTCTGTGGACGAGGCTGGCTGAAGGCAAGCCATCAGGCTCTACCGATATTCCTTCCAACTTTTGGTCGCGGATGGCTTACAATACTTTCCAAAAATGCTACTGCGTGCGGTGAATCCTACACAGTTGGGGGAGTATATAAGTTCGAGCCAATCCACCGGTTCGAGGAGAGTAAACCTGCTTGAGCATCCAATTCAAGTTGAACACAAGAGTCTACACTTCACCATGCACTTTACTCCGGTCGTCCTTTCACTTGCTCTTGCGGCTGTGCCTCTGGCCCAAGCGGCAAACTGCAAGCGTGGACTCAATTACTGTGGTCAGACACTTCTGAACATCGGTAAATAACGACAAGACCGGACCCCTCAACTTAAATGCAACTTTCTAATCGTCTATTAGGCAAGTATGATCATCAGATACGGGAAGCGCTCAGGGCGGCACACCAGCCCGAAGATGCAGCCCACATCAAGAAGTCCCTCTTCTACTGCACTGGAGGAAGCAATGGGGACATCAGTTTCGCCGAGTATTGCAAAGTGCGATGCGTTGACGATGGCGCTGGCAAGTCGGATTACTGTGCCCTAGCACGGCTGCACGCGCCGGAGTCGTGATGCCGGCGCCAGGGGAATAAGCTAGGAGGCGAAGCTTCAGTCGTTGTATGGAGTTCTCCTGGGGAGTTTAAGCTCGGCCGACTGTTAGCGTTTTTTTGTCTATATGTAGTCGCTGCAAATACAAACTACAAATGCCACGGACACCAGTCCTGATCAAGTTTGGTCATCGGTCAGCCCAGGTAGCAGTTCTCATGGGCGGCTCTGGCGGAGCTCCTGAAGAGCATGTATAGAGCACATGGATGGACTACATAGTAAGGTATCGTCCTGTTATAGTTCAGTTCAACTCATGTTAGTCCTCTCTTGCAGATGCCCAACCCTCAAGGTTTCGGGCGGCGCGAGTTGCTATGGAGATGAAAGCCGGCGCCGTCTCTCTTGATTCCGCATGCACGGACTTGATGCTAGACTCTCTAGCAGCTTTCAAAGGCCGAATAGTTTTCTCGCCATACCGTTTCGCTTGTTTTTGTACTTTCCTTGGCCAAGACTGCGTACGCCGCTGAACTCAAAATGTAGGCGAGTCTGAAGCGGCGACAATGCCTGGCAAAGTATACATCCCAGCCACGAGTAACCAGGACAACAATGGAGAAAAACCATCAAGCCACGTTTAGTTAATATTCAGTGCAAACCGACCGAGAGCCCCAAGCATCACCTATCATCACACTGACCATGAAGTTCCGGTCGTCTGTCCTCATCGCTTGCGCCGCCGCCCTGCCGGTCTTTGCTTCGACAGATAACAAAGTCACCAAAACTAGCATTACTATGGATGCGTCTTCCACTGGAAATGATCCCCTAGACGCCAACATGCGGCTTCCCGCCAGCACGACGTCCAACAAGATTGAACCAAGGCAAATGACCTGCTTCGACAAGTGCTCCGAGCGGAAAGGCAAGTGCCTCACCGTGAATCTCTGCATCCGCAAATGCAATATATGCATAGATACAAAAGCCTGGGTAAGTGATGAACTTATCTCTTCTCCTTCTGCCAAAGCCCAAAACACTATGGCCAAAATCTTACCACACACAGTTCGATCCCGGGGACAGATGTCAATGCATCATTCAAAGGGGAGGGAATGGTTGGGGGAGGGGGAGGGGGAGGTTGGATACTGCAAGGTAAAAGTAGGATAGTCGCAATCTAATCCAGCCTGAGCCAAACATGCCTGTTTCGTTCGATCAATACAGTGCCAGCCTACCTCGCTGTAGGGTAGGCTCTCGTCGCGGAAGTGCGACATCGGATACAACCTCTTCTGACGGGCGGACAGTGGTGAAATGCTGATTTGCATCGGATCCATTGGAGAAAACTAGCGATTAGACTAGCTCATTCGTTTGATCTCGGACTTTGATGGCATGGTTACTTACGTCGTGCAGACATGGTCAAATGAACTGTGACGTGTAAGCATGGTTCAGCCATACTATGCAGTAGACCCTCACTTAGTAGGTAGCACATAAAAGCCTCATCCTTATTTATCATGCAATTATTGGAAACTCGCTTTAGTCCTAGAATGTGATTTGGGTATTCATTGGCGCTGATTGGCGTAAATTGCACACACCGATGGCCAGCCAAGTCGGCGAGTATAAGCTCCGACCACGGTGCGTTGCATCTTGCGAACCTTGGCTTTTCGAGTTCAACTTCCCAGCTAGTAAAATATTCCCTCCATCGACAGAAAGGAGGTTGGCGTAATCTATTGCAAGTCTTTTTGGTTCCCCATCAACTGGGTCTGAGATCCCGATTGCCCGGCGACCTACCCGTCTTGTTGCGTGTTCCATGTGGCCATGTTGCTTTTGATCAGGGCTGTTTCCAAAGATAGAATGGCACGACACTTTTGTGGTTTGAACTATCCAGACTGTAGCTGTCGACGAGTTCGGTTGCTGGGCATGCCGATTACCGAATGGAACAGGGTAAGCATGCAATGCGATGCCAGATGCTAGAGCTTAAACTTGACGCTAATCTTCACCATGAACAGGAGGCAGATTGAAGATGCGATTCATCCAGTTGTGATGCTGATTCGAATGTGTTGATGAACACTGAGTTGACCTCTGCATAATTTTCGTCATGTATTCACCAACACAATGCTCTTCCCCGTCTTCGTCGTTGAGCTCATGCGCATAGTACGTACGTGAAACCCAGCAAAACAGTTGGAAAAGTAGCAATAATCTTGCATTTAAAGAACAAAGACAAAATTTTCAGAATCTATAAAACATACCTTTTATGACACCATCATGTATAAAAGCAGGTCTGATCCTTCCACCTTCATCCTCTATCTATAGTGGAGCTCCAGTAGCTATTCAAGCTTCCCCCACAGATCGCTAACTTGCGCCTGCCACCACCACCACCAACCAACCCCAACCGCCGTCCCACGATCCCGATCCATTGACGTCGCATTGCCGAGACCTACACGAAATCTTCGACACTGCTTCACCGGGCGACCGCGTAACAAACCCGGCCCCCACGATGGCCACGACGACGCAGCCGCCCGTCGACGGACTCTCGCCGCCCGCCCAGCAGCAGCAGTCCCAGCCGTTTGAGCTGAACCTGCAGCATGGCCACAAGGACCTGGTGCAGGCCGTCGCGTTCAACACGTACGGCGATCGCTGCGCGACAGGCTCCGTCGATGGCAAGATCCGCGTCTTCAACCGCCACAAGGACGGCACGTGGCGCATATGCGACACCTGGACTGCGCACGGCGGCGAAGTGCTAGAGGTACGACAAGCCGCCCTCCCGTTCTCTCCAAAGTCGCACAACTAACACCATCCCACCTTTCAGCTCCAGTGGCTACCTGCCACCGTGTACCCCAACGTGCTCGCCTCGCTCGGCGCCGAGGGATGGTTCCGTCTGTGGGCCGAGGACCCCTCCGCCGCCCCCGGCCGCCGCTTCTGCGCCGGCCGCACCTCCTCCGGCCGCCCCGTCTTCGACACGCGCTCCTCCCGCGGCGGCGGCAGCAACAACAGCCCCTACCGCTCCTTCTCCATGAAGCACAACGACGAGACCAAGCACACCTATCTCGCGCTGCTGACCACCGAGGGCCGCCTGGCCGTGTGGGAGACGGAGCAGGCCGAGGCGCTCAACGACTACGTGCGCATCGACGAGTTCCTGGTGCTCCCGCAGCGGCCCGCGCGCGGTGAGGAGACCTCCTTCTGCTGCGCCTTCGACCCGAACCCGGAGCCGTGCTACGCCGCCCTGCGCGCCGGCGTGCCCACCGACGCGCTCGGCCTGGCCGTCGCCGCCATGCGTGTGGTCCGCCTGTACCGCTCACGCGACGCTGTCACTGCCAGCTACGGCGTCGACACCGCCCGCAAGGAGTTCTACCTCGCCGTCGAGGTCGCCGGCCACGGAGGGCTGGTCCGCGAGGTCGCCTGGGCGCCGGGCAACATCCGCGGCTACGACATGATCGCGACCGCGTGCCAGGACGGCTACGCGCGCGTGTTTCGCGTGGACACCCCCGTGGACGGCACCGACCGCACCTCGTGGGCCGAGAGCGCTCTCGTCACGCCCGAGAAGTCGCTCCAGCTGCACCGCGCCGCCGCCAAGGCCGCTGCCGCCGCCGCCGGCACCGCCACCGCGGGCACACCTCTCGGATCCTCCTCCCCCAGCAAAGACTCGGACGGCACCAGGACGCCGCCGGCGCCGGCGCCGCCACCGCAGAGCCACCACCAGCACCATCCATCGAGCCTGAGCGCGAGCTTGGCCAGCAAGGCGGCTGGCAGCGGCAGCAGTGTGGCTAGCTCCTCAACCTCGCGCCTGCGGCCCGCGCAGCAGGGCCAGCCGGGGACGGCGGCGCACACGGTGCGCGAGATCTCACGCCTGGACAACCACCGCACGCCGGTGTGGCGGGTCGGCTTCGACGACGACGGGCGCGTGCTCGGCACCACCGGCGACGACGGCAAGCTCCTGTGCTACCGCCAGACGCCCGACGGCGCCTGGGCCAAGAGCTCGGAGATGATCATGATGAAGACACGGATGGCGGCGCCGTGATGCAGCAAAGCGGACGAAGCGGGGAGATGGGTTCCGGTGGACGGGCGGAGGCGCAGGTTGATGGCGGCATGAAATGTACGTAATATTTAATACTGGCGTATAGGGCTTAATGCATGGACGGACTTCTTTTTCTTTGTATTTTGATCCCAGTCCTCTGATACATAGCTTGCTCTGGTTGAGTCTGGGCAATCTAAACTTGACCTCTTACGTGGCATCATGTCATCATGGACCTCTCGGACGACTGCTTCCCAAGTACTTATATCACCAAGTGGCACGGTTCGTTTCTTATGGATGCAATAATGTATTTATGGCAGTTAGGCTGCCCTCCAGTAAAGTCATTATCTCTGTAACGCTCTCCGGTCATAATTTACTTCATGTATTCTCGGAGTGGAATGGAAGTCGGGCTAAAAACAAACGAAACAATATTAACTCCATGCCCTGATAACGCCGTGTTCATGATGCTGGACAGTTTGGTATCCATTTTCCGATGCGCAATACAATCGTGGAAGCTCCAGAAGTGCAAGGTGGGCGACAAGCGGCATGTAACGGCACGCTAAGCGGGCACATACCACCGCATCCCCCCCCCCCCCCCTGAACCACCTTTTCATCTCTATCAACTTCAAGTCCAAAGCCAAAGCAAGTTTGCAAAACAGACATACAGCGCGGATACAACTCTTACGCGGCATCAGCACTGGCCACGGGCTGGACGACCTTGGTGACCTGGTTACCGGCGCGGATGATGCGCTGGCCGGTGGAGTCATTGACATAAGAGACGTCCTTGTTCTCAAACTGGGCACGCTTCCAGATCTCAACCTCGCAGCCACCGCGGAGGACACCAACACGCATGGTGGAGAGCAGGTTGTGGGCGGCGTTGGAGTGGAGGTAGACACCACCGTTGAAGATGGCGGTGGCATCCTTGCCGATGGCAGAGCTGATGAGGGCCTTGCCACCGGGGTGCTCCTTGATGAAGTTGGTGACGTCGTGGATGACACCGGCGATGGCGACGAGGGCCTTGCCGTTCTTGGAGTCGGCGACGAAGTCGTCCCAGGAGATGACGGGGAGCTGCTCGAGGGGTGTGCCCCAGTCGAGGACAGCGCGCTTCTGGTCGAGCTTCTTCTGGAGCTGCTGGACGCGACCCTTTTCGATTTCGTTGGAGCGGAACTGCTTGAGGTCGGTGGCAAGGCCGAGGAACTTCCAGAGGCAAATGGCCCACTTGGTAGGATCGTACTGCCACCACTCAATGGCGTTGCGGTAGTCGGAGGGGAATTCGTGATGGAAGTTGTGGTAGCCCTCGCCGAGGGTGACGAGCGCGGTGATGACGTGGTCACGGGGGGAGTTGCGGTCATCAAAGGGCTGGTCGCCGAGCCAGTGGGCAAGCGAGTTGACGCAGAAAGTGGCCTGCTGAACGAACCAGATACGAAGAATACCGCCGTAGACGAAGCCACCGAGCCAATCGTTCCAGAGAAGGCCGCAGAAGACGGTAGGGAAGACGAGGGCAGTGAAGATGACGGACTTGAGGTAGTTCTTGTGCTGCCAGACGACGACGGGGTCTTCGTTCAAGTCGGTGATGTCAGTACGGCCGGTGCGCTTGGGGTTCTGCTTGAAGACCATCCAGCCGAGGTGGGAGTAGAGGAGACCCTTGCGGACCGAGTAGGGGTCCTTGTCGGTATCGGTGTAGCGGTGGTGAGCGCGATGGTCGCGGGACCACCAGCGGATGGAGCCCTCAACGGCACCGGCACCGACGAAGGCGAGGTAGATCTTGAGGGGAGTGGAGGCCTTGTAGGAGGAGTGAGCCCAGAGACGATGGTAGCCTTAAGATGGTTAGTTTTCTTCGCCCCCGTTACTGCAGAATTGTTGAGCAGTGTTAACTTACCAGCAGTGATCCCCAGGCCGGTGTTGAAGTAGTAGATGACGGCAAAAATGGCGGTATAGAGCTGGAGAGGCACCCAGTAGGCTGAGATGAAGCCAATCATGGGAATGATGATGATAAGGGTGGTGTTGAGCCAGTTGACATGCTTGTGCCAGTTGGACCAAGTCATGGGAGTGTCGGCAATGTGCACCTTGGCAGGATCATAGGCGGGACCGGAGCGCAGAGGCTTGTAGTCGGTGGTGCCATCAGGAATGGCGGCCGGAGCCTTCTTTTCTGCGGAAGCAGAGGACGACATGATGAAGTCGTGGAGGGTATGTGTCGAAGGAAGTCTTGTCAACAACCAATGACTGGTGGTGAGAAGAAGGGTTGTAATAGGATGAAGGAGGCAAGATTGGAAAGAGGTGAAGGGGAGGTCAGAGATAATAAGAAGGGTACAGATGGCGGAGCTAATAATAACGGAGGGAACGTGGTGGCGAGATGGCGGCGGATACTGGGCCGAGCTGTCTGACCTGTGAGCGGAAGTTTGACTGGTTGTGTCAAAACACAGGCCAGAATCTTTGTGCCGAAGAGCCCTTGTTCTTCCCTTGATGAAGGAGGTTTTGCTGGGCGGCGGGGCGTGGCCTCTTGCGCAAGGGTTGTGTTGCAGGATTTTGGTGGTGGTCGTGCTTGTTGGGGTGCGGCGGATCCGAGAACAGGGGACTGGCTTTTGAGCGGAGGCCCCGGCTGTGTGACTGCAAGTTGAAAATATGTCGATTCTTTGATAAGGTTCCTTTCTACAGTGATGATTCCGTGTAAAGGTGCATCATCCGCAGCGTAATTCGAACGCGGTGCCGGTTTTCTACAGTGTTTTGCATTTGCCGGCTGGCGTGTTTATACTGGTGGCTGGCAGAAGTTGTTGAGGCGTGTAAGTCAAGGTACAAGATACCTTGGCCATGTACCAGGTGATTGCAGCGACAGCACCAACAAACCGTCTACAGGTGCAGCTATAAAGATTATCGCCTTCCCCAGCATCCGGAGCATCACATGTGCCGACAAGAAAAATCAGCAGATTGACATCACGCAGTGGCGTGCACACATTGGACAATCAGTGCTCGCATGTACACGTAAAGCCGTCGACGTGCTGCTTGGTGGGCGGGACCATCCAGATCTGACGAGCCGAGGTGCTTTTTTGGCGTGCCAAATTTGGAACTAGCGCGGAATAAAAAAATATTTGCAGGGGGACTAATGGTACTTATACTGCCCTTACAGATTATATGGCTAGTGCTTGTACCTATCTCCACCACGGCACAGCGGAACCCAACGCGTTCTGGATGGTTTCCCCAACAATTTCTCACTTACCGTGCCCAGCAGCTGTCAGCCAATCAGATGCGCCGCTTTCATCAGTTCCCACGCCTTCTGTCTTGCCGGCTTCACCCTGTTTCTACTTCCAGCCATCCAATTATCCAGCATCAACAGCCAATGCCCATTCCCGCCTTCTCCACACGGTTACATGCTTGATCCATCACACCATGTCATATCTCTACTCTAATCCAGCTGATTCCATTGGCACGAGGTGGCAAGCAACGGTGTCGCGGAACAACATCGACACAGTCACCGAGTGAGTCTCCGACAACCTGAGCTCAATCTCTCACAGGCCGCCATGCTGTGATACCCGTATCTGATACACGTATCTGATACGGATTGCCATGCCGTGTCAGGCCACGCCCGATTCTCTCGACGCAGCTTGAAACCATCATCAATACATGGCGAATACTGCTGCCACATGTTCCCGCCCCTCCTCGATGTGTTCCTGCAGGCTTGACCCGCGCTAGACCGCGACTGGACGGAACCATACGAATACCTTGATTACCAGTAGCTGCATTGTGCCCTCCTTACCATACGGACGTAGCTATGACGCTACTAGATCGTCTTTACTGACATCTTGCCAACGCGAAATGCTGGACACATCTGGGTACACTTTTGCCTCGGCCGAAACTCAATTTGACACGCGCACACTCCAAACAAGCTTCCTCGCAGACTCGTCTACCAAAACAAGAAACGACATAACCCCCCATGATCTGTTTACGCGGCTCAAGGCCATTCCCGACAAGCTCGCCCGGGTGAAAGAAACGCAGCCTAGATTTCACCGAAGCGATTCTCTTCCAAGGATTGGGGCGGTGTCTGTCAATGGCGCCTGTAGCAATTTCATATTCCCTCAGTAGCTTCCTGGATAACCCAGGCTTGACGGGCTTAACGCCGTCTCCATTTCAAAACATCCATCCTTTCGCCTATCGCCTCTTGGAAAGCAATGTACCTTATTCATAGACTACTCGTCCTCAGTATGCCTAATGGATGGCTCATCACGATTCCACGTATGCAGCATAGACCGCGTCAGCTTTTCTTTGGAACGCTCCCGATCGAGACATTGCTTTGTGTTGAGGGCCTTTGCAACCAGACAGTCTGCGCAAGTATCCCGTCACTGTCAACGGCCGCTTCACTTTCTGGGACGGTAGCAGGCCTAACTGCGGTAGCAACCTCATCGTGAAGTGCATCGTTTCATTGCTCCCAAGAGCTTCTGAAGCTTCCGTCCCCATTGCGAAGATCCTCTTCGCGACTCGAAATCTCCTGGCACCCGACGGGCCCAAGCTGCTGCGTACCAGAGTCTACTATAACCCTTCATAGGGTTCTTCAGCTTTCTTCATCAAACTTCAACTCGCTGCCTGCGTGCTGCCTCCGACGGCTGAGCCTGCTCCGGTAGATCTGGTAAACCAAACTGTTGCTGGTCCGCATCGCCAATGTCGCTCCACTGCGGCATCTTACACTCGACAGACTTTAACAACGTTGTCATGTCCCTCGTCCGTCTTTTACCTGATTCTGTCTATGTCGAATTCAAGTCGACAAAGTTGCAAATCATCCAGACGAGCAAAACTTTGGCGTAACCGCACTTCTTGTCTGCCTCCGCAAACGCCAGAATGAGAGCCCCAAAACCGGCTCGCAAACGTCGAGCGATATTGGTCCGAGGCTAATGCTTAACAGGCGTCCTTGATGTTTTCGGGCAACGTGCTGTTGATAGTATCCCACTGCACATGTTCTGAAAGGGACTCCGCTTACTTGGACCAATCTCCCGACAGAATTTCCGGAGGTCTCATTCTGCCTGGCGCAGCTGGCATCAGTCGTTAACTCTGCCAACTTTGCCCATAGGGTAAAATAGCCGGCGAGATTTGGGCTCAAGGTCTAATCAGCAGGCCGCCGTCGCAGATCAAGTTCGCAACACAACTCGCTGCGAAGGTCTCGCGGGAGAAGACGACGAGAAATATATCATCACCGTCTCTGTAATTATCTGCGAGGCACCAGTGTACCGAACGGATGTTTTGGTCAATCCTTATGCATGTCAGCCCACACCAGACTTGCCGCGTGACGGTCTCCAGCCTCACCTACCTCTCCCGATTGCCTCATCGCACACGATTTTTGCCTTGCCAGTTCTGATACCTTTATAGGGTGCATCATCTGCACAAATTCCGTACCTGAATACACAAGCTCAGGTAACAGGCAAAATTTCGGTCAACTCGCGTTCGTTTCCGGGTTGTCCGAGTCGGAATCATTCCAGGCTCCGTCAAACAATAACCAAGCGCCGTACTTCAGACTTGCAAATCGACCCCTCGCTGGGCGACTCCTGCATTGACGGTTCAGAGCAAGTTTCAATGAGATCCAGCGACTGCAAGCTTAGAGGACCTGTGTCTCCAGCGTCGGCGCTCTGCAGGCCCTTCCTCATTTCTGGAAACGAATTGCAGGATGGGGTAGATTCCGCACGCTTGACACCAAAGCACGACACGCACTTGAATCAAGCATTATGCGAACTCCTCGGCAATCTCGAGAGGATAATTTGTGAGTTCCCAGGATATTGCATTCCCAGAAGAGTGCTGCAGCGGGTGCTGTCTGAGGGGGTGGAGACTTGCAGAATAACCTGCGCGAGGTCCTGAGGGGCAACGGCGGAGGTAGTTCTGGTGAGAGGATTCAGTGCATCGTAAGGATTCGATGCCTGACGAGACAGATCACGGATCGGGCAGCAAGACGTCTGGATGGCACGTCTTGGGGAGTCTCTCTCATTCTGTTACGCAATCTCACTTTTGAGCTGGCTGGAAGAGCAGAAAGTGAAAGGAGCTTTGCAGAATGAAGCTCTTCGAGGCAAGTCAAGCTCGGAACCCCGCCTACCGGGCCGTCGCGAAGCCGCCCAATCCGTCCCAGATCGGCGGGCCGCCTTTCAGCCCCAGCCGGGCAGACACGGCCCAGCCCCGAGCTACTGTATGTAGCTCCAATGATACCACTCCATCGCCTGAGTGCGCTGAACGACCCTTGGCCGTGGTCCAAAACCAATGAAGGTTTCGTTGTGACGATCCATCAACCTGCAGAACAGGCGCTGGACTATTGAAAATGGTCCCGACTCGGTCTCATGCATCCGCCCGAGGGGAGACTGGACCGCCTTTATAAGCCCTGCGAACAGATGTTGCCCAGCAGGCTCTCCTTGAAACTGACAACTCTTCCGCTCTATACACATGCACGAAACCAAGACGAGTCGCTTTAAGAACGCAATGTATAAGCACGTCGTCGCCATAGCAGCGCTTATTGGCGCCGCTTTCGCCACCCCCGTGGCTGAGCTCAAGACAGGAGTCAGCCCCAGAGACTGCGGCCTCTTTGGTGCATTTTGCTGGAACCAGGCCTGCTGCGAGACTCTCTTCTGCAGGACTGACACCCATACTTGCGATATGTGCGCCGCCGAAGGCGCTTTCTGCGGCAGCGTGCCCTGCTGCGCGAGCTTGACGTGTAGCAACAATCATATATGCACGCGCTGCGGTAGTTTTGGCCAGACCTGCCAGAATGCCGTTCCCTGCTGCAACGGGCTTCGCTGCCGGGGTGACATCAGCAAGACATGTCAGTAATGGACGCAGCGGCGACGGACGCGCCATACTACAACAGTGTGTCCAGCTGCAAAGGGCTGGGCGGCATGCGATGAACGATACTAATGTATCATCTGCCCGGGGATCAGCAGCTTGGACGAGTGCAGACTCTCTAAGCAGTGGCTATGGTTCCTTCACTGTGTCTCACGGCTCAAGTACTTCTAGAAAAGAAGATAGAAACAAACAGGGGGGATTTGGAGGGGCAAAATAACTCTGTTTCGGCAGATCTAATGTCTGAGATGCCGATGCCGCCCATGCGTCCTACCATCAGCGCCGACCAGCTTCAGCCCCCGCTGGACCGTCAGCGCTCGGTCCACGAAGCTTGTCTGCAATCGTGCCGCTCCCATGAATGAAAGAGGCGTCTTCGAGTCTTGTCTCCTTCTTGAACTGAGATCCAGCCTCACACGGCTCAGCAGATGACCACGAGGCGCCATCGAACGGTCTGGGCCCTGGGGGGCGGCATCTACATATCCATCGGCCCATCGGCCTATAAGTAGGGCCTCGGAGGAGACCAATCCCCCCGGTCTCGCAAAGTCTCAAAACCTCAAATCTATTAGACGTAAGGGAAAGAGTCACAACCTTCTATCAGAAAACGATGCTCAAAGCTCTTCTTGTTCTCTCCATCCTCGGCGCTGCTGTCGCCACTCCGGCCGCCGAGCCCGAGCCGGCCGCCGCCGACCTCGAAAAGCGCTGCAACGGCAACGGCGCGTTCTGCAACAACGGCGTTCCCTGCTGCGCCAATCTCTTCTGCAGCAGCAGTCAGGTCTGCAGAGGATGCAACGGAAACGGCGCGTTCTGCAACAACGGCGTGCCCTGCTGCAGCGGGCTCTTCTGCAGCTCCAGCCAGGTCTGCAGGGCCTGCAACGGCAACGGCGCGTTTTGCAACAACGGCGTCCCGTGCTGCAACGGCTTCTACTGCAGCAGTAGTCAGGTTTGCAGAGCGTGCAATGGCAACGGCGCGTTTTGCAATAACGGTGTGCCGTGCTGCGCTGGGACTTACTGCAGCAGCAGTCAAGTCTGCAGAGGGTGCAATGGCAACGGCGCCTTCTGCAACAACGGTGTACCATGCTGCGCAGGTCTCACCTGCAGCAGCAGCCAAATCTGCAGATGAAAGTATGCCTGGGGCTAAGCAGATCGATACTCGGTCAAATAAGAGATTATACGTCATTGCATGATAATGGGGGGGAGGGGCGAGCGGGCAAGCTCACAAGAATGTATTATGTCCATAGTGTACCTCGCCGCTAGTCTTTGAAATGCATGCCTCTTGTCTTCTAAAAACAGCCATTGGAGAGTATGCCTCCCACGGGGGTATCGTAATGCGAAACAGAAGAAGTTGAAGCGACCGCTCACGGATGGCATTGCAGCGGCGCGAAGCCCTGCGTCCACCGCAAGCTGCCCATGATGACGACCATCAGCGCCGTCGCCAGCGCCACGCTGACCACGCCGTACACATACGCGCTCCGCCGTCGGAGACTGCTCAGCTCCGCCACCCACGTCGACACCGTCGTCAGGCAGCCACAGAAGCCGTCCTCCACGCCCTGCAGCAGCTGACACCCCAGGACGCCGCCGCCACTCGCCGCCGAGTGCGCAATGTCCCACGCCGCACCGAGGATCATCGTGCCAAGGATGTTGGCCGCGAAGGTGCCGAGCGGGAAGGATGGCCGGCGCGCGTTGAGCAGCAGGGCGAGGTAGAAGCGCGCGAGGCACCCGAGCGGCGCGAACACGATGGCGAAGACGACCGTCCCGCGCCAGCGCTCGTGCGGGGGGAAGATGGCCAGGAGCACGGCGCCGAGCCAGCAGCCCCAGCCGAGAAAGACACCGAGGGCGTCGAGAGCGTGGCGCGCGCGCCGGCCGAGAGACGGCACGGACGGCGTGTAGGGCTCGAGGGCGGCGCCGAGGTGCGCGCCCGCGCGGTAGGCGGCGAGCGACAGGCCGACCGTCTGTATGATGACGGCGAGGACGGCCATGACGGAGTCGCCGGCGGGTCGGGACTCCGGGCCTAGCCCGCGCAGGTCCGGGCCGACCATGTCGTTGGACAGCGCGAGGAAGACGTCGCGGATGAACGTGGAGAAGCTCGTGAAGCTGCCGCAGAAGCCGGTGGCGAGGCCAATGTACAGCGGGATGGTCTTCTTCGCCGCCAGGTGCGCCCGCTTCGCCGCCGCGAGGTCGACCGAGGCGGCGCTGCCGGCGCGTCGCCGGCGAAGCACCGCGTCGTAGGTAGCCGATGTTGAGGAGGTGCCCCATTCGTAGCGGAACAGCTTCCGGTCCTCGACGAGGAAGCCCATGACGAGGCTGCCGCCGACGTTGGCCCACAGCGTCGGGAAGCTGCCGGCGGGCGCGCCGGGGTAGGCGGTGAGGTGGGCGAGGCCGACGCGGGCGAGGGTGCCGAAGATGGCGAAGAGGACGAGATAGGAGAGCGTGTAGACCTGCGTGGCCAGGCGCGATACTTCGTGGGCGGCCTTGTCTTCATCGTCTCGCAGCGGTGATTGCGCTATCTGCGGCTGCGGCGGATGGACCTGCTGCTCGCCGCTGCGGATGTCGTCGAGCGGCGCGTCGCTGGTGGCGGCGAGCTCGTCGAGGTTCTCGTAGCGGTCGGGGATGTCGTAGGGCGAGCTGCCGTCGTCGTCGGTGGTGGAGGCGGCGTGGTTATGGGGGCCACCCGAGCCGAGGGCGGCTTCGGGGGCCATGGGGATTCAGAGGTTAGGGTATCGAGGTGGTGTTGATGGAGAGAAGTGGTTTGTTTGTGACGAGGCTCGCTGGTTCACGGAGATGGCGGGAATATTTTTCTTGGCACCAACGGTGGAGACAGACTTGTTAACTTGTGACTCAGGACGACAAGGCTGTCGGTTGCCCGATCAGGAAATAAGGCCATCTCGCTCTTGGCCTCTGTCTACTATAGATTGTAAACATCTTTTCTCCTCTTTTCTTTTTGGCATTTTTTGTCTCGTCTCTTTTGTCACTTGGGCACAATGTAACACCTCACCGTAGGTACCGGATAAGCTCCGTCTCTTCGCACCATCCAGATTCCGCAGCTTACACCAAAGTCCCTCAGTTTCTGACGTCAAGTTAGCGCAACTTGCTGATTACAAAAACAAACTAATATCGAAACCAGTCGTGCCTCTAGTGGCCAGATTTGCGTCTCGTCAGCACCGTGATGCGGCGAATCCCTCCATTGGCCATCAGTCGCCAGCGGTGCATCATGCTGGGGCAACGTCGATGGGCCAGACCACAGGGGTGTTCCAAAAGAGCTTGAGGAGTTCTTTATCTCACACCACGAGATATTATGAACATGGTTTGCTGTCGATCCGTAGACCTGCCGGGTGGTTTTGAGACTCACTTTTAGGGGCTTGTTGTTGCGTAACAGAAGCGAGTAAGCAGCCATCACTACGACATCGACAACAAAGTTTGGTCAGACTGGCTCCCCTCGTCGTCGCATTGTCTTCACTGGCACCGTTTTCATAGGCCATGTAATCAATCAGGGTCTGTGCTTGTAGTGTTGTATCGGCTTACGCTCCGTATCGTGCGGCATCTAGTGCCCTGCTAAGGGTTTACAACGGAGGGCGATGCGCTGTGAATGAGAAAATGAGGCAATGCTCGGAGGGGAAAGAATTATAATACGCCCACTCGCATGGTGTTTCCAGTTTACCGTTTTATCTTTTACCATTCATCCCTCCTAAAAATTAAACTGGATAAAAATTATAGTTGCTAAAGATGATCCTCGCCACCCTCACAAGACGCCTCACAGACCCTTTTGGTCGTAGGAGACGCGCGTAAAAGTCCATTGAGGGCGTCGGATTCGAGACAGAAGACAAGAAATACCCATTCACGATTTCTTCGTGGGACGACTACCACACTTACCGGCCGATGCTGCCGCCCTCCATGTTTGCGGCGTGGATCAAGTACCACACTGACCACGGCGGCAAGCTCGACGCTGCCCACGATATTGGCGCCGGTAAAGTCCAACATTGTTCTTCCCATCATCTCCCCGACTACAAGAGAACCCAAACTGACTGGACTTCTGCCAGGCTCCGGAACCGGCGCCGCCTTCCTCTCCCAGGTCTTCGCGCACACGTACGTGTCCGACCCCGGCGCCGCCAACATCGCCGCCGCGCGCGCCCGCCTCCAACCCCCCGAAAAGTTCACCCCTGCACCAGGCGCCCGCTGAGGAGCTGTGGCCGTCCACTCCTGCCTCCGTCGACATGGCCGTCGTCTGCAACGCGCTGCACTGGACCGACGCGCCCGCCGTCATGGCCAACCTGGCCGCCTCGCTGCGGCCCGGCGGCACCTTTGCCTGCTGCATGCAGGCCTTCCGCGTCAACTTCCCCGAGAGCCCGGCGCTGGACGCGCTGTGGCTCGAGGCCACGGAGGCGGTCATGAGCCGGCTGCACGCGGAGGGCGCGCTCAGCGAGGCCATCCTGACGGGCATCCGCAACTGCTACGCCGGGTACGACGGCGCGGCGGTGCCGGCGGAGCACTTCACGGACGTCCGGAGGTGGCACGTCAACGCTCGCGCGGGCGACGCGACACCGTACAGGTTCACGAAGAAGGGCGAGTTTGAGGAGAACCCACGGCGGGTGCGGGACGGCGAGGAGAGGGAGGGGTGGACGTCAGACGAGGGGTGGAGGAGGAGGGTGGACACGGAGTGGCTGCGAGGGTTCTTGCGCACGACGACGCTGCCGCCGGATGACGAGGTCTGGAAGATGCCGGCATGGAGGGAGCTGGAGAGGGTGATTGAGGAGGAGTTTGGCGGCGAGGCGACGGCGGAGTGGCCGGTGTATATGCTTCTGGCGACGAGGAGGTGAGGGAGCTGGGTGGCGGAGATATTCAATGATGGCTGTCGAGACGCGACTTTAGCCAGTATTATTTACAATTAAGTTTTACGCGGAAGTACAGAATATGTGTGCCAACATGGCCAGTAGCACATTAATGGATCGGTCGGTGTCTACGCCTGGCCCTGCTCACCCACCACCCAAGACGAAAATCCCTTTACTGAATTTCACACGAGTCAATATTGACCAAGTTGAGTTATCATATAATGTGCTATGCTTATTTTGCTCTGTTCATTTTATTTTTTTGGATTTCTCTTCCTTTTTGTTGACTTCCTCGATTCTTCTCAGGACCCCTCACAGACCACGCCCCCTCCCATGTCCCTGCACTCAACGCATAACAACTGACATTCCACTCCCTGCGCCATCTTCTTCTTCATCCAATCACGTCACATGTCATCTCCCATCGGCATCTTCACCGAGCCCGATTTCCTCCATCCCGATCGCCCGCCAAGCCCCTCCTATCCCGGCCCAAAGCGGCCCCTCCGCCCCGCCTCCGCATCACCGGACCCCGGTCAGACAACATTGGCACCTTATCTCCCTTCTTTCCCCTCCTCTCTTCCTGCATCACAGCTTTCCCAACCCCCTCTTCTCATCTATCCTCCAGAATCACGCCTCTTGCTACAATTAGATCTTTTTACGCAGATACATATTTATAGACAGAAGAATTACAAAACAAGACCATGGTTTCCGACATCGCCCTCCCGCCCAACGTCCACGTCTCGCAGCATCCCAGCCTGCGCGCCAAGATTAGCCAGCTGCGCTCCAAGTCGACCAACTCGCGCGAGACGAACGCCCTCGTCCATGAAATCTCCCTCATCGTCGCCTGCGAGGCGCTCGCCAAGTCGTTGACCGCCGTTCCCGGGCCCAAGGTACGGCCACACCACCACCACCACCCCCCAACCGCTCCCCTCTCTGGAGCTCGTGAAGAGACTGACAGCTTCGCAGGACCAAAGCCCCATCGGCGCCGAGTACGAAACCACCGACGTGTCCCCCGGCACCATGTGCATCGTCCCCATTCTCCGCTCCGGTCTCGGCATGGTCGACGGTTCGTCCCCCCCGCCCCCCCCCCCTCCTTCTCTCCTCAACTCCATTGTCCTCCTCGTCGTCATCTAACTCCCCTCCTCAGCCGTCCAGACCATGCTCCCGCGCCTCGTCCCCGTCCACCACCTCGGCATGTACCGCGAGCCCTCCACGCTCGACCCCGTCGAGTACTACAACAACCTCCCCCACCACGTCCCCAGCAACAGCAACTCCTCCTCCGCCTCGTCGCTCGCCATCCTCGTCGACCCCATCATCGCCACCGGCGGCACCTGCGCCGCCGCCATCCAGACCCTCCGCGAGTGGGGCGCACGTAGGGTCCTCGTCCTCAGCGTGCTCGGCGCTGCGGACGGCGTGCGCAAGGCTGCCGCGGAGTGGCCCGAGGGCACCGAGCTCTGGATCGCCGCCGTCGACGGGGAGCTCACAAAGGAGGGCATGGTCAAGCCGGGACTCGGCGACGTCGGTGACAGGCTGTTCCTCACGATTGGGAAGTAGTTGGGACTTTGGAAAGGGGGGATCCTGGCAGGATCTGTAGCATTATTCATAATATACCAGAAAAGGACTATTCAAACTACTGCGTTTTTTATACGCCGTACTGTTCTTCATCAACGAGAGACCTCTCCTTCCAGCACGTCTCGACCCAGCTACCACGAACTAGGCGCGGCAGCTTCGCTCTCGTACTCAGCTCTCGTCGCAATGCAGCCGCGGCGTCTTGATCATCCCCAATCACCACGACATGGGTAAGCCCCTCGCTCTCCAGCCCGTCCACGCAGACACCGCCTCCGTACCGCACATACCGCGCCAGCCTCTCCGCCTCGCCCGCGCCCGCGCCCTCCCCCATGCGGTGAACACACACCACGCACCGCTGGAACATCATGCTCCGCAGCCGCGCCGACATGTCCCGCCCCCTCTCCTCCAGCTCCGCCAGGAACCTGCCCTTATCGAACGCCTCCTCCCCGCTCTCGAGCTTGGGCATGTCGCGCATCAGCGCCCGCAGCTCCTCCAGCGGCAAGTCCCGCGCGTAGCTGTCGCCGTAGCAATCTGTGTTCTGCGCCGCCGCGCTCTTCAGCGCGCCCGTCGCGTGGAACAGATGCGCCTCTTCGTACGGCAGCAAAAAGGCCTCACCACCAATGTCCGCGTCGGCCCGGAGCTGCGTCAGGCAGTCCTGGATCCACCGGGGCCGGATGATGTTGACGTCGCCCTGCTTGATGAGGCTGGCAACCTTGACGACCTTCTTGTCCGCGATAAGCACCATGGACGTGCCGGGAGCGGCGCGCTGCGACACGGTGCCGCCGTTCTCCTTGATGAGGGCCTCGAGCTCCGCTTTCGTGTGCTTGAACGGCTTGAGCGACTCAGACAGCACGCAAAACTCGAGCGCCGAGAAGAGCTTCGTCGCCTGGGCCGGCTGCGGCTGCGGCTGCGAGCCCTTGCCGTTGGCCCCGACGATGACGAGCTCGCGCTTCACGCGCTTCGGGTTGCGGCGCTTGCGGTCCTCCACCGTCATCGCTTTCTGCTTCGACTCCTCGTCCGCGTGCTGCTTCAGGCTCTGGAACTCGTCGACTGACAGCGCGCTGTCCCACGCGCGGTCCAGCCGCAGGCGTCGGAAGCGCGGGAAGCGCAGCGTGTACCCGCGCGCGAACGAGTCCGAGGGCCCGACGCTCGCCGCCTTGACGGACACGACGACCGAGTCCTTCGGCCGGATCCACACGTCGGGCCGCTCTAACTGCTTGGCCTCGCCGCCGCCGAGCTCGACGTACCGCGACGGCGGGTTGCGCGCGTCCCAGTCTTGCCATTTGCCCTCGGTGCGGTGCCGGAGCTCGGCGTAGTCCTCGGCTCGGAAGCCGCCGCCGACCTTGAAGAAGCTGAAGCACTTCTCGGGGTCCGCACCGGCTGCTATGTGGCTGGGCGACGCCCGCAGGCCGCACAGGAAACTCGACAGCGTGCCGCCGCGTCGCCCGGATCCGTAGTAGCCGCCGATGATGACGCAGTCGAGAGACTCGCCAAACTCGGACATGTACTCGGGCTTGACCTTGAGCCAGTCGTCGTTGCGGCTGTTGAGACGGTACATGGAGCGCGGGTTCTTGAGCACCAGACCCTCGGAGGCGTTGGCCACCACGTCTCGCAGCAGCGGCTCGATGGCGTCCGCCGACGTCGCGCGCGTGTACCCGTGAATTTCGAGGCGCCGGTGCACAGGCTTTACGGCTTTTTCCAGGGCGTTGTGTCGGTCACGCAGAGTGTACTGCGTCAGCTGCTTGTCGTTTAGGTATAGGATATCGAAGACACGAAATAGCGGCCGGTGACCAGACGAGTCCGATCCCGAGCGATTCTGCTGCTCGGCGAGCGCGGCCGTCTTGAGCGTGCCGAACGGGACCATCTTGTCGACCTCCATGTCCCAGGTGATCATCTCGCCGTCGAGAATGATGTTGCGTACGCCCGACGCAAACGCCTCTTTGAGGTGGCGCGTTAGACTGGAATTGGCGTCTTGGAAGCCGTGGCCGTAGAGGTAGGTGTACTCCTTGGCCTTGCGCGACCAAAAGCAGAAGCGTTTTCCGCCAGGGGTCGCCGGGTCCTCTATCATGTGCATCTGCATGCGCTCACCGTCCAGCTTCTCCTCAATCCAGAACTCGGGGTCGTCGGCTGTCGGTCGCAGCAGCTCAATCATCTTCTTGAAGGAGGCCGGCGTCTGGAACTGCGCCAGCTGCGGCTGAAAGCACTGCATCAACGTGATGCCCGCTCCCTCCGACTCGAGCCGCATCGCAGGATCGTACAGCTCCCAGCATACGCGACGCAGGCTCGAAGATACACTGAACAGTGTCTCGCCATCCGGGTGCCACAAATACAGGAGCGTCTTTTCCGTCGCGCCAACCTTCATCTGTCGAAGGACGATACGGATCAGCCACAGCATCTCTTCGGCATTCATGCGATTGTAGAAGGTCTCAAAGACGTGCAGATTCTCGCTCTCCCCTGCAGAAGCGGCCAGCCTGTCCAGCTGCTCATTCACCTCGGCAATGGTCATGTCGCCGGGCTCGGTGCGCATCGGGCGCTTGGAGATGGCCTCGAAGCAGCGCCCCGCGAAATCGCCAGCCAGCCGGGCAGCCATGGTCTGACCCGGTAACTTCCAGTGCAGCAAGTTGTAGCCGTCCTCGGAATTTTTGTCAATCTTCATCAGCTTGACGAGAAGCTTTCCTATAGCATTCTCCTTCAGGCCGTAGACGCCGCGGTCGCGATCCTTGTCGGGAAGGATCAAGCGCAGTGCGGGATAAAAGTCCGGACCGACTTCCTTGCGCCAGCGCACTATGAACCGGTCAATAATATGGCGCCGCTGCTCCTGCGGCGAGAGCTGCGTTTGTCCGCGAGGACCCTTTTTCCGGGCGACGCCACCTGTAGGTTGGCGCTTGTTCTCATTGAGCGGATTGAAGAGGTCTCTGTAGAGGTCTGAGAAGAGAAGAGTCTTGGCAAAATTGTGCGGTCTGTTGGGATATCTGGCCACGCGGGTCAGCATGAGATGTTTACGTTAGGTCTGGCCAGTCGTACTTTTCGTCCAGCTCAAGTCGGGCTTCGTCCGAGCCGTATTGGATTTCCTCCTCGCGCTCAGCATCGCTGCTCGGCGTTTTAGCCCGCAGTTGGCTCATTGCGGTTCATTAACTTTTGATAGAGTTGGCACCATTGGAGAGGATCGACGAGGTGCTGAACAACGCTGATGATGATAGTTGACATAAATAAAGGTCATCGACCGTGCGACGTTGCGCCAGGCAGAAGTGTGGGTCGCGAGGCTCACTAGTTGCAACAGGCAGCAGTCTGCCCGTTTGGCTGGTGAAAAGTACAACTAGTATCAAGAAAACTACTTATCCTGTAATGAAATTACTAGTTAAAAAGGTCAATGGCATAGGAGAACGTTAGTAATTTAAGAATATTTACCCTGATTTATTTCAAGAAGCATTGGAAGTACAGGAGGGATAGCCTAGATGCTTATATTATGCTCTGTGCGTAGAGAACGAACTCGACCATAACAACCGCTGAAAGAACTGGTATACAGAATACGGAATGTTTTCTACAGGAAATTGTTCACTTCGAGAAGGTAGCCCGCCGCCGCCGCCGCTTCTTCCGAATGGACGTGATCCGCTTGCGTTGAACTACACTTACACCCCAATTGTAAATCATGTCGCGCATGAGTATCATGATCGTGGCAACCACCGTCGGTACGGCACAGGCCCAGCTGACGATTGTTAAATAAAAGGCGCAATCAGTAATTGGGGATCAACGTACAAATACCAAATTCCCTTCTTAATTTCGGGGAAGTCTTGAAAGTTCTGGCCGAAGAATCCGGTGATAAACGTCAAGGGCAGGAAGATGATGGTGACGGTCGTTAGTTGCTTCATGGACTCGTTCTGGTTCGCCGTGATCGTGTTGAAGATGAGATTTATCAGGTTCTCCGACGACTGCTTCAACTGCTGCAGCGACTCTGTGATGATTATACAGTGATCCAGCACATCGCCGAGATAGGTGTGCGTCATCGGAGTCACCAGCACGCCAGTGGAAGGGTTGGTGAGCTCGCGCGCCGCCTGCTCCTGCGTCATAAGCGTGCGGTGGTCGCGGAGCACGTTGACCAGGTTGTCGATCGGCAGCAGGAAGCGCAGCATCTTGTTGATCTCGCTGATGCAGATGTATAGGCGCTTGCTCTGCTTGATGCTCGGCGAAGATATGACGTCGAGCTCCAGGTCGCCGAGGATGTCCGTGTACACCGCCGTCAGCGGTATGGCGAGGTCAATTATGGCGTCGATGATGCCCTGCACGAGAAGGGATGCGTCGCACGAGTCGCGCAGGCTGGTGCCCGGGGTGCTGAGGCGCTTGACGATTGGGTGCTCCACGTCGCTGGCCGAGGCTTCGAAGAAGGATATGACGGTGTTGTCGGCGGTCAGGAAGATGGACACCTGCTCGGCGGAAATGGCCAAGTTGTATGGGGCAAGGGACGAATGCGCCTCCATGAATAGGGTGCGAGCCTCGTTGCCGCTGGCCTGATAGCGTTGCAAGCTGCGTAGCATATTCGTCTCTGGCAAGTCCACAAACGGCGGCGCAGCATCCTTGCCGTGTGTCTTTTCCGGATCGGCATTGTTATTACGGCCACCGTCGCCGCTGAAGAATTGACGGACAGTGGCCATGGTTTTGCGAGAGGACGAGCTGCTAGCAGAGCTAATGCTACTCGTGTCGGAGTCGACGATATGGACGAGCTTTTGCAGCGTCATGATGATGAATGCATGATTAGGGTACCTGTGGACGTTAGAGAATATTCTATTCAGCAAAGGCCGTGGGCCTAACGCACCAATCAACCTTGGTTCGGTTGCGCAGATTCATAATGTCTTCAATGGCGAGTTTATGTAGACCCTTTGTCGAGCCGACGGCCTGTATCACATCCCAGCTTAGGCCGTTGATGTTGATCCAGCGGCACTTGGCCCAGTCCTCTTTAGGCTTTGCCAGAAATTCGATGAAGGCGTCGTTTGCAAAGTGCCACTGCTGCATGTGGTCCAGGGCGAAGTCGACGACGGTGATCTCGCAGGCTGCGCTCAACTGAGGCACCGAAGCATGCCCGCCATCGGGCAGCTGGGGATCATAACCTGGCTCCGCGCCAGGATGCCAACCCTCGGCGGTGCCGCTGAAGGGCATTTCGAACTCATCCTCGCCGCCATCAAAGGTGCGAAACGTTGGCGCCCTACTGCCGCGCCGCTTCATGCCAGAGGCACCAATTCCGGGCTGGTTTGCACTCGCAGCGCTGTGCGAGCGCTGCGGGCGCACGTTGCGGGAGAGTGGTGGAACCTCTGTATCAGAGCGCGAGTGCTGTGGGATGACGGGCGGGGAGAGCCGTGATGCGGCGGTATCGGCCTCGCTGGCGAGATCGTAGCTCACATGAGGCCGCCCAGGGGGGGTACGCGAGTCAACTTGGGCGCCAGTGGATGCGGCCGTGGTGGTTGCGCTGCGTTGACGCGGGTCGCGGGATGGCATCACCGCGCGCCAAGCGTTGATTCGGCGACTACTAATGTGATACCAACGGCAGGATGAGCGAATGCAGCTCTTCGGTGTTGCAAAGAAATTATCGATGGCGGTTGGACAGCGATAGGGCCGGTGGGCTTCGAATGCGGATGATGTTGCGTTTTCTTCTTTGCCCCTGCTTCTGATGACGATGACGATTCGTTACTGTTACGTGATGCTTTAGTGACGATCTTGGCTACTTAGGTGCAGAGGCGCGGCTTGTTACAACCTAACCTGTAGCAACTGCCAGGGGGAAGAACGGAGAATGGCCATGACTCGGATGTGATCAAGATACTCGGTCGATTTTATCTGGAGATGTAATATTGTGTTTTCGTATTTCATGTCTATCTTGTATTATTTGTGTGCCTTTTCTTCCTACATTTTTTGTCCTCCGTCTGCCGTATTTTGTTTCCTTACCCTGCTTTTTCTTTGTGTGTGGACGCGATTTTTACAAGGCCCGTCTTTGGCGTAAAGCCGGCAAAATTGGGGTTGGGGGCAAATTTTATGTATAATAGCAGTGGGTGGAATTGCTGAATTGTGCAAGACGATGTTAGATGGAAGAATGCAATCTTTGTCCCCGTCAGCCTTCATGCTCACATTCACTGTAGGGTGTTGGAGCCCCATACTACTAAGTATGCATAGCTTCCTCTGATTGTTATGAATATGTGTAGTATTTGGAGAAAAATAGCTACAGTTTTTTCTTGTTGTCATGGTTAACCTTGATATTTATTTTTGGAGTTCAAAGTACATACTCCTCCGTACAAGTGCGTATTGGTCCAGCATCTCAACTTGCCTCCTGGGTGCAAAACCGTTGAGGGCTTGTCGACCGCGCAGGGAACCTGCTCAACGGTGCGGGGCGCTCTCCAGAAAAAAGCCGTTGACCGGAATCGTCGCGACGTGCAGGACGAACCAAGACACGAATCTGTCATTTGTGATGGGACGCCCCTGTCGCGGGCAAGAAGCCGTAGGAGGGAGGGATTGCGACGATCAACCGGCGTGCGGCGTACGGCGTGCAGTGAGCTGGGCGGTCTTCGGTTGGGGACAGGGCTCAGGTGTGGCTTGGATGCCGAGTGGACGGATGGTTGATCTACCGGGCCACAGTGGATAACCGATGCCCACGAATGTAGAATGCTGCGAAGATCGGTACGTTGTCAGAGAGAGGAGTGGCCGAGACGGGGGAATGGAAGAGCATGGGAAATTCAAAAGCCGCATGAGTTGTGAAATGCCCATGTTGTGGGGGTTTTTATTGTATGTACGGATACGTGGACTGTTATTATGTATATATGTATGTAGCTGGTACCGGCGACCCGGGGCTCGGTGCACACTAAATTTCTTGGCCCAAACACTTGTAGAAACGGAATTTTCCTTGTTTCTTCTTCTTCAGAATGTTTCTTCTTCTTCAGAATGTTTCTTCTTCGCCGCTTCTCTAGTCTTTGATTAGCGCGGCGAGCTTTATTTTTAGTAGACTTGGCTTCGACTTGAACTCATTCGCTTGGCTTGGGCTGGGGGTTTGGAGCCATCAGCTCAACGTGGCCCAAGCAAGATTGTTGCTTCACCGACGTAGCATTTGGATTTTAGCGTTCCATTGTACCGGCACCCTGCTGTGTGTTATGCCGGCGTGCATTGTGATCCTCATACGTGCAGGCGGTACTACTTATCGGTGGGTGGTGTTTCTTTCGAGTAGCTCACTTCGGGCTTCATTACTTGATCCCTGTCTTGGAGGTTTCCCGTCAGTGTGCATTTCAATCTCCCTCCCTTCGTTCACTCGGCTTGCCGTTTGTACAGTACGTACATACACTGTTTCGTGCCAGCCGCGAGCTTAATTTCGATTGCCTGCCAGTTGCCACAAAACATTTCGGCTGCCACGACAATCTGCCAGCTGTCCACCAATCGCTCGCCGGCCGCTGGCCAGCTGCCAGGGCTAATAATTGAAATACTAATCCGGCACCTTGTCCCCTCTTTTTTCCTCCACTTCGCCCCTCCATGCCCTCCACCCCCCTCCATCCCGTGTCCGACGCCCCACATACAGCTTCAACCACCGCAACCCGCGCAACCTCAAATCGAGTAGGCATTCACACACACGGCATACAGAGTCAGGCCTCCCTCTCAATAAACCACCTCGCATCTCCTCCGTTCTCGCACATTATGGCTTGGCAAATGCAGCTCCGTGACTCTTTAATCGCCAATCAAACTTGAATACAACTTCGTTAAATATGCCATAACCGCGTCTAGCTCGGTACGCACTTAACTGCCCCCGTCAGCCCGTCTCGAGCCCCCTTCCTCATCTGTCCGAGTTCCTCTTCTTTTAACTACCACCTTACCCCACCACAAACGGCACTACCTTACGATACGGATACACCAACGCCAGCTGCATTTACATAGGACCTGCCTTGTGGGCTTACAGCCAGCCAGCCTTGCCAATTAACTCGTCACAGTCCCTGACGTTGCATACCTACCAGTACTACCTCTGCTCAAACTGCCGTTCCTCTCCTGCTACCTTTGGCCCTGCTCCTCCGCTCCCGTTTCCATTTTCCGCCCTAACTCCCTCCTCCTCCCCGAAAGATCTCGGACTCCCATGCTCCTGTCCCAGGAACCATCATCTATCGCCCTCCATGAGTTCCAATATTATCCTTTGCGAGACAGGGTATTATCGATCTGCCTGCGTCGAATGCCAGCGCAGGAAACAAAAGGCAAGTTCCGATCGAATCTACAGCCCTGTCGGATCGTTCACACCCAGTCCCACGCCGCCAGCTGCCGGTGCTCCTAGCTCCCATCTCCATCTCAACCGTCGTCCTCCTTTGGGCAACATTGAGACTCTCTCTTCTCCCAAAGTCGCCACAACTGTGTCTATTCGCCTAGGAATTTGTGTCAACCTGCCATCCACTAACACAATCTTTCCTTAGTGCAATCGTGAATGGCCCTGTGACAGCTGCCGCCGTCGTAAGGTTCCCGATGGCTGTCGCTACAACGAAAGCTCAGTCCAAGGGGAATCTGCCTCCGCCTCGGACAAGGTCGATATCTTTCCGGATCACTCGGCCAATCGAGCCAATCTCAATGCCAGCGAGGGCCAGGTTTTCGAGGTCCTGGCCGAACGTACCTTTATAAATCTAGGCATCGACAGCGCTCCCAGGGTACGTCCAGTAGAAAGAAGCCTCGCGCTAGGTGAACCTCTCCTCACATCTGTAATAGGAAGATGCGCCCCCGGAACAGACCTTGGACATGGTCCAACTTGGCTCTTCAATCCAATTTGATCGCCTTATTGAGTTACTGCCCCAGCGACGGTTAATGGGTACCAATGAACCCCGCCGATAATGCGTCGTTACACCTTTCTGACACTACACAGACGATCTCATCCAACTGTTCATCAACGATGTCAACTTTCACTACTACATAATATATCCTCCCCTATTTTTGCAGGAGTATCATATCTGGTGGGACCGTCGCGCACAAAGCAAGCCCATCTCCCTGCAATACACTTGCCTGCTCGCCATGCTCTGCTCTTGCACCATCCAACATGTTGCGGATGACTTGGAAAGGGCAGTACTGGCCGAGTATCGAGAGCCCATCCATCCTGTATCTGACAAGATTCATGCCGCCGTACGTGAGCTTTCTGGCGTCATTCCCGTCGGCCACTACCACATGATGAATGTTCAGCGCTTGATTCACTCTTGTTATTGGTACAAGGCTGAGGCTCGGTTTGTGGAAGCCTGGCATGTCCTGAACCAGGCAATACTTGAGGCCAAGGAGCTTGAACTGCACATCGAGCCCAAGCCGAACGCGGTGTCCGACTTCGACCGCGAGATGCGTCGACGTCTTTGGTGCATCCTTGACACCTGGGATTGGTAAGAACTCTGCATCTACATTTAATGTTTACTTTTCTAATGCTCAATAGGCAAATATCTTCGGGTTTGTCCCGCCCCAAACTCATTGACCGTGGTGGCTGCACTGCCGAACTTCCTGAACTCACTCTGGAGAACTACGACCCTTCCCCAATGGAGCATATGAAGATGCAGTCCCAGCTGACTCGTGAGCTGGCAACACGCTTTGGAGCACCCAAAAATATTATTTCAACCCAGGAGGTCCAGGAATACAAGGAAATCATCCTTTCCTGGGTCCGCCGCTTCCCCAAGATTTACGACTTTTACGACCCGGACATGTCGAGGGATTCTGTTCACCCCTGGATCTTCCCCCACAGATTCTACCTTTACACCATGGCCTGTTTGTTGATTCTGAACCCTATCCGTCATTACATGGTCAAATCATACACAAAAGACTCTCCCGCGGATGACCTGACTTGCCGCGCAGACGGACTATTCTTTTCGCTGATCCTCCTCAAGACACAGCGGAAATGGGTTGATAAAATCAATGGCAGAGACGGGCGTCTGCATTTTATCGTGTTTTCCATCTTCGACACCGCTGCTATCCTTTGTACTGCTCTGGTAAAGGACCACGCCAACACCATCGAGAATAAAGAGGACGTCTTGCATGCTATTGCGGAGTCTACTGCTATGCTCAAGGCTTTGGTCAACATCTCAGAGACAGCCAAGATGTCTCATGACATTCTGTACCGCCTCACCAAGAAGCTCAAGAAGCCCAGCGCGTCAAAAGAGTCTGGTGACACGGGTCGGAAGCGCACAAAGATTGTGCCTGTCGCGCCATCGCAATCCACTTCATCTAAGGCCTCCCCCGCCGCTGCCTCCACAAAGCAAAAAGGTGCAGCGCCCAAGATAAACCAGTCGCGTGCGTCTACTAAGGTCGCTTCCAACGCTTCGCAGTCCTTGCCAAATGGTACCGCCTCACAGTCCATGCCGGGTGCCAACACTTCACAGTCCTCATCTGCTGGATATGTGTCTTCTGAACAAGCAAACCCAGATAGTTACAGCATTTCCTCGACCAACTTTGACGGCTACAGCAACCTCCCACCACAATTGGATGCGTACAGTCACCCTCCGGCCACGGCTCCCCCGATGCCTGCTCATGTTAGTGCGTCTGCCGCAGCGCATACAATGGTGCAGCCCGTGCCCAGGGTGAACGCTCCACAAATGGCCCATCAACCAATGCCACGAATGGCCGGTGACCAAAATGGTCATAGCATGCCGCAGCAGTCCACGATGCACATGCAAATACCCATGCCCATGGCCAACCCCAGCTACTTCCAGCTAATGCACCCAAGTATGCCGCCGTCTCTCGAACCGAACCCGCCTCTAGACTATAACTCGCCTCAGCCCGGCCCTGCCGTACAGCCCGTCGGCTACGCGCAGCCGCCGCCTCTAGGCACCGGGATTTTCAACATGAATGTCGCCGACGGCGTCCCAGCCATTGCCAACCTCTGGGACGCTCCGGCTGGACCCATTGCGCCCGTCATCTCCTACTCCATTTTGGGTCACAACGTGCCCGTCAACGTCGTGCCACAGCCGCGCGAGCTCTATATCGGCCAGCAGCAGGAGCACATCGTACCGGAACTCAACCTATCCAACCTGACCGAGGCTGACATTGGCGGGCTCGCGCCCCTGTGGAGCTGGCACTCGAGCAACCTGTTCCCCGATGATACGCAAAACGGACCCCCTGCGTAGTAGCATGGTGTCGTATCGTTATTCGGAGCGAGGTACAGTCTTTTATTCTTCTGATAAAGTTTGGCCTGTGCGGTTTCGCGAGCAGGGACGAATTTGTGCTGCCTTTCCTGAATAGTGCCTCGCTGGATCTACAAAAGTATATTATGCATTTATGAATGAATCATGCTAGCGTCTATTCCAATGTTATCCCCCAATTGTCTAATCTATCATGTCTGCGGCTATTCCAATATCATCCATTGATGTGCACGTAATAATGTCAGCATCCATAACAAGGGTATACGCGATGAAAGAACTGTCGTGGCAATACTACTACAACGTTAATCGTCTGCTCGAATTAAACGAATTGAACAACAACAGCACCATGGGCTCTACTGTTTCTCGCTGGCCTTGGAAACAACCACCGTCTCTGGGGTCTCGGAGGCGGGTGTCTTGGCGAGACCGAGCTGCGTCGTGTCCCAGCCGCGGCTCTCAAGGTACGCACGGAAGCGCTCGTCCTCCTTGGATATGGTGTCCTGGCCGACGGTGGGCACGAGGGTGAGGGTGACGATGGCCGAGAGCACGCAGAGGCTGGAGGCGACCCAGAAGGGGTACTGGGCCGACTTGGTGGCGTTGCTGCCGCCAGCCTTGGAGATTTCGGGAAAGACGTAGGTGCCGATGAAAGCGCCGATCTTGCCGACGGCGGCGGCGATGCCGTAGTAGCGACCGCGCACGCCCGTGGCGCACGTCTTGGCGGCGAGCAGGCCGATGTTGTTGCCGGGGCCGATCTCACCGAGGGAGAGGAAGACGCCGTACACGATGGCGAAGGCGGCGACGTGCTGAGAAATCTTGGCGTAGACGCCGGCCATGATGAAGCCGACGAGGGCTTGGGCTAGGACGCCAAAGGCGAGGGCGTGCTTAGGGCCGATCCAGTCGGAGATGAAGGCGCCGAGGATGGATCCGGGGAGGTAGAACAAAGTGATGACGGTGTTCCAGCCAAAGATCTTGGAGAGCGGCGCGCCCTCGCCGTAGATGTCGACAAGGATCTTGGAGGAATAGATACCGAAAGCGTATACGGAGAACTGTGAGGCGAGGTTAGGAGCGAGGGGAGAGCGGGGGAGGAAGGGCAACACGTACGTTGTAGAGGAACCAGACGAGGGAGACACAGAAGAGGCGAAAGCCATAAAACCTGAAGACGAGGAGGTAGGGTGTGTTTTGGCGCATCGAGTTCTTGCTGAAGTCTTCGGGCTCCTCAAGCTTGAAACGAAGGTAGAGGAGGACGAGCGGGAAGATGACGCCTACGCCGAGGGAAGTGCGCCACATGACCTCGTAGTTGCTGGAAGCCGAGGCAATCACGACTGAAAAATGTTAGCCGTGGTTTTGTTTCTGGGATTTCTGAGTTTGACTTGCATGGGATGAAGGCGCCAGTGACGAAACCGCCGTTGATCATGGTGTTGGTAAAGAGGATGAACCAGCGATGGCGCGTACCGGCCTTGAGCTCGCCGGTCGATTCTGCGGCTCCAACACTTCCCGCGGGGTATTCACCTAGAGACAGAGAATGTTAGGAAGCCTGCTGATGGAGTGATGGAAAGAGAAGGGCGCACCTCCTATGCCGACACCGACGAAGAAGCGCCAGGCCGTCAACATGCTGAACATGCCGAGCGCTTCGCCCTTCCAGTAGGAGCCGGTGGCTAGGGCCGTGAAGACGATGAGGATGATGGTGGAGAGGGTGAGCGAGTTGGCGCGGGACCAGCGATCGGAGAGGTAGCCAAAGAGCAGCTGGCCGACGACGATGCCGGCAAAGGCGATGCTGGCGACGTATTGGGAGGCCGAGGACTTGGTGTAGATGACGCCGTATTGGGTGGTGAGGATGGTGTTGACAGAGCCGATGACCTGTTTGTTTTCCCGTGTCAGCTGGAGGGGGAACGAGGTGAGGGGATATTCGAGGTCGAGATGCGCACATTGTTGATGTAACCGTCGGAAAAGAGGCCGGAACCGCAGGCAAAGACGGGCATCATGGTCTCTTTCCAGCCCTTTCGGGGGGCATTGTTCTCGGCATCGACGTCGGCGACGACCGTCGGCTCGGACTCGTTCTTCTTGCCAAAGCCAAACATTTTTGGTGTCTTTGGTGTCTCCACGTAGAAGCTGGAAGGGGATGAGTGTTGGAGAGGGTATCCTGACGGAGCAGAAAAAAAAAGAGTCGAAAAAAAGAGAAGAGGTGGTTTTATGGGGAGGTTATAAGGACGGGCAGCAGCGAAGGGCACGAACCACCTGCAGACAAGCAGGACAGGGGATCAAAAGAATTAACAATTTGGCCTCATAGCCTGATGTCTTTGCAAGCTAGGGAAAAGGCCAGAAAATTCGAGAGAGTTGAAAAAGCTTGAGCCATGGATATCCTTGCAGAGACGGCCGTTGTGCCAGTGGGCTCATGGATCCGCTCGGCCAAATGTTGCAGTGCTTTTCCCCCATCCCATTCCCCATGGTCATCCCCATGGGCTAGGTAGATTCTGCCTGTATATCCCTGTAGAAGGTGTATATTGATGCACGTGCTCACTTGACGTCTGTTTCTTTGGAAGCGCGGGGAGTATGTTGGGGTGAAGAGGCTAGCTAGTCAATGTGCGACAAGTATATCTTGCCAAGGCTGAAGAGAAAAAGAAAGAAAAAAAATATTTATATATAATTCTCGCGCAGCTCCGTGGCGTATGTCGCCCCCAATGTCTGGGTACCCCGCTGACCGAAATACTTTGGGATCTCGCAGCCTGCTTCGGCGCAGTTTATGTATGTCTTCTTTGTCTTGCATGTGAGACACGGTCCATGTATGTAAGTGGTGTGGTTGTGTAGCCGCGCGCCGTGAGGCTGGTGGCTTGTCACCATTGAATGCATCCTTTCCTATTCGGTCCTTGAGTGGTAACTAATAAGGAATATGATTGTTACATGGGATCATAGAAACTGGAAAATGCGCCTCAGCGGCCCGAGCAAGGAACAGGGGGGTTGCTTCGGTGACGGGGAACAGTGGGAACTGACACATGATTAAGGTTGTCGATTGAGCACGCGAGCTAGCAGTGGCCGCGCCTGTCCATGATCAGACCATTCTTCGAGTTAGTTGACTTTGCCGCGGACTATTCCCGTCTAAGTTCGTGTGGTCTGAGTCTATTTAGAAGCGAGTGTAGGGGAGTAGCCAACCAGGTCAGTAATTCTTGGCTGGTTTTCTCCTTTGAGTTTAAAAGAGCAGGAAACCTCTTGAGCTTGTTCTCCTACTCATGTGGCTCTCGGCATCGTGGCGAGCGCGCACCGAGCTGCAGCCACCAACCAAACTATACGAACCACTGCCAAGAGACTTTCGGCGCAAAACCCACGACCAGCCAAGAAACCCCAAAGCAACACCCCACCGCCAATACTACCAGTAGGATACCAATGAAGAGTCAGTAATATTCGTGTGTACATACCCCCACGGCCCGAATACAGCAAAATCACCGAGTCTGGTGGCTGTCACTCTCTCTCAGCCATCCCTCGTCCCAAGAATGAAGGCCAATATCACAATCACAGGGTTCAAGCCAGCCGAGAAGTTGTCCACTCTCAGCAGGGGGCAACAGTAAGTAAATCAAAGAAAAATCACCCGAAGAAAAGGGATCAAAAACGTGGGTGGGCTTTCTCCTCCACTTTTAAAAAAATCATGGTGCGTGTTAGCTTGGGACCCGGCATCATCTAGCGATAACCGGTCGCTCCATAGCACGAAAGCTTCATCCCATCCATCCCCAGACGATACACGTTGGCCATGGGCGCCCATTGATTCGTTCGGCTCGATGGGGCCATGACGCGGCTACTCTCCGATTCTATAAGAAACTATGTAGTATAATTGTCGATTGTAAATTATTTGGTCTTCGCCTCTGTCTCTCTGCGACTATCATACACTGGAGCAAGATCCCGACAACAACCTAAACCCATACCAACAGACTACATCAACTCACGCAAAGTTACGCCTTGTCCTTTTTGCGCACCAGGCCAGCAGAGAGGACCTGCACGCTTGCTTCCTCAGGCGCCTCCGACTTGGCCTTTTTCCTCACCAGCCCTGCGGCGAGCACGTTGACCGCAGTGGCCTCCTCACCCTCCGGCGCGGCCTCCGTGGTCGTCTTGGCCGCGCCGTCCTCCGCCGCGCTCCTCTTCCTCTTCACCAGCAGCCCTGACAGATTATTCACTGCCACGCCATCGCCGCCGCCCTTCCCGACATCCGCGGGAGGAACCGCCTCCATCGTGCCCGTCACCTCGTAGCCCCAAGTGGCCGGGCTCCCCATGGCCACCTCGCCGACCCACCGCCGCGTGCTGCCCGCTGCCTTGTCGAGCGTCGCGAAGTCGAGGTGCAGGAGCAGCTCCACGATGCGCCGGTACACGCCCTCGCCGACGATGCGCTCGCCGCGGCCGCCTGCCGGCCACGCGTAGTGCGGCGTCGCCGTCGGGCACCGCGCCAGCAGGTAGTTCTTGTGCTCCGTCTTGACGCGCGGCGGCCGCGTGACGATGGGTCCGCGCAGCTTGCGCTTCGCCCTCGCCTGCTTCTCTCGCAGCTTCTTCTTGTCCCGCGCGCGCTTCTCGGTCGCCCTCTGCGACGCGGCGGCAGCGCTGGGCCGCGGCTTGCGCGGCGTGTCGGGCGCGCGTGGAGCGCTGCCGTCTTGCGGGTCGTCGTCGAACACGACCCATATGAAGCCAGTCATGCGACCGCTGGAGCATTCTTGCCGGAATGCCATCATCTCCCAGAACACGTCCAGCGTCTTGACGCTTTGCCACGCGCCCGCCTTGCGCATCCCCCCCGTCTGCGCCGCCTCTTCGTCCAGCTCGTCTCGAAACCTCGACTTCGGGTCGTCGGGGTACCGTGGAATCAAGCACCGCGGGGGCACCCAGTCGAGCTCCTTTGTATAATGTGATATTCTCTCCAAAGGGTGCGTGAGTGACCACGAGGGCAGCGACGCGCGTGGTAGAAACGCCCTTGTCTCGTATTCTTCCAAGCCTGGCACGACTAGATACCCTTTCACGCTGCCCCATGGCTGCAAGTCTCCTTTGGGCGATGTTTCTAGTAGCGGACTGAGGACGCGACACCACCACTTAACCAGTCCGCGGTCATCCAGCACATGCTTTCCGCTATTCTCGACGCTCCCGGGGAAGAGGTACTGTGATTGCGCACGTGCAAACAGGCTGACGATGAATTGTTTGCCCTCGCGCCTTCGGTTATCGACCAGGTGCGATAGAAATGCGCCGCAAACCTCCCGTATGGGACTTGGTGTTCCCTTGGGAAGCTTAAGTAAGTGCAAGTATCCCGTCGAGTCGGCCTTGGAGACGAAGAGTGTCGTAGTATGCATAGTTGAGTAGATGAGAATCTCCACGCCCAGAATGAGAACATCCCTTTGATTCTCGTCTAGCAGAGCTACCCCATCATTTTTCGGGATTTTGATGGAAACGGCGAGGAAGTGACTCTCGCAAAAGGTCCGGTCCGGTCGTTCGTTGGGCGGCGCCGAGTACAGAGCGGCACTCTTGGTGGGCGGCGTGGAGAGGTGAAAGATGCCGAATTGGTGGCCTTTCGGCAGGACTGGCCCCAATCTGGCTTGTAGGCCATTATCTGTACGCTCAGCAGCAGTCATTCTTGCCTTGTCGTCCAGCTCCGAAATTATCGAATGGAAAAGGAAGAACGAGGACAAGGGCGGGCGCGTGAAACGCGTTTGCAATTAAGCTTCCAACGCGACGTCACTTGTGGCGCAGCGTTCTGAGATATCTTCAATGCACAATCCACGTTTCCAGTAGAAAGGAGCCTATAACCAGTTCCAAGAGAATTAGAAATAGAGAATTCATTTGATAATAACAAAATTTTCTGTTCATTTCATTGCATAGTGGTTGTGGTTGGTCGTGTGGAATGTTGGAGAGAGCTTGCGCCACAGCAGCCACAATCCATGTCACTAGGTCACGTGCAGAATTTTACCTCCAGGAAAGTTGCAACTTTAGCAAAGACCATCATATGTGAAAGCCTCGAGACGTTGTCAAGTCCAACCACACAACACACGATGGCCCTGCAACCGTGCCGGACAAGTCTGCTGCGCAGCCGGCAAGCCGCGCGCGTGCTTTTCCCTTGCGCGCGCACGTACACCACGACAACCGCCACCGAGACGCCCGAATCGTTCAAAATTTCCGAGTCCCAGGAGTCGGCGCCGCGATGGAGCCGCACGCCCGCGGGCATGAAGGCGGCCCTGCCGATGGACTTTGCCAAGAACCCGCGGAACAAGGTGTGGGCGGTCAACAACGACCCGGCGCGCCTGGACCAGATGTACGAGCGGCTGCTCGGCCAGGGGGGCAGCAAGATGCTCCCGGACGAGCTCAAGTGGCTGGCGGTCACGCACAAGAGCTTCGACCAGGGGCGCAGAGGCTTCAACGACCGATTGGCACTAGTTGGTACGTAGCAATGGAGATTGGGAGAACAGAATTGCCGGGGGAGGGGAGAGAAAGGGGGGCTAACGAGATACAGGTCGTATGGCGCTCGACCTGGAGGCTGTCAAGGATATTGTGAGCCGGCCGGCGGACCCCAAGGCGCGGCAGACGGACGAGTTCGATAGGGAAGCGTTTGAGCACCCGAAGCTCACGCCGGTGGATAACTTGAATGTGCACGACGCGCGCGACACGGTCGGCAAGGAGCAGCTGGCCGCGCTGGCCAGATCGGTCGGCCTGGACTCCGCCGTGCGGTGGAAGCCCCGTCAGGTATGTGCCGTGCGGAACTTTTTATTCTTTACGCAGCTCACTAACATGGCAATAGGTCGACAACCTCGAATCGAGTGGCGTGGAAGTTGTACTCACCGGTGCCGTCATGGCCATTGTCGGCGCCGTCACGCTACAGCACGGAGGCGCCGTTGCGACTCAGATCATCCGCGAGCGCATTCTGGCTAGAATCCCGAAAAACTAATGGCACCCTGAAGCATGCGGCAGCAGAGCGCTGCCTGTACTCATACCCTCTACGTATACCACATACATTGTACTATTTAGACGGCGGGCTTGTATAAAAGAACACTCGATATTTCCAACTGATTAGACTATTGCTGAATGTGATGGTGCGCTGGGATATAAAACATGTCAAAGATGTCAAACGCTACAACTCAGCAAATGACGGACAAACACTGACGTCTACCCCCCCCGAAAGTAGGTCTTCTTACGATTTCCAACTCTTAGACCTTATCCATACCATTAAATAAGCGGGGTCTGCTCAGACGGCTCGTCGGTCGTGTCCTCAGCGGTGGCGAGGTCAATCACGGCGCCCAACTCTTTCTCAATGACGTTCTCGCGGAGCAGCCAACCGACGAGCGTGCCGGTACCCGGGCCGAGCAGCGCCGAGACGCCGATCATGTACGCGGGGACCTTCCAGTTGGTCTCGACGAGGACCCAGTAGAGCACGGTGGCGGCGATAAAGGCAAAGTCAATCTCGACAAACTTGACGCACGAGCGCGTCAGCTCGCGGCGGTCGTCCGGGCGAGTCAGGCTCCAAAGCACGGCGGCATGGGCAAGCACCGACGATAGTGCCGGCGCCCCGTACACGGCGATGAGGCTGCGGCGGTGTGTCTCGAGGTGGACGTCGCGCTCGGCCGTGTTGTCCCAGACGCGCTGAAGCGCCCAGCGGACGGCCTGCCGGACGAGCGAGACGTACAGCGGGAAGGGCAGCCAGGCGCCGATGGCGGCGGGGCTGTTGTAGGAGAGCATGAGCGCCGAGGGCAGGTAGAAGCCGATCAGAACGGCGACGGGGATGGCCACGACCTCGGCGCCGGCAATGTTGCGGTCCAGGTCGACACCAAGTGCCTCTAGCCGATCACCGCCGCCGACTTCCTCCTCTTCGTCGTCGTCACCGGTGGCGCCGAGCTTCTGGGCCAGGAAGATGTTGCGCAGGCGCTGCACCTGCGCGGGCACGATGAGCAGCTGCCAGACGAGCGCGCCCCCGAGGAAGTTGAAGAGCAGCCAGGCGGGGGTCGGGTTGGCGACGAGGCGCGCGGGGCGGTTGCAGCCGCGCGCCGACTCGGCGGTGCAGACGGTCAGCAGGGCGCCGACGAAGGCAAGGATGACGCCCATGACGGCGCGCGTGCGCGACGAGTCGAGCGCGGCCTGGAAGAAGCTGACGAGGTAGCAGAGCGGCGTGCCGAGGAGCGGCAGGCGGCTGAGGCCGGGCAGGCGCGCGCGCGCGTGGCACTGCGACCACAGCAGCGGCGTGTTGACGTCGGAGTGCACGAAGAGCGCGATGCCGGTGAGGACGGCGAGGAGGATGGGCACGACCATGAGCGTGCGCGTGCGCGCGGTGAGCACGAGGGGAGCCATGATTGGGCGAAGGGGCGGTGACGTAGCGCAGCGTTGTCGAATGTCAGACTTTGGCGGAAAATGGGTTTGATTATCGATGCAACGACTCAGGGTGGTATCCGGGGTCGTAAGGAGGGCGAGCAGGTAATATCGGAGTGCAACTTGGTCACCACCGTTGATGGTGTAGAGTAAGAAGGAGGCCGGTGGCGGCGATCGGGGGACAGAGGGAGCAAGGTGGGCTCATTTCCAGCGGCGCTGGCGTCGGAGCTGCGGAGGCGTCATGAGACATGGAGCCCGTGACTTCAGCTCAAGGTGTCACGAATACGACCGAGCAGTGAAAGAGGGGTATCTGGCTGTTTTTGGGTATCTTCTGGAAAATAAAATCGAAGTTGCGCTAAATGAGTAGAACAATCTGTGGCGAGTCAAATGAAGAAACTCAAAGCCATCACAGCCTAAGTAGGAGAGGTATAGGCACCGTAGCTGAGTCAGCAAGTGACGGGTGTGCTTACCTGCCAACAAGCAACGACATAACAACCTCCACCAACAACCCTTCCAGCCCTCATAGCATTACCGACCCATCTCTCATACAACCTGCTCCGACGACGCCGTGTCCATGACCTCCTCCGTCAGGCCGAGCCTCCGAATCGCCGTACTACGCGAGTCTATCGCGCCCTCCTCCAGCATCTCTGGCCACTCCACGCCCAGTGGCTCGCCGCCCGTGCAGGACCGGGCAAGTCTGTTCCACGCCCCGATTGTCTTCCCGTCTATCACGAGCGGCCATGTCCCGCGCCAGCCAATCGTCGCGTAGAGGCCCTCACCGCCCTCGCCGCTGTTCTCATCCTCCGGCCCTAGCCGCCGCACGCAGAAGCTAAACGCGCCTGCGGCGCCCACCTCGCCATTCCAGAGGACCACCCTCTTGATCCTGGGCATGTAGGACAGCACGCGCCTGGCCACCATCCGCAGCATAAAGTTTACCTTTTGGATGTGCTGCTGCAGGCGATTCTCGGTCGGCCCCGACGGCGGTAGCATGAGGCGCGAGGTCATGTGCACCGACCTGAGCGTCGGCCACCATCCCTCCAGGTCCAGCGCGGAGAAGAAGTGGTCGGCCTCGATCATGTGCGACACCGAGAGCGTCTCCAGCTGGCGGCGGGCGACGCTGAATGCAAACGCGCAGAATTCAGGGCCGCCGAGGCCTCGCGGGTCTCTCTCGTGATGTACGGGGAGGTCGCGTGGATGGTCCGTGTTGAGGTCCTCGGGCAGCGCAAGGTGCCTTATGCTCCTGGGCAGACTTCTGATCAATATAGCAAAATCTTGTGTTTTTTTTTCGGACACGTTAGCTTCTTGGTTCAAACAAGCATGTCCGCCTCGGGAGGGGGGGCGCGGCTTAGGGGTGCGGCTTACGAGAATCGCGACGATATGTTTCCTCGTGCGGCTGAAATCTCCATGGCTCATACAGCATCGAGTTGACCGTTGGAAGGGCCTTGAATATCCCCGCCATGATGTGGGGGCCGATCCGATAGCGCGATTGTTGACGCATGATGAGCTCCTTGACGACCGGGGCTGGGACGAGCTTCAAACGCTCATTGGTGTCGATGCACTTGGTTGTGGTGCCGAGGTGCCCGGCGTCGGGGATGGCGTGCTCCGTGGCGCACTCGCGGCAGACGAGGCCGATCTCGAGCCTCAGGCCCGTCGACGTGCCATCCGCGTGCAGCCACGGCCAGTCGGACAGGCATCGAAAGAGGCACTCGAGCGCGGCCTGGGCCGCCCGGAGATCGCTCCTCCTCTGGACCCGCCCCAGGGCCATTGGGGACTTGGAGCCCCGCCCCTTGACCGTCGCGGCCGCCTTGCCGTCGTTCTCAGAAGAGGCGAGACAGGAGCCGCATGACTGGTCCTCCATCTCGATCGCCAGCTTGATGTACCGGACGCGGTCGCGCTGCACGGGCGTGAGATGCCGCAGCACGCCGACGCAGTGTTGCGTCAGGAAGATGTTGGGGTAGATCAGCGGCTCGAGCTTCTCCCGCCACCAGTAGCACACCTGGGCGGCGCCCAGGGCGGCGGGCTTCTTCGGCCGCAGTTCGCGGACCGGCTCCCCGCGGCTGTTGCTCTTCGATTCTGTGATACTGTCGAACAAGCAGTCGACGATCTTGATCTGAATCTCGACTGGCAGCCATGGCGACTTGGATTTTCTGCGTTCTAGAGTCGAGGTGCCTGGCAACGTGCTTGGCCCAGCGTCGGATTCTGGAGTCGAGGTGTCTGCCGACATGCTGGATCCAGCGTCGGGTTCTGGAGTAGCGGTGTCTGACGAGCTTAAACAGGCGAACCTGGACAGCATAGTATGGGAGTTATCACTCGATGGACTATTGAGCATTCTCTTAAATGGAGTCTTGCGCTTTCGAGACGGGATGCCCAGACAGTTCTTCTCTGAGCTGGGAAGGGTTTAAGTACCGTTCTGGAGAAGCCTTTTTTCTTTTTCTTTAAAATAAAGTCAATTCTATTTAAACTTTAGTTTGATGTGTGTCTTCTTTTAACCTCCAATGGACTACGTTCCACGCTTTCATGGGCCACGCGCCAGCCCTAAGCTTTGGACACACCGTTGAAGCTATTCCGCGCGGATGTCGAACTATTCCGCGCGGATGTCGAGCCGGACCATCTACTGCCGAACTCTACAAGCGGTGGTAACCTGAAAACCTATTCCTTTCTGACTTGGGGTGCTAAAGAGTCTTCGGGTTGGACAAGTTTGTCCCCGCCCTGGCCGTGTGCCGGCCTTCGCCTGACTAGTTACGGGAAACCTTGTAACAACCGGAAGGATAGATAGCGCTGACGCCCGCAACCGATAAATATAAAGATAAAAATAAATATAAACAGAAACTTGAAAAGAAAAAGCACTGTGACTTTCCGAAGTATCATTCAGAAGGAAACCTCTAGATAGTCGGCCAGCACTACAAAGAGAAATGCCAGAGATGCATCTTCTACCTCGCCTTGTTGTCCTTCTTCGTCCTCACCGACCAGCCCTTGCGCACTCCCCTGCGATTCACCTCCGGGATCCTATACGCCTTGTCCCTCTCCAGTCTATGCCTGTCCCAGAAGTCACTCGCTTCCTGCCGGAGCGCGCCCGGGCCGCCGCTCGCCCTGCCGCTCCCGTCCACCACCGCCTCGCCCCCTTCGTCATCCACCTCCTTGCGCCACGACACGTACCCGACCAGCTCGCGCAGCGCCCGCTTGCACGGGTCCCAGACGAACACGTAGACGTACTCTTGCACACGGCGGACGCCCCGCAGAAAGTAGCGGAACAGCTTGCGTACCGTCGTGCTCCAGGCGATGATGAGCGAGGCGACGATCAGGAAGACGCTGGACGGCAGGGCGATCTTGCCGATCGTCTGGAGGGAGAGGTTGTCGCCGCCGCCCCATTCGCGCGTGTTCATGCCGAACAGGCCGGTGAAGAAGGTGAGCGGCAGGAAGATGACGGTGAAGACGGTGAAGATCATGACGCTCCGGTTCTGCGCGCCGGCCACATCCGCGTGCAGCCGGCTGAGCCGTACTTCGTCGACTTGGGCCTGCCGCTGGACCATCTGTAGAAGCTTGTCGTAGTCGTCTCGCGTGCCACGTACCCGGCGTATCATCTCCTCTGCTTGTTGAATATACTCGGTGACCTTCTTGAGGGCCTCGTTGAGGAACACGCGACCGTTGACTGTGTGGTCGCGCAGCTCGGAGCGGGTGTATATGGCGTGCATCGACGAGATAACTCTGCTCTGGCGCTCAAAGAGATGCAATAGGGTCACTAGTTCGTCTTCGATATCGCGCAGCTCGAGAAGGGCTGAGGTGTTGTCGCGGTTCTCCCGTTCGGCTCGGCGACCCTCTTCCTTGTGACGGGCGCGGATGGAGCGCAGACGATTCTCGACCGGTTCAAAGTCAAAGGTCTTGTCGCGCACTCCCTCTGTACGGAAGTCCTTGAGGGAGCTCGTGAGCTTCTCAGTCTACTCAGCTATTAGTCTGACTGTTCTAGAAATGTTTCAAGGTGGCGACGTACCAAGACACTGATGGCCTCCTCAAAGATGCGAAACACTTCGAGGTCCGGATGAGACGACCGATCCAGGAGAACAGTCACGGCATGCAGCACGGACAACGCCGCTAGATCGAGGGCATTCTCGCACTGGCGAGTCAAGTCGACGTTTACCTCGTTGAAGATGCTGTCTCGCAAGTCCGCTTGCTGGAACAGCGGGCCTTCGATGGGATCCCCCTCTCTTTTGGGGAAGCAGGTAACCACAGTTTCTATGATGATTAGAATTGTGCAAAGCTCCCTCATATTCTAGCCACTCACGTGTATTGATGACCCATAGCCACAGCTGATCGACCATCAGAACATTGCCATTCAGCACCTCTTCCTCGCCTACTTGGTCCTCGTTCTGCCCCCGGAAGCGCGTCAACCTCTCCTTCCACCCGACATTCCCACCTTCGTTGCCGCTGCGATTTGACCCGTCTCGCGTGCTTGACCCCTGCGCGTGCAGCTGTTGTCGGTAGCCGTGCGAGCCGAAGCGCTCCTTGGTTAGCTTGTACAGCATTTGATCGTCGTCGCGTGACCGAGTGTCCCGCAACGAGGGGTACCCGAATTGGTCCAACGTTCGACGGCAGTTAACCGGCGGATCGCCGCCCAGAAACTCCCAGATGACCTGCATCTCGGTTGAATCTGCCTTGGCAACGTTGGCTGGCACTGGGCGAGAGCGGCCCTGGATCAGCCGCTGTAGGATCAGGTTGCGCCGCCGCAGAAGGCGCTTGTAAGTGTCGAAATGCAGGTACGGGAGAAATAGGCAGGTGTACATGCCCTCTTCAGCTGCAAACGGTGCCATGGTAGGGCTTATTGCCGAGGTGCTCATCGGTGATACTGAAGCTGGTGAGTATCCCTCCATTACCAAGCGAAATGATAACAAGGGACTTACAAGGTCTTGGCGCGGTGAAGTAGCATCCAGGCTTCGCAAAGTAGGCATAATGCTGCGAGTGTCGCCCTCGCGTATGCTTTGTCGCCCAAAAGTCCGGTCCGTATAGATGTGATAGGTTCTTTCCAGAGCATACTTGGAGAGTCTGCAGGATGGTCTATTGTCGAGGTTAGCCGTCTACCCATCCACACATCAACTTTTTCGTCTCATACCTTTACCCAAGCAGGGTTGTTGTACGCCAGATGAATCCACGTAAACTTTTTGGCATGCGCCTCTGGCTTAAGCAAAACTGCCGCCTCCATCCGGCGGTCGCCTCCAAAGACTGACCTCACACCAAAAATATTCTCCGGCAGCGGCGGTGAGGCCTCCAGGCCCCCTTCCTCTTCAACGCTCATCATGTCGTCATCACCACCACCCGTGCTGTGACTTCGCACGGAAAATGGCGGGAAGTCGCGATATCTGATCCGCGAGGCCGCTCCGTCGCTGCCCAGACTAGCCGACCGACTCAGAGACAAGATGCCGCCCGTCGCTCTACGTCCGCGTAGCGGCGGGGAGAGCCGGTCGATAAATAGGTCCTGCTCAAACTGCGCCGCCCGTAGCAGCGGTGATGCGTGTGGGACGACTGAAGCTGCATATCGGCTCGGCGGCGACGGCACGCAAAATGGCGGGGAGGCGATAGGGCCGACTGGAGCAGACTTGGGGGACCACGTCGGCGGACCAGTTCTTGGAAGGCTGTTGAGGGGTTGGATGATGGGCGACATGGGTGCTACCACTTCAATGGGCTCAATGATCTTGCTGTCGATACCGAGCGCGTCCTTGACTGTCATGGCCGGAGCGACGGATATGATTGCCCTCGACGGCGAAGGCGAGTGCTCAACACTACCATCCACCTGCGCCAGCGATGTTCGACCCCTTGCCTTGAGAAACTGGCCTTGACTTGGTGAGCCGTCCACCTCGTTCAGTCTCTCGATTAAGCACTCGTCGGGGCCTTTGCTGATGAACTCGCGCAGCGGAAGCCGAGTGGACCAGGCGCGCCCAGCCGTCACGCCGGCGCCGGCGACAAGGTCATCGAAGAAGCCGTGTATCTCGACGTTGACCTTTTGCTCCAGATCTGGCATTGACCAGTGCGCGGCAGCGGTTCCTTGCTCGTCTACGCTGCTGGCAATATTGGCATCGGCGTGCTCGACCTGCTCAGCAATTTGCCGCAGGAACAGCCGCAGGGTCTGAACGTTATGCCGGCCAAAAGACGCTACATTTGCGTGATCGCTCTGCAACGGAAATATTCTCTCTTGGCGCATGCCGAGAATGGCCGACTTGATGGACGTCAGTGGTGCTGTAAAGTATACCTTATCTCCGTCGGCGGCGTTTCCATGTGTCGTTGTTGTCCGGGCTACGCCTGTTCCAGCACCGCGTCCGAACAGGCGTGAATCAATGGTCTCATAAAATGTCCATATCCTCAGATCGCTCGCGATCTCTTTAAAGTCTTCGTCAATGTGCGACAGCAGGCTGCTACCTACCCGCAGATCCGCCGTGAGCGTCTCGGGCAGCGGCGCCGATAGCTGCAGTAGGCGCTGTACGCTCCCTGCGAGGGAGTGCATCGCTAGGTAGCTCGAGCCCTGGTGCGGAGTGCCGAAGAAGGCTATGCCATAGCACTCATCGAGGATGTCCCGGTACTTGGCGTCGCGGCTGGCGCGCACCATCGCCATCTTCGCTACGAGCCCGCCAATGCTGTGGCCGAGGACGAGCAGCGGTCGATGCGGCTGGCCTTCTCGCACTCTCAGCTTATGGATCGCCTGCAGAAAATCCTCCGCGAGCCTGTTCAGCGTCATTCCCTCGGCTAAAGGAGGGTGCGCGTATAGTAGGATGCGCGCCTTGTTCGCTTCCCGGCGCAGGCCCTGGCGGACCCAGGACGTCGAAATGCGCTCGCCGCCGCCACCGACCTCGGCATCGCGCATGGAAGGTGCGCCAAAGTAGCGACCTAGGAGTCCCTCGCGATTCCATGTACGCAGTCGATCGCCGCCAGGACACGGAACTGTGACAACGTCGACGGTGGTTATGTCATAGGTCAGGTCGCCGGCCGGGTCGAGGAGGAACCGCTCGCCTTCGCTGGGGGTCTTTGGCGTCGCTATGAAATCCTCCAACTTTTCGATTTCAACGGCGTCTGGCTTATCACAACTGTCTTTCTTACTGAAGTTTGATTCCCGAGCCGGCAGTTGCTGCTCTGGACGAGCATTGGACTCACGAGCTAAGGGCTGTGGCGTCGAGACATTCGCGGGACGGGTAGGAAAGGCTTGTGCGGGAGATGTATTGGAGAGCTCGGTGCTCTGTGGCATTGTGGAGTTTCTTAATGGCCTCAAATCGGCCATCGAGGTGCTTGTCTTGGTGTTGTTGTCTTGCAAGTGCACGGTAGGTAAGTTGATGGGTAGGTCGACATAGGTGAGGTTCGGGGTAGGAATGAAAACAATAAGTCAGCTTTAAAAAAGAAATAGCCAAGCCTCCCCTGGAAAAGGTAGATCGAATACCCCGACATTTGAGTGATCCGTAATGGCGTTTTAGAGCTCATTATCCCTCTTCCCCGATAACTAACCTACCTGTCAGGTGGCCGTGGTGTCTCATGGTCCGCCTGAGTCGCCCTAGACCGACAGAGCTGGTCACGGTCGCTTTCGACCTTGTCGAGATCGAAAGCTACCCTGCAGCATAGATGATTGCCGAATGCCGCAGCAAAGAGAGCGTCACCCCTGGATAAAAGTGATTGAGTCGACGTCATTTCGTTAATTTTCAATTGCCCGTGACATACATGACATGTTCTGCCGTTGCTCCTGCGTAGTTTTGTCGTGTGCGGCTCTCCAGCAGCGTCTACCTCTGTCGCAACCCACCCCTGGCGATGCCTAGCGATACGACCAGACCGTACGTGACTTGTCCACATGGTTGCATCCCCTCGGCACAACCGTGCTAGTTGCAGACGCCACATCAAGGATGGTGTCTAGCTGCTGAGCAAAGCAAGTCAAGATTCGAGTATTTGAAAGCTTTTATGTAAACCGAGAAAAGCAGACTATGATTAAAGATGGTTTCCTCCCCCGCACCCGGTAATGCTCGCCCGATCAAATACGCCAGCTAGATGCGTCAAGGCAGGCAGCTAGAAAACCCAAGCTAGGAAATGTAAAAATAGAAGAACCTGAGTAGCGACACAACATGCCGGCCACAATAAGGGCCGTCAGGATAAGAGTGAGTAGTTCGTCACTGTCGTGCAGTGAATTATCGCGTCAATGTAAAGCTTGTTGGTCGCCACACATGTCTCGCTAGGCCGAATAATGAAGATACTGTTCGGACCGGTGCCGAATTTCTTCGTCCCGATCCTAACTTCGACTTTGCCCGATGCCACAGAGCATGTGCGAAGCTGTGATTCATGCGCTTTCCACCTAGCAGTGTCGCCCGGTTTAATCGTAAGGATGTTGAAAGAGACGTCTTCTGACACTGCAACAGGCTCTCGCCCATTCAAATAGGCGCTCGAGTACCCAATATCTGTGACAGTTATTAGTCGTGTCAGTTATTAGTCGTGTCCAACAGCCCGGAGCAAGATGTACATACTCTCTCCGTGTGCTGGGTCAATCATTCGACCTGGCGCAACTTCCCAACTCTCCATCTCAAGCTGGGGCGGTAGAGCTTGGACAGGTTGAAGGGGCTTGGTAGGTGGCTCTAGGGAAAGTACCGATGCCGCCATAGATGTAGACGTGCGACGAGGAGGGCCAGGGGCCCCAACTTTCCGCCACCGCTGGCCGAGTTCCGATTTGTCTCCCAATATATTGTCGTCTGCACTCGAGCTTTCGGTCGAATCATGTTCGGCTCTGGAGACTCGGGGAGCGGGCGGCTCAGATTCCGGGCTCGATATCTCCCAGCGCGGCGCCTTCCCGGCCTGAATGACTGCTTCTACAGCTCGAGCCCTGCGCCGATGCTCTGCCACTTCCTTTTCCGTCCCGGGTTTAGCACCGTGGCCATCGTCGTGTTCATATCCCACCCCAAGCCCATCGACACGTTTCCGGTATCGTCTGAGGAAGCCACAATTCGACGACGACCAGGCGCAAGGACAATCCACCCCCTCCAGCTCGGCAAAGTAGCGACAGCTCACACAGCTTTTCCCTCGAAAGTAGAGGCTCCTGCACGCATCTGAAAGCCCGAAAGGCACGGCAATACATTCGCGCGACAACCTAGCCTTGGGGTTACGCAGCGACTCCTGACAAGCATCCGAGCTAAACACTTCGTGACCGGTAATGTATGCAGCTGCGATGGCAAACATCCTGTCACTCACAGGTGTGTTCCTGTGGAGGTCGATCCATGACCGCGGCAAATCGCGACGCTTCGGTAGCTGACAGATCTCTTGTATGTGTGGCGAGGAGAGATATGGAGCTCTCTGGAAGTAGGGTGGAAGGAATCTGCTGAGATAAGTGAAGGGATCAGGAGATGTCAAGGCCACATGTTCCTCTGTAAAAGTCGCGAGGGGTTCTTCGGTCTGCAGATTATCTTCCTCACTACTACTTTCATTTACGCTGACCTGGGACACCACGATGGCCCGCCAAGTTTCGCCGGAAACCCTTGGATAGTAGCCGACCTTTGAAAGTGTGCCGTCGCAATTGTCATTGTATGCGCAGCCTTTATGACCGGCTGAAAAATGCCCTACCAATGATCTTGGGTTGTCGAAGGCACTGCCACAATCCTTATCCGGACAGACAAAAGGTCTAGGAACTGCATTGTCTAGCCGGTAGTTTGTTGGAAGGAGGGCGCCGGGCATAGTTGCCCTCAAGCCCCTGGAATCTGTGCCTCGGCGTGTTAGATATATAGTTATGTGTCAGGGGGGGGGGGCATCATGATCTGTAAACAAACCCGTATAGTATTCGTATGGTGTACCGTCAGCACGGGTAGCGATGGAATCAAGCGCGTCGAATTTGAGCCACTGGCCACGTTTAGGGGCGTTCGGGGCATTCTGAGTAGCTACTTGTGTGTGACTTGGGGTCATGGATCGACTTGACGGTAAGGAAGGCGGCATTGACCGAGGCGGCGCAACAAATGACTTGGAAAAGGTTCGCTTTCTGGGCCTGGATGAAGTCGGCAGCATGGAGCTGTCGAGACTACGTTTCTGGCCTGCGACAGGTTCTGCTGTTGAGCTGATCAAGGGCAATGCTGGATACGAGTAAGAATACTGGTATGAAAAGAGGATCATCTAGGTGCCTTGAGTGTATAATCGAGGCCCCCAAGAATTTCGATGACGACTCACCCCGGGCTGGCCGAATGTTGGGAATGTCCGACGCCGTTGACGCGCCGGAATCGGAGCTGCTGCCACTCGAAGGAGTACCGTTGCGATTCCCTTGCTCCCACTCACGCTGGGCGGCCATGATAGTCGAGTTGAGGGACATGAGCTTGACCACGATGCCTGGCTTTGTTGGTGAGTGTGCCGGAGCCTCCGGTTGTGCTTCTGCTGGTGCCTGTACCGGTGCCGCCGGTTGTGCCTTTGCTTGTGCCTGCGCCGGTGCCTGTGCTGGTACCAGCGTCTCTGCAGGTTCAAGCTTCACCTGCGATCTCAGCCGCAGCTCTGAAGGCACGGGCGAGGGCGCGGGCGGTCGCGATTTCCTGGTGTAGTAGCCCGGGGTCCCCAGCAACTTGACTATCGGCCTCGGACTACTTGTGCCGCTACCCTGCAACGGTGCGAGAGTCCCAGACAGCGCAGGCGTCCCAGACGGCACAGGCGTCCCAGACGGCGCAGGCGTCGCAGGCTGCGCATACCGTGGCAGCGGTACGTGGCTCACCGGCCGTGCGGTAGGTCGAAGGTGAGGCGGCGGCACCTGCTGCGGCATTGGTCTTTGTATTTTCGGCGAGTCGAGTAAAGAAGTGCAACAGGCGGTGGTCGTGATGGCATCATACGGACATCGGAGTGCTTGGGGTGGGTAGGTAGCAGGCGACGCTGCGCTGTCTCGCATATCACAGCGGCTGGTATCGGTGCGTAAAAATACAATTGAGATGTCTGCTTGTCAGAAGAGGTCTCCTCGTCCTTGTGAGTTCTAAAACGCTGAGCTGTGCATTTGGTTTTGGCTGATGAAGTAACAAGGCCAACTAGCGCGACGACGCGTGAAGTGGTGAACCATGAGACTCGCTGGGCATTCGAGGCAGGAGCCACCGCAGTTCAGGTCCACCAACCGGAAATTTGGCTCGGCAGCAGTTACCGCATCACCAACAACCCAGCGTGACCAGGCTGACAGGGGATTTGACGAAATTTTTATACCTTCATGTTTGGTTTTGTTTATTGGGCAATTTCCAATTTAATAGCTAGTGAAGCCAGCGACAAAATCTCACATGCCTCTCACATACCGACGATCTACAAGTTTGGTCAGATTAGCAATGCTTGTTTACAAAACAGTATCCTACTATAATATACAGTATTTCTCCCCCAACACTATGCTATTTTACACAAAACACGCCTCATTTCTTGGCCTTTGCCTTGGTCTTCTTTGCCCCCTTCTTGCCCACCACCTTCTTCGCCGCCTGGAACCCGCCATCCTCGCCCTGCGCGCGCTTCTCCTCCTCCGCCTTGCGCTGGCCCGCCAGCTCGCGCTCGCGGCGCCAGCGCCTGTTGCGCAGCCACTGCTTGCGTGTGCGGAACCGCGTCAACTTCAGCCCCGTCGTGCGCGCCAGCCGGCCGATGCGCCAGTTGTCCTCGCGGTAGCTGTAGTCGTCGCGCAGCCGCAGCAGGCGGTCCGGTTCGCCGGCCTGCACGCGCGTCACCGCGAAGGGGATGCCCGATGCAGACAGCGCCGGCTCCTCCGCCGCCTCGCGGATTGGGTGCGCCGTCATGTTGAGTCGGCGTTTGCGCTCGGCGTGCGCAGGGTAGGGCAGCGTGTCGGCCTTGTCGAAGACGACGCCGATGTACTTGCGGTCCGGGTGCCGCGCCGGGTCGCGGTAGTACTTGACGTAACCGGTCGCGGTCGAGTGGATCGTGTGGTCGCGGCCCATGTTGCAGTTCTCGCCGGGCCACCAGTGTGTTCCGCGCTGCTTGTAGATGATGTTGCCAGGGATGACGAATTGGTCTGTTCGAGGGGGGTCAGTTCTACGCCTCGAAATGCCTCAATTGCACTTGATCGTGGCTCTGATAGACATACCTCCGGTCCTCTTCGCTCCTAGCTTCTTGGGAATGCCTCGTTTGCTCTTTTTCTTGTAGGCTCCTTGCGCCTTAACGGAGGCATATCGTTGGCCCTGCACGAGGGCATTGTTGAACTGCGGCTGTAACGTCAAGCCGGCTAGCCTTGACAGGGTAGAAGCCCCTATCAGTGAGGGCCTCTGGGCCGAGAGAAATCGCAATGCCATTGCGCTGTGGGTTGATGCCGTCAAGGGGCTTTGCGAATTGAAGCTCGACTGGGTGATGCTCAAATTTGGCGTTGGCCGAGGCTTAGTCATGCACCAAAACTTATCGATAAGTCGTACCGAAAGTGGCCAGCTAACCTGCGACGGCATGTTCGCTTTTACAATGCAGTTGTCGCACAGCAGATTTCTGTCTATTCGAGGTTGAAAATTCTCCTTGCGCCCAAAATTACAAACATGCGCTTATTATTAGCGTTCTTGTCGCTCTTTGCGCTGGCAAACGCCCAGTTCGGCTTCTTTGACCAAATGTTTGGCCAGCAGGAGCAGCACCACGGCCACCACCACCAGCAACAGAACAACCCGAGCGACGCTTCTCAGTACCACGTACGCTACGACTCCTGTACGTGACCAGTTTTTGAATTGCATCACTGATTCTAGGGGTTTGCTCGCGGATATCGCTTTGCTAACTTGACGATAGCCGTCTGCGACAAGTACCTGTGTCCAGATTCGCTCGCGTGCGTACACTTTCCGCACCACTGCCCTTGCATCTGGGACAAGAACGAGGACAAATTCGAATTGAGCGAAGGAAAACGTCTCTGCGTTTCGAAAGGCGGCTTCAAGGACGGCGAGGCGGCGCGAAAGGTCGAGCTGGCGCGCAAAGGCCTGCTGTGAAGGGGTTCATTTTGACAAACCCATTTCATGTATATATATTCTTGGGCGCACGCACACGATAGACATTTTAAAACTCTGATAATATGCAAAATTTAAGGTGTAAGGCTCAGAAAGAGGTACCGAGTTGGCTATCTGTCGTATCAATAACACAGCAAAAAGAAGAAAAGTCCCTAAGCAAGCAATACAAAACGCCGAAATGCACATTGCAGCTTATAAAAGAAGGCTTACGATCCATGCCTATGAAAGACCATTGGGAATGCGCGGGACGGGAGGAACCGCATTCTCTCCTTCGTCTTCGTCGTCGTCGTCTTCGTCGTCGGGGAGCATCTCCGGGTTGCCCAGTAGTTGCGCCACGTCGCGCATCTCGTAGTGCTTCTTGCGGAGCTCCTCAAACTTGTGGTGCTTCTCGACCTCCTCGGGCGACGCGCCCACCAGCGCGTCCTCGGCGGAGGAGGCGACGGTGTCCTCCTCCAGATGCACGCTCTTCTCCGAGGGGGCTCGGGGGGACGCCGCATGCGAAGCGCCATCCTCAGCGTCCCAGCCCTCCGACCACGCCGGGACCTCTTCCTCCGGTTCGCCGAGCGAAAGGCCCGGAATGTCATCCTCAGCACGCGCGCGTGGAGCTTTAGGGAGACGATGAGCACCCGCAGGAGAAGCCTGGGCGTGGTCACCGAGGGCGGCGGCTTCGTCGGCTTGGTACTCGTCGTCGGACGGATCTTCGGCAGGATCATATTGCTTGACGTAGGGAGTCTTGGGCTCGTCAATCTTCATGGTCGAGGTGCGCTCCTGCTCGGTCAGGTACAGGTTGACCTCGTCCCACTTGAGGCGCTGCGAGGGCTCGGACTCGCCGGCGTTGGCGGCCGAGTGGCGGCGGGAGGCGGTGATTCGGGCGGCGGATGACGAGCGGCGGTGGCCGGCGTTGAAGTTTGTGTTCTCGAGGGTGATTTCTTTGCTCATGGAACGCTGACGGAGAGGCGGACGGGCATCGCCGGTGGCCGAGCTGTGCGAGCCAGAATGTTTTAGAATACCTAGAGATGAGTTCGAGTCACTATAAAGCTCACCCGAGAGAGGACTCATTGTATGCGGGCTATAGCTTTGCTTCCTTACCTTTGGGTCGCGGCACGTCAGGGCCGGGCGGCGTGTGCATGGGAGAGTCGTCGACGGCGGAAGCCATGGCTTATGTTGATCCGCAGAGGCGCAGAATAGTAACGACTTGGATGTAGAGTTGCGCTTGTATGTGCTCACGGGGCGAGTTTCGAGGAAGCAGGCAACGTGAGGTGCAGGAAGGGCAGTTGGGCTGGTTGTTGTTTTTGGGCTGTTTGAGCGGGGTTTCGAGGCTTTCTGAATGGTGGGGTGACAGTGGTCAGTCTGCTGAGATGGGGGAATCAGCAGCGACAGCAGGCGAGACAATAAGGGATACGGAGTGAGGTTGCAGGAGCTGATTGTCTTTGGCGAATCGGGTGATGCAGTACTTTATGACTTGGCATGGCGTATGACGAAATGTGTAGGGAAAGTTCAGTATTGGTAGTTCAATGGCCGCCACCACCAAATCCGTCCATGCGACTGAGTGATGACGCACAAGGCACGAGGGCGGCGCAACGGTGGGGTGGGATACCTTTATTTGTTAGTGTCGCAGGGCCAAACGCAGGTACTTCTCGACACAACGCCATCGAGCCCCGGTAACCTCCTTTCAAAGGCTCGTAGTCACACCACCACGTGCCCGCATCTTTCCGTATACATCAGCTGCCAAAATTTGTGAGAATAGAGTCTGAAGTGCATGATATCACAAACGGGTTTTCCCTATTTTGCTTTCTGCGCAAGTATGACTCTGGCAGGCGGTCTGCGAGTGGAATCCTCGGTGCGAGCATAGAATAATAGTAGGGGAAGAAAACAAAACAGTATGGGGAAAGATGAAATATCAATCATCTTATAGATCATTAAGTTGTCTGGACAGTATTTACTGATCTGACCTCGAAAGTAGTGTAGTGGCCCTACTGTTACTCATTCAAAACAGGTATTCGTACTATGTCCATACCTTGCTAGTATTGGTATGGCATAGAACGGACAGTGCCCGTAAGATATAACTCGACACCTTTAGGAAGAAAAAGCGAGAGAGAGTTACCAGTTTCTACGATGTTTTGATCAACTCTTAGCCCTGGACGCACTTATGAATCCATCGGCTCGGCAGCAACTCCTACAACCTACCCTGTAGCATTAATGGCCCGCCTTTTAGCACACGCTGCTCTCTCCCCCAAATCCTCGCGGGTCCGCGGCATGCTAATAGGGAAAATTCAATTCTTAAAGTTGTCTAACAACAATATGAACCAGTTTTAGTCCTGTAATGCGGAATGCTCAAGATAGTCGTGTAACCGCCCCCTCTCTATCGGCACTCCGGCGGTGGTTGGACTGTGGCGGCGATGCGAAGCTGGCGATTCAGATCCGGGGTATGTGTTTGGTAGGTCAAGGCTTCAAAAATAGAATTTCGGTTGTATAGAAATTCTAGCTAGAAACCTGATAGCCTTTAGACAAGTATTATAATTCACAGTGGCCCTTTTTTCTTTACTCGCAAGTTTTCCTTTTTCCTTGCTCATTGCTGCGAACATTGGCCAGGCACCCTAGATCACCCACAGAACGAGCGCCCTTGTGGACTCGCACCAACAAGCCTCTGTCCTTTTAAATTGAATCTCGACTCTTATTACCACTGGGATGAAGCATCAGCGATTGGGATGCCGATCCATCCACAGGGTTCAGCTGCACCGGCTTCAGCTGCACCAGCATTCTGCCCACTTTTGCCAATTAAGCTCCGCGCCGTCGCCTCAGCTTGCCCAACTACTCCAGGTTTTATGGTTAGCTCGTGCCTGGAAAGCGTAAATCTACGAACCGGTCTTGGTTCCCATTCGCAGGTAATTGGCGGTAGGCATAAATCATCGCAGGGGTCCTTGTTCGTGGCGCAGATCACGACGTCATAAACGTCTGGAGTCCAGCTTGAAGCACTCTTAAAAAGGCCCTCCCCAGAAACTGAATGAAACACGTAGTTATCAAATTCATCAATATCTCTCTTGAACTTGGTCGCCTATTATTTACACCAGACACCCTTTCTCACCACCACCATGGACAGTATTCTCAAAGCGGCCGGCGGCAGCCTCAACACCAAGGAGGGCGAGTCCAACAAATTCATGGATTCCATCAACAACGTCGCAGGCGGCGGTGAAAAGTCGGAGCAGCAAGAGGATGGACTAGACAAGGTATGCCATTCTCATTTCATCTCTTCCAGCTGAGGCAAAGCTTGTTGCTAATTCATTTAGGCTGTCGATTTTGTGCAGGAAAAGGTACTTGGCCAAGGCCAACAAAACAACGAAACCGCCGCGGAGCAGGCCAAGGACGAGGCCATCTCCGACTACATCCGCGACAAGTACAAGGACACCACCGGTAGTGATTTCCCCATCGCAGACAAGGAGAAAAAGTTTGGATTGTAGACCTTCCACCAGTACAGGGTAGTATTGCTGCCGCCCAAGGAATGGTTCTAGTTTGAATGCAAAACATGATGCCACCTCAATCACATTGACGACGACATGTACTACTGACATGTTACCTAACTCTCCTCTCAAACCGTCAACTGAATTCCTGCAAAAGCATCATGTACGGATCATGGAGCTTGATATCATCATGCAACTCTACCAAATATGAGCGTGCTATATGAAACAATTCACGAACTCGGAGTCTTCTCCTCATTTTAAAACCTCCCACAACACCGCTCTAAATGAGGTGGCCGGCAAGCCGGAAATGGCAAGATCAGTCATACTTTGGCTTCTTATTGCTTCCGTTTTCCAATTTAAGCCCACCCTGCAGAGAGCTGGCCGGATTCTCGTCCAAGAAATCAAGGGGCCGTTTGATGATTTAGGCTTACTCATGCCCCAGCATATTTCCTGTAAGTTCATTCTTCTTTCTCGCTTTCTAATGTTTCGCCGATACGACGGCAGTAAAGCTCGGCAAATGCGAAAGCTGACATTGCTCTTAGCAAAGGTGAACAAAACGAGGGACGATGTCATCAGCATTCTCTTAAAAGGCATTTATGAGTTGAAGGCGCACCTGTCAACCACCAATGCAGTTTGTACAACCAGCTGCGACATGATGGCCCTTGGCGCGCTGCAAAAGTGTATATTCGCTGCGGGTGTATATCCAAGGCCAGGCGCGCCTTTCTATGGCATCAGTGTTACCAGCCTACAAACCACGGTCCAAAAGTACCGAGAGACGCCGGAATTGAAAACGTGTCGTGTAAACGGTTACACTCAGATCTTCTGTAAGTTGAACGCTCGGTTTCGTGCGGCTGACTATGGGATTGGGAAAGTTATTTCAATTTGAAATGCATCCTGCTAGCGCATAATAGCGAAGCATTGAAAGTCTCCTAGGCTGATGCGTACGCAATATGTTTGCGTAAAAACGCATCGCAGAGGTGCACCTTGTAATTACTTGACTGTCTCTTTTCTTGCGGAAATACGTGCGGTTCGGTGAACTCGTTATCAAGGATCGCCGACCCGGTGCGGCTAGGGTCAGCCGCTTAAATATCTTAACGCTACTTTGCTACGTTCTGTTTAGAAATAGTAACGAAAATTTTTATCGAGGACTCTCCTGTCTGCGATGAATGCGCTCCAATAGCCGCGAGCAGCGCGAGACCAAGATGCGCCTATGCTAGAGAGCGCCCGCCTCTGTTGCCGAATACAGTCCGGACTCCAACACTTTCATGATATTCATGAGAGAGAGTGTTTCGATTCAACCTCTTCTGGAAGGCCACGGGCCCAGTCAACCAGAAAGTGGGAGTACTTTGCTCGCAATTACTTACCTCTTTCTCTCCAACATAAGCGGGGAATAAAAGCAGATATTGGGACGAGCTCACCATTCGAATTTATGGGATGGTTTGACTGACACGCTGACAAGGGCTGTTTAATGCCCACCAAAAGCCGGTCGCCGACCGGCGAGCTCCGAACATCTCAAGGCTTGGTTTCGGTCTTCTGTTCAGCTACAAAATAACCATCTCGAATAAATTTTCGTAGGCGATTTGACAGTCGCATCGACTGATGCCATCAAATTTGGCATCCAACATCACCGTCGGCTCCTCGCCGGCAATGGCCTGCGACTGCCCACTGCGTCCATTCATCTCCAGGCCACCTGGGTACAATCGGCTACAAACATGCAATGCGTGAAGGTCAATCGGGCCTTCCTGCCGGGCAATCACTAGTGGATATTTCCGAGCCAACACGTGAGCGTTGAAAACACCACAGTCGGCCAGCATATATGCAATGCTCGAAGATGTGAAGGTAGCGACGGGGAGATTCTTCGCGTGATACTCGGTACCATGTCGAGACTTGGCGTAGCCCTTCTCCGAAGTACATGGAAAGCCCACTTATGGATTGTGTATTCGTAGGCCCGCTGCGTTTCACCTGCGCGACGACCTTTCTGCCACTGATTCGAATGGTTGGCACTTTCCAGCTTGCGACCAAGATTTCTGAAAACACCAGAAACAGCTGCCGGTCCCTTCTAGAAGACGTGTCGGCACTGATTACGTTGAATTAAATATGGGACAAAATGCTAGCTAATGGGGGTGCTTGAACCCGAGTTGGTTGCTTGAACCCGAGGGCTCGGTACGGCTGTATAACCTCCATACGAATAAGCCGTGCATACTTGATGTGCCAAAAATTGGACTTGACCCGCTTGTTCTTGTCGCAGCCCTTTAAGAAATTAATAGTATCTGCTGCTGCCAAGCGTTATAATACCGAGGTACTACTGTAGTACGCACGAGTCAGTGGGCTCTGGACTGAGAGGCAACTGTAACTTCCGGTTTAAAAGCGCGGTATACCTGCTCATGCTGAGTCGCCTCATTCCTGCGCTCAAATGGACCAACTGCTGAAATATCTGAGAATGCATATTGATCTGCAAGCTGAAGGCAGAAGTTGTGTAACTACTGTGCTGATGTTCTTGGAGTAATGATCAGTACTGGATCGACCAACAAGAGATCCGGTCAGTAACTAATCAGTTGCCCCTACGCTCCTTCACAGCACCGGGCTGACTATCTGGGCGGCGTTCAAATCCAAAGAGGTGAACGACCAAAACATGTCTGAAGTGGTTGAGCCGCATGAATTCCGAGTTGTTTGTCAGGAAATATGCCGCTCCTAAGTCCCTGCCCCGATCCTCTTCGCGCTAGCATAGAGCCCAGAAGATGTGCTCGACACGCGACCATCGATCCATCGAGGTCATGCAGAGAGACACTGCTCCCTCCCTATGGGTACCGGCCCAAGGAGTAAAACCTACCCATATTACCCAGTACATGTCATGATACGGACCCGCTGGATGAGCCCTGAGTTTGGCCCGTTGTGAGATTAACGGGTTTTCTACATTGAGGGCTCCATGCGTTGTCCACCTCTACTCCTACGCAATCGGCAATCCCGCCAATTGACATGCAAAAACAAGGACGTTGGTGCTCTAATACTGCTGCACGGCGCTTCAAATATCATATCGCTCCACAAAAGGCTTGCGTTTTGTACTTGTGCTTGACAAACAGAGCATTCGGTTCTTCTGAAGCTGCCGGGGCCAATGACTCTATCCTACAGATTGCAGTCGGAAATCACTCGGAAATTTCCTCTAAACTGATTCAACTCGAAGCCACTGACTATAAGAAGTCGTTGCTTCTGGTCCGTAGCTGATAGTGAAAGGTCCCTTTCTACCATCCAACACTCGTTCATATAGAAGCCCTCGTACTACCGACCTCTCTACTATCTTTAAAGCAATCAAAATGATCAACCCGTTGCAATGGACCACGGCGGCCCTGGCCTTCGCCGCCGCCTCGGTGCACGCCGCCGCCCTGCCCGCCTGCCAGCGCCAGGCCCGGCCCCTTCCCACCGTGCTTTACCGCGGCGGCGCCAACACCCCCGAGTCCGTCAAGGAGAACGGCGGCTTCATCCCGCGCTTCCGTGACGACCCCAACGAATCCATCACCAACAACACCTTTGGCCTGCGCAGCCACCACCTCGGCCAGAACCGCACCCTCTACACCTCCACCACCCGCGACATCGTCATGGGCGCCACCTACGCCATGCAGGAGGACGCCCACGGCTGGGTCTACAAGATCCACCCGACGCCCAACATGATCGACCTCAACGACTCGGGCTTCAAGATCACCTTCCCGCGCGAGGAGGAGTTTTCCGCGCTCGGCGGCATCCGCTACGATCAGATCGAGGGCTGGGCCGAGATCGACTACAAGAGTTTGGAGGCTGCGGGCATGTCCAAGTATGATATTGACCAGCTGATCGAGATCTACCCGATCAAGGGCGAGATGGCGGTGCTCAACTTTACTGCCAACCCGGACTTTGCCGCCAAAAAGTACGAGGGCTTGCTGCCGAGCCCGGGCCAGCCGCAGCTATCCGGCGACGAGGCCAACCTGAAGAAGTACAATGAGAAGACGCTGGAGGAGTACGCGATCGAGTTCATGAAGAAGAATGGCGGCCCGGTGGGTTGGGATGGCGAGTTCCCGCTGAGCTCGCTGAAGAAGGACGCGGCGCCGCAGCCGACGACGGCGCGGGAGCGCGAGGACAAGCTGTGCTTCAACTCGGACAAGGAGTTCGGGATGACGACGGGGGAGTGCCGCGCGCAGGTGGCGCAGTGCGTGTTTGAGCAGAAGGGCAAGGAGGTCGAGTGGAGTGTCATCACAGACTGCATGAAGGTCAAGTGGCTGCTCGTCTGAGGCGGGTTCGCGGATGCTAGGAAGCCCATCTAGATGGGAATAGTGCCTGTTCAGCATGCCTATTTCATTCGTGGAGATGAGCCTGCTTTGATGCCAGTTTACTAAGAAAATAGCGCGTTCTTCAAATATCCGTATTAGAAGCGTGAGAGTTGGGATGGTGTGCTGAATTTAGACTAGATAGCGACAGGCTTGAAGGTGGTTGATTTTCAAGAATGCCTATTATAGTAGCAATACACCATGTCAGATCCAGAGACTGCGGGATCACCCGAATGACCCTCCACGGAGCTTACACAAGGCTCCAAGTAAGTACACGCGAGTAATTTTATTGTACGATCTTTGCGAATTCGGCAGAGAACTTGCACAGTTGAACGGAGTAGTAAGCAGGGCAGCGAATACAATAATGAAATGTAAATATACGCCGACTTTTTTAGAATTGGGAGAGACCATCGAGGAACGGATCAACAAGGCTTGCCGGACTGTTTTCTTTGGCCCCGTGACCCACGCCGATCGGCGCGGCCCGGGGCTTACCCTGCTCCGCGGAGTACCCACCCAGTCGGCCGTCCGACCATCCGATCGCCATGGGGATAAGCCTGCCATGGTGACACAAATTTGCTCTCTTGAGTGACTTGACATCTAACAAAAACAGATATAAATATTACCGCTGACGCTACCAACACATTGCATCTTCATATACTCATTGATCCAAGCTGCTACACTCACACTACAGTCAACACATCACTATAAAGACCTCACCATCACCATCAACACATCACTATTAACACATCACCACCACCTACATCGCCATCTCCATCACCACCACACAATGTCCACGACCGACGTGCTCATCGTCGGCGCCGGCCCGACCGGCCTCGCCCTCGCCATCTGGCTCACCAAACTCTCCATCCGCGTGCGCATCCTCGACGCGGCCCCCCTCCCCGCCACCACCACGCGCGCCCTCGCCGTGCAAGCGCGCACCCTCGAGCTCTACTCTCAAATCTCCCCTTCCCTCGGCGCCCTCGTCGCCTCCCGCTCCGCCCGCCTCACCGGGCCCAACATCTGGGTCAACGGCGAGCGCCGCGCCCGCGTGCGCTTCACCGACGTCGCCACCGGCACCACCGCGTTCCCATTCATCGCCGTGTTTCCGCAGGACGAGCACGAGCGGCTTCTGACCGCGGAGCTGCGCGCCCTCGGCGTGGATGTGGAGCGCGGCGTCAGCCTGCGGACCTTTACCGAAGCGGAGGGCTGCGTGAGGGCGACGCTGGAGAGGGCGGGCGGGGAGGAGGAGAGGTGTCAGCCGAGGTACGTGGCGGGCTGCGACGGGGCGCACTCGGCGGTGCGGCGAACGATGGGCGTGGGGTTCCCGGGGGACACGTACGAGCAGACCTTCTACGTGGCCGACGTGGAAGCCTCCGGGCCGGCGATGGACGGCGAGCTGCACCTGCGCGTCGACACGCACGACTTCCTCGGCGTCTTCCCCCTCGCGCAGCCCGGCCGCGCGGTCGCGGAGATGAAGCTGCGGGACGTGCAGGTGCGCTGGTTCGCCACCTACCGGACGCACCACCGCGTGGCGGAGCGGTTCCGCCGCGGGCGCGCGTTCCTGCTCGGCGACGCGGCGCACATCCACAGCCCCGCGGGCGGGCAGGGCCTGAACACGGGCGTAGGCGACGCGGTCAACCTGGCGTGGAAGCTGGCCGCGGTGGTCCGGGGAGAGGCGCCGGACGGGCTGCTGGAGACGTACGAGGAGGAGAGGGGGCGGTTCGCAAGGGAGCTGGTGAGGACGACGGATCGCGCGTTCACGTTCATGACGAGTAGGGGGTGGCTGGCGGGGGTGCTGAGGACGGTGATGGTGAGGTGGGTGGTGCCGCTGCTGTTCCGGTTCAAGGCGGTCAGGAGGCGCGCGTTTCACGGGTTGTCGCAGTTCGTGATCAACTATTCGGGGACGGCGCTGGCTGGGAGGAGTTGGTCGGCAGGGAGCGTGAGGGCGGGGGAGAGGCTGCCGTGGGTCAGGATCGGCGAGGAGAGTAACTATGAGTCACTGGCGCATATTGAGTGGCAGCTTCACGTCTACGGAAAGGCGGGGGAGAGGCTGGCGGCGTGGTGCAAGGAGAAGAGCTTGAGGCTGACGGTGATGGAGTGGGCGCCGGAGCACGGAGAGGCGGGTTTGGTGAGGGATGCCCTCTACCTGTTGAGGCCGGATACGTATGTCGCGCTGATCGACGACAAGGCTGATACAAAGACGATCGAGCAGTATTTCGCAGAGCGACAAATAAGCCTGGGCTCAGACAGAGTAAGGGGATGATGATTCGGCGTCTTATCGTACATTAGGCAAAGCACGAAAACGCAACTCTAGAATTTACACTAATTTTCTATCCCTCACTAATCCAACAACTTTATAATCTCCTTGTAGTCCTTTTCTTCTGCAATGTCCAGCGCAATCTCGCCGAACTTGTTCGCCAGCTCCCTGTCCGCGCCGCACTTCAGCAGCACCTCCACGACCTTGTCGTGCTTCGCCTTGACCGCCAGCATCAGCGGCGTGTCCGCGTCCTCACCACTCATCAGATTCGCGTCGCCGCCGGCACGGATTAGGTCCCGCACCAGCAGGTGATGACCGCCCGTCACCGCCGCCGGCAGCGGAAGCCGACCGCGTGCGTCCAGCACGTCCTGCCGCGCGCCGCGGCGTACCAGGAACTGCGCCGTCTGCGCGTGGCCCTCAAGCGTCGCGAGCAGGAGGCTGGTCGCCCCGGCCGGGTTGCTGCCGTCTTGGAGCTGCGCGTTGATGTCGGCGCCCTGATCGAGGAGCTGCAGCACGGCGCCGCGCTTGCCGACACGGGCCGCGTACAGCAGGGCAGCGTCCAGCCAGGCCTTGCGCCTCGCCGCGTCGGGCATCTCCACGCTGAGCAGCAGGTCGACGACTTCCGGGTTGTCGTACTTGAGCGCGTACTGGAGCGGGCAGTATCCGGCACCGTCGAGTGCCGGATCGGCGTTGTGCTGTAAGAGGAGCTTGACAAAGTCCAGCTTGCCGCGGAGAGCCGCGCGGTGCAGCAGGCCGTCTTGGTAGCCGACGGGGTCCGGGCTCGCTCCTTGTTCCAGCAGAAACGCCGCCAATTCAAGCGTGGTGTCGTTGTAATCGGAGTCAGCGGCGAGGATAAGCGCCGTGTCTCCGGACTCGCGACGAGCATTGACGTTGACGTTGCCCTCGAGGCACAGCACTCTGACCGTCTCCAGATGCCCGCGAGAGGCCGCCTTGGTCAGCGCGTTCTCCCCTGGTGACTTGCTGTCGCCCAGAGCGCCCTGGCTGATCAAAAACCTCACCAGATCGACGTTGCCCTTGTCCGCCGCGCTCTCCAGCGCTGTCTGCTGGTACTTGTTCGGCACGTGGACGCTCACCTTGCGCCTCCCCAGCAGCATCCGAGCCACCTCCGTGTGTCCGTTCTCGACCGCCGCGTTAAACGCCGCCTGGTGCGTGGCCTGCGAGTAAAACGCCATCTGTTTGTCCTCGTAGTCCAGCAACAACCTCGTCGTCGCCTCGCCCCCGTCCGTCGCCGCCCAGTGCAGCGCAGACGCCACCTGGACATCTACCTGCAAATCTGCCCCGTGGTCCACGAGATACCGCAGCGCCTCGTCCATGCCGAACAGCGCCAGCCGGTGTATGCACGGCCACTCGTCCCAGATCTTTGCGTCCACGTCCGCACCCTGCTCCACCGCCTCCCTAATGGCCGGGAAGTCCTTGTTCTGCACCGCGCTCCGAAGCGACGAGTCCACGCGCTCCTGCTCGTGCGGCCTGAGGTACTTGGGCACTTGCAGCACCTGTCCCAGCCCGTTCTCCGTGTCCTCGGAAGAGAGCAGGAGGATCGCGCCGCAGCCCCGGCTGGGGAGCAGGTCCATGATGTCGTTGTAGAGCGGCGCCGAGGCGTAGTTGTCGAGCACCAGCAGCCACGGGTGCCACAGCTCCTCGAGGAAGCGGCGCGCGGAGGCCATCTTGTCGGCGCGCGAGCCCTGGGTGCTTTGGTGGACGGTGGCGAAGACGCGCTCGAAGCCAAGGTGCAAGTTCTCGAGGGTGGAGGCGTCGAGCCAGAAGACGCTGCGAAACTGCCGGAGCTCGTGGGCGGCGCGGCAATACCCGAGCGCGAGCTGCGTCTTGCCGGCGCCCTTTGCGCCGGAGAGTAGTAGCACCGTCGGCGAGGTGACCTGCGAGCGGGAGGCGTCGTAGAGGTGGGCGTCCAGCTGCTCGATCAGTCCCTTGCGCTCCACGTACGCGTCAGCCAGCTTCTCGCGCACATCAAAGCACGTCTCGTCCTGCAAGTCCTTCGGCGCATCCGCCGAATCAACCACATGGTGCAGGATGAGCACGGAGATGTACGTGTTGAGGGTGCGCTCAATACGCGCCAGCCGCTCCTGGTGCCTTACGCTCGTCACCACCTTCTTCAGCTTCGTCTTGAGGGAGTCGCCCGGTGCGCAGGCAATCTCCTCGAGCATGGCCTCGACCTCCTGCACCTGCGTCAGGCAGCCGGCGACGATGCCCTTGAGGATGCACTTGGTGTCTAGGTCGAAGCCGGCGACGCGGGCGTCCGACTTGATCTTGGACAGCGAGTTGGCGAGCAGCGGCAGGTGCATGGAGATGCTCTGCAGCGCTTTGGGGATCTGGCCGGGGTGCTTCGCCGTCAGGTCCTGCAGCCGGTCGGCGATCTGGAAGCCGAACTGGACGAACTGGACGATGGCGGATGCCAGGCCGATGGCGCTGAGGGGGTCCATCGTGCCGGGAGAGGTAGATGGCCTTGGAGGAATATGAGATGAGGTCAAGAAGGAAAGGCAGAATTCATTCTAATCGCTTGAGTCTGTGGCTTCGTGAGGCTGACTCTGCGGGGCGGCTGGTTGGTTGGTTGTAAGAGGGCGATGAGTGACGCTAGGATGAAGTAGCCATTCCGACAGTGAAATTAACGTGCTCGAGTATCATGGTTGTAAGGATCTTATAAAGGATTATAAAGGATTATAAAGGAGCCCGGTTCTTTTTTTTTTTTGGTGTTTGAATATAACGGTCCTGCCCCATTGCCGTAAGTAATGAGTTACTACCCTTGAGGTGTTGTTGGTAAAATATGAATACTCTTTCTTCTTTAAAAAAAAAATAAAAAGCAAAAATATCAAGAGTATTAAGATCCATAAGGTTATTCTTAATACGAAAATCCTCCAGAAAATCGGCACGGGGCGACTGGTCCCAGTTAAGAGTATCCTCAAAATGTACTGTCTTGGCTTTTTGCTCGTCGCCATCGTCATTTTCGATTGGAACGATGAATAATAATGCTGATAACTCAGTGGAACAGCGGCGTCGCAGGCATTTATAATCTACGATGCTTGTTGGCGCCGTCAAAATTCCTTGATTGCAAAATTGTACGCTTTCAGATTGACAAGACAGCGACTACCGTGACCAGACTCCGGCGGCTATTGTGGCCTCAGCGCTCCGCTGATAAGGCGACCGGTGATGTGCGAATATGATGGTTTACATGTTTACATCTGAATCGCTATCTCAGCACAGTGTTACACGGCGGATGACTGAAAACAGGCTTCTCTGGAGTGCGAGCCCCTTTCACTTCCATCCCTATGACGACTCTACCCAATTACTGAGCTGGAAATTCCCACCGAGAGAATTTAAGGAAATTATTTGCATAGTCTTCCGGGCGCCCATTCAAGTTACGGCGCGTCATCTGATTTGTCGAAATCACTCGCTGAACGGACGCACGCATCAAGGTCGTTTCTTGCTCAAACTAAGAGGGCGGTAAGAGGCCGAAGTGCGGTCAGCTACAACCGTCGTCGAAGACAAGTATGGCGTGCAGTAAAAAGCCACGAATTGTCAGCTAATGTCATATCCTCTCGACCTGCTTGACCTCTCCTTTTTCTAGGAAGCTGCCTCGCTTGTCGTCGTTCTCAGGCGCGCCAGAGGACCTGCTTCCACCTCCAAACTTGTAGCCTCGCATCTGAGCAAGAACAGTCTTGAAAGTCGACTGCGCGAACAAAGAATCCATGTCTTCCAACATGACGCCTAAAAAAGTCAGTATGCCGGTATGCACCAAGAAAGTATGAAAAAAGAGACGACCTACCCTTGGTCTCGGGAATGCAGAAGAAAGCCCACAGACCCATGGCAGTGACGAAGCCGCCAAACATAAAGTATGTGCCGTATCCCAGCGCGGTGATCATGTAGGGGGTCGAGCGCGCAACGATGAAAGAGCCCACCCAAGTCACAGCTGTGGTGATGGCAACGCAGAGCATGCGAATGTCGAGAGGGAAAATTTCAGAGGCGTACGTCCAAGTGATACCCTGCCAGGTAGCGCAGATGATAAAGGCATTAAAGTAGACGCAGACCATGGCAAAGTATCCCGCCGCATCACGCTGCGTCACGCCGTCGGCAGCGGCACCGGCCGGATCGGCCTTGAGGACGTAGGCCCCGAGGTAGAACATGGGCAGGCATCCCAAAACTGCACCCCAAATCAGTCCATTGCGGCGACCGACGCGCTCGACGACCACAAAGGTAAACGCAATCATTCCCAGCGTCTTGAAGCACCCGTACAGGCCCGTGGAGAAGAGCTTGGTGCTGGTGCCCGTGATGCCGAGCGTCTCAAAGATGCGCGGCGCGTAGTACGTGATGATATTCACGCCCGTGAAGCTCTGGAAGAACATGAGCCCCATGCCGATGCCCATGCGGTTGCGCACGCCCTTGTGGAACAGCTTTTCGAACTGCTGCCTGCGCGTCAACCTCAACGTGCTACGCTCCTCAATCTGCAGCCGTACATCCCCAATCTCGCGGCGAATATACGCATGATCCGCCGGCAAGCCTCGCAATCTCGTCAGAACCTTCTCCGCCTCCTCGAACCTGTCCTTGCGCGCCAGCCACCTTGGCGACTCCGGGTTCAGCAGCATCCCCAGGAACAGCAGCACTCCGGGCGCCAGCTGCAGCGCCAGCGGCACGATCCACTGCGATTTGCTCTCATTGGAAATCGTCCTCGACGTCGCGTAGTTGATCCAGAAGCCGAGCATGCCACCGCCCTGGGAGGCAATCTCAAAGATGCCGACCAGCCGGCCGCGGATGGACGGCGGGGCGGTCTCGGAGATGTACACGGGGACGCACATGGAGGTGGATCCGATGCCGAGGCCTGCGACGGCGCGGCCGGCGACGATCATGGACATGTTACCGGAGGCGGCGGTCATGAGGGCGCCGCCGAGGAGGAAGACGAGCGCGGCGGCGAGGATGGTTGGGCGCCGGCCGAAGCGCTCGGCGGCGGGGAAGGTGATGAGGGCGCCGAAGAAGCAGCCGGCCTGGAAGGTGGAGACGATGTTGCCCTGGATGGTGTCGCGCGCGCGGCTCTCCATGTCCAGCATGTTGAAGTCCTTGCGGAACGCGTCGAGGGCCATGGTGCCGCCGATGACGGCGGTGTCGTAGCCCACTAAAGAGCAAGGTGGGTTAGGAATGGGAGCGATGAGATGGGATTTAAGAGCATGTTGAACTCACTGGCTAGAGCCGACATGGACGCAACGAGGGCGATCCAATGGATGTACCAATTGCGCACCTCAGGAGGGTCGGCGGTGCCCTGGGCGTGAGTACTGAGCAAACCCATACCAGTAAGGTGGTCGTGTCGGCGAAAAGGCTACTTGATTAGTATGTTTGAAAATATTGGCCTCCGTATAAGGAGACTGAGAGATCAATGGTTCAAATGTACCAAAACTGTTGTCGATGAATGTTTGTTGACTTGACAGCGAGGGAGTCGGCCTTTTATACATGGGCGAACCATGTCGACCACGAGTCCCCCGCATTCCCCCAGCTCGACGAGGGGGTTCAGTCACCTCAACATCCGATCTGAACGACCCCAGGTGGTCTGTGAGTCCGCTTGTCAATTATGCTTAAAAACAATCATGCGGGGTTGAAAGGTCCGAATAAGAAGCCGTAGAGGGGTTGCTCCAACTTCAGCAGGTCGACGCTAAGGAAGCTTGGCATTGGGGTTGGTGGGAAAGGTTTGGCCCTTGAGTAAGCCACTTATTGATCGTCCGCTGCAATGAGATGCTAGGATATCCCCTGCCGTCTGCTAATCCCGACAGCTTGCTTGCCTGGTCCGGGGGTTGATGCTTCGGCGGTTCGGACTACTTACACGGTGAGTTTGTGCGCAGATGGCTGGTGCAATCGCCACTCGCTCGGCTTGCTTCTACTCGGAGTTACGAGCGGACATCATGATCGCCTGGTATTGACAACCGTGGATGATACGCGCAAGCTGCTCGGCAGTGCGCGATGAGCATCAGGATCCTCCGCCACTTGCTTCTTGTGGAAGCCATCAACGCACGCCATTGCGACGAACATCCTTGCGTGCTTGCGAATTGAGGAAGATTGATCTGCTTAGACCTATCTTGAAAGGTTCAATCCTCTCATGAAGCTCGTGTAAGTTGACGAAGAGACGTTCGCCAAGCTCGGCAACTCGAATGCTGGCACCAATAGAGGGCAGGACCCGGGGGAAGTCGGAAGTGGCTGTCACTGTGAGGCGTACGACGATTCACAGATTACTATTCCAATCATGATAAATAGACAAGTATGCGCTGTAAACAATTAATTATTTTACTTGCAATGTTAAGCTTGGGGTCTGCAATTGTAGACGATGAGAGACTCACTACAAAAGCAAGTCCCTGTTCCTGTGTCGCCTCTCACCTATGGCCGCCGCGAGCTTCATCTGCAAGCCTAGATGAGGCTCTAGCCTAATCTTGATTCACCATGGCTCATTCGCATCGTGACTGTGGCTTAGGAAATGGCGACATGATATACTTGGCGTCAATTGTGCGGCCAACGACAGAGCGACAACACCGATACGACACATCCCTAGCGATGTTAGCCACGACAATCAATGTGGTGGCTATGCTGCCGACTATTCGTGCTGAGAAACTTCACATCTTTGCATAGGTCTCGTATTTCTATTTTCTTTTTCTTTTTTTGAAGAAAGAAATTAGGCTGCTGATGAGGGTTGGGCACGAGGGTTGGGTAACTATTGCAAAACGTGGAGGGGTTGATGCCCTAGGGCGGTCTTGGCGGCGCTTTGCTGAGGAGTCAAAGCATCGCAATAACTTACCAACTACATGGGATTTGTAGCTGAGCCGCGCACCAAGACAGGCGAATAAACGGGAAAACTTTATTTCTCACACGAATCCCTGTCTAGGGCGGCTGGCATAATTATCAGGCTGTTCGTCCTCGGCGACGCTCCGATGTGCACCCTATTTGCCACAGAAGGAGCGGCGAGCTTTCCGTACCGATAAGGAGTCGTGTGAATGTCCCAAATTCTTTGAGATTGCCCCAGCCTCTGCTCGAAGAAAAAAAATGCAATATGGAGGCAGAGCGGGTGACGATGCAACACAAAGGGCGCGAGAGCGACAGAGCACGAGACCAGCCACAAGGACACTCTGCTGATGCCAAGAGGGAACAACTTCATGCACCATCCTGTCAACCTTTCCGCGGCAGCGGCAGCAACCCTTGGATAATTAAGCTACTGGGTCCGCGAACGCCTCGCCTTGGCGCTTCCCCACGCCAGTTCATTGGTAGGCCAGCAGATAGAGGGGGGATGGGTCTCGTCTCGTGGCGGACGGTCATGGCGGGGGAACAACGGTGATGAAGGAAGGCGTCCATTGCGCTTCATGGCATTGAAAAGGCAGCTCCGCTGTGGACAGGCTGCCAAGAGAACCCATTCACAGAACAATACTGGTGGGTGTCGAGGCGGTTGAGGTCGTGGGGGGGCCTTTCATGATTCGACTCTTGGCATGGAGGTTCGGCCTCTGGAAGAGCGGTTAAGACGACTTGCTGATTTAGTTACCGGGCAGTGACCGATGATATAGGTTTGTGATGGCTATTTACCCTAGGATGGCATCACCAGCCAGAAAGGCCGTTGTGAGTGGTAGGTATAGCTGCCAAATCCTTAAAGAAGGTACATTAAGTTATGTTGAACGCAACTCGGAATAAAAACAGGACATTTCTAAGACGCCGAAGGACTGGACACGTAAACAGTTTGGTGGGTGTTGTCAGTGAAGTAAACCGATGAAGTAGCCTCTCTCGGAGACTATTTACCACTTATTATCAAGAACAAAACCACACAAGAACAAAACCTTTCGTCTACCAATTTATCCCTATGAGACGCTGCTTCGGCACTTCTTTTGCCTTCCTCATCTGCGGCCTTCAATATTAACTCCCGGCCCGCAGACAGTTGGGCAGCACTACGAGCAGCCAGGGTTTGTTTGCACAAAGTTATGTAGCAAGTGCCCTGTGCCAGTGTTAGCCGTAGGTGCTCTGCTAATTGTGCATTTAACTAATGCTCCGCTACAATAATGGAACTGCCAACTGTTTTATGCAAACCGCGTGACCCTTTATTTTCTTCTGCCGCTTGAGGATACGACTTCCTAATTCCCCCACCATGATATTTTTCCCGCGTTTTCGCAACGATGCACCTCATCTGCCGACGAGCATCTTGTTGCGGTAGCTATACTACACAGTGTTCTAGATCGTGTTTGACCTTGCACTTTAACGACATCTGCAACTGTATTGTCATGTTTGCTAACATGCCACGAACTATTCGGGACTTGCTATGCTGTGAAACAAGCGAGGCATGTTGATTCTCCTAGCAGCATACGACAGCATGGTTATTCACACATTTAACTCCAGGGAAAATAATCGAAATACGACAACTAGAAAAGAGAATGCACGAAAGAGTGACGAAAGAGGCAAATCTTCATCGCAAGAAAGATCGGCACACATTGAGAAGATCAACAGAAAGCTACCACAGAACCAGATTCGTCTCCCGCTCATCTATGCCCTCCTCAAGGGAAGCCAAATCAGCCACGCCAGTAATCATGGCCTCTGCAGCCGCGGTCGCGGTCGATGCTACGACCCTCATCACCTTAGCGAGGGTCGTCGACGCAGCTGCGTCTGCGGAAGCCGGCGTCGTTTCCGCGGTGACTCCCTTTGGCGTGGGCGTAGGCGAGCTCTGCAGAATGGGAAGGGAAGCAAATCCAAGGTCGGCCATCTCACTAGAGCAATCTCCCGAGCACTTCATGAAGCCAAAATCTTCCAGCAGCTCCTCCTCCGACGCCCGGCGAGACGAGTTACCCTCGTCTACGTATATATCACCAGGGTCAAGACCCGTCAGGTCGCGTTTTCCCCAACCTGGTTTGTTGACCTTGTCCTGGGTATAATCGGGTCCAGGGGGGTTCGGGTAAAACTTCTTGTGGACCCGCCTCCCCCTGTTTGGGGCCTCTTGATACCAGGCATCGTTGAGGTTGAGCGCAAAGCCGGGATCGTCGACCAGCGTGGATGGCCAGCAAGGGTTCTCCGTCAGTCCAGCGTCCGCGAGAGCCGGCATGCGAGCAAACTTCAGCACGAAGATCGTGTCGATGGCCTGGACCGTTTCCGTACGGATGAGCCAGTCACGGCAGCCCTGCCTGACGACCCGGCCGTTATTGATTCCGACTCTGCTCAGTGAGATCTTGTCCGGGCACACATTCTTGAAAAGCTGCCCTGCGGATCCGTTCTCAGTCTGCGGCAAATATCGAATCCAGATAGACTTGTCGCGAGCCTGCCAGATAGCCGCCGGTGGAAATTCGTCACGCTCGCACAAAAGGTCCGGCAGCTGGAGCCAGCCCTTTATCCAGTCCGTGTGGTGATCCTTGGAGTATTGCACCTTTACCGCCCGCAGCCCGCCCTCTTGGACTCCCCGCCTCTCAATGCAAGTCATGCTGCTGAGTGCTGGGTTGCGACTCATCACGGAGCTGTAATGCAAGCACGCCTGCGCCGCGGTATTGCCGCCGCAAGTCTTGGTTACGACGACTTGTGTAGGTTGGAGGAAGGTTGTCGTTGTCGTTGTCTTTGTCGCGAGGGCCCTCGCTTTGAGTCGATTTTTACCGCCGTTTTTGCATTCTTGCGTGCGAGACGGCCGCTTCTCAGGCTTCTCCGAAGGCTTGCGCTCGTTCTTTGGCTTGAGCGGCTTGTCGAGCTTGACATCGTACTCTTTGCCTCGGAACTTGAAGACCGACTTGCCGGCCTTGGCGATTCCCTTTGCGCACAGCTTGGAGAGTGCTGGCACGGCGGCCTGGAGCGCGAGACGAATGATCCAACCTGTCCAGCGAGTTAGTCTTGTGTCCTGTGCTACGCACCAACGTTGCAACATCATGGCGGGCACGAGTGAGTCCTCGGAGTTGACTTACCAACAACCGGAATGGCGGCAAGAGGCGTCAGCAAGGCAGTGATAGCAACACGACAAAATGCAGTAGCCGCGAGTTCCAAAGCCGCCGCCTCAGCGATGTCAATAGCGGCGTCTTTGGCCTTGTCTTTGATCTTGTCCGTGACTTGCTCTTTCGTGATGGGTGGCTTGAAACCCTTGCAGCAATAGCTCTGCGTACCGCCCGAGCACGTTTGATCCTCCTTATCAGAATGGTGGTTGGTGTTCTGGGTGAGCTCTGTCTCACCTTCTCCGCAGCCACCAGTGCAGGACAGGCCGAGGCCGCGATACCCGCGCCATCGACAGGTTCCCATGGTAGATCCCTTGAGACAGCAGAGCCGGCGGAACTTGCCTTTCTCACACCGCTCCATGGTAGATAGCTGGCCGGGCTGGCCGCTCATCTGCGAGGCTTCGTGGTCGCCAGTGTCGCATTTCTGGTCGCATTTTGTGGTATAACAGACACCCTGGGCAGCTTCATCTTGGTACATGGCCTCGGCCGCTTCAATTTCTTCCTCGCTCAGGCCCTCAGGATATGCCAAGCTCTTCTCCTTTTGATCGACCTGATCGATGGCCCACACCATGAGGCCCCCAAGACATCTGTCGTTGGCCAGGTCCCTCTTGTGAGGCAGCGTTTCCTCATCATCATACGACACCCACTGGTTAGAGTCCCATGTAACCCACTTGACTCCCGCCTCTTTGTCATAAACAGGTTTGAGATCCTTTTTCTTGACGATATCCTTGATCTCTTGCAATGTCAGGACGCCAGAAGCTCCGGAGCACGGTCCTTCATTCGCACCACCTGAGAAGGTGCAGACGCCATTCGGCTTGTTGCAAGAGGGGTCTGACAGAGTAAATGAGCGACCGTAATATCCCTGTCCGAGAACGACCTTTTCAGGCTTGACACCAGCGCGCCAAAGAAGATCAAGGCCGAGTTCCATCTCGGTGACGTTGGTATGCGGCGCTACCTTTGGCCCAATAGCTTTGGAAGCACCATCCCAGACGCCGTGCAGGTCATAAGACATGATGTTGAACCAGTTGACAGACTCTTGATGTTTGGCAAGATCAAAGTGCTGCAGGTACCAGTATGACGCTGGTAGGGTGATGGTGTACCCGTAGACTCCAGCAAAAGCCGTGCTGATGTCGGCCGACAGCTGAACAAAATTGGCCGTGTCATCTGGCCGGCCACCGCGATCGTCTAAGAAAAATGTAAGCACTTGAAGTGAAATCCCGTTCGAATAGTGGCTCACCAGCAGTCGGATACTCCCAGTCCAGATCAGCGCCATCGAATCCGTATGTGTCCATGAAGGTTATCAAGCCGTCAATGAACTTCTGGCGACCCTCGCGTGTCCTTGCCATGTCGCTGAACGCAGTTTGATATGGGCCAGCTGTCCTTTTTAGCGTGTTCTTCCTATATAGAGATAGGAAGAGTTCACTCACGATCGTTGAAAGACCACCCACCGACACTGACCCAGGTCTGTAAGCCAGGCTTCTTCTCCTTGAGTTTTGTGAAGCGGTGGAGCAGATCGCCTGCATTCTTGTCCATCGGAACAATCTCATAGGTCTGGGGATGGAAGAATACAAAGGCAAAGTTGAGGTGAGTGAACCCGCCCAGGTTCAGGTCTTCCGGGGAGACGGATTGACACTTGCGAGTGTTTGCCCAGGACTCGTAATAGCCAATGGACAACTTATCGGCTGTGCCGGAATCGGTGCCGCAGGAAGGTCGCTTGACCTTGCCGCAGCCGCCAAAGTCCTTTTGGCAATTCTTCTCGCAAAAGTCAGCCGTCGAGCCGCAGAACCTGATTTGCCTTGTTAGCAACTTTCTTTCTCTCAAGAGAGCGCAGGTGTTGAATACCCAAACTCCGAGCAGCAAACGCCTAGTGGGCACTTTTGCTTCCCGGGTGCGCCGTACTGGCCGCATTCTGCTTTGGCATTGCAGTTGGAGACGCAGTCAGCACCGCACTCCTTTGGAGAGTAGCCGCACAGTTTAGTAGCCTATGGAAGATTAGTAGGCTATCTAACTTGATGGCATCACAAGTTCTACTTACCTTGCTACAGCAGGCCCCATTCGCGCAAGGGATCTGCTCGTTGCAGGTTCCCTCTGGCAGCTGCCAGTCAGTCTGCACACGATAAAACGCAGCGGCGCGATCGGAAGACTCTTCAGGAGAACTGTGAGGACGCGTTTCATTGCTGAGGAAGACGACCTCTGTGAGGCCGTCACCCGAAGAAAGTTTGGTGGCATTTCGTGGCCAGACAAGAGCGCTCCTGGACTGGGCGAGAGCCACAGACACCAAAGCAGCATACCCAAGAAATGGAAACCGCATTTTGGTCAACTTCAGTCCACACTGTGATCAGCCATCTAGATGAGAGTTGACGCCAGAGTGAAGGCTCCTGTTTATAAAGAAGGTGTCAGTAGGTTCCGAGCCGACAACAGCCGTGATGTCCGTTCGGTAGCTATGCCAAGCATGGGACTGAGACAGAAGGATCGAAAGAAGGCTCGCACTGTATATGCATGAGAGCGCTATGGCAAGTATTAGGTTGCACCACAGCGTCGCAACCATCAGTATTTCCGCTTCAATATAGTCACGGGAGACACGCTCGTCTGCTCGATGCTCCCCCGGACATGCTCGTCTGCTCAATATTCCTCTAGAAGGGGAAAGAGGGTAGTGTTGGTGAACGAACCATTGTAACCCATCAAGGGCACCTGCTATGGGCGCACATAAAGTCTAGACCCGGCCCGTCCCGTCCTGGAGTACGGCTGGCCAATGGTGCAGACTTTCCCACCTACACTACGACTCAAGTACAACGTCCATGCAGCTCGGAGATTGATTATTGACAATTGAGAACTCCGCCAAGTCTTCCGGGCTTGTTCCTGTTTTACGTGACCCGAAGCAGTATCGCCCGGCAGTTGCACCAGTCTTGGCGGGTTGCATCGCCGAACAAGGCTCTGTCGGCGCATGCTCAATCGGGAACCGAATGTGACTATGTTTTGATAACTCTAATATCTGCTCTAAAAAGGGGACCACATGCCCGCTTGAAGGATTCTGTTTCCGAAGTCTGAAACTGCTTTCTGGTAAGCCCTCGTGATATCGGTCTCGACTCACACGAGGTGTTCGCACTGTGCACGTGTCCCGCTGCTTTCCGATGTCAGTGCGCCTTGACAACTGAGCGAGGTTCGTAGAGAAATGATTCCGAGGGAAATCATATCATAATATCTAACTTGGCCTCTCCTGTGTCCGCCGTGACGAAGCTTCAAGTCGCCAATTTGCACCTCGAAGGCTCAGTCACGATGGCGAACTACACCACATCATGGCTGCTTGTCATAGCAAGCTGCCTTTTCGTCGTGAATGGCTTCAATCTTTATCCTCTTCTTCCTCGTGAAGTTATGCAGACCATGCTAGGAATATCGTCGCAATGTCTTGCTGCACTGTGAGTTTTCTATTCGTCTCTGCTGCACTCGACAGCAATCGCGACACCATCACTTACACGACCCAGCAACTCAACCCTGCCCTGCGACAACGCCCTCTTTCAGTGGACGCTCAATGTCGACCGCCTTCACTGGGAGGAGCCGGACGTGGCAGGCCTGTGCACCAAGGACTGCACCGCCGGCGCCGCGCGCTGGCGGACCGACGTCAAGGCCGCCTGCGCGGACCAGTACGTCCGGTCCGGCGACCGGTACGTCCCCGCGGACACCCTCAGCGGACGCTTCACCGACGGACTCAACGTCGCCTGCGCGCAGTCCTCCAAGGACCAGTGGTGCCTGCTCGCCTCCTACGACTGGGTCGGCTCGGACGTGGTGCAGGTCGACTGCGACGCCAACCCGGCCGACCCGTGGTGCCTCAACAAGGCCGAGCCGCTCGCCAACCACAGCCGCATCTCCACGCTCTACGACGAGGAGCTGCTGTGCTCCGAGTGCTTCGTCAAGATGCTCCGGTTGCGCGTCAACTCGGACTTTTTGCCCGACGCCGACTTCTCGGACTACCTGACGGACGAGCTGCAGGACGTGGAGAGGGTCTGCGGCAGCAAGGCGGAGCCGCTCACGACGCGTGCGCTGCCCTGGTACCCGGAGCTGACAGACGGGCCGCTGATCGGCATCACGACGACACCGACCACGACCACGACGGCGCGGCCCACAGCGACGGTGTGCGCAGGCCGCACCGTGGATATCGGGCCGGACCTGGAGCAGGAGATGTCGTGCCACGACATTGCGGAAAAGTACGAGGTTGGATCTGGGGCGGTTGCGATGGCTACGAGGAGTGAATTTTGCTACACGGACAAGCCAATCTGCATCCCGCAAAAGTGCACGCTCTACACCGTCGAAGATGGTCAAACCTGGTGAGTTGCGCTCGAGTTGGGAACCACGCTCCTTCTTCTTCTTCTTACAGGTACTAATACTTCTCATCAAATAGTGAGAGCGTGGCGAGCTCCTTGTCCAAGCTGAACAATGCCAACGTCACTGTTGCTCAACTTGCCACTTGGAACCCCAACCTGCTCGGAGCCTGTGACGCCCTTGTAGCGCAATTCATTTGCACCAGGTACGATACTCAGACTGACTATATCTTTTCTAAAGAAAACCTATTGACGATTGTTCAGCCCCCCTGGGGGTGCGTGGACCAAGCCGCCCGCGTCCGAGATCCCGGACAACGGCGACGGCCCCGTCCGGGGCGGCCCCGGCACCACGCCAAGCCAACCCATCACGGACAACCCGCACGACGTCGCGCCCGACAAGGTGCAGCAAGGCATCGCCACCGACTGCACCCGCTGGATCCTCGCCAACTCGACCGCTGCCAGCTGCTGGAAGCTCGCCAACGACGCGCGCATCAGCATCGTCCGCCTCTGCGCACTCAACCCTGTCCTCGGCGACCACGGGCAGAACTGCGGCACCCAGATCTGGCTCGGCTACTACTACTGCGTGGCCCGCAAGGGGGACACCCCTACCCCGACCAGCTCCAGCTCCAGCTCCAGCTCCAGCTCCCCGCCGCCCACCAGCACGGGCCCGCCGAAGCCGAGCAAGACGCAAAAGGGCATCGCCGAGGACTGCGTCAAGTTCGAGGAGGCCAGGTCGGGCGACTCGTGCTGGGCCATTGCGAACCGCGCGGGCGTGGAGCTGGCCTCGCTGTACAAGTGGAACGCGGTGCTCGGCGCGGCGGGCGAGAACTGCGGCACACAGATCTGGCCGGGCTACTTTTACTGCGTCGGCGTGTCGGGCGGTGGCTCCCCGACGCCCACGACGACTTCCTCGGGGCCGCCGCTGCCGACGCAGACACACGACGGCTTCCCCATGGACTGCAAGAGGTACGTGGCGGCCAAGAGCGGCGACAGCTGCTGGGCGCTCGCCAACGACAACGGCGTGGCGCTGGACGTGTTCTACAAGCTGAACCCGGTGCTCGGCGCCAACGGGGAGAACTGCGGTAGCAAGATATGGCCGGGGTACTATTACTGCTTGGCAAGGTGAGGTAGCGGCTGAGCGGAGAGATAGGGTTTGCAATGTTAGGTCTACCGGGTCTTGTTGTCCTTTGCTTCGTTGGTATGCATTAGTCGTTTACAGTTTCGCAATCCATCCCGGATACCAGAATATCATTGCAGCGACGATGGGGCGTCCTCGGCCAAGTCCAATACTAACTCTAATCGCGTAATGCTGCCAGACAATATCCCGTGGCGTACATAGTTCGACTCGGGCACATATGACGAGACAAGGCAAGAGTATATTGGTACACGGATATCCAACAATCGCTCCAAAGCCATAGAGGCAGAAAACCGAACATGCTAAATGGTCATTTGTTCCTCGCCCTTTTCTTGGTCTTTGCTTTCCCTTTGATACATCCCTTCTCTTTCCATTTACTAGCTTCCTTCTCTGTATTTTTGTGTTCCGCCTTGGCCGATCCCGTAGCTTTCTTCTCCTTCGCCTCCACGACTCGTGCGCTGCGACGCGGTTCGGCACTCTCAGTCCCGTTCGCTGGCCCCGGCGTCGCTCTCCTTTTTCTTCTCTTCATTGCCGGCCGCGTCTCCTCCTCTTTCTCCTCCCCCCTCTCCTCCTCCTCGCCCCCACGCTTTCGCTTGCCATCTTTCCTCGGCTCCTCCTCTTTCGCGGCCATCGGCTCGGTCGCAACCGCACCCTCGGCGGCCTCCTCCCGTGCCGTCGGCGTGGTCATGGCCTTGAACGGCGCCCGCGCCCACTCCGCCCTCCACCTTGCCCTCTCCAGCAATTTTCTCGTCTCCCGATACCTTGCCGTCCCGTTGATAAAGTCCCGCACCGACGTCGTCTTCGCCACAAGATCCCCCTTCGCTTTGCCGAGGGTTACGGCCGCGAAGGAGGCGAACCTCTCCTCAACCTCCCACTCCGCGGACAAGCGGTCGAGCTTGAGCCACAGGCGCTCGTGTTCCTTCTCCTGCCTGGCCGCGATGTCGGCGTAGCGATCTTGCCAGTAGTAGAGGTAGCAGAGGTACTCGGCCCACGTGGTCCGCGCATCCTGTTCACGCGGGTTCTCGTGTAGACGAATGGACGGCTCGAAGCAGGCGTGGTGGGCTAGCCGAGCCCGAACTGCGGACGAGTAGGCGTCGAAGTCCTGGCCGAATCTGCCCTCGATGTGTATTTTCCCTCGAGCCAAATTCCACATTCGCTTTTCCCGGGCGAGCCATTCAGGGTCATGAGGACCATGCTCATAGTCCCTATCGAACCGAAGCTTCTTGACTTTCCAGGCAACATGCTCATTGAACCCCTCTTCTGAGTCATGCTTGCCTCGATTGTCCCATTGCCATTTATGTTGAAATTCCATCCAGTGCCGCAATTGACCAGAATAGAGCGGCGGCAGGTCACCTTTTGCCAAGGGACCAGCGTAACCCTCCACCCACATTGCGATCTGACCAGCCCGCTCTTCCTGTGGTGCCGAACCTGCCAAATCGTCCGGCGACATGGCGGGAAGCCCGTGTGTGTCGAGAAGTTTGTTGAAGCACAGCTCCTCGTATGGGATGTTGTTTAGATGCGTAAGGCTCCTGGTCATCGGCCGTGAGAATCCCTTTATGAGCGACGCCTCGAAGATGCGTTTCCTGTCTTCGGGCGCACCCGGCACCTCTTCCAGTCGCTTAACCAGGTCATCGGGGTCAAAGGGCCGGGCGATTGCTTCAGCCAGCGCAGAGCTTCGGTGGGATGAATTAGCACAGGGGACAGGCGACCTTTGGCCCAGGCACGCTGGGAAAGCCCAGGGCGGCGCAAGTGACATTTACCGCATTTTCAGGTTGAACTCTTCCTGCTCTCGGACAGGTAGCGAGTCGGCAAGCCGCTGCACTCGAGAGACATCGAGCTCTCCATCCTCTCGGCGTCGACAGCCCCTAAGAAAGTCGACCAGTCGTGGCTCCTCCCATTGAAGGACATTCTCCGCCGTGATTTCTTCGGAATCTCCGTGCATGGCTACGGATTAGCCAAGGGCACGATAAAGAGCTGTAATGTTTGTTGTTTCTTCGCGCCCACGAAAGCCTTCCACTGCCGCGCATTTATTAGCCGCCGACCTTATGTTGCACAAGAAAGTGCTGACTCATGCATGCATGACCTTTCTGTTGCATCGTTGTGCATCGCATCAGAACAGTCCTTTGACATTAAAGAGCACATTATTTTTCGAGTTCATGTCGTGTTCGCGACTGCTGACTTGAGCCACCTCAACAAATACTTTTTCTTTACTTTTCCTTTCCGTTAAAAACGTTGTAGTATAAGACAGACGGTGATTCTATTCCACAGGCAAATTTCTCAGATGACTTCGTTATAATTAGTGGCGCGGGCCTCCTCATCATCAAGCTGCTGAAAAAGCTCCCGCTCAACGCTTTCGTCTGTCCGCGGCCTCTTTGCAGGGACGTGACCAGCGCTTTCCTCTCTCTCCCTCTTTGAACGGGTGTTAATTTCGCTACCTGGTTCCCGGTCTGGTGCTGACTCCAGGCCGGACATCTCTGCTCGCCCTTGGTGGACGCTTTCTTGACTCCCGCTCTCTGAAAAAGTCTCACCGTCGCTGACTAGTTCCCAATCGGGTGTTGACATCTCTGCTCGCTCCAGCTCGAGACTTTCCTGGCTCCCAGTCTCTGAAGGGATGTCACCCTCGCTGACCGGTCCCAGGTTCGCTGTAGGCAACACCCCTGTGCGTTGCATACTCGCGCAAATGTTACCTGTAACGTCCCAAAACTGTTGGCAACTGGGACCCGGTGATTCGAATCTTGCCACCTGGCCTGGCATCAATGTCTTACCGGTCGGTAACAGAAGGCGAGACGTCATGCTATTACCTGTACGGTCCCCAAATATCGTTTGCTTGGGTTCTTCAATTGCTTTGGGGCAGGTGATGGTCGGCATATCTTCATCCTCGGTCGCGCCATTGTGACTCGACGGGGGCGGCGGGATGTCGCCTTTAGACCTCTCTTCCGCTATCGCAAAACATTCCGACGCCGATAATCGCTCGTCCGGGTCGCTCTTCAACATAAATTCCAGTACGAACGAAAGGAGACTATTGGGCTCCGTGCTTGTGTTGTTTTGGTGAGCGAATTCGATGACTCTTTTGGAAAAGCTCTCGGTGCAGCCTGGAGGTGGACTGCTGCTGGGCAGTCCGCGACACTCTAGCTGGACTAATAAAGTCCCCAGAGACCAAATATCACCTTTCGAATCATCAGCGTTGCCGAAATCACCATCGTAAATTTCCGAGGCATGATAGGGAGGTGTGCCAAGCCTGCTTTCTTGGCGTTGATTCACGGCTTTCACGATGCTGAAACCGCAAAGTTTAACTTGTATTCTGTCCCGCTGCCAGGCATGTACGAGCACATTGGCAGGTTTGATATTGCAATGTGCCAAACAATGCCCTTTTGCTTCTGTATCCAAGTATTTCAACGCTGCGAGAAGTTGGCGGGCAACTTGCTTATTCTGGTATGTGGTGCTTGTTGAAATGTAATCCTCCAAAGTCCCGCACGGTGAATACTCGAAATGTAGTTCGGGAAATGGTTTGAATTCGGTCGTCAGGAGTCGTACAATATTTGGCTAGACAACTTGTTAATACCTGAATCTCTCTTCTGCTTCCTCTCTCGCGCTTGCCATGAGTTGCACTTACATGATCAAGACCACTTAGCACACGAGCTTCGTTCTTCCAGGCCTCAGGGTTATATTTTCCAACCACTGTTTCTTTAGGTCTTTTAATTGCGAATTCTTTTCTCGTAGTGACATTCCAAAAGTAGTCAACCACGCTTGTTCCGCCACTGCTCAATCTCTTCTGCCAAACCCCGTTCGCCGGCGGTAAAGGCCCTTTTCTTCCCGGCGTCGAAGCTCTTTGCGTCGGAGGTGCCAGAACCGTAGCGGGCTGGGTTTTGAGTGTCAAGCCTTCCACGGCCACCACCTCAGATTGCCCCTCCATGAACCGAGCAACTCTGCCCAGGTACTCCCTTGATGCCTTGTTGTGTTCTGGAACAACCAATCGAAACCTGAGCTCGTTTGCCACGATGATAACGGGCGGCGTGTCCTGCATCATGCTTGGCCCACGCGCGCTCCAAAGCATGCCTATGCCGCCACAGCTGACTTCCGTGATCGGCTTACCTTCATCCGCATTGTTGCAAGAGTAGACGACTCGCGTGCCGTTTGTAGATGACAAGTCTTCCACGACCAGCTCATGTTCTTTGTCGAATGTCAATGCAAATTGACGAGCCGATACCTTTTCCTTGTATTTGATCGCGAGATCTGCGGCATTGCTGTCCGAGCCGATCACGAACCCGCGTTTCCTTTTTGGGGGTTCACTGAAGGTAACCGTGAAACACGGGTTGTATGCTTGTTCGCATTGCTGGTCTTCGTCTTTGCTCGCGGCGATATCTTCGTCGTACTTCGCGTCTAACGTCTCGGTGATTGCCTTTGCGGTTCTCGAAGTTTTTAACAATGATGTTGATGGATTGTTCCTTGCCTCTATTGCGTCGAGGAGAATTATGCTCTCTTCTGCCGAGTCTCCGTAGAGGTAGGCGACGACATCCGGGTCGTATGGCTCCTTTCCGAGCATTGACTGTGGTGACGCTCAATAGCTATTGCGTGAAAATTCAAGAGTAATATGGTGATTGCTTTTCAAGGGAGGGATGGCACAGCTTATATACACGACTGAACTTCAACTTGATCAGGTGCCAGTTTGCCACAGAGGAGACAGTGGCATATATTGAACGAATACTGCAGCATGCTGCTTGATGATGGCTGCATTTGCGCACAATGCCAGCTGACACGGGGCACCGATGACAGTAACGCGAGGTTCCACGACGGGCTTGATGGGCGGATAGCGGCCGTGCAAAAGTCTCGGCGCTTGGGATTTCTACTCGTACGAAATGGTTTATTCGCTGCCATCTCACTGACTTTGACCATAAAAAGTCTGCAGCACTCAATGCGGACCTGACACAAATCACTGGGCGTGGTTAAATGGCGGCGTCGAAGTCGCACCATTGTGCCTCATCCGCTGTGCCATGGTGGTAGCTTGGACAATGGCCGCGTCCGCCATTTGGGCAGTAATCGCAACGTCATCACGTAGTCGGATTCGTTTCTTTGTCCGTTGGCTGAAGAAAAGTGTAGGACAGATAGGTAGTCACAGATAGTTGCACAGGCGCGTAGACAGAAGGAAAAGGTCAAGAAACAACACAGAGTGCCTCAGAAATGTATCCCTGGGTCACGTGCGTTACACCACTTCCCCCCCTAACCTCACCAGCGGCCGTCTAGGCAGAAACTTCTCTTTCCATCGTACTTCGCCTCGGTTAATGCTTCGTTCCTTCGTAAAATTCGCCCGTAATATCTTCATCTCTTTCCCCCAAACGCCGCATATGCTGCCACTAATGAACGGCCCACATTCGTCCGCACGCAACGGCTCTACCTACGCCAGTCTGCTGTACCAACTACGCAAGGCTGCGTGAACATCACCAGGTAATGTTAACAGAGCTCGTGGACATTATCATTGGCCAATTCCTACTTTGCAACATCTGTGTAATACTGCATATATGTTTTGCTGCGAGATGGCTCGATGACAAACTGCTGGCCGTTCTGAAATTCATGAGGACGCACTGCTAAAGCCCGCCTAAACTACCAGTGACGAGACCATCGTAATCGTTGAACGGGACAAAATGTCATAAAGCTGCCTAAGCTTGGACACGAAGGTCTGAGGGCTGCGCCAGAAATTCATGCGATTCTGCATAAATCTCCTTGTCGTCATTGGCCTTCGCTTCCTGGATCATGCCCTCGATGGGCTGACCGTCCAAGGTGTAGCCCGTGTCGCTTGCGTCAACATATGCGTCGATCCCGGCACCGTTGCGCGGAAACTACTTCACAAGATTCTTATGGAACTTGAGCGCCTCGCACATTTCCTCGTGGGTGACGTCGTTGAGGAATGTGCACACGCCCATTGGACTCACAGGCACAACGGCACGGAGTTGTCCGTTTCGCGTCTTGAGGATTGCGGCCGTGGCAGTGGCGAGGAACTTCTCATCAAAGTCGACATGGTCTATGGCCAGGCCGGCACGCGAGAACAGATTCAGAAGTCGCTGGTGATCAGCCTCGGACAATTTGCCTCGGACGAGGCTCAGCGTGGCCGAAAAAGCCATGTCAACCGAAATGGCATGACCGTGACGGAGAGGAGGGTCAGGTACAAGCTCGTGGGTGGGAGACCAGCTTGCACAGATAAGTTAGGTGTGAACCCGATGGTAGCAGCGAGGGCGAGTGCATTTCTTACGTGTGGCCGTAGGCGATCACTCTGTCGAGCATGAGTTCATGCAAGTTGGGCGTCTCCAGCTTTAGCATTTCATAAATGCCCGCTCGGCGGTAGACCCTCTCAGCCTGCCAAACGTGGTGCGGATGATTTCCTCGCAGTACTGGTCAGGGAGGTCAAATGTTCCCTTGTGCGCGCACGAGGAAATTTTGATCAGCTCAGCGAATCCGTTACGAATCTGGGCCTCCGGCAGAATCCTCAAGAAGGTAAAGTCCAGAAAGGTCTTGACAGGGGCGTGGTAGGCTCCCAGGCGATTCTTATAGTAGCCATAGTTGACAGCGACCTCGATGGAGACGGAGGCATCGATGAGACCAATAACAGTAGTCGGGACAGGAATTTAATTGGTGCTTCGACGGTAGGCAGCGCAGGCAAAGCTGCGCCTCCGTCAGTTCAGAACTTGGGCGGTCCCTGGTATCGCACTCACCCAGCTACATCAGTGACAAGACCGCCACCCACAACCAGAACAGGCTCTTTGCGGTACACACCAAACTCGGTCATCGAGTCAACGATGCTGAGCATGGTTTCCATGCTTTTGGCCATTTCGCCAATCATAGTCTTGTGCACCTTGAACTCAATCGCATAGTGGTCAAAGTATTGCTGGATCTGCTCCCCGTAGAGATTGTAAATGTTTAAGCTTCATGATGGCCAAGCAACGTCCCCATGGGAGATAGCTCTCTGCCAACTGCCGGTTGGACACGTGGAAAACCCCGTCGAGAAATTCAAAGTCATACTCAATCTTTTCGTATCCGCAAACTGCGAAGCCGTTGCTTGTGGGTTCCACGGACGCCGTAAAGTCTGACATTTTGTATGGTTGTGTCACTGAACGCTCTAAGAAATAAGGCTATATAGATAAGGCTCGCGCTGATTGAGTTAATATCTGTCCAATATTTGAGCAGAAGTGTTCATTATATACATGTTTCTTATGCGTGCGATTACCTACCACATGGCGCAGAACGATCCTAACGAGTTAATCATGCTGCGACAATCGCAAGGCTGGAATCTTGAACGGAACACCGTTCGAGACTACGCCATCAGATACGCCGGATTCGACCGATCATCAATTCATGCTTTATTACTCCAGCAGTACACTCTCCGCACCTCAACAGACTGGTGACGTTGTAGGTACGCCATTGAAGTCTAATCACGTACCGCTGCGGACCTTCCACACACCCGCGTGAATTAAACGCAGCAATACATTTGCGCAATGATGCAACCTTCATTGGAAGAAGTGGCCTCCGATCCAACCCCTCATCCGTCCTATCTCGGGCGATGATCATGTAAGACAGCGGACCCTAGGCAATAAATCGAAGTGGTGCGGTTTAAAAATGACGAGACGGGATGTCGATCATGAAATCTGCAAATCGACTGAGCCGCATATTTATGGTCGTTATGATCGATTGCATAAGGAAGCTAAACCGCCAACGATCGAAAAGGTGGCAAGTAGTGGAATGTAACGTCATTCACGCGCGGAGACGGGTGCGTCGATGCAAAGTGCCAGCAACTAGGGTGAGGGAACATGAAGCCAGCATGATGATGAACCCGCTAAAAGGCAGCGTTTAACTTACAAGACAAGCCTAATTTCTAACGTTTTTCTCTGATTTTCCGTACTGTTCATCTCCTTCGCCTACCATGTCCGCGCCCAACAGTTTCGACCCCTCCAGAGCGTATGTTCAGCAAGAGGAGGTGTTCTTCAACGACGGGAGAGAAGCACAGCTACTACGCCATGTCCAGTCGCGAAAAGACATTGAGTCGCTGAGAGGATGTCCGCAGAAAATCCTCGACGCCATCGATGAGTTTGCGCGCCAAGAAAAGTTCTTGATGAATGTAGGAGCGTACAAGGGCAGCATAGTGACTCGATTGATTCACGAGACACGCCCGAAAGTCATGGTACAGTGCACCAGTCTACCTTCCGGCGAGATTCCTACTGACCAAGAGGATAGGTTGAGCTCGGCAGCTACGTCGGGTACTCGGCGATCCTCTTCGGTGACGCCGCGCGGGCCGCCGGCGGCCAAGAGTACCACTGTCTAGAGAGTAATGATGAATTTGCCAGCATCGTCCGTGCTTTCCTTGCGCTTGCAGGGTTGAGCTCCTTCGTCAAGGTGACGGTTGGGCCCAGCAGCGATTCGATCCGCGCGCTGCACGATGCAGGCCAGCTGTCGCAGATGGACTTTTTGTTCCTCGATCACTACAAGCCCGCATACCTGCCTGATTTGCAGCTGTGCGAGGAGCTGGGCCTCATCCAAAAAGGCACCGTGATTGCGGCGGATAATGTCATCAAGCCGGGCAACCCACCGTACTTGGCGTATGTCCGCAGCGACGTAGAGAGCAAGAGGCGGGCGTATGCTTTGGCTGGGACGGCGACTGGTAGCGCTTTGCGTGGCAACCCTGACCTTGTCTACCAGAGTGAGCTGATGGAGAGTTTTGAGCCGACCGGAATGCGGGTAAGTTGATCAATTGCGGTGATTTCTGTAGATGCTCATTGATTCGCAGGACGGTGTCGAAGTTACTATCTGCGTCGGACTGGATGAGTCTGTATCCTAAATCGTCTTCTATAATTAGTTCACTAGATCGCCTGAGATAACCAAGTAGTGCCACTTTAAAGTGTGTAATTCGAGATGGGATGAACGTTTTTTAAGCTTATTGTGGCTAGTATTGGCTTCTCTTATCACTCGACAGACTACGGAAACAAACTAGGATCTAGAGCGATTGGGAACGCTATACTTCGAGCATCTTAAAGCGCCAATGCATCTAAAAATTAAGCGGGTGGGGGTTCCAAGACAGCTCCCGAGCTCGATGACGGCTACATCTTGATCTTGGCTGTGACATTTATATATGGAGAGACTCCTACAACATGTGGCAGATAGACTATCTATCCGTCAAACTTACCGCCGCTATGAAGCAAAGCTACGCCAGACATATTCTTTAAAAACTCTTTTCTGCTCTGTCTTTAGTCTTTGTGTTGCTCCTTTCACGACTGCGATGGTCCTGTCAATTTTTGTATACAATTCCGTCTTCAAGCATGCGGGCCGTCTTGAACATACAAAGCGAAAGAAGAAAATCCTGGTCACGGGAGTGTCCATGTCTAAAGGCCTAGCGATTGCGCGTCTGTTCCATGAGCAAGGCCATACTGTGATTGGAGCTGATGTTGATGTCCTGGCTTGCGGTCGAGTTTCGCGTGCCGTCCGAAAGTTTTACCATTTGCCAGCACCAGATGCAGACCCGAATCCATAGCTTGGCAAGCCCTTGCAATACGTGCAAGCCATTGTACACATTGCCAAAACAGAATGTATTGACTTGTGGGTGTCTGTATCTGGAGTCGGGTCTGCGGTGCAAGATTCCATCGCCAAGGGTGTGATGGAGCGGCTCACTGATGCAAGGGCTGTTCAATTCGACCCTCAACACGTGAATATTTTGGATGCGAAAGATGCCTTTATCGACCATGTGCGGGATCTAGGTCTCAAAGTACCTGAAAGCCATAGTACTCAGGACAAGCATGATTTGACTTCGTTTCTCGTCGAGCGTGGTGGCCTTGTCTGGAAGCCAGAGTTGAACCAATACCTGATTAAGCCAATTGGCTTAGACGATGCAGCTCGACTTGACATGCCACTTCTACCACTGTCGACTGAGAAGGAGACCTTGTCCAGGATCACTGCTCTCAGTTTTGGTGCCACTTCCTCCTACATTGCGCAAGAATTCATCCAAGGCAGTGAATACTGTACTCATGCATTGGTCATCCGAGGCCGGGTCAGCGCATTCGTTGCCTGCCAATCCAGCGACCTTTTGATGCACTACGCAGCTCTGCCTGAGAATTCATCGCTCAGCGAGCCCATGCGTCAATTTACAATAGCCGTGGCAAAACACGGCGGAGATGATTTTACTGGCCACCTGAGCTTCGACTTTATAGCCAAGCCTTCAACAGACGGTTCCGTCGAAAAGCCAAGACAGATCTACCCCATCGAGTGCAATCCTAGGGTGCACACGGCCGTTGTGCTATACCGAGATACGCCGCAACTGGCCGATATTTATCTCTCAGCTCTTGATCCAGACTTTGACGGCGGCGACGAGATTCTATGCCCGCAGCGTGTGCAGCGGTACTACTGGGTTGGGCAAGATATGGTGGAGAAGCTCTTTTGTCCGGTATATCGCCTCATTCTCGATGGTGAGGGTAGCATAGCAGGGCTCATGTCGCAGTTCGCATTGTTCGCCGAGCATGTGCTGTACTGGAAAGATGGGACATTTGAGGCGCGGGATCCGTGGCCATTCTGGTGGCTTCACCATGTTCAGTGGCCAGCGCGGTTGATGTATTGCTTGATGAGTGGCGAGAAATGGGAGAGGGCGAATGTTAGCACTGGGAAAATGTTCAAAACTGCTTGACACAGCTGGGCGGCTGCGGAGCTTGCACGACGTATCCAGCCTTGATTTCCCCTCACAACAAATGCTGCGTTTTACTAGATAAAATGGCATGATACTATAGTTACTGTTTTTACTTTCTATACTACCCGAGCTTGCTAGACTCGCTCCGTGCGTTCTTCACCCACAGAAACCGGGAAAACACGTCCGTCTTGGTCGTGGTACCCCCCTCCTTCAAGTCGGCCACCATCATATCACGATACGCATCCGGACGGAACTGTGCCATGAGCAAGAAGCCGCTGCGCACATAATTGATGCAGCTCGCGTGGCCATCGCCGCAGCCGCCCTCCACCGTTCCCGCGTACTTGCCGCCTCCGAGCCGCATCACGTCGACAAAGGTATTCGCCAGCGTGGTCATCTGCGTGGTGGTGACGTTCCAGCTGCCGTCTGTGTAGGCCCGGTGAAATCCGGCGACGTCGAGGGACCCGTGGTTAACATCCTCGACGCCCTGCCCAAAGGCATAGTCCCAGTCATAGACCGTGCTGCCCTTCTTGCTCTTCTTGGCCTCCGCCCCGCCGCCGTTGAAGAACCAGTCGAGGTTCGCCGCCATGATGGCCCTGTACTTGCTGGTCAGGTCCGAATTGTCGCCGAGAAGGGCATGCGCGGCCACAAGGTTCTGGAAGGCATAGGTGAACATCATCTGCTGGTTCCAGGGCACCGGTGTGCCACCCTTGTACGGCGAGTCTTTGGCGAAGTACATCTTGTTGCCACGCGAGACGTCGAGCAGTCGAGAAAGAATGTGGCCCGTCATTGCCTTGTCCGCCTGCTTGACATACGTCTTGGCACGCTCCAGATATGTCTTGCCGTAGCCGTACTTGTCACCGATCGCGACGGTCTTTCCGTACAGCTTTGTGTTTTTCAGTATCAGATGGGCGCAGGACGCCAAATGGCCGACCGGGTCGCCCTGCTCGCCGCCAGTCGAGATTGGCTTCGTATCAACGTTTTTGGGCCAGACGGGCGCGATGTCGCCGGTCCAAATTCTGTACTGCCCATTTGGCGCCTTGGCCAGGTCGTTTCTCTGTGAGAGGACGGCATCGCAGTAGCGCAGCATGTTGTCGAGCACATCCTGCTGTCCAGAGATGGAGTAGACCAGGCCCATGGCTTTCGTCTCTTCGCCACTGTGACCTTGAGCCCACTGATTGCCGATGTTGTTGGTAGCCGGCTGGAGCGTGGCGACGTAGCTGCTGAATGACTGGAGCTCGTCTTGTGTCACTGGCCCATTGAAGCTGTTGACTTTCATGCTAGCCGCAGCAGATGCTCCCAGCTGAGCAGATGCCGCTAGCACTACTAGAAAAATGCTGTTGCTTTTCATATTGTATGGTGTTGCTGGGTTGCGCGCTTCGGCTCCGTCAACTTGCCTTTCAACGCGAGGGTCAGCTAATTTATATTCGAAAAAACTAAGTTATACATAAGAACCCTCTGTCAGTACTTGCCAGGTACTTTCTCCGTAGTATTTGCATTATTCCGGCTGCTGACGGCTTGGCAGGGGCACGATTCACCGGCTCTCGTCTTCATCAACGTTGTCAGCACTAACCAAGCCACCTGAACACCTCCTCCCGCTCCCCAGACTTTAGCTCCTGAGGCACCCACTATTTTTCGTTGGGCAAACGCCTCCAGGTACCTTCAAAAATATCCGCCCTACAGATAGTGAGCCATCATGTTGTATACATGGCAACCTCTCCAGCTCAAGGGTCTATTCGGGAAATTGGCGACAACTCCTGGTTAATTGGTGGGCAACCTCTTACTCACGCGTGCATCCGAAAGCGCATGGGGATACACGATCGCGCCCAGCTCACACCCGCTACCTGTACAAGACGACGGCGAAGAGATCAAGCTGGTTCACGACGCCGGCGATGCATCTGCCGTCTTTTCCATCGGCGACCATGCCTTCTGCAAGGTAAGACTTCTGGACATACCGCAGACCACCAGAGAGCACGTCACGCTCGCCTAGATGCACCAACGAAAAATGGAACTTTCCCATCCCAGAAACCCCCGTACCACGCACAATTCGACGGCCGCTACTACCATTTCCTATCCAGGGTGCCAGGGTTAACTCTCGACCGCGCGTGGCCACGGTTGGAAGACGCCCAGCGACAGCTCCTTGTCGAAAGGATCGTCAGCATCTGCGGGGAGCTCGCCGCCATGTCCGCCCCCAGGAACGCCATTAGCGGCGTTGGACGGCGGCTTCCTCACGGAATATTATCTAACTGGTCGAGAAATCGACTGCAGCCCTGCGGCGCTCAGAAAGAACAGTCCAGCGCTGAGCATGGATTGCTCGAACCTCGTCTTCCACCACTGCGACCTGGGCCCGACGATATCATCGTGGCCTACGGACAGACGGCGTGGGCATTATCGACTGGGAGACGGCAGGGTTCGTGCCAAGGGAATGGATGAAGACCAAATTTCAGGTTTCTAGTGGGATGAATTTTTCGAGCGGTGACGGGGTGGAATGGCGGAAAAGGGTCAGCTGCACATGCGTGAGCTGGGCTACCCAGACGTTGCAGCGGCCTTTGATAATCGGGCTGATTTTGTCGGTTCCTCATAAAGAGCTCTCCATCGCATGCGTAGATGTCTTCGCGCTGGTGTAAGTGCCGCCGAACTTTGCCGGGTCTCACTTATCTCTAGCGCCCCATGCCCTACCCTGCAGTTACTATTGGGGTCTCGAAAAGCACAACCAAACGATGGAGAAAAAAAATTCCCTGAGAGTCAGGGATCTTGCATTGGCCCCCGGTATGGACATGATGACTGCCAGTCAGACAGCTATTGGCGGTTTTTATGGAGGCTTAATCTGGTTGGTGGATTTAGTATGGCCGGACAACCCCGGCGACGACTTCTGCCTTTGACCTCTTTGCGCTGAAGTGCGACCGAGTCGAAGCAAATAATATACATGGGCAAGCTATCCTACTATACAATTTGACTAGACACCTTCTGCTGCTCATAAACCTCAGAGGACCAACAACCCCAAAAGTAGGAGCTGCGCCACCGCCAGGCAGCCCGAAAGCGAAGTTGCGCTTGACACCACCGGAACCCCCTTCTCCTCGCCCGAACCCTCCTTGGCCGCTCCGGACGCCGGAGACGACCCTTCCTTTTCACAATCCTCCTGCCCTGTGACGCTGGCCTCGGACACTGCCTTTCCGCCCTTTGCCGGCGCCTTGCAATCCTTGGCGCGGCCCGCCTCCGCCGCGGCCACCAGGACGACGTACTGCCCGTCCGGGCGGCCCGCGGCGCGCGCGTGGACGACCTTGGCGTACTTGTCAAAGTGCTGGGTCTTGAGCGGCTCAAAGCGCGCGGTGGTGTTGGCCTCGACTTCGCGCCAGGCGACGAGCAGGCGGGCGGACTTGGCCTCCTCGCGTGAGACGCGCTGTCGCAAGATGTCCTCGTTGACTTGTGAACAAGAATCAGTCATGGTGAATGGCTAGATACATTGCAGGGGCACAACTCACCTGGAAACGTCATGTTCACAGAGACCTCGCTGGTTGGCGCCGTCGAGTTGATCTTCCAGACAAACGAGTCTGATGGTAGCGACAGGTTAGAAGCCGAATATGCATGGGACGTTCAGTGCTTGAGTTGCTCATACTTAGCGCCTTGTAAGAGTCCGGGATGGCCTTGGCGTCGATGCCGAAAGGAATGTCGGCGTTGAGCGCAAACGCCTTTGTCGACTGGATGCGGAAGCGCAATCCGTCGACGAACTCAGCCTCCTGGGCGTCGCCGGCGCCGGCGGTCACGTTGACCGTCCTGGTGGCGCCCTGGCCGTACTGCACGAATATGTTGGCTGTGTCAGCCGACCTGCGCCCGAGCAGCATGTACTCGCCGTCCATGGACGTCATCTTGATGATTCGCGTTTTATTCTCCGTGCTACGTCCATCAGCCTCTGTCGGACCCAATCAAGTTTTATGCAGTGGAAAAACTCACACGTGAACGTTTCTCTGCGTCTCTGACACGATCCAGGACTTCTTGTCGGCGGCCAGGGTGCCCACGTAGGTGTTGGCCGGGTCGACGCCTTCCTTGGCGAGCGCCACGGGATCGTACGGCAGCTCGATCTTGGCGATCAGGTCCCGGGCGGACTCGTTGAACTTGATGATCCAGCTGTACTTGGACAGGTTCACCCAACCCTCGCCCGTGCTACCCTGGACGAACGTTCCGGACAGCGGTGACGTGTTGCTAGTCACCACCAGGGTGCGGTTCTTTGGCGAGAACAGATCCAGGGCGAGTCCGTCGGTGAAGTCTTGATCAGTCCGGGTCATCTATAAGACAGCACGTAAGTATGGGACAATTGTCCGCGGGGCCGCATCTTAATGCTCACCTGCCCAAAAACCTTGATCACATCTCCGAATTTTGCGAGCGCCGGTTCTTCTTCAGCGACGACAAGGAATGGCAAGCAGGATAATAGTACAAGGCCGAGCCATGAGGCCGACTTGACGCGAGGGGTTGGGTTCAACATGAGGCACAATGCTGAGTATGAAATTTTGTCTTAGGTTGAGGATCTGTCTCTTCTCTTGTTCACTTTTTTGCCTTCATCGTGGACTATTATACTATTCCTCTTGAGGCCCCAAACCAGTTCACGAGCCCCTCAGAACCCCTCCAAACTCTCAAGGCAAGCCTAGACCTCGAATTGAAGAACTCTTTCTCGAAGAAGGTGAGGCCAGGGTCGTTTCGCTGTAGACGCCACAACGCCACAGTTTCAACACCGTTCCCTGGAGTTGTTCTTTCGCATCTAGGAAAAAAGGAAAAAAGAAAAGAGGACAAGAACGCAATAAGCCAATCCCATGTTATGCATAGTAGACCGGGCTATTAATAGCGTCGGCGTAGGGCAGCAGCCCCTCGGAAGTAGCGGCACAGTTAGGAAACACTAGCGTAGAGTTTCATCGCCCAGCGTCTTGGCGACAAGGTTGCATGAATCGCCTTTGCAGATAGTTAATAGGCCGCCCCTTGGCGAACGTGCGGTTTCCTTGAGCCGCAACTTGGAAACCCATCCTTCTAAATCCTTAGCAGCATGATGCATCTATCGTGCCATCGTCGTCGGAGCGACACAGAGCGCGTGTAATCGTATATGGGCGCCGCTTGATTGGCCTGCCACCTGAGGTCGGACTCGGTTGCACTGGGAGCTTGGACGATGATGCCCATCGCCACTTTTAACTTGGACGCTACCCTACCCATCCATACAGGTAGATAACAGCGTCGGAACGACTCCTCAAAAGAGCTGGCGATGGATGGGTATTACGTGATTCTTAACCTTTATGTTTATTTCTGATTTTATTTCTATGTCTATCTCTATTTTGCTCGCTAATACCCGGGCCGGCCGGAGCGCCGTCAGTGCGACGCGCTTTATTCCGGCCCTCGCAGGTTTCGCGAAGTTGACGAGACCAGCCTCCTCCATAGGGCGAACTTGTTGAATGGAAGACGATCAATTTAGAATGCCATGCCAACTAACCATCACTGCCCTACGTAAAACGCCACTGGAAAGCCCCGGACACCACGCCCTTTCCCCCGTGTTTCACCCGAATCGGCACTCCTAGTCCGCGACGAGACGAGAATAGGCGACTTTTTCGCTACTGAAGCGCAATATTTCCAATGCTTCATCGAATGACGTGTACTCACGGCTGAAAGGAGTTCCCCTATCGCTCGGCGACCGAAGTCGTAATGATGGACAAGTTGGGCCCATTCATTCAGCACTCGGGTTGCACCACGTGCGGAATCGCTACGAAAGTTTTGACTCTGCGCATTTTCATGCTATGCAAACACCATCCTGGTTTCACATGTTCTCGCGACGGGTCGACCCCCCTCTCTCCCTCCATGATAGCGCAACAAGGTCTGAAGGGCCCATCCAGCAAAAGACGGTGTTGCAGCGCAACTGGGGGGTTGCAATCTTGCGAATCATGGCCAGCAGCAACTCGACAACGGCAGAGCAGACAGCTTAAACCGAGCTTAATTCAAATAATCAACGCAAGAAAAAAGCTGTCCGTGAATTCAGAGTCTTCCAAACAACTCAAGACCAGACAGAGATGAGACCAGACAGACGAAAACCCGCTCCGGCGCCGCTGCAGCTGCGCAGCATTCGGCGGCGCGAGGAGTCGACGACCAGAGTGAAGAGCCCGTCGACGTCGAGGACCCGGACACCTTCTCCTACGCGCACATCGCCGCTGTCGGGAAAACACTCGCCTACACGGCTTCTCTCGCCGGAAAAAGAAGTCTCGACGCCTTCATCGCCCGGCTCTGCCAAGTCGACCTCGTTGCCAACTTCCAGGCCAACGTATGACCAACACCCCCTCTCCGACCTAGATTGCACGCTCACTCACCTTGTTTACAGAGTCTCTTCTCCTACGGTGACGGTTACGCTCACTGTGAAGGGCCCTACCATAACTGCCACAGCCTCGCGGCAGATTCCTGCATCGTCGCACACTATCCTGTCATCCACTCAGAGCGAAGCGCTCATTCCAATTACTTCGTCAACTACGGGCGCCGCCGCCGGCAAGGCAATCATTCCCATCAAGGCAGTAGGCTTCGTCGCCGGCATCACCAGCGCCGCGGGCGCGTTGATAGCCATTGGTTTATTCATTTTCTTCTGGAGGAGGCGACGGGCAGCGGCGGCCGCGGCGGCGGGAGGACGCGAGGGAGAGTAGAGATAACAAGAGCGGAACCGCTCACCTGGACCACACACACAGGATAATGAAAGAAATGAAAATTAAATTAAATAAAAAGCAAATAAAAAAAGATATCGAGCGCAGATCTTCGAATACAAATTCTTTGCCAAGACTATTAATAGGGTTCCCGAGGGGGGGGGGGGGATCAGCCATCTCCGTGGAGCCGATGGGCATGAAACGCGGTGGGCAAATCCCGGAGACGTAGCATCCCGGCCGTCGCAAAACAGGATACCAGACCCAAAGGGTATCCGTAGTCCTATCAGGGTTCATGACTTGTCCATGTTGTATTATGCTGCGTCAGTCCAAGGAAGGGAAGGGAAACATTTCCGTTCCAACACTGAGGATCAACATGGCACCATGGCATAATCGAGCAGATTTGCACAGTCTATAGTATATGTACAAGAGTCGTCTTTTTCTTCTTTCAATGTACAACCTGGGGTGTTTTTTTTACCTTTCGTCTCAAGTAGCAGTTACATGACCACAGCACCAACACCATGGATGACGGCTTCCCTGAGGTGACGAAGACAGTGACGGCGGCGACGACGGCGTCCGCCCGCGCCGCCAAGCGGCTCACCTCGGTCGAGGGCTGGCGCGAGGTCGGCCGCGGCGTCTTCCTGACCGCGGGCCACACCGCGCTCGTCTTCCTCCCGGACCCGAGCTACGACCGGGAGTGGCCGGCGCACAGCGACGACCGGCAGGAGGCGTACTCGCGGCTGTCGCGCGCCCAGCGCCGGTCGATCAGCACGACCCGGTCCGTCAGGGGGACGGCGGCAGATGAGAGGCGAGAGTGGCTGTCGAACGGGGTGCTGCAGCAGCGTGTAGAGCAGTTCGAGCAGGACCGGCAGGAGGACAGGCCCAAGGAGGAGCCGGACGCGGTGGTGACGGCGGTGGACCCGGCGGACATTCCGTTCCATGTGTACTCGAGACGGGTCAAGTGGTACCTTGTCATCATCATCGGAGTAGCTGGGCTCTTCTCCGGCTTGTCGTCCAACATCTACCTGCCGTCGCTCTCTGCCATTGCTGAGGTATCCATCCCCCGTTCGGCCTCATCCCATACCACCACGCATACATTCAAGCCCGCTAACTTGGTCAAAAGGATCTGCACGTCAGCCTCGCTGATGTCGGGCTGACCATCACGTCGTACCTGGTCGTGCAGGGCATCTCGCCGCTGTTCTGGGGCTCCCTCTCGGACACCATCGGGCGCCGGCCGGTGTACCTGTTGTCCTTTTCCGTGTACATCATCTCCAACATTGTGCTGAGCATCACGCCAAACTTTCCCGTGCTCCTCGTTTTCAGAGGCTTGCAGGCAGCGGGGAGTGCCTCGACCGTTAGCATTGGTACCGTGGATTCAGGCGCAGCAATTGACGACGTGGTGCTAATACTCCCGACAGGCAACGGCGTTATACAAGACATTGCGACGCCGGATGAGCGTGGTGCATTCATCAGCTTCTACCAAGCCAGTACGTTGACAAGAGATCCAGAGCTGTATCTTTCGCTAACGTTCGCCGTTTTCAGTTCGGAACTTTAGCATCGCGGTCGGGCCCGTCATTGGCGGCCTGCTCGCCAACTTCCTCGGCTTCCGGTGCGTGAAACCTCCTCCCCTAGACATTGAACAAACGACTGACCATGACACAGCTCCGTCTTTGTCTTTTTATTCATCGCCTCCTCCCTCGTCCTCCTCGTCATCGCCGCCATCCTCCCGGAGACGCTCCGCTCCATCGCCGGCAACGGCTCCCTGAAGCTGACCGGCATCTACCGACCTCTGCTCGGCCACGCCATCCTCGGCGACACCAAGCTCGAAGAGCCCGAGGCCGCGCGACCGCGCCCCAAAGTCGGCTTCAAGACCTTCCTCGAGCCGGTGCTGCTCCTCCGCGAAAAGGACATCCTGGTGAGCCTGCTCTTTGGCGGCGCCGTATACGCCGTCTGGAGCATCGTCGTGGCCACCACGACCGGGCTCTTCAAGGACCTCTTCAACCTGAGCGACCTGCTCCTCGGTGTCACCTTTCTGCCAAATGGTACGTGAAAAGTCCCTAGAAGAATCGGGCTGGCACTGACTGCGCAGGCCTGGGCACCATTGTCGGCTCCGTGGTCGCCGGCAAGCTCATGACTCGCGAGTTCCTCGCCGCCGAGACCTCCTACCTCGCTCGCTTCCCCTCCGCGCGCCCTCCGTCCAAGAACAAAAAGGACCTCCCCGTCGACTTCCCCCTCGAGCACGCGCGCCTCCGGCACACCCCCTGGATCACCCTCCTCTTCGTCCTCTGCACCACCGCCTACGGCTTCACCGTCCTGCGCCTCCCCGTCACCTCCGCGCCCGGCTGGATCGCCGTGCCGCTCCTCCTCCAATTTGTGATTGCGGCGACGTCCAACGCCGTGTTCGCGATCAACACGACGCTCGTGTCGGACCTGTCGCCGGGCAAGGGCGCGAGCTCGACGGCGGTGAACAACCTGGTGCGGTGCGGGATGGCGGCGCTGGGCGTGGCGTTTGGCGACGTGATGATCCAGGACTTTGGCCCAGCGGCGACGTTTTTGGGTTTGGGGGTGCTGACGGCGGGGATGAGCGTGTTCTTGGCAGCCGAGTTCGTGTACGGGATGCGCTGGAGGAGGGAGCGTCGACAGCGGGCCAAGTGAGGTTATCGGCCGGACGGCGATGGACGCAAGAAAAGTAGATAGCGTTATGAAAAAGTTACGAAATATTAGACTGCGCTAGAAAAGATTGGGCACATTGATCATGCTTTGTTAGTTAGATATTGTTCGTTGTATATACTATTTACCTCAAGGCGACCACTGGTTTCGTGATCGACTAACATGGCGGCGCATACTAGCCATCGACAGTATGTACAGTCCGGCATCAATAATACGTGACGCTACTTCTTCAGCTCAAATTCTAGAATCGCAGACCCGTCGTCTGCCCTCCAAATCCGCTTCCGAACCAGCTTCTCGTCGACACGCCTCATCAGCGCCGCCCACTGCGTCTGGCTGCGAGACAGCACGTTGAACGCGCACATCATCAGCATGTCCTGCTGATCGAAGCCGCGATGGCGATCCTCGCCAAACTTGCCCGGGTCGACAAAGTCGTTGATCAGCAGGCGGGATGTGCCAGCCTCCATCGCCGCCACGACGTGCCTGACAATGGCCACGCAGCTCCTGAAGTAACGGAGTGATGACGTTAGCCAACGTCGCAACGGCCGACTCGCGCAGGACTCAAACTTACTCGTCACCATGGTCCACCAGGATGCGGCTTAGCATATAGACCGGAGCGGCTTTCCGCGGCTGCGCAGTGAAGAAGTCGTGCGCTTCCCAGGTGATCCTCCCCTCCAGCTCCGGAGCGCGCAGATCCTCAACAGCCGCCTCCCTCCCGGCCTCCACGACGCTGGCGTGGTCCTGGATCACGAAGTAGAGGTGCGGTTGGAGCTTAGCCAGCCGAATTGCCAGTCTCCCGCTGCCCCCGCCGACGTCCACCACGGTAGAGCCGGCCGGCAGCTCCCAGAAGGGATACGCAGTCTCGATCAGCGCGCCCAGGGGTCCGCTGTGAGTCGAGGTCATGGCCCGCGTGAATCTCTCGCCCCGCTTGGGATCGACCTTGTAAAAATATTCGTAGTGCGGAAGCTCGGCTGCAAATAGCCCCAGCAGTCAGTGGCCGGTCAGTGGGTGCGCTCAACCTGCCGAGTGAGCTTGCAGGCTGACATTTGTTTTGCTCGGCGCTTTTATAGGAGCATTCACTCACTTTGAAAAGCCTTGCAGAAAGCAGCCTTGCTGTCGTCTGCTCCAATTCTGTAATTGTTCTCGCGCAGCGTCTCCGGCAAATACGTCGCGCAGCGAAGTACGTCCTCAGAACTGAGCAAGCTTGTCAAGCACCGAGTTACCCCTTAGAATTACCCGATATTTACTTACAGGTAGTGGTACCAGCTAGAAAGGTTCTTGTCTCGCAGGAGAAGCGAGTGCCTATTGTGGAAATACATCCCCGGCGAAACCTCTTGAAAGATGGATTGATGGGTGCATTGCCTCATCACTCGCTCTGCAGCAGGTCAGCCTTTGCACTACTTCTTTTTCTTCCCCTTCTTCCTGGATAATGACTCGTACGAATGAGAGCACGCGATGCACCCGAAGCATTCGCCAACTGCCCCAGAGAAGTGCCTCTCTGCCCAACCTCGATGCGGTTTGCAATGTCCAGCTCGATGACAATCGACAGGGCCACACTCGGAAAGTACGACCGGGCCACGTCCTTGACCCAGTGTCCCGGCTCCGTCACCAGGGCCTGCAGCTGCCCGCACGTCTTGGCGATGGCGAGGCCCTGCTTGACCAGCTCCGACGACTGCGACGCGGCGCCGTTCCCGTTGCCTTGGCCGTGGAACCCTCGCAGCTTGGCAGTAAACCCCTTGGCGTCTTCGGTTATCTTGCCCACCAATCGTTCTATGGCATCGATTCCCGTAAAGTCTGTGGTAAGCATGTTGAGCCGAGTTGTGGAGAAGGAGGGTGGGCAGAGCTGCTTCCTGGCAAGGACAAGACGAAGAATTTTGTTGATGGTAGAGTGTGTTGCTCTTCTTGCTTTTTCTTCTTTTCATGGATAGACACAAAGTGCGGGGAAATTATAGCCTCGGGGGATACAATAAAACACAATGGGACTTTTGCTGTGTCCCTTGGGTCCGGATGCATGTGGCATCAGGTCTAATTCGTCGAGGAGCGGTCCTGCATGCAAACATGCATCCATAATGCATTGCTGCTAGATTTCGAGTCACTGTCGCCGGGATTATTTACTGCCACCAATGTAATCTAGGAGAGGCTGAGCCTACCCTCGGGGAATACATGTATCTCTACTGGGCAAGCTGGGCAAGGGTGACTGCTCCGGTCCTCACGATAACACGTTTGAATAATAAGTTTGTTCGCCATTTGGCTTAAGATGTAGGACTCCCCCACATGCTTATCCATCCAGTACTAGAGATCACCTAGATTCTACCATGAACCACGCAAATGCCCCCTACTCCGGCACCCAACGGTACACAATGTCCGTCCTCATCGTGTACTTTGTCCCGCCCAGCACCTCGGCGCCCTGATGCAGCAGCCCCCTATGCTGGAATATCAGCACGCTGCCCGCCTTAGGCTCTACATCCAGCCTGCGCGTCAAATCCTGCGAGAGGAACGACGTCGCGCCCCCCACGCATCCGTCCCCTCCCTCCGCCGCCGCCGAGTCGTTCAGGTACAGATGCAGCGTGTAGTGCGTCTCAAACTCCACGCCGTCCTCCACGAAGCCATACTTGCCATCACAGTGCGCTGTCCTCCCCTCGTTAGCACTTCCTTACAAACCAACCGGGGATGACAAAACGTACGCTTGAAGAACTGGCCGTTGGTGTACTTCAAAAACCGCATCCTCTCATTCAGTCGCTCAAAAGCCCACCTCCCACCGCCCCGATTCCCCGGCGTCTCGCTCAGCATCCCCGCGATCGACTCACCCTCGCCCTCGCCACGGGCGAGCAAGCACCGCTGCCAGATCCGGTCCACCACCGCCTGGCTGTCCCAGATGATGCGGTCGCTGTTCCTGTAGTCCGCCACGGACACCTCGAAGCCGCCGCCGACGTTGACCAGCGCCGGGCGCCACGGCGACGCGGCGTCGTCCGACGACGCCTCGGCCAGCCGCAGCAGCTCGCCGCACTCCTCCTCCGCCAATACGTTGTCGAGCACTACCGCCAGGCAGCCCGCGTACTCGGGCAGCGCCGAGTCGGCGAAGGGGACGTGCCGGAAGGTGATGGGCGCGGAGGGCGGCGTCTGCAGGAACGATTCGGGGATGTCGACGGGTCGCGAGGTGTAGTGCGTCTTTTGCGCGACGAGCTTGTTGCTGGCCGTCGGCGTCGTCGCCATGGTTTGTACGGCGCCGGGTTGATGAGGAGGGGTAGCTGTTGTTGTATGAGAGCCGGGTGACGCACGGCGTACTAGTTGAAGGAGTCTGGCCTGGAGACGAGTATGAAACATGGCAAAATGTTAATGATGGTCTGCTTTCCGCAAGCTTTAAGCGTTTACTAAATACGTTGATTAGATACAGGAAAGATGTTTATTCGGATGCCTAGCAGGCAGCCACTTAAGGCTTATGTTGTGGCTGTGAGTCAATTGAATTCTGCCTTAGGACGATTGTCGCAGCCTATAAGGCCTCCAGAATGCCAGACAAAATCAGGCTCGTTCATCACAAAAGCACAAAAAAGTCCAGATCCATATAAATAATTAGCCATATATTCTACGCGGCTCATAGCTGAAACAAGACGTCTCATATCTGCTCTAGTATACTTGCGGCTCGTCGCCGCAGAGCTCTACAAAAACGTTGCTGCAAAAAACCTTTCGCCTCTAACAACGCACTTTTTGCTCATGCCAAAAAACCTTTTCTCTCAAAGCTGTGCGTGACCACATTGAGTGAAACGATTTTTGGGGACTCTGCTCGCACAAAGGCGCAACAGAGTATGCGAAATCAAAACAACAGGAAAAACAATACATGGCAAACTTGGGGTGGGAATGCAAGATCAAAACACACAATATTTACATTTCTTTTGGCCACAAACCAAAGGAATTGACAACCTCCGCCATCTCGTCTCAATCGCGAGACGAAAGGACCGGGGGGCATGTGTTATTGAGCTCCGGCATTCTTGCTGTGCTTCTTTTCGACTGGGCCCTCGTCACTGCAGCCCGCCGAGCTGTGCGTGTTGGAGCGGAAGTAGTGGCCAAAGACACGCTCCTCTAGATCGCCGCCCTTACGGTCGGCCGTCTTCTTGCGTGCCTGACGGCGGAAGTAGACGCGCTTCGCCCACTTCCACGCCTCAATGCCGAGGAAGAAGAGAAAGGCCTCGATAAAGACGACCGCCCACTCCCACGAGATGGGCGCGTGCTTGAAGACGACGGTGTTGATGACGGGGATGTAGATGATGGGGAACATCGTGACGAAGCCAGCGATGATGGACCAGAACAGAAACTTGTTGCGCCAGACGTCCAGGATCCACTGCGTGAAGTAGCGCTTGCTCTTGGGCTGCATGCGGAAGAAGCTGCGTCGCAGGTTGACCATCTCCCAGGCGAGGAAGAGCGCAAACCAGGTCAGACAGGCAAACGTGGTGGCGCGCGCGCGGAAGACGACCTTGCAGCTCTCGTGGTAGTTATTGTTGCAGTCGTCGCCGAGATCAGCCGCGCCGCGGCCGAATCCGTAGAGAACGACGATGAACGAGCAGATACAGAGCGCCGACATCCAAAGACCGTAGACGACCATGTCGATGAGCAGCTCCGGTGTGAAGACACCCTGCTTGAGGTTCTGGGGCGGGCGTTGCATGATGTCGGGCGCGGCAATCTCAAAGCCGAGACCCATGTCAGGCATGCCCGAGGTGATCATGATGATCCAGAGGATCTGAACGGGGGCAAGAGGGAAGACCGAGATGCCGCGAGAATCCTTGAACGCAAGGCCAATGAGAAGGGTGCAAGCCTGGGCAATGTTCTCGGCCAAGACATGCAGAATGAACTTTTGGATGTTGTCAAACATGCGGCGGCCTTCCTCGACGGCGTTGAGAATAGAGGCGAAGTTGTCGTCCGTAAGGACAATGTCAGATGCTTCCTTGGCGACGTCAGATCCGGCCTGTCCCATGGCAATGCCCACATCTGCACGCTTCAGGGAAGGCGAATCGTTGACACCATCACCAGTCATCGCAACAAAGGCCCTACGACGGTGGAGGGCTTCAATCATGCGGACCTTGGTCTGGGGCGCGCAGCGAGCAACAACAAGAGGCAATATGGGGAGGTTGTCAATTTCCTGATCGGTTAGTTTGTCAAAGTCGGAAGCGGCCATGACCATGGTACGAGCAACATCAGCAGCGACTTCGGACATGCGCGACGGCAGAATGCCGACCTCAAGCGCAATGGCACGAGCAGTCTCGGGATGGTCACCAGTCAGCATATGGACGCTGATGCCAGCTTCGTGGCACTTGCGGACAGACGGGCCGGACTCGGGACGGGGAGGATCATAGAGACCAATAAGACCGCGGAAGATGAAATCCTTCTCAAAGGTGCTGCGCTCAAGCTCGGCCTCGTTGTGCTTGACGTGGGGAATGTCAGTTCGACTGGCAAGCGCCAGAACACGGAGACCGAGACGGGCGAGGGCTTCCATGTTGCGGAGGGTGTCTTCCTTGACGTCTTCGGTAAGCTCCTTGACCTCGTCGCCGTCGACGTACCGCGGGCAAGAGGTGAGGACGCGCTCGACGGCGCCTTTTGTGAAGAGGTGCTGCTTGCCGGTTGGCTTGTGCTCCATGATGACGGACATCTTCTTGACATCAGAGTCAAAGGGAAATTCGGCAACCTCGGACCACTCGGCGTCCTTGCCGTGGCAGAGACGCAGACGGTTCCGGTTGAAACGCGAGGCAAAGACTTGGATAGCGATTTCAGTGGGATCACCACGGACCTGCCACTCGCCCTCGACCTGCTGGACGGTAGCCAGGTTGGCGAGGGAGGCAACATTGAGATATTCACAGACAGTCACATCTTTTGTGGGAAGCTGGGCAGTGTCGACGGTGTCACCTTCAGGGTTCTCGGCGCTGAACTTGATGTCTTTCGGCTGTTCGGGCGTCAGACCAATAGTGCCGACCGTGGGGTTGAATGGCTCGCTGGTTGTGCCGACCGAGAGGGTTCCCCGGCCGGGAATCCAGGCCTTCTTGACAATCATGTTACCCTGAGTGAGGGTTCCAGTCTTGTCCGAGCAAATATCTGGTGGCAAGTTAAGCCGTTGTTCTTGGGTGCGGGGGATATGATACGCTTACTAGAAACCGCGCCGAGGGCCTCGAGGGACTTGAGGTTGCGGACAATGACGTGGCGCTGAACCATGCGCTTAGTGCCGGCGGCCATGGTGATGGTGAGGACGACGATGAGCGAAGCCGGGATCATGGACAGGCCGGTGGCGACAGCGTAGATGATGACCTCCTGGCTGTTGCTGAAGCTGTTGGCGCCGAGGACGATGATGGCGCAGACGATGGCGGTGCCGAGCAGCAGCAGGGCAAGCTTGGAGAGTTTGCGCTGGAGCGGCGTGCCGACGTTGACGCCCAGGAAGCGGCCGACGGCGTCCGAGAAGGTGAGACCCCAGGCCTCGACCCAGCGGTGGAAGCTAGCAGAGCCGTCCTCGCGCCTCTTCTTGGGCTCGCGACGGCGCGAGCTCTTGCCACGGAGCGCGACCGCGATCTGGCCAATCTCGGTGAACATGCCCGTTGCGAACACGACGCCAACCGCGCGGCCCTTGGTGACGGTCGACGACGAGTACGCGACGTTGAGGCGGTCTCCTGGACCCGTATCGGCCGCAAACGTGGTGGCCGTCTCCTTGCGGACAGGCAGCGACTCGCCGGTAAGCAGGGCCTCGTTGGTCTCAAAGTTGACGGCCTCGACGAGGCGCACGTCGGCGGGTACGGTGTCACCGGTCTTGAGCTCGACGACGTCGCCGGGCACGATCTCGGCGGTGACGACGGTCTGATTGGCGCCGGCGCGGACGGCCTGTGCGGTCGGAGAGCTAAGGGAGCGCAGCGAATCCATCGTCTTGGCGGCCTTGAACTCCTGTAGGAATCCAACGACGATGTTCAAGACGATGACGGCGGTGATAACACCGCCTTCAATCCAGGACTGGATGGCAAACGAGGCGACCATGGCGAGGATGAGGACCTAGAGGGGTGGTTGGTTAGCCAGGGTTGTTCGCTATCAAATTCTCTCCAGGCTCATCATTTTGCACCCTGCTCCTCGTGCAAATATTTCTTTTCATCAACTTGAGGTTGCGAAAGGCCCGTCTGATTGGTTCTGCTTTATGGTCCAGCAGCATGCAGTTGTCAGGTTTCAACACGCATGGTGAGCAAACGGCGAACTCGGCCCCCAGTTGGGCTCCGCTCAGTGCATTTCGGCACGTCCCCCGACCATGAATGAGAAAGAACTCAAGATGGAAAGGTCGTGTAACTGCTTCTCTCCTCCCATCCAGCGGCACGCGGTCGTCGGGTTTCAACACGCAATGTCGACGAACGGCTAAGTCGGCCCCCGTTGGGTTCCGCTGCGTGCATATCGGCACACCGCCCAACCAGCAGAACCAATGAGGAAAAGGATGCAATAAAGACAAAACTGCGGGAGATCGATGGGATCGAAGCTTTCGACAACAAGACACAAGGAATCAACCTACCAAAGTCAACGCGTTGGCAATTTGTCCAATCAAGATCTTGAGCGGCTGGACGCCCTCCTGCTCGCCGAACTCGTTGCGCCCATAGATTTCCAGACGGTTCTTGGCCTCCTCAGGAGTCAGGCCAACCTCATGGTCGACTTGCAGCTCTTTCTCGACATCAGCGTAGCTCAGAGCATGCGCGGGCGCCGTCATAGGCTTGTTCGCCTGTCCAGAGACGTGAGCCTGTAGACGCTCCTGCTGCTCCTCCTGCTGCCGCTTTCCTTGACCCATGGCCTAGAATTGCGCTGCAGAAGCAGAGAGGTGGAGAGGAATTGGGCGACTGGATTCGTTTGCTTCTCTCAGAGAAAGCGTCAGTTTGCTGTTTTTTTTTTCGGTGTTGTTCTGTAACCCGTGTTGTTCAGGTAGCGTAGAAGTATCCAGAACCCACCCAAATCTGCTCCAAGTGGTATGACAAGAAAGTGGTCAATCTGTGACGGGACTTGAGGGTAGTTAGCAAGAAAGGTGAGAGAGGAAGGGCTTGAAGGGAGGGCGTCCATCTTATAAAGAGGTCAAACGCCGAGAATAAAGCATAGCAACAGGTTGTGGCACTCCCTCTCTATCTCAGCAAAACTTGCTCCATAATAAGTTAGGTCGAGTGTGGGTATTTCTGGATCGGCTGGCTGGGCGAAAATAAGCTTGATTCTGCTGCGAGCAACGATTTAAGGAAATCGCATCTGGTGCCTCTCGGCAAACCTGGCCAGATCCTTCAGCGGACTGCAGGGCTCCAACAGCCTTCTACTTTACAACATTTCAAAAAACAAAAATGCAGAATCATAACAGAGCCATGCTTCCCATATTCTGCATTCTGCTGGCGAACAAGATCCATTTTTCCTCTGCCCGACGATGGAGAAGCAAGGAGCGATATGGGGAGAGAAATCTCGACAGTCTTGGCAACCCACAACGTACGCTAAGACCGTGTGGCACTGTGTACATTGTCAGGGTGCTGCCATGAAGAATGCAACAACTTGGTAGTCTACATAGTTATTCCTTATACAAAACAAACACTGGTTGGATATCTCCGTTTAGTAGCTATTAATTTTTACACTTTCAGCGCAGCTGAGCCTCGTTCTGACACTAGTCTAGGTAAGTAGCGGGCAACAGGTCGTTCCAGTTTGTTCACAGCATGCGTGAGAGGTGCACTTGGGCGTCACATTTTTATAATTATGATCTAGTGTTAATTCCGGGCAGCGTCCGTCGCGAGGGGCCTATTAAGGTCGATCTGAGCCTGACCCCTCTCACTTGCGTCCAAAGTGTGCCGATCAACCGATTGCAATCATCTAACAAACACCTCAAACTCACCAGATCTTATTCAAACTGATCAGCTCACTAATTATACCGCCAGAGAACCTTGGATTACCTCGAGGAACAGTCCCTCTACGCCAGGCAAGATGCCTTAAGTCGCAATATCTACACGGGATCCATCGCCACTGGATTTGATCTTGCTGCAGCAGCCAGGAGCCCTCCATCCGTCTCGCACAGCACTTATTGAAGCAAAAGGCCTTGTTAACTATGCAGTCATATCACGCAAACAACCAATCGAACAGCATTTCCCTCCAGATTTTCCCAAGATCCAAGTTGATGTAATGACGATTTCTCGCACTGTGACGAGTGAGGCTGTGCCTGCAGCCTGAAGACCTGAATGCCACCGTCTGCTTGGCGCTTCTCCACTTCTGCCCCAGCGCGGTCTTGGGGTTATGCTTCGTCTTGGCATCATGGTCGCGGAGCGCCGAGTAGAAAACTACTTCACAAAGGTAAAAACCTCGGCTGTGAAAAGAATAAATGCCATTACTCTTCTTTATATGGTCTGATTAGGGCGAACTTCATGGCATCTCTGAGAAGTACACCGATGCCGAACCGCCCGAGTTCGTTGACTTTCATGTTAGTACAGTTGTTGGTGTTGGCGCTAGAGTAGTCTGACTTGCCACTGCCAATAAATACCTATGTACATACTCATAGTTTGCCCCCAGCCCAAGTCCAAGTCTGAGCTGCGAGATGCCTTGACCGTTTTTATTAGTAAACAAATTACATCATATCGATACTGGCATATCATAGTTCTTCTAACTGTACCGAGCAGCAAACTTGACTCGCCCAAGCTTCTGCCAAGGGAAAATACTTGTGGTAGAGCTATTTGTATCTGCCCACGTGCATTCTGAGTAATCCTTACATTGCCCAGACAGATAAAGCCACGTCATTGCTAGCGGCTTGGCCTACCACTACATGCCGCCGTTGTCCAACTCTCAAATACGCCTTCTAGAATGCTTCCAATCCAGGAGATGCTGCCTACCGGAGCAACGGCATTTGCTCGGCATTGTTTCATAACGTCCTGAGCCATCAGCACAAAAAAAATAGCCAAATTGGGAGGGGGGTTTTTGTTTTGGCTGTAAAAGCAGTTGCGGCGAGGCCTATCGTTGATCACAAGCCTCAATTTCTTATGAACCAAGTCATCGCAGATGAGCTTTTCAATCCATAGTTTTTTTTTTTCTGCACTCATAAAACGGCCGAAAAGGTCAGTGACACGCGTACAGACTCCCTTATCAAAGTTGTTGGAGTTGTTGGACCTGCAAAGAGCATCGCAATGTGCCAACAATACTCCCAAATCGGGGGTCCTTGTAGTTATCGCGATAGATGCCTAGGAGCTTCCTCCAACACTCTTAAGGTCTATATTGCATATAAGATGCATATTCTCATCGAGCAACGCACTGCGTTATAATGTCGCCACATATTGCGTGAACAATATGACGGCTTCCATTGGCTCATCGTAAACCTCTCGTCCAGAAACGGAAAGGACGCGATGATACCCTATACACAGTGTGAATACGGTGCAGATCAACCGTGATGGCGAGTTTGTGCAGCTTATTATGAATATTGGTGAATAAATGGTTTATCCTATGCGGTTGCCCAAACACCACACCATCTCTATGGAAAGTGAGATGTGCGTGGGAGGGCTGCCTGATGCAGTGTTCCATTATGGTTGACGGGAAGGAGGTGACATGCGGCTCCGCGACACTGTGCAAATTTTCTGCCCTGCATACTGCACGGATGATCTCACAATCGGTCAAGCCGAGTGAAATAGCATCTCATCAGACCTCACTCTAATTTTGTGTCGTTTGTTTCAGAGACGAAAGAAGAGGATCGGACAATGACAGACTTGTTTGACGAGACCACGGCCAGCTTCCTGAGCTGGTTCAAACAGCTCCCCGGCGCAACCTTTTCTGATGCCATAGCCATCCAGGACCTACGCAGCCGCAGCGCCGGTCGCGGCATCAGTAACTACGCCCGCCCCCTCCAGCAACCTAGTGTTTCTGGATAACTAACACCCGGCGTCCAGTCGCGCTCCGAGATATCCCCGCCGAGACGGTGCTCTTCACCGTCCCGCGCGCCTCCATCATCAGCGTCGAGACCTCCGCGCTGCGCACCCACCTGCCCGCGCTCTTCTCATCCGTCAACCCGTCCAACAACGGCGCCGACGACGACGGCGAGGACGCCGACCCCTCCTCCTCCGCGCGCCTCGATGCCTGGGGTGCGCTCATCCTCGTGCTGCTCTACGAGCACCTGCGCGGCGCCGCCTCCGCCTGGCGGCCGTACCTGGACGCGCTGCCCTCCTCCTTCGCCACGCCCATGTTCTGGGCGCCCGCGGAGCTCGCCGCGCTGCAGGCCAGCGCCACTGTCACCAAGGTCGGCCGCGAGGCCGCCGACGACGCCTTCCGCGGGCTGCTGCTGCCGGCGGTGCGCGCGGCCCCGGACGTGTTCGCGGGCAGCGCGGATATGTCGGACGACGAGCTCCTGGCGTTGGCGCATCGCATGGGCAGCACCATCATGGCCTACGCGTTTGACCTGGAAAAGGACGAGGACGAGGATGACGAGGATGGCGAGGACGGGTGGGTGGAGGACCGCGATGGGATGGCCATGATGGGCATGGTGCCTATGGCCGACATGCTCAACGCGGACGCCGAGTTTAATGTATGGGGAAAAAGTCACGCTCTCATAAAGGTGGTGGCATCACTAATGAATTTGAACAGGCGCACGTCAACCACGGCGACGACGAGCTCACCATCACCGCGCTCCGCCCCATCAAGGCCGGTGAGGAGATCCTCAACTACTACGGCCCGCACCCCAACTCGGAGCTGCTCCGCCGCTACGGCTACGTCACCGAGCGCCACGCACGCTACGACGTCGTCGAGATCCCCTGGGAGATGATCGAAGCCGCCGCCGTCTCCCACCTCGGCCTCCCCGAGTCAGCCTGGGCCAAAGTTGTACGTCTCCCCCCCCCCGGTCCCCCTCCTACTTCTCCATCGCTTACCCCTCCGCCTCACAGCGCGGCCACCTCGACGAGGACGAGCTGGAGGATACTTTCGTTCTTGAGCGCGCATGCCCCGAAGTCACTCCCGAAGGCACCTTCCCCCCTGCCGACGCCGACGCCGACGGCGCGCCGCGCTTCGCGGGCCTGCCGGGCGACCTCGAGCAACAGCTCGGCGACTTCCTGCGCGCCGCGCGCGCGGTCGACCTCACGCTGCCCGCCCCGGACAAGCGCAGGCGCGAGGAGCTGCGCGCGGCTATTGTGGCGAGCGCCCTTACCACGCTCGAGGCCCAGTACCCGACGACGCTCGCGCAGGACGAGCAGCTGCTCGCGGATGCCGGCGCGGCGGTGGCGGGCGACAAGGAGCGCATGGCGCTGGTGGTGCGCGTCGGCGAGAAGAGGTTGCTGCGCGAGGCCAGGGCGTTTCTGGAAGCGGCGGCGGCGGCGTCCCAGCAGCAGCAGGAGCATGGCGGCGCGAGTCCCATGAAGAGGCCCAGGCTCGAATGAAAAGCGCGCCGACCACAGGGAATCAGCCTTGCCAGGAGATACCCCGCCAGGTGCCCGCCAGTTATGATGATTACGGACGATAAGAAACTGTCACTTTGTTTGGGTGATTTATTCACCTTCATCTTTGGATTTGAAAAGCACGTTATGCATTCCTCTCTCAACAGAGGACACTACAACACCTTCTGGGCTGCAGTATAGACATATGCCCCAGACCATCCTACACGGGATAGCAAAAAGGAAACATCGAGGCAACTTATACCCTTGGATTACGAAAAGCAGTTTACTGACGAATGAATATACATAATGGACAATTGTTGCGTAATCATAATGCCTTGAATTTAGATTTGTCTATTCATGCTTCAGCCTTTTTACCCTACCTAGGCCGTCGTCGTATGTACCATGCCCCTAGATATTTTCGGTGCCTTGATTCAAACGTATCTTGTCGTCTTGTTTTAGAATTACGGGCGCCATATTAAATGGCGTCTGGCAGTCGCACGGCAATGTCGCCAGACTGTGTTATATATCGAACCCAAGGCAGCGAGGGATATTGTAGCTGAAAACGGTCAGCGATGGAACTTGGGACGTGGGGATTTGGAGTCTGCTCACCTTTGGTTCTGTAATCTTCAAGTAGCGCACCTGAATGCCGCTGGTCGTAAAGTATGGAATCTCAAACTTGACCTGGATCGGCCTCTTGGCGCCCTTGCCGCCGACGCCGCCCATACTGCCACCGAAGCCGCCTGTCATGCCGCCGCCGGTGTCATCATCACCACGGACGCTGGGCAGGCCGAGCTCCGCACGCATGAGGAACTCCTTGTTGCCGCCAAATTGCTTGATCTTCCAGACGATGGCGCTCTGCTCCGGTGCGTAGTGGACGGAGCCAATGTTTGTACGGAAACGTGGGGAGTCGGCGTCGTCGGGGACGGGGACGATGATCTCGACGTTGTTGGCGGTGCTACGGCGCTTGAACTGAGCGCGAGCCTTGAGCATGTACTCAATGCGGGAGCCCGAGTGGGATTCGACCGCGCACTCGACCCAGACGAGGGGCTTAACATGGGTGTTGAGGCGGTAGGACATGAGCTCGAACTCGCCGTCGGGGGGAATGAAGGAGATTGTGCGGTCGTTTTCGAAGCGCGCGAGGCGGACGCACTGGTGGAACTTGACGTCCTCCATCTCGATGGCTTTGCCACGCGTGGTGCGACCGGTCGTCTCGAACATGACCTTGTCGTTGAGGCCTAGGCGTAGCTCGGGCATGCCGCTCAGGTAGCACTTCATCTTGATGGCGCCGAGGATCTCGCTGCGGAGCACGTTGCCGTTGGAACCGATGAGCAGGTTGAGACTCTCCACGACGTCGAGGAAGACCTCGTTCTTGCGGTAGCGGATACCCTCAGACCGCCACGAGACAGCGTTGGTCACGGCGATGGGTGGCCGCGCCTGGATCTCGAGCTTGTGCGACTCTTGGGTGATATACTCTTGCAGAATCTTGGACTCGGTGGTCTGAGGATAGCCAAAGTCCATCATCTCGTCGAGCAGCTCGTAGATGATAACAAAGTTGTCCCGGATTGACTCTTCTTCTAGGGCTTTGAAGTACTCGGTAAAGACTTCGACGATCTTGTGAAGGAAGAGGATGATCTCGGCGGCGTTGGTGTTGCGCTTGGTGAGTGCGAGCAAGTAGAGGTTGTTGTGGCGGATGTAGAGGTAGTTGATGCCCTCGTGGGAGAAGCAGGGCGGCACGGCGGAGGACTCCTCTTCGGCCTCGGAGAGGAGAATGGGAAACTTTTCCGCGGCTGACATGGGAATGTCACCACGGTAGTTGCGGGCTAGGAGGGTCTAGGCGGCCGAGGGGTTTCGGTGTTAGCAGGGGCGAGCTCGTGCCAATGTGGGCGGGAAGCGCATGGAGGCGCGCGTACCTTGCCCTTGAGGTCGAGGAAGAAGAGCGCCGACGCCATGGTGATAAGCGTGTACTATGGGTTGCGGCGCGTGAGGGCGAAGTGATCGAGGGGCAGCGGGGGAGCTGCCTACGCTGTACCAATGACAGCCGCGTAGAATCGCGGAGGGGCAATTAAAAAAAGAAAGCTGGTCTCATCCAGGTATCATAGAACTGCAGAGCTACAGTGGCACAGCAGGGGCGAAGAAGTCTGCCTGGAGTAGCTCACCGGGGAGCGATTCGTATGGGCGCGTGGGACGAAGTTTGGAAATTTGGCATTTACGGCACCACGTCGAGCTGCGTCCGTTAGTTACCCCAAGCTAGTTAGGAAGAAGTAGCATCACCGTCCGGCAAAACCGCGGGGCTAGATTACCTGATTGGTGACGAGGTCACGTGCAGTGAAAGCATTGAAGCGGGTCGTGGAAACAAAACCTTGAAGCGCGTTGGCTCTCAAAATTTCTTCTCTTCTTCTTTAACGCACCCTCTAGACAGTGCAGCTCATCGCCTAGCTCGGTGCTGTCGGGCATTCTGCCATTTCAGTACTTGGGCCGTGGATGAAGTCGCGATTTCGTGGTGCGGAGAGGGATCTTTGTGGCTTCATAAGAACTGCCCGAGTATCAATTACGTTGCTTGGGCGGTGTCAGAGAGGCCAAACATTTTTTTTCTTTCTTCTACTTCTTGGGGCAGTGTGGGATAGATGCGAGAGTTCTGGCATTCGTTCGTCCTTCCGTTTCAAACCAGCGCATTTGCAGCTCATACGTAGAGTCTATTCGTATTTCTTGCCCGTGGCTGCTAATAACCCGATTTGCGGCGGCGACTCGAGCACAATGTCAGTTCGCGGCAGGCAGTAGTGAGGTCCGGGGAAAGACTTGGCCCGAAAAGTGCTGGCCGAATGGCTTCGGAGGGTTAGTGGTGGCGACTAAGAATCTCAACATTTTGGTTGAGCCGACGGGTGCTGACGCACGAGGTGGCGCACCATCATGTGATGGTAGATGCAGGGACTGTTGAATTGTAGCGCCACATGTCCGTCGGCAAACGGGACAATCAAGAAGCATAGCCACCTGAGCGAGCATGTTCTTCGTGCATGCGAATCATGGAGTCTCGGTTGTAATGTATGGCGAGAGGAATGGAGCGGACGGAATGATGCCAGAGGCCTTATCAGTCAAAGCTACAGTAGCAGTATGGTTGGGTGGTCTGGGGAAGATTACGGCGCGCGGAGTTGCTTGCGATTAGAAAGAAAGGCTGAAACGCGCTCAGCCTTCGATTATGGGTTGTTACGGGGAGCCCTCCTCCTTGCCCATTGCATTGAACAGCCTCAATGACTGTCGGGGTATCTGGGCCGGGATAGAGGCTCGCGCTGGCATTCTGTAGCAAACAAAGTCTCGAGGTATCTAACCCAACCCACGATGGTGGGCGTCACATCTGGGCTGAGACGTAATCAAAGGAGCTAAAAGTAGGCCCGGCGCAACATTGCATCGTTTTAACAGTGAAAAATGAAGTGCGGAGCCGGACAGTGTTGCGATTGGAAGTTTTGCGCGGCGGAAAAAAAGGGTCGAAAACGTCACATGCAATTGCCTGTGCAAGGGCCAGGAGCTCCACCCGCCTCGGTGGACATGACTTGGGAGCTTTCAGAGGCGTTTGCTGGGGGATTGGCCAACACCAGACGAATGAACTGATGGATGAGGCATCGTGTCGTGCTTGGCAATAAATGAAATAAAGAGAACAGGACGGCAACTCTACGTTATCTTCGTTATGTGCAGGGATATCCTGGTACCAGCATAGCCGTCCGTTGTTATCATCAAGCAAACGAGGCCTTGGTAACCCATTTCAATCAGTGAGTTGGCCTGGGTGATTGGCCGCATGCTGAATCAGCATGTACCTAACATACAAGCTTGCCTGCTACATAGGCTATAAACAAACAACTTGCATGTTGCTTCCCCGCGGTTTGCTGCAGTGCACACCTGAATGAGGGGTCTTTATTTGCCTGTCGTTTTTTTCTTTTCCCCGTCTTGCTCTTTTCTGTTTCATAGCCGTAGCCGGCACCCGCGTATTAGTAGGCGCTAGGAGGTAACTGGCGCCCCCGCTGTCGGCTCGGTGTGCCCCGCACCTGAGCACCAATGCAAGGCATGTGAAGGACTTACATACAGCGGATTAACCGATGATGAGGGTCGCTGAAATGCAAATGTTGTGGTTTCTCTCTGCCGCCGCAAAGCTCAGTCAGGTCGCACACAACTACCAGAAAGCTGCGTTTTGATGGTAGTAAGCTCGCTCAGTCGACGCTGGAACGGTGTTTTTCTAGATTCGTCGTCGCAGCGCCTCGTCGGGGCTGGTGACCCGCACAGCGGCCCAGGCCCACCAAGAGACAGGGAGCCAAGCCACCGGCAGAGCTCAGACACGGGGGCACCAAGACGGCAGAATTCCTCGCGTTTTGCCCATTCGTTGCAGGATACTAATAAGGGTCATCGGGAAAGACTCTGGAAGAAGAGATCCGGGTCCGAGTGGCCAGGCTTTTCATGAACCTTCGCAATGGGGTCAGCGCCTGGTAGGCACAATATCAACTACTACCAATACCTAATGTACATACATAGGTATGCCTTTACCTCTACCTCCGCTACCGCGGCCGGGTCGTGGTGATCCGCCCCAACAAATATGCATTCGCGTGACACGGCAGCTCTTCACTTTTCCGCCGTGCAACTGTATTATGAACCGTAAGTAGGGAGCCACGAGATGAAGAACAAGTCGACTTGCTAGCATAATGCCAGAGGGAAAAGGTAGTATTCATCAGTTAACTTTAAACCTGAGAATATTCTCTGCACGGCCTGGACTGCCCCAGACTCTTGGACATGGGGGCACCCTAGTCTGCTCCAAAGCCCTCATAACCCAACCTTCACCCAGCTGCCTCTCTCAGCGCTCTACAGCACCTCCCAGCTCCCTGAGGCTTCACCACCTGCAAGCTCAGCACGTCTCAGCCCAGGTTGTTCTGCTCGTTTGCTGCATCGTCACATTCGGACCAACCAACCAATTAATTTTTCGTACCTACTGATTTGCACTGTAATGCCATAATTGGTCATCTGCTTGACTGAATCAGCCTGGGGTAACTCGACGCACACGCACGGCACAGACAGTACGAACAAGCACACGGCACCCCAGCTCAACGGCTGACTGACTGGGTGCTTTGGTTCTTTTTCTTCTTTTTCTTCTCCTGCCCGCTTCCGACCCCCGCTTCCTGCTCCTCCCTCCTCATCTTTTTGCATCTTTTCTTTCTCTACTATTTTTTTCCGCGTCCAATAACTCTTGGAAAGCTCCTCTCGAATCCAAGTTTCAGTAAGCGTCAGCCCTCGCAACTCTTCTTGCAGCCAGCCGTCTCTCTGCCACCACCACTTTAGCGGGCCTGGCTGGCCTCAACGTATTGCACATGTCAGGCTGATCCTTCTTCTTAGCCTTTTGTTAGCCTCCTCCTCTCCTTGTCTCCTTCTCCATCCATTGTTAGCCGGTACGGTACCGCCCATGGAACACAATCACATGCTCGCCACTGCGAGCCCTCACCACTCGTCAACCAACCAGTTCAGGTCGAGCAGCACCGCCCCAGTACCAGTCGCTATCCGCTCCCCATCCGCCACTACCTCTTCTTTTACCACCACCGAATCGCCGCCTGCGTCCGCCCAAGCCCATGCTCACGCTCACGGCCTTCACCACTACAACCACCATCACACTCCCACCCAACGTCATCCCCTCCCATTTCGCCCTCTCCATCCATCGAATTCTTTAATAAATCTGCCTCCTCCCAATTACGCACCTCCCACCTCGAACTCCGCTCCCACTACCGCCGCGTCTACACTCCCACCGTCCTCGTCTTCCTCCATGGATAGTCAAACGCTACACCCTCCAGCACCCGACTACTCCGCCAAGCTCCCACCACTGGCGAACCATGATAACAACAGAACGCTCCCTTCCCTGAGCTCCATCGCCGGGCCCCAGCATCGCCGACACGACTTGTCCATCGATCATTCCGCCATGGCGCCCAGCAATTGGACCCCCCACGGCAACACCATGTCCTACCGACAACCCCCTCCTCAGCCCTCGCGTGCAGAAAGCCCCGTCAATCCCGATTTTGACGGCACAAACAGTGTCACCAGTGACGCTTCTCCGGATAGCCAAAAGGAAGGAACCCCAACAAGCCTCACGCTCGACGATCCCGACGTCCGCCTTGCCGCTGAAGCCCTAGGCGATCTCAGAGCTGGTACGCCAACTGCAACAGGTCCTCCGACTCGTTTTGCCCAACCCCCGCTAACAATCGCCCTCTAGATTTCGTCTCATCCCCTCCCGATACCTCTGGAGCCATGAGCCCGCCTCCGCAGAACATGCACATTGCCACAACCTCGTCCTCCGCTGCTGGGCCCTCACGGCCACCCAGGCAGGAACCGCTTCTGCAGCTACTAACGACCGCTCACCCTTTCATTGCCTCCACCGTCTCCAACTACCACAGCACCAAAAACTACTCTCCACGTTTCAAGTCGGGTGCCGAATATGTCGAGGGATACCTCACACCACTCGCCAAGACGGTCAACCGAACCGCTAGAAGGACTGGTGTCGAAGGTGGTGTGCGCTGGTTCCTCGGTGGTCGTCGGCACGCCGCCCCTACCTCAGAACCCGAATCTGCCCCCAATTCTAAGAAGCGCCGCAAGGTCGGTGAAAAGGATGGCCAAGAAACTGAGGATGGTGTTGCGTCCAACGACACTTCCCCTCCCACCCCCAAGAGCGCTCGTCGCTCTTCTGTGAGCACCATTGACACGCTGCCTGCATATGATGAGCTGCGTTCACCTGCCTATAGCGAGACGGCTGGCCCTCCCGCTACATCCCAGAACCAGGCCGCCTGGCAGACGCGTCTGTTCATGTCTACTTCTGGCCTCAGCGTCGCCATGAGCTCTGAGAGTCTCAAGAGCCTCAAGTATTGCCTCAAGTGGCTGCGATGGACCAACGGTCGCATGGACAAGGCTATTAGCTCCCTTAAGGATGCTCTTGAGGAATACGAGGGCGCCTGCAACACGCAGGCGAGACTGGTAGAGAACAACGGCCAAGAAACGGACCAGACTATGGAGGGAATCGAGGGTGGCAGCGGCACCAAAACTCCCGAGGAGGCCCGCACCGAAATCGCCAACCGCATCCAAGTCATCAAGACGGATATTCTAAAGACACTACAGGAAGTCGTCACCACTGTCTCTAAATATGCTGGCGGTGCTCTCCCCGAGAATGCCAGAATTCTTGTCCGCCGCCACCTCACCAGCCTTCCCCAGCGTTTCCGCCTAGCCACCATGAATGAGAATCCCAGCAATGCCAGCAACACCAGCGATAACAGCCCGGCCCTGCGTGACGGCGCGCAGAAGGTCCTTGTCTTGGCCAAGGAGGGCCTGGACATGGTGACGCAAATCACTGGTGTCCTCGACGGGACCATTGTCAGTGCTGAAGAGTGGTGCGAGCGCATGGGTAAGAAGTGCGAGAACGAGGACGAGGCCATGGTTCTCGACGAAAAGGTGGCTTTGGCCGCTGCCAGCGAGCCCTCCAGCGCAGATGTCAAGATGGGTTGAATGTCTTGTCCGATGTGGACAAGAAGAAAATAAAGAAAATCACGTTGAAAGACGCAGAAACATCTGCCGACGACACGGGCATAATGTCAGCACTGGTTACCAGTCCAGAACAAGTCCGACAGCAAAACGCAACCAGCACTTGGCGTCCGACGGCGCAGTAGCAACTGGCACACATCCGATTCATGGGAATCGTGTCGATCCAGAAGGATCACTTTGGCATTTTTTTTGGGCAAGCAGCATGGACTTTTGTCGGCTTGTGATCTTGCTTGGATTTGGAATAAGATGATTTCAAGTGGTTGTGGGAAATGATACCTGGACTATCGTCCATTCTTCTGTTTTTTTTATACACTGCTTCTGAGTTTTTCCCTTTGTTTCTATTACAACGGTGGATGGTATATATCTTTGCTCCCTTTGTTTGCAGCCGGGGATGGAAAAGAGGAAAGCAGCGAAAGAGGGACACCTTTTGCTTGGAAAATTGGCGTTTTGTGAGGAGTTTTGTTTTTCGAATGCAATAGCCCGCCGTGCTTGAACTTGTTTCGATTTTATCTGTATTTTACGTCGAATAGCCTTACACAACCTGTGTGCCTCTGGCACTCAACGAAAGACGAACCAATGGGGCCTTTTGATCTCTAGAGATTGACCTCATCAATAATCTCCTTGTTCGCCTGGCAGTCCTCTTCGAATGTTCAACAGACTAGCGCTAACACTGCAGCTTACGTAGCAAAAGGTAGCGAATAGATGTTGACTCTTGCAGCACAGTGATCTCTGAACTCTATGTGTAAGTGCTATTTGAGCGCGCGACTTGCAAGCTTGATTTTTTTGAGAATACTCGACACTACCTAATTCGACTATCTGTTTGTTGCACTGGCGCTGTCCGAAACGCTCGCTACAGCACACGCCATCACTCGTGGAGATACTTGATGTCCTTTCCAGCATTCGGTCTGGGGATGAGACCAAGCTGCTGCAGCGCAGTCAAAGCACCCTCCTCTCCCGTCTCGTCAACAATTTTGCCGCCCTCGAGAGTATATATATTCCGCGTTTTGAACCTCATGCAGGTCGCGGTAGCAAACAAATGCGCAAAAACAATGTCCGAAATGTTCGTCTTCAAGGGCTCTTCCTCCGGAGGAGTCATCAAACAAGCGAGTGTCAACACAAACCGCGCCGTCAAAGATCGACAAGTCCTTGCTAGAACTACGCATTCCGGTATATGCGGGACGGATGAGCATTACAAGACCGAGATATGGTTCTAGGTCATGAAGGAGTTGGTGTGGTTGAAGACGTCGGGGAATCCGTGAAAGGATTGAGAATGTAAGATACAGACTCGCGAAAGTTGCATCAACTCATGCACATGATTGATTAACTTGCTTTTAGTGGTGATCGAGTTGGCTGGGGTTACTGCCATGGAGGCTGCCTGGCATGTCGAGAGTGTCAACAGGGGCAAGAGCTATACTGCAGTCGACGCGAGCTCTACGGCGCTACGAATTTAGACCAGGGCTCGTTCGCGTCTCACGCTGTGTGGAACGAAGCTTTCCTATCCCTCATTCCTGAATCACTTCCATCTGCCGAAGCAGCGCCGTTAATGTGTGCTGGAGCGGCCGTTTACTCGGCTCTAAGTGCTGCCAACGTTCGATGGAGCGACCGTGTCGGCATTCTGGGAGTTAGCGGCCTCGGCCGCCTGGCGATACAATCTGCTGCGAAAATGGGCTGTCAGGTTGTTGCTCTGTCCAATACTCGCAGCAAAGAACCAGATGCCACCGCTTTAGGAGCGACGGAGTTTGTTTGTCTCGCCGACGCAGATGCCCGCTCGGTCGAGCCTCTCGACTGCCTGCTCTTCGCTGGCGAGCGGCAGCCGGATTGGAGTCGCATAATTTCCTTGGTTCGCCGAGAAGCTATAATTGTTGTCATGACTGTTGATCCGGAGGATTTGCGAGTGCGATGCATGGAGCTGGTTATGAACGCAATCTCCATACAGGGCAGTCTTCCAGCACCGCCGGCGCTTCATCGAGAAATGCTTCAATTTGCATCACTGCACAGTGTGCTACCTTTGATTGAAGCTTTTCCTTCACGGAAGACGGGATCAATGAGGAAATGGAAAAGCTTCGGCAGGGAAGAATAAGATATCGCGCGGTTATCGATTCTGCTAGTTACTGCCAGTAGATCCTTTACTGTTACTGATGCCTAGCCACTGTACCTATCAATAGGTGAATTACTGTACATATGTACATAGTCTAGGCAGCGCGTCTAGCGCCTTTTGTATGTTAGTGTAGCTTATAAGCTCGCGCATGTCGAGGGCACAGGAAAAGGGAAAAGCAAGCAGTGAGAAAAGAGCAAAGAGCCCCCTTTTGCTGGGAAGATAAGCGCATTTTTTGGGGAGTTTTCTTTTGTGAACGGAGTGGCCCATCTTGGTTGAATTGGTTGGTTCGAGTTTTTATATTTCATATTCATTAGCCTTGTACAACCTGAATGCCTCTGGCACCCAACAAAGAAGATCATGGTTATTTGCCCTGATGCGCCTTCTACATCCCCCTCTCAAACAAGCCTTTGAACACCGCCATTTCAGCAAGAAAAACGGTCTACCACTATGTCTTTGCCAAATCACCAACAGCCATGTTCTCACCCACCCGACGCCTGAACCACAGCCTCCCAAGAGTCAAAGGCATGTTGGATGTCTGCGTCGTTGGCGCCGGCGGCGTAGGGACAATTGCAGCTTACATCCTGGAAAACTCGCAGTGCGCCTGTGTCACAGCGTTTACACGCCGCGCTCTACGTCGACGTGTACAGCGCGGGGCCCGCGGCCGCGAAACTCGAGACCAACCAACGCACGCTGCCTGCTGGTCGAGGACATCGTCGGCGCCCGCTGGGCGAAGCTGCTGTGGGACGCCCCGTTCAACACTCTGTGCACGGTGCTGCGCATCCCCGTGGGCGAGCTGCTCTCGGGCCCGGGGTCGGGACGCGCTGCTGGAGCCGGCGATGCGGGAGGTCGCAGCGGTGGCGGCCGCCGCTCGGGCTACGGGGACGCGGCGTCGGAAGACATGTTCCAGACCATGCTTCACGACTCGGCTCCGACCAGCACATTTCGGCCCAGCATGTTGGTCGACCTTGAGAATGGACGGCCACTGGAGTTGGAGGTCATTCTTGGGGCGCCGTTGAGGGTGGCCAAGGAGAAGGGTGTCAGCACAGCGATTTTAACTCGGGTCTATAAGCTCTTGAATCTGCTCCAGTGGAAGTTGACATAACAGCAGGAAGGTGGTCTGGTTAATAAACTTCGCGATATTGAGAGACTACTTTAGTTACCCCTAAAGGTATCAGCTTTCGTGCTCATGGCGCGTGTTTCTCCCAAATGGTACATTTTCCAGCCAGCCGAAGTGGTTTTTTCGTCAACTACCTCAATTTTTCGTTGACTTCAGATTATTCTGAGCTCTCTGCTTAAATGACTAAGCGATGTGGCACGACGTGACGAGAGCTCGAAAACGCGTCTTCGTCTCCCCAGCATCCCATCCGCCATGGCAGACCAGCAACTGACGTCGAATGCTATCACGGATAATCCAATCGTCAAGTGCCTCGATAATTTTTATGCTCTGTTCACTTCGGTCTGCGCCGACAGGAAGCTGCCAGACACTCCAGATGCTTTAGCTCAGCTTGACCAAGATGGTATTGCAGGCCAGTTTCGTCCCAGGATGCTTTCCTAACTGTGATGCAGATCTACGAAAACTCATAGCTGCTTTTCTGAGAGTGGTGCAAAATCATCCCGCTGCCGACTTGCTGCCGGCCAAGACAAGCCGAGGCACGCTTCGCAGCGACCTACTGCGACTTGAACTTCGTCTCTCCGACAACGACTTTGACCTCGACCGCGTCAAGCCTCTTTTGAAACGGGCTCTCACAAACGATGTAGCCGATTCCATCATCTAGGATCAAGTATACCTTGCTATCACTGAACCCCCCCCGGTCTCCCGACATTAATGTACCACGTCCTTGTCGTACCCAGCTCCACTCCAGTTCAAAGTTGACTAGCAGCAGGGTACCCAACCATCAGCAACAGATTGGCCGGACGACTTGATTTGGTTTCCTCGTGGATTGGGTCTTCAAGACCTTCTCGGTGTCGGGATCAGTGGCTACGCCGGTCGTCTGGATGCAGCCGTGAAGTGGTTCAGCCCAACAACGCCCAGTTCATTCAACGAGAAAGACGCGTCTATGAGCGCCTTGATGAAGGTCATCACGGTCTTCTGAGATATTACGGGTTGAAAATGGTGTCATCTTGCAATTTGCTTGCCATGGCTCTATTCGACAGTACCGGGCGAAACACGAAAATCACATTCCACTCTTGATGCGCCTTGAATGGATTCAGCAGGCCACAGAAACAACTGCGTTTCTTCACTCCAAGAGTGTATTTCACGGCGACATTTCCTGCAATAACATTTTCCTCGACGAGGATCTGAATGCCAAGGTTGCGGATTTCGCAGGCTCTGCCATCGATGGAGAGCAAGGCTTGACCTGTTATGAGACAAGCCACTCACACCCAGGTATTCGAAACATCTGTGCTGAAGGTGAAATATTTGCCCTGGGGTCTACCTTCTACGAAATTATCACCGGATTCAGTCCGTTCCACGAACTAGAACACTACGAGATCGAAGAAGCGTTTTCCCGAAATGAATTTCCCTCAATACCCGCCAGTGCATGTCACGAAATTATATACGAAGATGTTGGGCCCGAGACTACAGGAGTATTGATTCACTTGTCGCCGACGTGAGCGCCGAAGGTACAAAGTATCTGCGATATATTGAGAAACCGGTTGCTGACGCGTCCGACTAGTGCTTCAACACCGAGAAAAACCGTCCAGACTCCCTGGCCATGTCTTGATTCTTCCTGAAAACTGGGTTTCTAGAACCATGTGCTGTGTATCCTTGATCTCAATTGCGCTTTGGTGGCGGGTTCGAAGGTTGTGAGCTACCATTCTTTGCAGAATTGGTCAGGTCCTTTGTAAAAAGTCTGTCATCTTACGAGGAGGACATTCTGGACACAGCCCAATTCGTCTTGATGTCCCAAATTGGATCGGATCACCGCTCTTGTCTTTGGCTTGCGTGGCATCGGCGCGGCGGTGACCATTCGCCTTAGCTTTTGGGAATTCGTCCTAACGTGTGTCTGTCGGAACATGCTTGGGTGTAGCACGGCAATGATCGAAGACGATCCGGAGTGTTAAATAATGGCACATGATGAAAGACGTGCGCGGATCTGAACAAAAATTGAGCTAAGATCTGCTTGAAGGTGACTCTAAGGGCATCGCCAGCAGCATAGATACGCGGGGGAGACCTGGTGACGTGACCTTTGCCCGGCGAATGTCATAGTAAATATCGGCAACGACGGAACTTGGAGTATTGCTGCTATCATAGACTGGGAAGCAAGTGGCTTCTACCCGAAATACTGGGAGTGCGCGAAGATGACAAACAACCTGGCGCCAATGGATGTCTTTGACAGGTACAGATACCTACCACGATCTCTATCCTTTGCGCGAGTACCCAATCCAATGGCTGGTGGACAGAGTATGGGATCCTGCTATGATCAATACTTGAAGTGTACGAGGCTATAGGAATGGTTGTCATTAAGTTGTGTTGTTGATAAGCTGTAGCATGAACCCGCCGACATGAATGTGTAACTCGATCAACCCCGCTCAATCTTAACAGAGATGCACTCTGGCAATTGGTTTGTGGGTGCGGGTAGAGAATGGACCATGGATACGGGAGACTATATTCCGCCTGGAATTAACTCGCCGGGTGTATTCATTCTCATTGGCTTATCGTTGCCGCGAGTGATGGCTTCGGCGGACCCAAGGCTTGTTTGTAATTATAGATGAGCGCCAGTGGAAGTGACGCGTTGCACGGGAATAATAGAACAGCTTCATCATGATAATAAAAGAAAGTATAATACAAAATGAGAGGAATAGGCCACCGCAAAATATACTCTACGTGGCTGTTGCATCACCGCTACGTATAGGATCCGTCATGCACTCACATAATGTTGCCGACTCCACAGAATTGGTGGCGGTGATTGAAATCGGATGTGACGGTTGATCGCCATCGTTGATGTCACTCTATATCAAATCATTTTCTAATACAGCGCACGGAATTGGCTGGTCAATGGAGAGAATGCTCCGCTATCTGTACAATAAATACTGATGTGCTCTGTGCTTGTAACTGGGAACCGGCTCTCAGTCTTCATCAGCCATTCAACCCCAATAGACTAACATTCACCATGACAGGCGCACAAGTAAAGGCCGAGCAGCTGGCATCCAATACGGTGGAGCCGTCGCAGGACTCGAGACTTACTAGCGACTTTGGCACAAAACAGTCCAATACCGATGACTGGCTGCGAGTCGCCAGTGACGATAAGACTGGTCCTTCGCTGCTGGAAGATGCTTTTGCAAGAGAAAAGGTACGATCCACCAGGCTATACGTTTGACGGAAAGGGATGCCAACAGCAGTCATCCAGATTCATCGGTTCGATCATGAGCGCATCCCGGAGCGCGTCGTCCACGCCCGCGGCGCCGGCGCTTTCGGCACCTTTCGGCTCCTCGAGTCCGCCGCGGACGTGACCCACGCCGGCGTCCTGACCGACACGTCCCGGCAGACCCCCGTCTTCGTGCGCTTCTCCACCGTTCTCGGCAGCCGGGGCTCCGCCGACACGGTGCGCGACGTGCGCGGCTTCGCCGTCAAGATGTACACGGACGAGGGCAACTGGGATATTGTCGGCAACAACATCCCCGTCTTCTTCATCCAGGACGCCATCAAGTTCCCGGACCTGATCCACGCCGGCAAGCCGGAGCCCACTGGCGAGATCCCACAGGCGCAGACGGCGCACAACAACTTCTGGGATTTCATGTTCCTGCACCCGGAGGCGACGCACATGTTCATGTGGGCCTCGTCGGACCGCGCGATCCCCCGGTCGTACCGCATGATGCAGGGCTTCGGCGTCAACACCTTCACGCTCGTCAACGAGGAAGGGAAGCGGCACTTTGTCAAGTTCCACTTCACGCCGGCGCTCGGCGTGCACTCGCTCGTGTGGGACGAGGCGCTCAAGATTGCCGGCCAGGACCCGGACTTTCACCGCAAGGACCTGATGGAGGCCATCGACGCCGGCGCGTTCCCCAAGTGGCGGTTTGGCATCCAGACCATCGCCGAGGGCGACGAGGATCAGTTCGAGTTTGACGTGCTGGACGCGACCAAGGTCTGGCCCGAGGACCTGGTGCCGATCCGGTACGTCGGCGAGCTGGAGCTCAACCGCAACGTCGACGAGTACTTCACCGAGACGGAGCAGGTCGCCTTCTGCACCAGCCATGTCGTGCCCGGCGTCGGCTTCTCCGACGACCCGCTCCTGCAGGGCCGCAACTTCTCCTACTTTGACACCCAGATCAGCCGTCTCGGCATCAACTGGGAGGAGCTGCCCATCAACAAGCCCGTCTGCCCGATGATGAACTTCAACCGCGACGGCGCCATGCGGCACCGCGTCAGCAAGGGCAAGTTCAACTACTGGCCGAACCGCGGCGAGGTGCAGCCGCCGGCCACGGTGAGGGAGGGCGGGTACCAGGACTTCCCGCAGGCGGTGCGCGGCGTCAAGGTGCGCGACAAGAGCGCCAAGTTCAAGGAGCACATCGCGCAGGCGCAGCTGTTCTACAACTCGCTCGCGGAGATTGAGAGGCAGCACCTGCGGGCGGCGCTCGCGTTCGAGCTGGACCACTGCGACGACCCGGTCGTGTACTCGCGCGTGACCTCGCGACTCGCCGAGATCGACGCCGACCTCGGCGCCGCCGTCGCGAAAATGGTCGGCGGCGAGGCGCCCGCGGGCAGGTCCGGCGGGAATCACGGAAGGACGGCGCCGGGCCTCAGCCAGCTCGAGTACCAACCCGAGACGGCCACCATCGAGTCGCGCAAGGTAGCCATCCTCATCGCCGACGGGTACGACGGCGCCGCCTTCACCGCCATGCTGGCCGCCCTCAAAGCCCTCAAGGCCGTGCCCGTCATCATCGCACCCCGACGCTCCGCCGTCTTCGCCGCCGGGGAGGACCGCAGCAGCGGCGGCGGCGGCGGCGTGGTGCCGGACCACCACCTCGAGGGCCAGCGGAGCACGCTGTTCGACGCGCTGCTCATCCCCGGCGGCCACGACGAGCAGCTGGTCAGCAGCGGGCGCGCGGTGCACTACGTCCGCGAGGCGTTCGGGCACCTCAAGACGGTGGCGGCGACGGGCGAGGCGGGCGTGCGTCTGCTGGACAGGGCGATCCAGCTGCAACAGATAAAACTGTCCGAGGGCGCCGAGTGCGTGGAGAGCTACGGCGTGGTGAGCCTGCGGCGCCCGGGCGCGGACGGCATAGGGCAGGTGGTGCGGGCGGTGAAGAACGCAAAGGGGTTCCTGGACCAGTTTGTGTATGCGGCGAGCCAGCACCGGTGCTGGGAGAGGGAGTTGGATGGGCTGACGCAGCTGGTTGCGTACTGAGCGTGTTATTGGGATAGAAGAACAGATTGATAGGAAATGACGATGCGCTAATGGTTACGTATGGAAACGAAGTACTGCTTGCGACTGTGAGCACAATCATGGCTCGCCCTTTGCTCCAACATCCAGCTCCGGCCCATGTAGGTCCAAGCCCATCTCGACCTCGCCAAACTCATCCGCCGGCTCTATATCCCTGAACCCCAACTTGCAGTAAAACCTGTACGGCGAGGCCCCCTCCTCCACCGCCGCCTTGCCGTCCCGCGCCGCCTTGCCGCCCGGCCCCGCCGACATGAGCCGCAGCGTCCGCATCTCCGGGTGCGCCGCCCGGACGTGCGCCGCCGCCGCGCGGATCGCCGCCGCGCCGCACCCGCGCCCCTGAAAGCGCGCGTCGATCATGAACCGCCAGATGCTGGCCCAGGCGTCCGGCTCCCAGATGGACATCATCAGGAAGCCGACCAGCGCGTCGCCGGCGTAGATGGCGCGCACCCAGGCATCGGGGGAGTAGTGCGCCTCGCAGAGGGAGCGTGCGTTGGTGGACACGTTGCCGCGCTGGTGCGGGTGCGTGTCGAGGTCAATGACGGCGCGCCAGTTGTCCTTGGTGATTTCGCGGAGGGAGATGGCAGGGGTTGTGGTGGTGGTGGTGGACATCCTGGACGGGTGGTGACTTTCAAGGGAATGGATGCGAGTTATGGACCCAGAGGTAAGATAGGTGGACTTTTCGAGGGATTTCAAAGGGAGTACTGGAGAATGGCAACAAAGGTCGTCAATTCAGACGTCGCTATTTATTATGATTAAGTGAGTGGTTCATTTCATGTTGTTGAGTAGTGTTTTACAAGTGACTCACGCCGCGCCCAGATTCAGCTCGCTCTGAGTAACATCACCGGCGTGACATTACAATATGTAGAAGATAGATAGTATCTCTAAATAAATGTTGATTTCTCTATAGATAACTACATAGCGCATATTTTTATACTTTATGTGTACGTAACAGACTCATTTGCGGGTGTGTCAACCTTGTCTGGACAAACCCTGCGAAAGCCCCCTGGAGGCTGGGGCTGGCCTATAAGGTTGACCGTACCCCATATTCACCACCATGACTTTCTCTCTATTGCATTGGCAACCCGAATCTTTGTGAAATGCTCGTCAGAAACTATGCCTGGAAAGACCATTGATCGAAGGACCACGATAACAAATATAGCCTGCCAGCATCGCTTTAGTTGAGATTTCGATGAGACCAATGACTGTTTAAACATGGCCGGCCATTACTATTTTGATCACTGCCGATGCTGGTTCTTGATCGATATCGGCCCACGTTGGTCTCTCTAACCCTAGTCCCTAAGTGCGAGGTAGCTGATCCTCGAAACATTTGAAGAAGCGGCCGAACCCTGGGCAACAATTTTCTTGCTGATTTTTGAAGTGGCATGAGGGGGCTCAGCTGACATGCTGCGCGAGGAAGCCCACCGAGTTTGGGTTCTGTGGCTGTAATGATCGAGAGGCTGTTACCCTACACTCACTCCACTCGCACGCGGATACCACCAAGGCACAGGAAAGATCGTGTACCGCCAATTTTCGGCGGCGCGGGACTACAAGACAAGGCGCTCTCTCTGAATAAATCCTAAAAGGGCCAAAAAAAAAAACCTATGGCATCTTTTGTCCTAGGCCTCAACTATCAACACTGAGATGGCAAGAGGAAATCGACACCATGGACGGCCCACCCTAGAGATCCTGCACTAACTAACTACTCAAGATAGCTCCGGCGAACACCCCATAACTAGAGCTCCAAAACTAACCAAAGACATCATTCATCCATCGTGAGAGAATTTGCCCTCCAAGACGGCGTTCAATCCGGAAATTCCCTGGTCGATTGCCCGCCATGGTCCCGGCGATTGGCCGCAACGTCATCGTGGCGTCCAAGAACCCCCTCAAGCTGCAGGCCACCCGTGACGGCTTCGCGCGCATCTTCCCCGACAACAGCTTCGCCTTCCAAGGCCGCAGCGTCGCCTCCAACGTCGCCGACCAGCCTCTATCCGACGATGAGACGCTGCGCGGCGCGCTCAACCGAGCCCGCAACGCGCGCACCCTCGAGCCCGCCGCCGCCTACTGGGTCGGGCTCGAAGGCGGCGTCCACCCCGAGGGCGGCGACGGCGACGAGGTGCAGTCGTTTGCGTGGATCGTGGTCCTTGGTCGGGACGGCGAGATCGGGCGGGCGCGCACGGCGACCTTCTTCCTGCCGCGGGAGACGGTGCGGTTGATGCGCGAGGAAGGGCTGGAGCTCGGGGAGGCGGACAACAGGCTGCACGGGAGGACGGACTCGAAGCACGAGACGGGCACGGTGGGCATCCTGACGGGGGACGTGGTGACGAGGCGCAGCTACTACGCGGAGGCGGTGGTGCTGGCGCTGATTCCGTTCCGGAACGCGCAGCTGACCTTTGGAAAGGAGCGGGATGATGAAGGGGAGTTGGAGCTCGCGGCCCTGGATGGAAAGGAGTAGCATACGAGATTGCCTCATAGCATATCATGTCTCCTACCGTGGGTGGCAATAAGTATTTATTTGACCCCTTCATGGCACGACTGCAGAGTCACGCTAGTCTTTGTAAATATCTAGATATGGTGCTGTTTGTACCTGTTACTGGCATGAATCATCAGCTTCTATCTAGCTTTTTCAGACCTTCACTGTCGGGTTGGCTGGAGTTCAAGAGCAGCGTACTGTTTCCGGCTGCAATCCCGCTGAACGTCCAAGCGCATCGCTACCATCTTCACAACTGTACGCGCTGCTAAAGGCTAGAGATCAACGTTGACACAAGCCAAGTTCAGAAGACCCTGCGCCAGACGTTAGAAGCCAACATCAATAAGCTCAATTTTGCCCAAGTTTTTACCTACATTTTGGTCTCCGGTGCAGCAGGCGACCTGATTGCTGCAGGCCGTAGTAATTGGCACATCGACAGCTGCGCCTGTGTAAGTCCAACGGCCCAAGTTGACTTGTCGCCCACTTGCTTACCTATAACACTGAGGTCAATGGGGGAGCAATTTCCGCCTAAAAGACCATCCAGCAATGTGCCGGCTAAGTTGCCCTTGCTGCAGCAGGAGATCTGTTGGTGATTGCCGCACTGGGCAGCAGCAGCATCACCGAGAGTCTGAATATGATTGCCGCCGTCGGACCACAAGTCACTGCGTCTTTGAGGAGAGGCCAAGATGGTGGCGGTGATGGCGGCGACGATGAGTGTCAATTGGTGCATTTTGGGAGTGTGTAGGGTGCAGTGGCAGGCGCGCCTAGGGAATCAAGAAAAGCAAGTGAGGTACGTGTAATTGAGACTTGCGTATAAAACAGCCTTGGCTTTCACTTTAGACCGGGAGTGCCAGAGTTTTATTGCCCTGCTCAGGCGACTTGTCCATTGCCTCACGCTTGCTTTCCTGCAAGAGGTTCACTTTCAGCTCCTCGTAGTAAGACATGCAGCTGGCCAGCTGAAAAATTAGTTGTTTTACTTTGTACGGAGTAGTTGAAGAGACTAATCCAAGTTCTCCGCGCAACCCATACGGGGAGTTGGGCGTTTGTACATGTTCGTACATGTATGTCGTGTCGATGAAGACATGGGCTCACGTCACAATTGCCACACAGACCACCTAAATCGAAATCATGCCCTCCTTTCCCATATTCGTGTCTTTGTGCTTTAAAATCTCGAGTTCTTTAACTTTCTTGTGCCGATTACCTCTCCTGTCACGCGGGCTGCCACCATTCCACGTCAGCCGTCGTCCATATTACTGACTAGGGGCCACAACAGTAGAAACGTGTGGAGGCTGTACTTACCGTATGCGCGTTCTATCTTATGATTCTGCTTTTTAGAAGAGGCGGGTGATTAACGGGCGAGCCTTATATGGAAGTTTGGCCTGTGTACGTATCACGATAGACAGTACAGTGAAGCCACGAGCTGCTTTTCGCATACAACGAAGACTCACAAGAGGGCACTAGGGGCCGAGCATCCCTCCACGCTGGCTAGCACGGGCAACCTAGCGTCGACATTTTGGAACCAGGGCCGATGGATAGAGGCCGAGAAGTTCTTTATGCAGGTGATGGAGACGAGTAAGACGAAGCTTAGGGCGGACAATCATGGCCAACCTGGCGCATACACTGAAATACCTTGGCCACCGTTATCAGGCGCTTGAACTGGTGGGCCGGCGCGTTTCTCTTCGACGGCGCGTACTTGGCTCAGAATCGACGAACTCAAGCCTCAATAGAGGTAGTCAGATTGTGGCAACGAGATAGTGACTAGTGTCTTGAGAGCAAAATGACTTCCTGTTTCGCTCTGCTAATTTCGCATCTCCGCGGGCAGCGTCTCCGCATAAGCAGCACCTCCCCTTTCCGCGAGCACAGGTTGTGCAAACTCATACATCTTAGTCCTAGGAACCCACGGGAGAGTACAGAGCTGCGAGCTGGCTGTGTTCCGGATGAAAGCAATTGCTAGTCTATATTTTTATCAATACCAGACTACCCATTCTCTGTACCATCCTTATAGATGCCAGCTCGTTATCCTATTCCAAGCGCGTTAGAGCATGTTCCAAAGATTGCACTGATACAATAGTCTGCGATATTCGCACATATCTCGGACTTTTACGCCCGAAAGCAGCCTCGATACCACGCTGAGCGCTTTGATAATACGAGATGATAACGACATTGTGATTGTTGATGGTGCCGAGATTGTAGATGTTCGTGTCGCCTCGCGGTTGTGGCAGAGTCTCGTGCTCCTCATCTAGCATCTCCATCGCAGCGATTTGTTCCACCTCCAACGGACAAATCCATGCCACCTCGTAGTCGTTTTGACTGAGCCTTTTCGGCATTTTCATTCACTTGGCTGCTCTAAATCTAGCCTCTCATGGACGGGCTGCATCTCCAACGCAGCACAATGCGCGAGCGACCCACCGGAGCACCGAAGCTGGAAGACATCGGACGATGCGGTGGACAAGAGCGACCTTCAGCGGTTATTCTTAATGTCTGTTACAATAGTCCAGTCGAGGTACAACCTAATGTACATTACGTCCCAGCGGTAGACTTGGACGAGTGACATGGTGTGGCGGCACCTCTCCGCACCACTGCTTCTGCCACCATGCATTATATCGTGTTACGCTGTGATAGGTGCTTAAAAAAGAGGGGTAGTAATGTTGGTACGGTATAAAAGCATGTGCTGTTTACTTATTTTGCTTTTGCAAGCAATCCCTCACTACCACCATGTTAAAACGACGATGACTTATACCGGCTGCACAGATAGCTGCGATACAAAGGAACAAATCGTGATTACTGATGGGTGCGATAAGTACGAGGTGACAGGCCAAGAGTACCCAGAAAGCGAGTCTAAGGTCGATCATTTAGCCCAGTCAACCAGTCAACTCCCTTTGCCTTATTGGAAAGCATATCGCCAGCAGTCTTGGAAATGCCTCTCAGGAAGGCTTCTTGACCTGCCTGGAAAGATGAGTCACAAGTCCAATTCTCCTTCGTGCCTCCATGGAGTGCAAACTGCGCATAGGGGGGTGGGACAACATTCCATGGTAGTTGATCTCGACCGGCTTTCAGACTTTGACTCTTGCTTGTGGAGGAAGCCAAGCCCCTACATCTCAATGGCGACCCGTCCAACTCTCAGACGAGGAACGACTCTCGGAAACAGCCAGTTTTGAGCGTATCCAATTGGGGGTTGAGGAGTTCCAGAAAAATGGCTTTCTTGTAATCGAGAATGCTATCCCGGGCCACCTCTTGGACGCTCTCAACTAGCAAATGGTGTCCGACATCGATCTGTCCCTTGCATGGCCTCGGGTGCAGTTTAACCACGGCGTCAAGCATAAGAACATCTCGCAGACTCCGCCGTTATCGAACCCGTTCATCAGTGAGGAAGTGTGGGCAAACCGCCACGCCGTAGCCATCACTGAATGCATCCTAGGTCCACGCCCGAAGTTGTCCTTCGTCAGCAGCAACATCGCCCTTCCAGGAGGAGTAGGCCGCCAGGCCGTCCACTCAGACGCCTACCATGAGCATCTTCCCTTCATATTTGCCGTAGAGGTGTACATATTTTTCGAGGACGCAGTGCGGACAACGGGGCCACAGCTGTTTGGCTCGGCACCCATAACGGCTACAACAAGAAGGATCATATTCCCCATGAACGCGGTTGGATTCCAAAGGATCTTATAACTCACGAGCCAAGATCTCACGGCCCATCCAGCCCACCGTCCCCAAGGGGTCCATCTGTATGCGTGACCTTCGTCTCTGGCACGCTGGCATGCCCAACTATACTCTAAATCCCAGGGTGATGCTGGGGTTCATCTATATCCCGCGATGGTACCGGTCATTTATGAGATTAGAGCTCCCAATCGATTGCAAAGAAGTCGTGGTCTCTTGGGAACATGTGGCGGTCAAAGTAGATTATATGGATGGGCCGGTGGATCATATCAAGTACAAGTGACTTCTCACAGATCGCTACGAAGGGGCTTTTTGAGAGTAGGGTTGAAATAGACAAGGAAATGGGGAGGCCGAAAGATGTGGATTTAGAGGTCACAGAGGAGAATTATTGGGTTGCGCATGGAAGCAACGATATTTCCTGAAGCAGCTTTTTGTGTCCGTATCGTCTCGCATCTGTTTCTTTAGCTCTCAAGTTCCTCACTGAGTCAGTTTTGCGCCGGGTACTGAGAATGTAAACTGTGTTTTTCCAAGACTGCATAGCTACATTACCCTCCCCTACAAGCTCTTGACAATCGCGAGTGAGTAGCAGCAGCCCCAAGCACAAGTAATCTAGAGGCAAGATCCTGCAAACGGACTTCGTTCCGCCTAATTGCATCGTAGTGACAGAGAAGGCCAGCATGGTAGTATAGCATTATAGGGAGTGCTTTTTATAAAAGTAAGCGTCGGGGTTGATTCGGATATGCGCAACAGGGGGAGCTTACCATTTGCCGGGGTATCTTGGGAACGGGACACACTCTCTGACAGAGTGACGGTTCAAGATCCAAGCAAGAAATCTCTCAATCCCCATTCCATAACCACTGTGAGGGGAGGTTCCATACCTGCAGAAAGGAAATTAACACAAAGCACCAGAATAAGCTTAGCAGAGTCAGCAATGACGCAAAACCCACTTTCTTTGATCTGAATAGAAGGCATACGCCTTCTATTCCCACGCGTTTCTTTCATGACCTCAACAAGCTGGTCAAAGTCGTCCATTCTCATACGCGCTCCAACGACCTCGCCAACTCCTGGAACAAGGCAATCAACACTCTCAGTCACCCTGGAGTCTCCCGCATCTCTTTTCATGTAGAAGGCCTTGATGGGAACGGGGAAATGTGTCAGCATAATAAAAACGCCAATCTCGTCCGTCATCCTTCGCTCAGCAGCTTCTGCAATGTCGGTCCCGAAAACATGGGGAGCTCCATCTTCATCCATGATACAATGGGCGTTGAGCCATTCGATCGCCTCAGCATATCGCATGCGTCGGAAGGGCCGAGCCCTACTCTTGAAATTGGGGTTGAGGACCATGATGAGCTCTCTGCTCTCGGGATAGGCAAGGAGGATCTCGATTACGCCACAGAGAAGGTCTTCAATGTAGTTGAGAAGGCCATTCAACTCAATGAAGTCGAGTTCGCCTTCAATATGGGTGTACTCTGACAGGTGACGGCGGGTGTGAGAGTTCTCAGCTCGAAACGATGACTGGATGGCGTAGCAATCGCCAAGCACGGGCAGTTGAGCCTTAAGATAAAGCTGGGAGGTTTGGGTTAGGTACGCACGCTCGCCGTAATACGAGTGACTGAAGAGCGAACCACCCCTCTCAATCTGAGTCTGAACAAAGGACGGCGCCGTAGCCTCTCGCATGTCGTGCTCACTGTAGTACTGGCGGAAGGCGCTTCAGCGCCGAGGAGCGAGCTTTCATGAACATGGCTTCTTCTCTGGGACGAAGAACAAGATGGCGGGCGTCAGGCAGGGTCGATTGATGTGCTCCTGTGGGTGCCATGTTGGTAAAAGACTCGGGGCCACCAGGAGCCTCGCCGATGATTCGATAATAATCGGCATGGAGCTCGCGATCACCTGGAGCTTTGTTCTTGGCTGGAACAGACTTCAGTTCGCCGAAAACTTGGATCGATGTCTGCTTCTGGAACAGAACGGGTGGGACTGCGTTGACCGCCCCTTCGAAGATACACAGCAGCGTGTCTCGAGTGTCAGTGAGGTTGACGAAGGTACGAGTTTTGGATACTCTGATGTTGTCAATACGTCCAATCACTTTGACACGCGTGCCCGTGATGGATTCGGAGCCCAAGTGACTCCCTCAGGAGCCTTGGCCGATATCTTCAACCTAATGGCCTTGGGAAGGTTGTGATCCTCTTGGATGACGACCTTCCGACGAGGGTGGCTTGCCGATTTGCCTCGTCTTCATTCTGCTTGGCCATTTCTTTTAACATACTCTACGTATCGGCTGATAATCTTCTGCATGGCTGATTTGGCAGCCTCTCGCCATTCAACAGCGTCATCTTGACCATCGGGCTTTGCAACGCGTGTGAAATAGACTGGGGAAGGCGTGCTTGGCTCGGGAGGAAACGCGACATAGGTAGCAAAGATAGATTGGAAAGGGCTCTCTTTAGTGCCTGGGGTGGCTGTATCGTCGCTTCCGCTGGTATCGTTAACCTAAATGATGATTGGGGGGGCAGAGGATTGAGGTCCCGTGATGTCCGTCGGGGGAGAGCCTATAACTAAGGCAGCAGTATAGTTTATCGTCTGGAGAGGAGAACGGTCGGCGGGGGCGCAGAGAGATGAGAGATGGTTGCAGTTGGTTGAGTTGGTTGAGTTTGGTCTGTCGGACTGGTTTTCTTTGGTTGACATGAGTTGGAGGGGAGATTTCTGTGACTCATAGCTGAACAAAGAAGCCCGGCTCACCGCTGCAAAGTGGTCCCTGCACAGATGACTTCGCTGAGAGGCCGCGGCGACCAGCGTGGTAGAATCAGGTACAGGGTTATGCTTTACTATAGTATATCAAGTGTGTTAATATTGATACCTGCACTTTGCATGATAGTGCAGGTTCAACGCTCGGTGTCGACAGACGTGGGTTGTCTTTGTCTCCGTTCGAGCCTAGATCCTAGGTCTCGTCCGACCACAAACAATCAAGCCGGCTCCTCGTCTGAGACGTACAAACCCAATACCATCTTCCTCTTCCGGGACACTTCCCTCTGCACCTCTTGCGCGCTCGCCGCGTCGTGCCCGGCGTCCATACCACCATTTTCAGGAGTATTATTGAAGACGTGGGGGGCTATCGCGCCAGGACACCCCAGCTCACCCGTCGGCACGACGCTGACCGATCGTACTACTTAGCGTATCGTCCGCAGTAGCTTCCTCCTGTGTTCATCTCGGGATCTGATTGCCGATTGGACTGGCTTATTTAACTTGGGTTGGCGTGTATCCTCGTTGCTGTTCCACTACGGCCGGTCTTCACTCTTGCTATTGCAGTCACTCTTGCTGTTCTCCCTCCTAACTGTCTTGTATTTTGCTATCTGACCATCTAACCCACTCCTACTAACCCACTCCTACTAACCCACTCCTACTAACCTAGTCAAGATAGCCTAGTTATCGCGAGCGTACTCGACATTTAGGCGCCGTTGCCAAGCAGGTTGCCCTTGTAGATGCACACGTTTTCGTTGATGATATCACCCCACTTTCAATTGCCACTGTTAGTATAAAAACAAATTGTCATGAGCGATGAGGGAAGCTTACGTTCTTGTTTCCGCTTTCAGCAATCTGGAAGGTGCAGCAGGCAACAACCGCAGTGCAGTGAGTGTAGGCGGAAAGTTCGTTGTGCTTGTTGTGATCTGAAATTACATGTTAGCTTTGCTATTAAATGTAGCGCCTCATGAAACTTACCGTCAATCACGATTTCCGTGCACTTCCTGGTCTCATCGCAGCACACCAGATGCTGAGTGGGATCACAGACTTGGTTTGCGGGAGTGTCGTTGAGCACATGGTGTGAAAGGCCGCTAGTAAGTTGATTCAACTATCTAGTTCCTATG